TTTTTATAATAATAAGATTTATTTAGTAATAAGTATTATTAATAGTAATAAGGTTTACTCTTAGGGTAATCCTCTTAGATAGATCTTTATTAATAATATAGATTAATTTAGCTCTTTTTCTTTTAAATTATAAGATTTCTTTATTAGATTTATCTTCCTTCTTTTAGTACTTAGACTTATAATAATTAAGATTAAGGAAACTCTAAGATTTATATTAAGAATAATTTAGTTAATTTATAATTTAAGGAGTATTATTAGCTAAGAAGGCCTTAATTTATTAAAGAGTAATATTAATTAAAAAGGTTTTATTCTTTTTTATTAATAAGACTAAGATTTAAGAAGTAGATTTTATATTATATTAAAATATAATCTTATAGTTTATAATTTTCTTAATAAAGATAGATTATAATATAATATTATTAGAGTTTATAGTAATATTATCTTAATTTAGGAGTAGATAGAAAGGTTAATAAGATTCTAATAGATCTTAGATAAAACTATTATTAATTATCTACTAAGAAAGGATAAAAAATACCTAAATTATAATAATTTAGTTTTAGATATTAATAAATTTATTAATATAATCTTTAATATCTTTAAAATTACTAAGTTAGAGATTTATAAGTTCTTTAAAGAGTTTACTAATTAAGAAAATTCCCTTAATATAATAATTATTATAGAGATAGTAATAGATTTTAGTAGTAACTAGATCTTTAGTAATATTGATAGAGATTTTAGGGTTAATAGTTATTTATATAATATCTAAGAGTTTAGTATTAAGTTTATACTAATTAAAATAGGTTTTATAGTAGTTACTAGATTATTAGTATTAAGTATTTATATCTATAAGTTTTATTAGAGGATCTTTTTTATTAGTAATAAGCTCTTAAATATCTTTAGTAGAGAAAGTATTATAAATTACTTAATACTAAAGGGTAAAGTTCTTAAGATCTATAAGTTTAAGGATTAAGGTAATAAGGGTTTTATTTATAAATATAGTATAATAGGAGGGGTTATAATCTAATTAGTTTAATATAGTACTAGATATAAAGGAGGAATTAGGAGTTTAGGAGTATTAGTAAGATATAGTAATAAGAGTAGTAGTAGTATTAGAGGAGATTATAGATAAATTTAAGGAGATTAATATAGTAGCTTAAGTTATAATAATAATAGGAGATTAGATAATAATAATTAGTAAGATAGATATTATAATTATTAGGGTAGGGGTAATAAAGGAATCTATATATTTTAAGTATATCTTTTAGGTAGTAGCTATAATTCTATATTTTATAAGTTTAGATTAGAGGGTAGTAATATTTATAATATAGGTTAGGGCTATAATTAATTTATATTTACTCTTTTATACTTTTACTCTTTTCTAATAATTCTGAATATATTATATAATAAGCCTATCTTCTAGGAGTTATTAAACTTATTCCTTTATTAAGAATACTATCTTAATAGTTAAGATCTAGGCTTATAATCTATTATAAATTAGGAATAAGCTTATTAGTTGGATGAGATGGATAGGCTAGTTGGGATAGGGATGATAGTAGATAGGCTAAAAAGGAAAGGGACTTGTATGGTAATAATTGTATTGAAGTGTGTAAGAATCTAACTAAGACTGCTACCTAATGTGGTAATTTAACTGGCAGTGGGCGGTAAGGATTCTGTGTGCGAGAACGTGAGTAATCTTCGGTTAGGCCCCCGAGCCTCAGGCATTGAAGGGAGAAGCCCGGACTTGGGGGAATTACCGCCAACATATTGTATCCGACTTCAAATGCACAGAGGCTTCACCTTGGTAGCAAATGCCCAGAATTGACGAAGTTGGTTGTTATCAAGTTCCGTAAAGACTCAACATGTGAGTGACGTCTTCATCGATACCTGAGACTGTATAGGCTCGTACATCGGCTCGGTGAGGTCCATAATTTATAAGAGATTACTTTTGAAGAATTCTATCATATAACCTTTCTTCCTTACTCCTATAGTAAAGCACATACAGAACACATTCCCTACCAAGAATCCAGGTCCTCCATCTATCTAGCCATATACAACAAATTTTCAACAAGAGCTGGCAAATGTCGATTTGGACCTTGAGAGTAACGCAAATCCTACTAATTTTCGATCCTGTGGGTTGAAGCTCGTCAATACTGTCGTGTGTATCTCATGGTTGAGGAAGAGTAAGATAGCAGACACTCACCTGGAAATCCCCGGAAATCGCCGCAATCTCGTGGTTTAAAACCCGCCGCGTAGGGTTTCCAACGTCGTAAAAGCTTCGATCCCCAACCCAACCAGGAACCACAGCTCCTTCGTTCTCCGTGAGTGGACGAATGGCTCTAATAGCAATAGAATCCGCTACTATCTCAAACCCCTTCAAATCTCGGCCATGCATATCCAAAACAACTTGTTTTTGTGGAATTCTATATCCAAACTGTGTATCAGGCATATTTAATCCATGGATTAGATCAAATCCGGATATAAATGTGAATTCCTCCTCAACAAGAAGAGAAACAGCAATTTTCAATATTGGGTAAGAGACAGTGATTGTATGGCTTTTTGTGGTGATTCCCGGTACCCCACATCTACCACAGTGAAGCGTGGCAAATTTGAAAAACGGCAAAGTCTGGATATGGTAAAACATCCGATGGCTTGGATTGAACCTTGTACAAGGCGACGGCACTCTTTCCTCTTGTAAATTCTCATCCGAATCGTCCTGTTGTATACAGCTGTCTATCAAGGGACGGCTTGCATCTTCGACCATCACATACCTATCTCGGATATGCTCATTCACAAGCCATTGCGTCCTCAGGTCATCGAGTCTTAGAGGCCAGGAACGTTTTGAACGAGTATACCAATAAAGAAGTATCCAGTCATTATAACCCTCTTCAGCTAAGAAGCTCAAGTAGCCTTCTTCACCATGGAGCACAAACCTCGTTCTCCAGAATTGTTGGCTTTCAAACAAAGGAGCCATAGCTTTTGAGCAAAGCCTAAGATTAAGGAAGTCGGTAGTAGATAGGTTCTGAGCGATAATAAACCGGATCTCCAGTGGAAGAGATTGGAAACAATCAGTAAAGGATACTGTTTGAAAGCCGAGTTTCCTGTCCTTGGGCCTTGGTAATTTCTTTCGGCTCCTGAGAATTCGAGGAAATCGTTGGTTTTGTATCCTCTCCTGCATTTGAACTACGGAGAAATAGCCTGCATGTGGACTGCATTTGCAGTCTTGAATTATCTGTTACTAGGGGAGGAATGACGGCGGAGCATATCGTTGGATAAGATTAATCATACCATCTGTGTATCTTGGTGCGCCTATCTCTTGTAGTATGTCGACTAGCTTGTGGAAATCCGGAGGCTCGTCAAAATGCTTCAGTAGCCTCCGCCAGCAGAAATCGTGAACAAAAATTCTGGACTCTATACTGAGGTCAATAAAGCTCGTCCAAATACTCTCATGAAACCTACCGAAGCGAATGGTGGAGCCAGACGGTCCAAATTCTCGAACTTCTATTCTCAGTTTCCTGAAGCTGAAAGAAACTTTGGTAAAAGATTGTGACTAACCGTCTTTCAAGAACTTTCCTGGATCCCCCCATGCACATATTCGACAGGGATTCTCCTGAGGAAACTTAGCAAACCTCATCTTCATTGACATTTCAGCATAAGAAACACGCAGGTTTTTTCGAGAATTAAAAAAGAGAGTTGAAAGGAAAAAAGTAGGCAATGCGGCGCTCAGGTGATTTTGGCTAAAGAATTCGAACATTGCCATGCCACAATTCAGATATACTGATCAGTGTTGCATCATTAAACTTGAAGTCCATGTCATGCCATCCCAGTCCTGTATACTGGCTTTACCCGCTTTGTTTTTGGCACCTACTAGTGTTCTGTTCTCACTACGAATCGGATTTTGGCCCCAGCTCTTGGTTTTGTACTGCATATTTGTGAGGAGGATAGCGAACTTGGATTGGTGATGGAGGGTTTGCTTTGTATTTATCCATCCATGATCCATCCATCCAGCGGCCAGCCAGCCCTCTACTACGCGGGAACCCGTGTTTTTTTGCAGCACCTGATTGGCTGAGAGGCCCAAAGTGGGTATTTGTCTTGGCCCTAGAGTCGGTCTTAGTCACGTGATGAAGCGAACATGGTAGTCAGGTGATCGGGATTCGGGACTGTCAGGTGATTCCAATGATGCTACCAGTTGACCATCTCCCTTGGAAGGTTTCATGGACCCTACCGCGCGGCGCCAAGTCTTGTGATTTATTACAAGAGTGAGCAGGATAGTATTGAAGAAGTGCCATATGGCTTGTTACCAGTATCGACCATATTTCGCGTGTTAAAACCAACGCCTGGAGCAGGCTAATAAGAAGAGAGAGATAGTCGAATCTAAATGTCATTGGTAGGATGGTACCTAGAGTAGACTGTCCCCTCTTGGAAACAAGTATTAGAAAAGCATACAGATGTGCAGGAAAAGCAGGCCCGTAACATTGAAACACCACTATCCAGCAGCAGCACCGAAATCAAAATTCCACGCCCACAGCAGGGTCTGTAACAAAAACATGGCGGTTTCCATTCAAATACCAAAACACGCGGTTTTGGTTAGGGTTTAGGTTAACCGCGGTCTTTGCGGTTACTACATGTGGCGCGCTGGACCCCAATGTTGGATAACCCTCGCTTGGGATGTTCTGAGGCCAGTCAACCACTGTATGAATATCTTAAGTTTCTCTGAGAACTTCATTCGATCTTCGATATAATCAGCACACATCGGACATGAATCAAGGTGTTTTTTGGAAGAATATGCGATCAGTTCGACATATTTTTTCACGGGCATCCATAATTCAAAATTGGTTACTGTCGGCTCCCGGGAGTTTGACATGGCGACCCCCAGTTGCCCGTTTCCCCTCTGGACAACTGTGGTATTGTGGGCATCCGAATTGCGAAGATAATTTTCAAACCAGCCGTTGCTCCGCTCAGTGACAGATATTGATGGCCAATCAGTTGAAATAGCCTTGAATTCACTCTGAAAACGGATAAATGATGACTGTAAAGTATGCGAGGCCGAAGGACGAAAAATTGATGTTGTCCTTTCTAACACCGTTGATAGTGTTTCGGTATTTGTGCGTCTCGACCATAGCTTTCCAGACGATCGACCAATTATTGATCTGGTTTTGCAACCGACCCTGTAGTTCCGCGTCAACTGGATTGGCGCTCGGTTGATCCGCTGCTTTCTCGAGGTCTTCTTGCCACGCATATGTAGTTTCTATTGCATATGTGAGGATGCACATGGGTACTTGGATATGCAAAGGAATAGCCATCAGAGCTGTAAAATCAGGATTAAAACTTTGTTATGCGCATTTCTAGTATTATCAGTAATGTACACTTACCGATATAATGATGAGATGAAAGTCTTCTTGATGTTTTGAGAAGAAATGAAAAGTTTGAGAGAAATGGCTTTGGAAAGCTCTCTTTTAAAACACTAAGAAGTACCACAATATGCGGCAGCCTGGGAATCTATTGGTCATAAAGAATGAGGCGTCAGTATGCCACCTGATATGCACAGGTACTAGTAGACTTCTGCAAAGCCCAATTTGGGCCCCAGATCTCTGCCCAAGGCTCAAGTTACTATGATAGGTGGGTTGGTGTCGAGTTTTGAATTTGACCACCTCCCCTGCGCATATCTTTGGGTTCAATCCAACACACAATGTCACCTACGGCTAGTTGTTGGGTGGGTGTCGCCAGGGTGAAAAGCGGGGTGAGAATCGCCCCCAGCCTTGCGACGACACACTGACCTTCCAGGCTGAGCGTGAGAACAACATGATTGGGTCACGACCCTCCAGCTGAAAGCCTGAAACGGACAGCTTCTTGGCATCTGCACACAGCCCTCTCGTTTGAGTGATTTTAAAATATACTGTACATAGAAATGAGGCCCATCATATTCTAAAGAGTAGAGCTTCAACCAACGTACGGCGTTGGAACCTCTTAGAGTCTTCACTGAAGGAGAAAATTATTTAGTCATTCTTGTCCGCTTCAGAGCTCCAGTATCTTGACACCTTCAATATTTATAGCATTCCATTTCAGGTCAGGTCAGGTAGGTGCAAGGTCGGTTACGACAGGGGCAAGGCTGACTATACAGGTTTGCACATGTGGGTGAAGTGCGCTAAGTGACTAGTTAGTTAAAAGTAGCGTGAAACAGTCAGCACGTACCTATAGTAGTTTACAAGTAGTTACGCATTGCCTATGCTAATCTTCAGAATTAACTAGTGCTCTCTGACAGATCAATAATATTAAATGCTTATTAAATTCAACGTAGTGTTCTCGGACTCTGTAGTTTTTCTCCAATTTACTATATCTACGCTTATTATTCAAATTACTTCGGGCCCAGATGTAAGGCCTTAGATCACGATTGATAAGATATTTGAGCGTACACCTCAAGAGTCAAAAATTCAGACGATAAACCTTTTAAAAATGCACAAGCTTATGTTTTAGTCTTAATATTTACTGATAGATCACGTCGCTCCTTCTATCGGGCCCAGTGACGTCAGTATATGCGTGCACTGCGTCCGTCTTGCCACGCGAACAAATTCCAACGTGTCATTGCTAAGAGAAGCGAACACAAGGAACGAAAGTACAAGACACTAAATCAAAGCGAAAAAGAAAACCCTTGTCTCATCAAGACTATGGCTTGTAGGCTTTATAAACCTGCAGAGCACCCTCAACACTCTGCACGAGACCGAACAAGACAGTCAAAGATATTGCAACCCAGAGTGGATACCACTGGCTGGCATCCCGCCTATCATTCCACCACTGTGTCATATTCGATGGCCGAGAGTGATCAAACTCGCGTTTTAGGACAATGAGCCGGTCGTGCCAATATTTGTAATCTTCTATTTGCTTGGAAATCTTCCCACATCTTACTATGTTCGGATCGAGCTCTTCAGGCCCGTTATGCTTCCTATACCACTTCTCGGTCTCTTTATCGCCCTGTGGGAATATGAGAGCTAAAGTTGATAGTGTCTCATCGATAAGACCAGGTGGAAACATTGACTGTCTAAAGTGCACCGTTTTCATTAGTCAGGAAGTTCATAGCAAGGAGGAATATCAAACTCATACTGTTTATGGGACATCAGAAACGACGCATGATGAAACACCTCCACCGTTTTACTCATATCAGTGAATCGAAGATGATCGCATATGTTGGATGTAGGTTCCACTTGGAAGCCTGCGATACGGATCATATTGCAAACCTGGAAAGTCTTATCCAATCTGGTACCGTCATTTTCCAGAGAAGTACATTCCGAGAATGTATCCCGCATGAAGTCCTGTAAATTTCCGTGTGTCCAGAGTCGCTTTTCTCTCCCGGAATAAGCATTCTCAAGCTGTCCAACATCGATCATATAGAGTAGACGAACGGTTAGGTCTATCGAAGCGTCGATACCCTTTTCTGACGTCTGGTCTTCGGTCCATGTGGATCGTGCCACGAATTGTTGTACTTCGGACCGCGAATCTCCGGCTTGGATGCGGGTAGCAATATTGATTATGTGTTGATGGGTCTTGACAACAAGAAGGCCTTGATAGGACTGAGTGGCAATTGTGCATTGTTCGGTGTAATATTCGAAATACGGGCGTAAATGTCGCTTCCGGTAGGTGCTCCCTTTACCCCATAAGTATGAAATGATTCTCTCTTGTCGCTGTACTGGAATGGGCCATTCACGGAGTGATGTGTCCAGCAGGTCTGCATCGGATGATAGCTGTATGGTCTGCATCAGGAATAAATATGTTGGTTCCAATAGTTTGTTTCAAGAAGTTTTATTCCATCCTCTTGGTTTTTTCGATGGCTGGTATTGGGAGGTTTATACTGTAGTGGGGAAGAGCGGTGTATCGAATCATGATACACCGCTCTTCCCCACTACAATACCTAATACTTCAGGGGACATCTAGTGATAAAGTTATGTAGTCCGTGTGAAAAGGCTTGCATTATACGGATCTTTCAAGGTGCTAAGCCACGAATTACGTGTACCTCAGCCACCAATTAATGTTACACGTCTACTCGCATGGCTGCTGGCACCCACATCAATGCGAATGTGTGCATGGTAAATCATTTGACTGGACGTACAGCCGCTGTGGCTTCCTGTGGCTTCATCATACTTTCTTCTTCTTGCCTCTTTTCTTGCCTTTTTTTCTCGCTTTTCTGCTTACATTTCCAAGGAGCTTCTGCCAAATTACCCTCAACTAGGCCCCAATTTCACTCCCAATATTCTTCGCGCATATCCCAAATCCCGTGCAATATTTCCGGCTTCGCAATACGATATTTGGTATCTACCCGAATTGGACCTATTTTTCGAGGAAAGATGGCCTCATCGCGGCTTCGTAACCGCCTTTCACGATTCCAAAATCGCAAAGCCCGATGGCCTCATCCAGAACAATCAGCTGGAGATTTGCTGGGTGAAAAAGGAGAAAATTGCAAATTCAATTACTGGGGGGCGATAGGTCCAGTCAAGGAGGTCTTCGAGGAAATGAGACCACTTATCAAGGAGCTTCTCCAAAATGAGTGTGAAGAAGTGAGAAGCTTGAGCGCTATTCAGTTCGAAATGTTCATGGTTGGAGATACACCAGAGACTGCAACCCCATTTATAATGTTTTCTTGTTGGCGCGCTAAACCTCGGAAGGATGCCGTGGCTGCTATGAAAAAATCGGATGTGTACAATGACAGTCCACCTGGAATCATGCTTGGCCAATGGCAATTTCCTCCCCATCTAATCAACTGCCAATTTGAATTCAGAGCATGTGCGGCACCGAACGAAAGTTTTAACCCAGATTGGGCGAACAAATCCGCTCCTTCACACCGCGAGGAAGATTGCATCTCGATACCTGACCTCAATGAGCCGGGCATCTGTCATGTATTGCAGTTGTCTCTATCGAATACATCCACCGAACCTGCATATCATCGCACGGCAACCATTGGTAGCATTGTGACCATCTCCGACAGGCGCTTTTGGATATACCCCGCACACGTGGGTTATCTTCATGAAAACAATTCTCTGGGGATGGGACCCGAACCGGATTCAACACCGGAGGATCGCGAATGCGTGTTTGAGTTCTTCGATGAAGAAGAAGATGAGCAACAAGATCCTATAGATGCAGATTTCATGAGCGCCTTTAGTGCAACCCCGGAACAAAGTGATCTAGAAAGTGATCCCGACAGCGACGACAGCGAATGGCTGTCAGATATCGAGTCTGGCTCTATACCTTCTATCATGCCGATGGAAGGGAACGACTATAGCATCGCTAGCTCTAGTGATGAAGCTTACTGCGCTTGGGGCCACAGCAAGATTTCTTCATCGCTTCATTCAGCCCCCCAAGAGACAAATTACTATTTTTTGAAATCAGATAGTTTGGATTACTGTTTGATGGAGGTTAACGACGTTGGGCATGATTTGCCAGATCTCCCCATTCTCTGTCAAGAAAATATCGGCCAACTGGGCTCCCAATCGGCTGATGTGACAGCAGCCACAAGCTCGGGGAACATTCTTAAAGGTGTCCTGTCCCCTCAATTGTCATGCATTCGACTTCCAAATGCCGCAAGATACACCGATATCTTATCAGTCAAATTTGACAGCCCGGTTCAGCCTGGTGACTCCGGATCAATGGTTCGAGATGCTAGAACCGGAATGATCTACGGTCAAATAATTGCAGGCGATGCAGGATCCAAAATTGCGATCATCATTCCGGCCGCAGATATCCTGAACGATGCTATGACAAAGTTCATGCAGATTGGAGAAACGGCGGTGAAATCCGAACTTGCCACTTCCACACATGAAAGAGAGCCAAAGAAAAACCACAGCGAAAATGAAGAGTCTTTTGGTCGAGACAACTGGAAATTGCGATCTTACAGCGAGCACTCAGAGACAGGCGACACCACAATCCATCTTCGCAAAGTCCCTTGTTTCTCTCTTCCAAGACCGCGTGAAATTCCACCTCACTCCGAGGTTTCAGTGTTTGAAAATTGCACCCTGCCTTTTCGCAAGGCTGGTAAACACTCTTTTCTAGGGTTCTGTAAAGACTCGCCCAAAGAGTACAATGTTGCGTGGATTTGCGCACTATCTTGCGAAAATCTCGCGGCTGAAGCCCTGTTGAACGAACCAAAGGATACTACCAGAAAACCGTGGACAGTAAACCGTTCCTCGCCGAGGGAAGCGGAATCTGTCAAGCAGTCCGACAGTGAAAGAAGGTGGAAGAGGCCTTTCTTAAGTCGAGAATCTACTCATGGCTACTTACCAGGCCCCTACGAGGAATCATTTGCATGTTACTTGGGAAGCATGGGACCTTACCCAATTAACATACAATGCCAAGTACCACATCAAACGTACCAAAGCGTCAGATGTTCAAATGTCAAGGATAAATGGTTGCTGGACGGGTCGCAATTTCAAACATGGAAATCTGAAACAAAGGGCTCATTGTGGTTGCCTGCAAAGCCTGGCTGTGGCAAACAGCTACTGTCACAGATATTGCTTGACAGTAGCCTTCCCGATAATGGATTGTTTCAATCCTTTGGTATCTGCCAAGAGAATGATATGAAACACAGCGTGCTCACAGCAAATTGGCGGGCTCTGACTTGGCACCCACCTGCTGCTAGAAAGGACCTTTACTGTCAGCATACCATCAGAACGGTGCAGAGGTTTAGCGGGCAACCGAAGCTTGTCTTTGACTTCTTATTAAATTTGGACAGACACCCGGGAGCCGCTCACTCATCGGTCAAGTGGTTTTGCATAGTTGACGGTCTTGATGAATGCGAAGAGCCAAAGCGTGATCGACCGACAAAAGGGCTCTCCCTCCCGTGCTCTCCAATAATTCCAATGCCCGCATCAACCTTGCAAGGAATTCAGTACTTGAAGAGGATTTATGCCCAAAACAGTTGGCCAGCACAGTTGTACTCCGAAATTCAAACAGCTGCAAGTCACGAAAGGCAGGCACCGCTTTCTTGCGCTGCCCGGAACGGCCACAACACCACTGTCCAGATGCTCCTGGACACAGGCAAGGTGGATATCAAGACCAAATTTCCGAACGGCCAGACCCCGTTGTCATGTGCTATCCAGAACGCCCACAACACCATTATCCAGATGCTCCTCGACACAGGCAAGGTGGATATCAAGACCAAATTTCCGAACGGCCAGACCCCGTTGTCATGTGCTATCCAGAACGCCCACAACACCATTATCCAGATGCTCCTCGACACAGGCAAGGTGGATATCAAGACCAAATTTCCGAACGGCCAGACCCCGTTGTCATGTGCTATCCAGAACGCCCACAACACCATTATCCAGATGCTCCTCGACACAGGCAAGGTGGATATCAAGACCAAATTTCCGAACGGCCAGACACCGTTGTCATGTGCTATCCAGAACGCCCACAACACCATTATCCAGATGCTCCTCGACACAGGAAAAGTGGATGTCGATGCCAAAGATAAAGATTGGCCAAACACCGCTATCATAGACTGCCGAGAACGGCCACAGCATCATTGTTCAGATGCTCCTCAACATAGGCAGGGTGGATGTCGATGTTATCGATGAGAATTTTCATATCTTTCACTTCATAGGGAAACTACAGTGATTTTCCACAATTATTTGACCTTGGGTATTTTTAATGTTGGGCCCACTTTTAGTACTACGAGAGACCAAACACAAGTTTTGATATAAAGTCACCCTCTTCGTTTCGCGAGCTTTGCTTTGATCATCCGAGTATAAACATGTATCAATTACAATTCCGCCGCCCGATATCCCCCTCTGTAGTTGAGACCTGTTGAATTCGCATTTGAAAGAATAAATACAACAAGTGCGGTAAATGCGACCGACCAATCCAGTTCAGTCTATTCATAGACTATCCAGCCATATACTACTGGGAATACTGTGTTTTTGTGTGCCTTTTGATTGGTCAGATTATCGAAGGCGGGCACATGGGCGGTTTGGAATACTTGTCAGGAGAAGTGAACCATGTGACTTGAGGTCACATGGTCTGCTCCTGGTCATGCTGCAGCGCGTGTTGGCTTTGTGTTGGTGTTGGTAGTTAGTCTGGGAAGTGAGAGCTTTTCTCCCCTTCCTTCCTTCCTCTCCATCCCGCTGAGTGAAGAAGAATACCACACAATTGCTTCTTCTTTCTCATTTCCATTCGTTCTCTCCAGCTCTACAGTGTAGATCTGACAATACTTTCTCCACAAACTTATCAAGCTGCAAATGCTTACATTCAATGTTGGGAAACTTCAGGGTCTTCTACGTGATTCTATAACCTCCAAAGCCAACTAGATCCAGTAATGCGGCTGATGGGTCTATCTCAATTGAATTACGCGATAGTCTGACAATACCCAAAGACATTATCCGTAATCACTGATGATCAAGTGCTAACGTTTAGTTGACGTGTTATGGACCTATATTGTATATATACACGGCGAGAGTCTATCTATCATTCCTCTTGGAACGTGCATACATGACATGCACATGTGTGAATCAATTGATCCGGAACTCGCAACATTAAATATGTCCATCTGTGCATATATACATAGTACAATACTTACTCCAATTTCAATCTCGTTGCGGCGTACCTCTCGGTCACTTCAAAGAATCAAAAGAGACCCGGGGTAGAGAGGTTAATCAAGACGTTATGAACGCTTTTTGCGGGTCCAGCCGGTCTGGAATTTGGGTTTAAAGCGGGGCAGTACATGTGCCTCGGTGTTGAAAACCACTTCAGTGAGAGGGAGGAACTCCCTGGGAGAAAACAGCAGATATAAATACTTCAAAGTTTCGGCCTAATTTGAAAATTCAGGTTAGCTGAAAACTGTTGACGGAATAAAATCACAAAAAAGGGACCATGGGGAAGTGTATGTCTCACCAGCCAAAAGCTCTCCATATTATCACGTTGGCGCGGCGTAGATTCAGTCACATCATGCAAAGACGTATATCCCTCTCCATCGGGAACCAAGGTATGCTTCTGGAATGCCTTGAAGATCTCCCAGCCCCATTTTCGGTAGATAGGGTCATTCGTGACTCTAAACATTAAAAAGAGACTCTCCACGGTCTCCGGACGTTGTAAGTTATGAGCATCGGCAGGTTTGATAATAAAGTCTTCTTTCCAAGACTCCTTCTCGTTGCTGCTTCGCGGCCAAGATTGATGTGATGACCTGGAACTTGGCTTGAGCTCGTCGGGATCGGCCTCGAACCATGAGATCTCGGGCGCGAGACCGGATTCAGTGACAGCGTACATTGCCCAACAAGATTTCATCAGCTCCCTTGCCAGTTCCATCTGTTTCTCCCTCTGTGGAGTCCAGGACGGTAGCTTTCGGGCCTCGGCTTCAGTTCGTCCTTCCGTTGCACCAATTGCGATCGAGCCGGGCAAGAAACAAACAAGATGGTCCATTTTTGGTGATAGCTTGCCACCAATTCCGCTAGGTAGCTCGGCAATAATCCGTAGGTGGGAGTGTTTGGTAGTGATGACAAGCTGTTTCTGAATGCCCGCGAGAGCCTCTTCCCACATGTCGCTATAGATAGTCTCCTCGCCGTAGGTTTGGAGATACTGTTTCACCAGATATTCTTCAAAGGGGTCAGCTTGGCATGGTGCATCATTCGGAGAGAATCAAAACATACCATAGTAGGAGTCACCGCGACTGCCGAGGCGGATCTCTTGGTAGGGGAAGCTGCCCGTCTGGGGATTGACGAAGATAGGCAGCAGGCCATCTTGCATGCGGTGGTCATCAAGCACCTTTTGACCGATTCATTAGCTTCAAATCCAAATGGAGCCCACCAAGTGAGCCCACGGGAAAGGGGGCTGATTACTTTCATAATGTGCTCGGCTTTGCGCCAATACACCTCCCGTCCCGTCAATTGCGCGAGGTACTTCATCTCCAGCTGCAGAGTGCCCGCTTCGGCTGTCGACGAAGCCCCACCATCCGTGTGAGATGGCAGACCTTGTCGGGTCCCAATGTTGACACTGGCATAAGGAATTCCCGTTCTGGTATCATAGGCGCTTAAAAGCCGATCGGCCAAGTCGACTGCTTTGGCCTTATAGATGTAGTCCCGGCGGGAGGATACGTCTGGAAGTAGGGTCGATAGGTAGTGTGCTGAGAGTAGCCCGCCGAGCATACGAATGGTTGTCTCGAAGGTATTCACATCTTGGTTCTGATCATAGCTCAAATCGCGATTCAACCATTTCCGGGCATCGGAGAGCTGCGTCGTCAAATTCATGATCATTAAAGTGTCCAAACTGTCGACAATAATCCATCCCAGGCCGCTGGGGCTCATCTGTCCGCCAGTTTTGGAAACGGGGTGGAAAACATCGGCTCCTAGTTGACACGTCGGTGTTAAATTTACCAGGCTGATACGCGGAATGTTGCACTGTCTGTCAAGTTTAAACCCTGACGCTCGGCAAGCTTTGAACTTACCCCAGGAATATTTAGCATAAGCATTCCAACTGGTGGTAAATGCTTTTTTTACTTCCTCGCGGTGAGAATCCCAATAACTATCCTGGTCGGTGGGACGAAAATAATCTAAAACAGTTTCTGTACTGGGCGTGTATATGTGAGTCCCGACCCCAAAGACCAATCCGCCAATCAGCAGAGTGCTAACCACCCTCTTACTAGCGAACCAGATAGGCCATGGCACCGAGTGACGATGTCGATACTTTGGCTGTTTGGGGTGTGTTGATGGCATGGCCGATTGAGATGTTGGGGAAATTTCGTGCGGGGGGCCCTGGCTGGCTAAATAGGGGGGAATCCACTGGCTACTTACTGTACGGAGGATCTTCAGTACGCTGTCTAGCTACATCTGCAGGGACAGGGCTAATCAAGATCCCAGTTTGCTCCAGTATTGCTAATACTAGGCAGATCTGGTGTTATTTATCCCATTCCCTGGCTGGTCAATAGTAAGGGTTATTATACATAGAATACTGTAAACCTGTGTATAGCTTACTAGCATGGCGCTACTGCACTGTGCCATTACCGCGTCTCTGCAGATGCTCTTCATTGGGGCTCTTTATTGGGGGCGAAATTAATTCGAACAGTCAATTGACTGCTAAGTGGATAATCCCATGCACCTTTTCACGCTAGAGTTCGTCTTTTGGGTTCGTCTTTTGACTTGGTCGGTCCGGCCCGTCTGAAATTTTAAAGTAAAGCTTACTATTACCCACCAATAGATTCTTATATTTCAGGACCTCAAGAACAGGTACGGTGCCTACAAGATCTATATACGTCGTGCAGGCGTAATTCCAGGCCAATTGATTCTTGCCCCTGGCTGTCAGCTCATCTGGGGGCCAAACCCACACGAACCACGGCATATTCCGGAGGCTCCGGAGCCCACGGGGGAAATCGCACGGACCTCCGATTCTGGTGGAGAGGGCGGGAGTTATGTAGTGGACTGTGGGTCGAGTATTTCAGGACTTCTATGCTAAAATTTCAGGGCAACTACTGTCAGCGAAGTTTTGAAACCTCCGACAGAAGCAATCAGGAAACCGTGTCGCCGCTTCATCATGATGGCCGACAAGCGACACTAAAATAGATCTTTTATCAATGCCATCTATTGATTGGTCGATGCTGCGCGTGGCGGCTTCGAATCGATAGACTAGTTGCTGCCGGTGTGTGTGCTGGAGCGTACCCTGCATTAGCACGACTTACTATGGTGTATAGGCTTAGGGGCGGCGCCAAGGGAGACTTACAGTTCCTGGCTACGAGACTTGCAAATTTCAGAAGTCACTCCACGTTAGTAGCTGCAATACCAGTCTGTATTGCAATAGCTATCTTGTTATCTATGATTTGGATTATATAGGAACAAAGTCGTTTTCAATCGTATTAGATACTCAAATACAATATTTATGCGAGATCGCCTTCTTGGCGCTACATTTGTAAGCCTCGTGGTTAGGCACTGTATTTAGAAAAGAGATATCCAGCCAGAGCACTAGGCCGACCTTCATAACCACGCATGGATCCTGCTCCCCCGGGGGGCGCTGGCGAAATTTTCCAACCTTTGAGAATCCCACATCAAGTATCCGTAAGCGGACTGGTATTTGCCGTCACCCCCAGCAATCCTCCGCCACGGCGAGGTCCACGCCATCCCTGGGCGATACTTGCAACTATACTTGAATCTCTGGTAAGTGATCAGTCCCCGAGAGCTTCGGCGAATGTCGTAAGCCGATAATACTCCTGGCTAAGTTGAAGCTAAATATCATAGTTTCCAAGCGATTCCAGCGTTGACCGTTTTCTCAATGTCTTCGTACTCTACTGCAACTACAATCCCGGCGGAGACTGATGGAAGTACCATCACATCGTTTCTCCCTCTCGCCACAGTATATACGTTCCCGGGCTCATGTTCAACTAAATACCGTCTGGATAGACCAAGTCTCATGGCGTTCGACCCGGCCTACGGAATAGACGTGCAAACGGGTGTGGACTGTGGTCCTGCAGCTGTAACCACATGGTGGAACAGCCCCGATGTCACTAATGGCGGCTATAAAACAGTGGTGAGCATTGGGCCGGTCAAGTGTCCTTCAGACTGGTCGACAGTCGCGTCTTCCACCAAGGACTCCACCAGCACCGCTTTGATGTGCTGTCCCTTGTAAGTCGGATTTCCCAACTACTGCCCATGCGAAGGTCAATCGAGGGCCACTGATCTAACAGCCACTCTCTCAGCGACTACTACTTAGATGGTGCTATTGCGGGACAACTTGAAGGGAATTGCCTGTCCAATGTTAGCTCAGGGATGACCCTGACATATGGATCCACCTCAGATGACTCGGACTCCTTCACAATAGCCACAACGACGATGTCCTCGAGTTCTACCGTGGGCGCAATAGCCATCGTCGGGTGGAATGTCCAATACGTAGTCTCAGCCACAGCCAGTGTAACGTCCAGCTCCATTGCCACTTCTGCTTCCACTTCTACGTCTACTTCTATTTCCACCTCCACTGCCACTGCTGCTACTACTGCCACTTCCGCTGCCACTTCCACCTCCACTGCCTCGACTACCTCGACTGGTTCCTCTACAACACATTCAACTTCGACAAACACATCGGCAATATCTGACTCGACCACAAGCGGGGGCCTGAGTGTAGGAGCGAAGTGGGGAATCGGCATGGGTGTTGGTGTGGGAGGCATTGGCGTAGTAGCCTTGATAGCCGCTCTGTGGATTTTTTCTCGACGATGGAAGGCACCGCAGGGCCGACGCGTATCCGAGTTGCCGGGGCCTACCAGACAGCAATACGTTCCCGGCGCATGGCAGGGAAACTTAGCGGTGCCGGGTGAAATGGATGGAGCCAGCTATGTCTACGGCCGAAAATCCCAACCCCCAATCGAGTTGAGTTGATGGCCTGCTGTGCTGTACACCCCGCAACCTCCCAAGGTGGGAAGTCGATGTCACTTGTTTGATGCTGAGTCCAAGGTCTTGAGGCTGGGTAAGGAGGCCTTCTAGGATATATCTTATTTTCTTCTCTTCGCTCGCAATAGCTAAGCCCTTTCATGTTTCAAGGCGGTTTATTTATAGAATACCCTTAATTGATCTTTTTATTCTCTTTGAATCATCTGGGTATCGAATCATGAGATTCTTCGCCTCCCACCGCTCATTGTGCCAACCAACACTGCATGCCACAACGGGACAGTGACCAACAGGCCAGAGTGACCGCTCAATAACATATGCCGATTCTCCGCCAAAGGGACATGGTATACAGTTTTGCCTTGATGTAAGAACATAATTCACGGGCGAGCGGCTCAGTCCAAACCACCATTAGATGTTGTAGATTCAAGATAATGCCCAGATGTTCCAATGACCACTGTCTTGTTCTGTTTCATTACTTCTGAGAATATCATTGAAATCAAGCACAAAATATGTGTGTCAAAACAGGGGTGTCGAGGCCAAACGTCCGCAGCTTAAAGTTGTAAAGCTGCTCTTTCTTGTCAAAAGTTAACCAAGGTTCTGATTGATTCACGAGTTGAAGCTAGATAGTCTTCAGAGTTCAACCTTTCAGTAGGTAGATCACCTAGGATTCGTATTGAAATATGGGTTTAGGGGCGTCGGACATAAAATTGTGCACCGTCTTCATGAATTAGGGAAGATAAAATGAGGGAGCTTCGCTTCTAGATTGAGTCTTAATTGTCGACTAACATTAAACAGAAAATGTCTGGTAACAGAAGATGCGGTTTTTGGTGATATGAATATCCTGGGTGTTACTAGGGAGAAATGGCCTAGAGCCCAGATGCTACGAGCTTCGTAGTGAGCTAGCAAAATGGAGTGATGGAGGCGATTTCTAAAAATGGAGGGGAAGCCTCAATGAGCTAAAATACATCCGGGTCATGTGAGCCCGGTAACACTGGGCAAGGGGTTGTGCACGGACGAAGTACATGGGGTGACAAAAGTGTTTGTACGCTTCTATTTTTCCCCGCAAAAAATAGCAAAACTCACCAACTTTGATATTCAATATCTCTATAAATTTCTATATAGACTCTTGTTTTTGATTGTAGCTAAGCTACAAATAATTACTAAATAATTACTTCCTGCTGTTAGAAACTCCGGTATGATTTTTCCTGGCAGACTTACATGACTTTAAAGTTGAGGGTGAGAAAAATTGTTAAAAATTGTTAGCAAACGGGCCGCATCCCCATACTGTAGTAAAAGTTTCGAAAAATGTAATAACTATCCATTTTCTAGGCCAAATAATTCCACAATGCAAGCATTTAAACCGAGTTCCTAACTATACAGATCAATTACCAATCGTTTATTTAGAGTTAAAGTGATTGAAAATTTATCTTTTACGCACAAAGTTGTTAAAATAATCATGACCAAAGAGGGCGAGTTTTGCTGTCTTTTGCGGGGAAAATGGAAGTGTACAAACACTTTTGTCACCCTATGTACATAGGCGATGAAGCCCATCTACTAAACAGGGAAGTCCTACGGACTCCGGAGTACTGAGTGAGTCTTTTGAAATCGAAAATGCCCCTTGGAGCCCTCTAGATAACCATAAAAATATTTTTTTATGCTGGAGTACGAGAATGATACCCTGGAACCGATGCTGATTACGCGTCTTCATAATCACATCTCTACTAGTTCGCAGACCACAAAATACAAATGTAACAATGCCCCTTTCCGTCCCTGCATGCGACCTCCTACTAATCCCTGCAAGTAGGTGGCGCCACCTAAACAAACAGCGACCCGTGAGTTGTTATCTTGAATATGGATGCCTACGAGAGGGTCAAAGCCCGAGATTAACGCCTCGTTGCTTCAGATTGGTCGAATCATACCGATTTTCGAGCCCCTATATGATCCTCAAGTGCTGTATACATACAATTCTTGTAGTTCAAGTTGCATAAATGCATAGCTTCTCCATCTCACTCCAATCGAAAACTTCCAATTCACAATCCTTTCTTCCGCCTCAAAAACAATATCTCCCTAACGGTCACTCCAAAAATGGCCGCCATTACTCTCGAGCCTCAAGACCATAAGCGAGATGCAGATTTCAAGCAGGCGCTACATGGCAAAACAGGTCAGGATCAAAACTCATTCATGAATATTATGCGCAAGAACAAGGATGCTCAAAAGATCGCCGTGGACGAATACTTCAAGCACTGGGATAACAAAGGTGCCGATGACGAGACTTCCAAGACCCGCGAATCCAGACGCAAGGAATATGCGACCCTCACCCGACACTACTACAACCTCGCGACCGACTTCTACGAGTACGGCTGGGCGCAGAGTTTCCACTTCTGTCAATTCAGCAAGAGCGAGCCATTTAAGCAAGCATTAGCTCGACACGAACATTACCTCGCGCTTAAAATGGGTATCCAGGAGGGTCACCGGGTTCTCGACGTCGGTTGCGGTGTTGGTGGTCCTGCGAGGGAAATCGCCAAGTTCACCCGGTGCAGTGTCCTCGGGCTTAACAACAACGACTACCAAGTTGAGCGTGGTACTCTGTACGCACACAAGGAAGGCCTCAGTGATCAGGTCAGCTTCACCAAAGGCGACTTTATGCAAATGACATTCCCGGACGAAAGTTTTGACGCTGTCTACGCGATCGAAGCTACGGTGCACGCCCCGAGTCTGGAAGGAATCTACTCGGAGATTTTCCGGGTCCTCAAGCCTGGCGGCGTCTTTGGTGTTTACGAGTGGTTGATGACCGAGAACTACGACAACGATGACCTCCGTCACCGTGCGATTCGTCTTGGGATCGAGCAAGGGAATGGAATTAGCAATATGGAGAAGATCTCTGTCGCTCTGGACGCGATGAAGAAGGCTGGTTTTGTGCTTGAGGTCAGCGAGGATCTTGCCGATCACAATGACGAGCTTCCTTGGTACTGGCCTCTCAGCGGGGATTTGAAATACACGCAGAGCCTTTGGGACTTGCCGACCCTGGTACGCATGACCCATGTTGGCCGTGGACTGGCGCATGGCATTGTTGGTGCACTTGAGATGGTTGGCGTTGCGCCAAAGGGATCACGGAAGACAGCCGATTCGCTTGCTGAGGGCGCAGACTGTCTTGTCGCGGGCGGAAAGGAGAAGCTATTCACGCCTATGTATCTGATGGTTGGTCGTAAGCCAGAGGCTTGACTCTTCTTTCTAAAGAAAGAAAAATAGCTCTGCCCAGGTGTAGCTTCTGGATACTTCTTTTTTCTATTTACATGAGCTTCAAAGTGTTTCTTGCTGTACAACACCGGCATTTCTTTCTGTTCCTGTAAAGTTCAGTATAAAAATCCATGTGAGCCACTTTCTAGCATTTGTAAAGAATAAAACATACACAGTTGTTCCTTTCTATAACAGTTTTTTATAGCTATACACCGCAAACATAGAAACAACAATTATCCGCCCAAGGCATTCCGTTATAACCACTGTAGGCCATCCCTCTTGTTGGCCGAAGAAAGCCATGATAAGAAACAGGGCGATATGGATTGATGTTGAGCAGATCAGTTGCATAGTACATGCATTCTTGAAGCCCAATTGAGTGAAGGTCCAGACCGGGAAAGCAGATAGAAAGCCCTCAAACAGACTACTCCAAAAGGGAGCCCACTTGGGTGATGGTGGCAGTGAGGCAAAAAAACCTCCAAAGACCTTTTCTTCGGTGGACATGATTTGTTTGGTGGTATGGTATTTTGAATGGTAGAGAAAACATTGAATGTGTGAATGAGTGAAAAGACCTGGCTCTGGCCCCCACCCCCACGCTGCAGATGTTTCAAATCCGCAAGGATGAGGCTAAAATTCTCCGTCTTGGGAGAACTGAATAATATGGATAAAGTTATGCTTTTCTTTGCGTTACCAACCAGTATACTTAACTAGCAGGTATGAATTAACAATTACATTACTACAGGATATCTATTGCGCTCTGCCTAATCTTATCTTTCATTACCACCAAATCCAGTTGACCACTCCACCTGTAGTATTCGTTTGCAATTGTAATTGTAATGGAAAGCCAGCGCGTACGATCATTTTTTACGATATCACCACTTCTCGAAGACCTTCCTGTATCCAGGGGACCAAAGAATTGCGATTGTGATGGATCCTTTACATATTCGATAGACCCACACGACCCACACGACCCGCGAATGGCGATGAACGTACCTGCTGCAGGGGTGATCTGGAATTCCACCATGTGGCATACCGCACGAGCGATGAGGCTGAATGTGGCAGTGCGGAACTGTGGCGCTGGAGTTGATGCTTGTTTCAGCGAGATTGAATCTTGAAGACGACGTGACGAACACAGAAGTGGTGAGAATTTCATGGTGGACCCTTGACGCGCGGCACTATGTACTAGCTCCCCATTTTCGCTTCTTGGCTTTTCGCTAGAGTTGCCGGTTTTGGATACCTATTGTCGATCGTTCTACTTAGCGATACCCACTGACAATAGCGCGCTGACGTGTAAAGACAAAGCAGAGATCTTTTCGATTTTTAAGTGGCGCGGAAACGAAGTGCAATTGTCCGCCCCGCTCAAAGGCAAAATCCATTTGCACCTCTTGACCCTAATGATGGACCTGACCCCGATTCGATATTTCCCCTCATCTTTAAACCCGCGACATTCCTCGGTTTCTTTGTTCACTATGCTGGCCCATTTCGTGCTCGTGCGATCAGTACTCGGCACCCAAAAACAACATGTCAGACCCCCATAGACTGGGGAATCCCAATGACGTGACAATCGACATCCCCCTACAAAGCCACTCGAGCCGGAATCATGACGACGCAGAAATCTGGAATACGAGCAGCAGTACCAGTGTGCCTTCCAACGAAAACGAGAAGTCCGATATTAAAGGACTTGCAGGACGGCGTCGCACAACCGGCTTCGAAAGCAGCGATAAAGATTCCGAATCGCTAAAAGACGGAACAATCAATCGGATCGGAGAGTTTTATCAGGCGTTCTTCCACTTCTCGATTGTGACTCGATATGCGATTTACGTATTCCCCATTGGTATCTTGATCGCGATTCCGATTATCGTGGGTGCGACGGCGGCACCGAATGCCCACATCGGAGGCGTGCACATTTATTGGTTTTTTACATGGATTGAGATCCTTTGGGTTAGCCTGTGGGGGTGCAAGGTCTTTGCTCAGTATCTCCCTCGCGTGTTTCAGTCCCTGTGTGGTATTGTGAGCTCTGGGACGCGCAAATATGCGCTCATACTGGGTGCTCTGGAAATACCTCTTACTCTGGTCCTATGGAACGTTATCGCATTGGTGACATTCCTGCCTGTAAGTGCCGGACAGCAGAATATATTGCGAAATGCGAAAGACGTTAACCCTCGGTGTACAGATTATGCGTTTTGGAGCTGGAAACAACAGCGATATTTCTAGCTGGGAAAGCAGCATCAAGAACATCCTATTTGGTCTCCTTATTTGTAGCCTGATTTATATGGGTGAAAAGGCCATTGTTCAACTCATCTCCATCAGCTACCACCGCAAACAGTTCGATGCTAAAATCAAGCAGTCAAAGCGTAATGTGCACCTGGTCAATCTGTTATTCGATGCCTCGCGCAAAATGTTTCCTGTTTATTGTCGTGAATTCCTGGAAGAGGATAAGATGATCTTCGACTCCTTTTTTACCCAGGCAACTGACAAGATGGGTGCTAAAAAGAGCAGTATTAATCCTTTGCGTATGGTTCAAAATGTTGGACATAATGTTGGCCGTCTAGGAGATAAGGTTACCAGTGCGTTCGGTAACGTCGCAGCAGAGCTCACTGGAAAGCAAGTGTTCAATCCGAATGCGACACACTCCATTGTGGTTCAAGCACTTGAGCGACAGCGGTGTGCTACTGCAATCGCTCGCCGTATCTGGCTATCTCTGGTAGTTGAAGGCCACGATGCATTATACTTGGAAGATATCGTCGAGGTCTTTGGCCCAGCTCACAAGGAAGAGGCAGAGGAATGTTTCCACGCTCTGGACAAGGACGGCAACGGAGACGTCAGCCTCGATGAGATTATCCTGACTATTACTGAATTCGGTCGTATACGCAAGGCACTGAATCATTCTATGCATGATGTGGACCAAGCTATCCGTGTACTTGACGGGCTGCTCATGGCTATTGCCTCTGTGCTAGGAATCCTGGCTTTCCTGTCTTTTGTGACCAGTGGTCTACATACTATCATCACCGCCGGTGCATCTGCTCTCCTGTCTTTCAGTTTCGCATTCTCCAGCACTGCCGCGGAAGTTCTTGGATCCTGCGTTTTCTTGTTTGTGAAGCATCCTTTCGATATCGGAGATCGTGTGGAGGTCAGCGATAAGCCGTATGTCGTTGAACGTATCTCGCTTCTCTTTACGGTCTTCCGCAACGTGAAAGACCATCGTCTAACGCAAATCCCAAACAATATCTTGAACAACCTTTGGGTTGACAACTTTACGAGGGCAAACGCGATGCATGAACAACTCACTGTATCCTGTTCTTTTGATACCACATTCGCCGAGATCGAAGCGTTACGCGAAGAACTCCAAGTCTTCGTTCGTGATGCAGAGAATAGCCGCGACTTCCAATCAGATATTAACATCGAGATTCTCGGTGTCGGCGAGTCAATGGACAAAGTTCAAATATGCGTCGATATTCGGCATAAATCTAATTGGTCCAACGAAACTGTTCGCGCGACGCGACGCTCAAAGTTCATGTGCGCTTTGATTCTTGCCATGCGCAAACTCAAGATGAGACCTCCCGGTACCACCCGTGACGAAGAGAAGGATGACGAGAACGATGACAATAATGATACCGAAATGGCCAAAAACGAGTACAGCATCGGTGATCTCAAGACGACGCCAGCTGCAGCGGCCGCGGCCGCCGAGATTGTCACCTCCGACATCTCCCCTTCATCAGACGTCATCATAGCTTCCGGAGTTGACCAAACTCCAACCACATCTGGGACACTCAAGCATCGCCCAACGACTAGAGAGAGCGAAGCCGCCATGATCGAAAAACTGAACACCCGTTCATCCGCTTTCGAATCTTCTCGTGAAGACGGTCTCCATCGGAAAGCCAGCAGCAACACCATGGGCTCTGGCCAGAGTCAGCTTTCTTCTCATTCAATTTCCACTGGCCACCGCAAGGCCGGCACCCATGTTCCATACACACAGGAAGACATTCTCAGTATGCAATCATACCCAATGTCGCCGGCGCGTGCAGATGTCGCTGCATCTGGCGTAGACGAGAAATTCGGGTCTGGGGTCTCGAACTCTTTCAACAACTTCAACTATCAGACTCAATCCCAAAGTCTGGATCAACCTCCTATCCTGCCAGACGTCGCGATCAATCAATCTAGCAACGAAATTTTCTCCCAAGAAGATGAACAAGCTATGAGACAAGACTCAAGGTCCTATCACGAGAACACCCTGCAATCCCAACAGACAGAAGCCAAGCAGTCCAGTCGGTCTTCCTCACCGAGTTCAAGGATAGACATCAATGATGTTACCACAGAGGAGCCACGTAGTTTCTGATCTGTATAGCCCGAACAAGAAATCAATTATTCCAAGCTTTGAACATTTGAATGTCCCGGTTTACAGCCCGAACACCACTTTTTTGCATCGATGATCGGACTACCCTAAATTTTATGCTCTACCCCGAAATCGTCTCCCAAGCTATTGATAGCAGAGGAAGAAAGAGAGGCGATAAATAATTTAAGGGTTCCGACTTTATGACGGCATGCAAGGGAATATCGCTAGTTAAGCACTGATGGCTATAGGATACACAGGGGGCCTCTTACCAGAATGTGGGGAGGCTCTCGGTCGGTTACTGTATTACCATCTGCAGGATTGCGGATTAGACATGTGGAAATAGATTTCAATGGCGAGATTTGCTTGGAATCGCCCGGAGTAAGATAGTTTCCACATGAGAATTTCCAAGTGTTCCTACGGGCTCAGAAGCAGCTTGGATGGCTGAACTGGATCTGACCAAGCCGGTTCGGCTCGAACCGTTCCTGGAGACGCTTTACCTTGCCCCACATCGATCTACCGCGTGCTGGGTTATAGGCCAGCCTCATTTCTGACTAGTCTTACTTAGCCTTATAAGTCACCTGATGATGACAACGCAGAGACTCTACCCCTCTTGAAGTTGGGCGTTAGGCAAAATCCTCTTCATATAGAATTTGAAGGACCTACTTATCGATCATGGCCGCTATGGCATCAATGTCATTCCGTGGCGAGAACTATGGGATCCAGATCGGAGATAACAGCGGCTCAGTTCATGCGGAATTCCATCCTCCTCGTAAGGCGCAGTGACTCAAACATCGCCTTCACCCACTAACCTGCGTCCCATCTAGATCGACCGGAAACCCCACCCGGGCCTCTATCAAATGTCCCATTCCCGCGTGACCCAGACTTCGTTCGTCATGATACTCTGCTGGACCAGCTTCATAATAAATCCTTAGTCCCTGGGGCAAGAATCGCGCTGGTCGGCCTCGGCGGTGTCGGGTAAGCGAAGAGCAATTTATTTACTGTTCATTACTCACAACTCAAAGGAAATCACAACTCGCGATCGAATACACCTACCGAGTCTGATGCGAATCTCCGGGAACTTGGATTTTCTGGCTTCATGCAAGTAATGAAACCCGCTTCGAGCAAAGTTTTTGGGAAATTGCCGACGAACTCAAACTCCCCGGGCGTCGGGACCTGGGAGTTAATATATTCCAACTAACGGAGAATTGGCTCTGAGATGAGACGAAAGGAAGATGGATCTGTGTTATTGATAATGTTGATGACGAGTTCCTTTGCTCAACCCTGATGGTGAGAAAAGACAACTAGACGAAAGTGCTAATAAATACCCCTACTAAACTACTGGTAGAATACCTTCCTCGAAGGCCGCATAGATTCACTATTTTAATAAGTCGAAGTCGAGAAATTGCGTTGAAAATGGTCAATGATACAGACCTCATCCACGTTCAGCCAATGGCAAGATCCGAGGCCTTAGACCTCTTCTAAAAGAAAATGGATTAGCCGGAAGACAGCCAAGAGAGCCAACAATTAGTAGAGCTATTAGAATACATACCGCTAGTAATTGTGTAGGCAGCTAGCTATATTCGGAATCGGGCACCTTGCTGTTCAGTAGCACAGTATCTAAGGGATTTCCGAAAGGATCGGTAAGTAACAGAGCTGCTACGAGAAGAGGTCTGTTATATACACTGGGACTGGGAAGCAAAGAATTCTATCTTAGTAATATGGTAAATATTATTTAAGTATATACGCGAAATGAGGCCATCTGTAGCGGACTTGCTTTCACTCATGAGCTTTTGTGACTGATAAGGAATATCCGAGAATCTTGTACGGCCTCACTCTCTAAACATAGTAATATCACCTATAGAGCTCGGTAGTAGCTCTAGTGACTCGGAATTATTGATATCGGATTTTTGCGCTGATTTTGAGCATGATGTGGATATATTAAGAGACTTCTTATTTATATCTACCAGTGAAAACAGTAGTTCATTTATAATACACCGACTTGTGCAACTTTCTACCCGCGCGTGGCTGAAGTCACATGGAGAGGAAGAGTAATGGCAGGAGAGGTTCATCAAGAATTTAGCTAAGGAGTTCCCTAGTGGTGATTATGGAACTTGGGAACAGTACCAGGCTCTTTATCCCCATATTAAATCAGCAATGTTGCAATAGCTAAAGTCTCGGGAATGTCAAACAGAATTATCTGGATTACTCTGTAAAGGCGCCTAGTATACATTTGGATTAGGCTTGTTTGGTGATATGGAGGAGATGGCATCGAAGTCAAAAAAGCAGATAGTGAAATTGTTTGGTCACAGAAGTGAGATAGCTCTTGAGAGCACAGGGATACTAGTAATAGCCTATCAAAACCAAGGCCAGTAGGAAGAAGCCAAGCAGCTAGAGGTACAGGTGATGGAAACAAGCAAGATAAAGCTTGGTGAGGATCATCCTAACACACTGAGAAGTATGTCTAATCTGGCATTAACATACCGGGATCAAGGCCAGTGGAAAGAGGCTGAGGAGCTGGAGGTACAGGTGATGGAGACTCATAAGATAAAGCTTGGCGAGGGTCATCCTAATATACTGATGAGTATGGCCAATCTGGGATCAATATACCAGAATCAAGGCCGGTGGAAAGAGGCCAAGCAGCTAAAGGTACAGGTGGTGGAGGCTTATAAGATGAAGCTTGGCGAGGATCATCCTAATACACTGACGAGTATGGCCAATCTGGCATTGACGTACTGGAATCAAGGCCGGTGGGAAGAGGCCGAGCAGCTAGAGGCACAGGTGATGGAAATAAACAAGTTAAAGCTTGGTGAGGATCATCCCGACATACTGATGAGTATGGCCAATCTGGCATTAACATACCAGAATCAAGGCCGGTGGGAAGAGGCCGAGCAGCTAGGAGTACAGGTGATGGAAACAAGCAAGATGAAGCTTGGTGAGGATCATCCTGACACGCTGAGAAGTATGAGCAACCTAGCTGTGACCCTCTGGTCAGTAGGTCAAGCCAAACCTGCCTTACTTTTATTGGCCGAATGCGCTCGAATGCGCGAGCAAAAACTAGGCCTGGATCATCCGGATACCATATGTTCCAAGTCTGCTCTCGAAAAATGGCGTAGGAAGGAGATTTCCACATCTTCATCCTCTCAATTCTCTCAGGCGTCGACTGAAAGCAAAAAGAACCAAATGCTATCAAATTGCCCAGAAATCTCCGAGCAAGTGCCCAGGCAAGACGGACGCCGTAGGCGCACAATCCTCTCGCGCCTATTTCGGAGGAAGTAGTGCCCTTCTCTCCTACTCCTCTGTAGTGAGGCGTTTCTTGCGGATCCGTTTACTTTCAATCTCACCTTATTAAGCTTGGCCTATATGGTGTTTACTTGGAAACTCCTCTGTCGGAATGCTTGTCAGAGCAGGGTCAGGTGACCCCTCTGGGTATATCCATTGCTTGCTTGCTTGCTTGCTTCTCTCTTTTCCCTTCTTCTTCTTCTTCTTCTCTCCATCCTGTCACATGTCGACACTGCAGGTGTAACATGTCGACAGTCTTTGTCCGTTTTGCTCCATTTCCGAATGGGGTTTAGTTCCTGTTGTCAACCTTAAGGTACTTAAGGTTGGCTTTCTCTTCCTGTTTCCTTTCTCCTTTGCTTTCTCTTTATTTTTCTTGTCTCTGTTTTTCTTGAGTCTGGGACCTTTAGGACAATTTTATTGTTTTCTTGCTTGCTTCCTCACCAATTCTCCCGAGATTGTCCATAGCCAAACCAGTTGCTTTCCTCTCTCCGTTTCCTTCCCCTGAGCAGCGGCTGTATTTCGCTGCCAGCAATGCTAAAGTAACTACATACTCCGCAGTAGTTTAGTCAAGCAGCGAGAAACATTTACCTCGTCCCATCAACCTACTCTATCTACTACTCGAATATTGGTGGTGTAGAAAGCAAAGGAGCTAAATATAGATTCGTTCTTAAAGTAGACTTGTTTATTCCACGTAATATTTGAAATTATCATATTGTTCGTTCCAGTCTGTTTCGCCTTTTATACTATTTATGTCATTCTGATATTCAATGTTGATTAACCAAGTGCCCATGATACGATGAACAATGACCATACATATGTATCAGCCGATAAGGCTTGAACTTCTAGATACAAGCAGGAAGGTGATGTAACATTTGAATGTAGTAATCATACATACGTAAGAACGTACTCCCCCACTACAATATGTATCCAAAAAATAGAAATCACAGAAAAAAATGGTGCATCATGATTCATGTGACCCTGTGCATGTACGTAGATTCAATGTAAAAGGAAGTGCAGCGATTCAACATACAGTGGAGTTGAGGGATTCAACATATAATACAGCGCTACAAATAAGGAACATTTGAAAAGCAGCGATTTAATTTATACCAAGGTTTCAAAAACGCGAATGCACCTTTTGCTGCACGGGCGGAACATTGATTCAGGTCTGCCAGGACCACTCAGAAAAGACCTGAATTGTGGGCCCTAGGTTACCACGACCTTAGATATGACTGTTGTATGTCTGTGTTGTTAGTTATATTTACTTTCAATTCTTCAATCCTATATACTCCATCTCAATACCCTTTCTAGTACATACGACCATAGGGTGTGGAGAACAGGGCTTCCCGTCCGCTCAGCCGTACTTCCGCCACACGCCGGTCAGTTAGTAGTATGGTGGGTGACCACATGCGAATCCTGACTGTTGTATGTTTTTTGTTTTTGAAGTCAAAGCAGTCCCTTTAGAAACATTGAAGGAACGGGCCAATCACTGTTTATGTCTCGCTCTCCCTGGCTGAAATCGTCAATCTGTCTTACCGCGGGCCAATAATTGTTTTTAATGTCCTTGGATATTGCAGTGATGCCATGCTATTCTGATCACCCAACACAACAGGGTGAGTCGTGACTTCTATAACAAATTCAGTAGTAGACGAATGTAAGTATTGTTGGCCGTCTTCGGTACGTGGCACACTAACAGCCACATACTAAAGGCTTGGGAGCGGGGTAGAGCCAACAAAGCAATATGAATCTCTTCATATATTACAAGAAATTTTAACTTACTAAAAGCTAATCATCTGCCTGGATAAGACTATGCAGTATTCGCGCTTTCATTACAGTAACTAAAAATGATGTTCGGCAGAAATCAGGTGCTTGAACGGAATGACATCGAATTATGGCCACGGCGGCTGCTGCACGTCCCGACTATGACATCCTACGAGTGGGAAGATGGGAATAAGTATGGAGGCGACACCGAGCCGAAATTCAACATCTTATCATACACCTGGGGCCGATGGGAGATTCCCGATGGGGCAAGGTTACCTGTTCAGAACGTGACGTGGGATATTCCTGCTATTGACCCAGCGCGCTTCACTGTCCCGCAATTTGAGCATGTTCTCCTTCAAGTGGCTGGGGAAAACTCTTGGGTTTGGCTTGACGTTGCTTGTATTGACCAGATTGACGACCTCGTCAAACTGGACGAGGTTGGCAGGCAAGCAGGCATTTTCAACAATGCGGACGAGTCCTACGTGTGGTTACACGGTACTCCAGAGAAAAAATTGCAATCCGCCATGTCCACCCTCCAACACCTCGCCGATCGGCTCGATGGTGACGAAGTCTCAGAGTACGTGAGTGAATTAGGCAACGTCCCGATTCACTATGGTGCAAGCCCCAGTCAAACACCAGCATGCCTAGATGAACCTGCGTGGCTGGATGCAGTGTTGGCTGTCGTTGAGGAGTTCATACAGGACAAATGGTTCTCGTCTCTCTGGACTCTACAAGAGTGTTTCTTGCGAAAAGATGCCCGCTTTCTTTCACACGAGGGCGTTGAGCCTGTCCGGCCAGGTTTCCAATACTTCGGTCTTCTGAACTTTATTCAAAATCTAGGCGCCATTCAGGATGCGGTCCATGGTCGGCTTGTGAAATTGCGCAGCTCTAGATTGCATGGAGGTGGGGGAAACACCCCGGGCGCGAACAAGACGCAACGCTCGTTTCAGCATCTTCTAGAAGTGCTATCTCCACTCGCCCTGGTCGCCTGGGAGTTCGAGCCGATGATTTACCACGCTGCGGCGCGTCGCATGACAAGACGCCCCGCGGATCGCGTGTATGGGATCATGCAGGTATATGGATTCACTTTGGGAAAAGTCGCAGAGCCCGACCGGGATTTCACGGTCGAGGAACTCGAGGACCAACTCGGGCTAGCTATCAGCAGTCGGTCTTCAGTGATGGGGCAGTACTTTGTCCACGATGTGGAACCAGAGACAGGAAGAGCATGGCGGATATCAAGCAACATGCATGTTCCCGAGCAGATGCGACTGGTTGGTCTAATCCTTGAAGATGAATGCACAATTCGAGCTTCTGGGTCCGGCAGTGCTCCCGTCTTTCAAGGTGGTCGATGCTCTATGGAAGATCTGATAAAAACGTGGGATCAAATGAAGAATTTCATGACCGAGCATTCGGGGATACACCTCTGGGAAGGTGAACCGACGGCGGTTCAATATATTGCTCTGGATGCATGTGCAGAATTGACACGGCTCTTGTCCCTGGATCTATTATACGGGGATGATATGAATGTGGCGACACAGCAGACCCTGGCCTGGGAGCTTGTTCGGGTGTTTGGACAGGACCTGACGGTTCTTCTGTTGGGAAAACTTTACGATCCAAACGGCGATGACGACTCCGCGGATAGCGAATGCGAGAGTACTGAAGTTATGAGTGATTTGGTCGGGTCTATAGGGCTAATTGTGCGCCCAGTTTTAACCACCGGTGGCAAGGGCATGGTATGGCAGCGAATCGGAATATGTATATGGCCTCATATTACTGTTGCAGGTGGCATTGTGGCACCTACTTTTGTAGAGGCTAAACTCACACTTGGTTAGCAACATTTGAATGTTAAAGACTCGGTGGTAGCCAGAACTCTTGGAATCAGGTGGCCCGCGCTTCCTTTGTTTGTTCTAGATAGCAGGCTGCGTCTCTCTTTCGTTCTTCGGATAATCTAACCAGTTAAAACGGCGGACGCCACTCAAAGAATAAGCACTGTTCACAGAAGCAATTAAATTGAGCTCCCAATAGAGCTCCACTTGGACGTAAAATGGCAACACGCCCTGGTGTAACGTGTTTGCCTCCGAACCTTTTCTAGCACAGTTTTAACGAGTAAACTGGCTTGCTCGAAAAGTTCATTTAGTTTCTCAACTTGCAAGAATTCAATTTGAAATTTATCGCTGCTCTCTATCTCCGAGAATGGTCTTTTAACCTATTAAGAGATACCAAAACTTTTTGGCCCGCAAAAGGACCTCGAATGTGAAAAAATCTCTCAATACGCCATTCACAATTCATTGCCCGACCTGATGTGCCTCAAAACAAGCTCTGGCAGAAGACGCGTGTGTTTGGCCATGTTTGGCCCAAGATAGATTTTCTCTGTATTTTGAATTGAAGTATTTTTCTGGCAAGACTTGTCGGATTCGAAAAGAGAAAGTCAATATCATTCGTCGACATCACGAGGGTGGGAGTCCTGGTACTTTGCAAGTTCACGGTCGGTAATTCCCGGAACAGGGTCATATTTGGTCAAGGGAGCGAGTGGAATGCCATGCTCTTTGAATTGCGCCAACTTTTGTTGCGTGAGCTTGTGGGTTTTGTTCACGCTGTAGATCTTGATCCGGTGTGCGGAGGACGTGACATGTAGACCCCAGTTCCAGGCTGCTCGCACATTAAGTGGTTGAGTATTCAAAGAATTGTCCCAACATCTGCACACAATCTCGATCCAACCTTCTACATCGCAGGGAAGATCGATTTCCCATGATCTCCAAGCCCATTTTCCTTTCTTCGATAAATTCTCTTCTGGAACAGCGTACCAACTGAAACCTCCATCGGCTGATAACTCCACACGTTCAGGCCACCGGCCACCACCAGAATAAGCCCAGCCTTTGCAACAGATCTTACCACTATGCATAATCACTTGATTTTGCCATGGCGACATGATAGCAGAGCTTACAGGCATCTCCTGGATCTGGATTCCATCCATGGGGCGTAGGTTATACTTACCCACCTGTTGGTTGAAGTACAGATACTCTCTGCTTTGAACAGGGGCCATGGATGGACTCTTGATGGCCTTGATTCGATACAGCCATTTCACACTGCGAGCTCCAATATATCCCATCACGATCACTCGTAATGGGAATCCGTGAATCTTAGGAAGTCGTTCGCCATTCATCTCCCAGGCAAGAATAACTTCATTACTCTTGACCTTGGACCATGGGACACTGACAACGTAATTACCGACATTGAGGTCTTTCACATAGGTGTCAACGCCATAAAATTCAAGGTGCTTGGCGTTGCTGACCAGCCCTCCACAATCTTTGATCAGCTTTTTGAGACTTATGCCTTTGTATCTCGCAGTGCCGATGGCACCTTCGGCCCACGGTGCCTGGGGAACTTCGTCGCCTTGTCCAGCGTACAAAGAGATCTGCTCAATCCGACGAGTTCCTGAGCATTGCATAGTAATTGTCTTCTCCATCTGTGGAAAAACCGACTCATCCATCAAATCTTTCATCGTATATGTTTTGGGGGATTTGACAAGACCATCGAGTTGTAACTCGAATTTTTTCTCGTCAATAAGCGGGATACCACCGTGATTACGCACAAAGTGAAGCGAGTTGGGAGTAATAGCCTTGTCTGTAACCAATCGTTTGGGTGGCTCTCCGTTGTAGGGAAATTGCAGCAGGTGCAGCATTTCGGGGTGTTTCTCTTTCAGAACCGTCTTCCAGGAATCATCGGGGACTTTAGTTAACTCCCCTCCTATTGCGGCATGCCATGCCTTGAAATCGTCGCCGGGTAACACAGGGTTGGTAGGGGGTATAGGTCCCCATTGATAGTCTGGACAAGGGGCAAAAGTTTGCGATGTCAAAACTTCATGTGCTTTCGCCTTCTTTTCGGGATAAGCCTCCCACTCAACGTATCTGAATTAATTCCGCGACTGATTAGTCGAGGCAAATCTAGCCATACATTCTCATCTCATGGAAGACTGTACCCTGTCCATCCCGGCTTTTCACGGGCAAAAAGTTTACTTCGATCACCAATAGCGCGGATGGCCTTTTCATTTTTTGTGACCGGTTGTTCCTCGGGCGGAGCAACGAAAAAGACGGATTTTCCGCTTTGATCAATGATGGGAAGTTTGTAAGCTGCAAGACCTTGCTCAACCTTCCACTCATCAGGGCGGTTGTTGATCGGCTTTGTATACTTGGTTCGAGTCTCCATAGTGGAACGATGTGTGGACGTTTGGAATAAGAAAATGGGGAATGCTCGAAACAAATGATTTCCAGGTGATCTGTACCAAATTACAATTATTGATCACTGGCTTACTATGTATACATAGGACCTACAGACCGATATTTCAGCCCTTGCTTGTGATATGCAAGCTGGGTAGCGTCTCAATCATTTCTCGTATTTGTCGTACATGGATCTCATTCAATCCCTGTCTTCGCTTTCAATAAAGTTTCTGTACAGCGTCATCTGGCTGATGATTGGGTTCTTTCATGCCACAGAAGCGAGAAGATAACTTGAACTATGTAGTAGGTGGGTAAATATGTCAGATTAGCGTAGTGCGAATCGATAAATAAATTCCCTAAGCAAGTACAAGTGGACTGTGGTGAGTATTGTTCGCGCTGTCAGAAACCCTCAACCCAGAATGATGTACAAGAAGTAGTCAACTGATAAGAAAAGGATGGTGGTACCCATGTTGCCATGCATAACCCTTACCGAATCATCTTCATCCGTCATCGGGCCCGACCGCTCAATCCCTAATTGATTTTTTGATGTCTCAGAAAAACACCCAGTCCCTCCCGGTTCAGACTTGGCACTTTGCGACACGTTTCCTACTTCTTTCACCCACTATAAGTTTATCTTTACTATATAACCAACTCTAAGTAACAATCTAGCACATACGACCATAGGGTGTGGAGAACAGGGCTTCCCGTCCGCTCAGCCGTACTTAAGCCACACGCCGGTCAGTTAGTAGTATGGTGGGTGACCACATGCGAATCCTGACTGTTGTATGTTTTTTGTTTTTCTTCTGTTTCTCTTTCTTTTTGTTTCGTTGTGGAAGTATCCTTGCCACCCTGGGGAATAACCGCAGACTGCGTTTATTAATTGGTCTTTTGACCTAGTTGGATAATCACCCGTCCCCGAGCTGGAGGTTCCTCACACAAGTGACGCAACTACAGCTCTCCGTACATGTAACATTCTACTTCCAAGGCCCTCCAAAGAATAGGCTACACTTACTCCAATTTTACATAATTCTGCTATATATCCAATTCATTTAATTTCTATATGTTCATAAGCTATATGTACACATGAGTCTCTGGCCACGAAACTTACAAATATCCGGAGTCATTCCACGCTAGTACTAGCTGCAACCTCAGTCCGTATTGCAATGACGACCTGCTATCTGTAGTTTTGATTATATAGGGACTAAGTGTTTTTCAATCGTATAGATACTCAAATACAGTATTGATGCAAGATCGCCTTCTTGGCGCTACATCGGAGATTTGTAAGTTTCGTGGCCAGAGACTGTATTGTTTTTGGTCTACATAGTATACTTTAACCCGAACTGGCTATCATGCACACTCTATCTTTTATATAAAAGGAGTGCTTATAGGGAAGCAGCACGCTCGGTAGTTTCTCTAGGTCTCGGGGGCCTCGAGAGCCTATGGGAAGGACCTGCTGAGTCGCCGGACATATTTCTGATCTCGACAAGCTTCTGGTTTCGAAATAATTCTCCAGGAACCTCTGGAAAACGTTGAAGTGAATTGCGTCTTTTTTTTTGAATCCCGAGTCAAAGAAGAAGCTAGGTAGTTGAGATGCAAAGTACCCTGTACGTTTGCGGACCCATTCAGCGAACCTGCCCATTTTCTGGCTAGTGTTAAGGCTGGATGTTCTGATTTGGCTATGACCGCGTTGGACGGGTTCCAAGGTAGGTTGATAGCTGCCCATTAATTCGTTTGCGATCAAAGGCCTGTCGCCACGTATGTCAGAAATTCGCAGCATTTGGGGGGATGCAGGCCCTCGACCCCGTTTTCTCTTAATTCAGTTGGCTTTTTTAATGTGGCAGAGAAAGGCAAGGAGGTATTGGGGTGGAGATTCCCCCGAAACTTTGTCCGAAGGTTCGCAAAATCCGCTGTTGAATTAAGGGTGCTTCGATCTGAATATTCTTCTCGGACTTGGAGCATGATGCTGGGAGCTTTTGGCACCTGCGCCAATAGTGCTTTCGCATCTTGTTCGCGGCCAAGTTTCTTGTAGGTTGATGCAAGATTGATCATGCTAGTCAATGTGTCAGGATGATCTTCGCCGAGGACCCTCTTGCTAATCTCGAGTACTTTTACTTCCAACCGTTCAGCATCCTGCCACTTTCCTTGACTCCGGTATGTTGATGCTAGGTTTCCCATGGTAGTCAATGTTTCGGGGTGCTCTTCTCCAAGCGTCCGCTTGCGAACCTTCAACACTTTCTCGTTCAGGGCTTCAGCGTCCTCGTACCGGTGTTGTTCCAGGTATATAGATGCTAAATTTCCCATGCTGATCAACGTGTGAGGATGATCTTTGGGCAGCCCCTGATGAGCCTCTAGCACTTGTTCTAGAAGTACTTCAGCTTCCTGATAGCGACTTTGATTCCAATAAGTTGTTGCCAGATTGTTCATACTGGTCAGTGTGTCAGGGTGCTTTGGACCAAGGATTCGCTTGCGAGTATCAAGCACTTTCACCTCGAGCGCTACAGCATCCTGCCATCGCTCTTGTTTCTGGTAGGTTGTTGCAAGCTGTGACATTCCGATTAACGTGTCAGGATGTCCAGTGCCATAAAGTCTGGTACGAGTCTCTAGCACATGCACGTTGAGTACCTCGGCGTCCTGCCATCGACCTTGGTTCCAATATGTCGTTGCAAGGTTAGTCATGACGATCAGCGTCCAAGGATGTTCAACACCGAATACCCTCTCATGGGCCTCCAGCACTTGGAAGCCAAGAATTTCCGCATTTTTCCATTGACCTTGATCGCGGTAAGTTGACGCTAGGTTTGCCATGCTATTCAGTGTACGGGGGTGTTCTGCGCCAAAAACCCTCCGACTAGTCTCAAGTACTTGTGTGTGTAGCATCATGGCATCCTGCCATCGTCCCTTCAAGGTGTATGCAAGCCCTAGCATCGCAATGCTATTTAGGGTTTTTAGGTCATCCGGGCCAAATAAGAGGCTGCAGGCTTCCACCCCTTTAATTGCCATGGATTCCATATCGACCCAGTTTCCGCTGTTTCGAGCATACTGTGATCCTTTATGAAGGAGCAGCGCCCATTCCAGCATCGAATGCTCCGACTTTTTATCCGGCTGATGTGACATCGCTGACTTAACGTGTGGAAACAATAACTGACACAGTGGCCAATTCTTATGATCACTGGCCGGGAATTCTCTGTTGAGGTTTCTGATGAATCGTCCCTTCCAAATTTCAAGTTCTTCATGCGCCCTAAGCCATTCCTGCATGGCTAGTTGGACCAGGCGATGCATCTCAAAGGTTTTCCCATTCGGTCCAATAGATATTAAACAGAAGTCTCTCAGTACCAGTATATCATCCTCAAGCATCTCAATAATGTTGGATTCACATGTGCTCTCTGTATCACTGGTATGAGGTGTCTCGTCGATAGCTTTTGTAAATATACCTCCAGGCTGTTGTTTTCCATCTCTGCTCTCTCGAAGTAAAGAACTAGTGAGTCCCTGTCGATCAAAGAAGCTCATAAGAGATAGTAAATTTGCTGCTGATGGTCGTATCTCCTGTATAAAATCGAATGATATCTGCCAGGTACCAAGGATAGAGCTTCTAGCTTCTCGGTCTCTGCGAAGCTGTCTGTATGCACCCTCGTGATTGAGAAGTCTGACCTTCTGGCTGTCACTCTCCCGTAACTTATTCAAATATTGTGGGACTGAAAGTCGAGGTGCCCTTCGGTTGATGTACGCCGCTGCTTGCACAATCGCGAGTGGCATGAATTCCAGTGCTGTTGTGAGTTCAATAATTTCTTCCCTGCTTGCTTCCATTCGAAGCTTCTTCTCGACGAGCATTGTTGCGTGGACTTCATCCATCGGATAAACCAATATGACATCGTTATCTTCCACCACACTTGATACCACGTGTCTGCTCCGACTCGTAATCACTATTACCCCTGTAGAGCTATAGGAGAAGTAATCCCAGATCGACCGCCCTGGCACGCCACTTTCATCACTCCCGAGGCTATTTTGCTCTTTTGGTGGGATTTCATGAAGGAAATGATCATCATCAAGGTTATCAAAGATAAGGACCCATTTCCCATTTTTCTCATCCTGTAGCCAATCATGAAAGAGTTTGAATACGTTCGCCTTAGCATCCTGCCGGCCGTATAGTTTAAGTCGGTCGGCAATCTCACGGCAACTCAGTTCGAAACGGGTTTCGTTACTTGCGTGGATCCAAAAGACCCATGTCTCAGGCGATTGATCTCGAACACGATATGAGTACTCGATGGCAAGTTGTGATTTCCTTCCAATGTGTCAGCACTGACATACTGATTGACCAATTTGTACATACCCAACGCCGCCTAAACCGACAAGGGCTATCCTAGCTCCTGTCATGGAGCTTTTTTCATCGATGCGACTGAGCAATGTTACACGATCAACAAAGTCTGGGTCGCGACGAAATGGGACGTTCGATAAAGGGCTTGGTGGAGTTTCTGGTCGTGCTAGATTAAGGCGGCTTTCAGTCAACTTGACTGGATTAACTTCGAGGTTCGGCGATACTTGCCTGGGGGCAGGTAGAACTGCGAGTTGTTGATAGGGCCATTATTGATCCCAATCTGGAACCCAGAGTTTCCACGGCCAAACCAGTTCTGTGCCATTGTTGAAGCAACTCCACCGGCATTTGTATTCTCGGGGGGAAGTGAGGAGCCTGCCACTTACCTGAGTGCGGGGTATGTGTAATATATGTAGAAGGTTTTGTCTCCTTCTTACGTGGCTTGGTAGATCCCTGCTTCCGTCGAGTATTCAATTAGGGAGCACCTCTAACGCAGGACTGTCGTTCTAAAGCTTTGTGGATATGCAAGCCTATAGATAGTGACAATCGAAGTGGCGAAGGGCAGTGCCAAAGGTGTGATTTAGAGGAGAAGTCGTAATATTATCTAATAATTTAGCATGATTTCAGCCAAGAGGGCCAGTGCGGTGGTCGCGAGACAAGAGTGATTCTCTCCCGCTCTCATCCTGTCTTGCGCACTATCCTTCTCACCTACGTATTCAAATGTTTCTCACCCGGCTGATCCCCCCCAAATTACTAGCCGTCAACTGGTACTTAAGCCACACGCCGGTTAGTCAGTAGTATGGTCACCACATGCAAATCCTGACTGTTGTATGTTTTTGCTTTTGCATTCAAATGCGTGCCTTACAAGTGTTGTTTTTGATTTATCCGTATAATAGCCGTATAGAGTACATAAGCAATAATAATAACGATAGTGGCAACTCAACAAACATGATACTTTCAATCCACAAAAACAGATGGATATAGACACAACAGGCATATTGCACTTTATGCTCCAATACGAGACAAACGGTTCAAGATTCTCCTCCAATGGCTCCTAGATGGCTTAATATCAGCCATCTCCAAATCATTCACCTCATTATAGAGTGGGGGCCTATGATGAGATGTAGCCTGGATCTTGTCCGCGTTCCGCAACAGCTCCGACTCAGAGGGCTGAAAATCAGGGGCCAGAGGGATAGCTCCACATGAGTTTCCATTTTGATGATTTGAGCTTAATTTGTGGTGTTGAAACAGCTCTTGCTGTGCCTGTAAGGCTGCATTCCGCCTCTGCAAATCTTCTATCCGATCTAATTCATCGATATCCTGATTGAAAATAGCCATATAGATCTCAGGGCATTGAGAACTGATACGATCCTGCAGTAGATTTGCCCCCTTCTCCATTAGCTGTCCCGCAATCTTATATGCTTGACTCAACTTAAGAAAGAGTTCCATCACCACGGGCCAATCACATATAGGCGGTTCTTCGTCAATTACGGGATGGATCTTTGATAACAAATCAGAAATTTCTTCATGATGGAGCTTTTCAGTTTCTTCCTTGAAATTGTGAAAGGCTGTCAAATTTTCAAAGACAGAGGTGATTACTTCGTCTGGTTGCATGTGTCTCGGCTTAGGTGTGTTTGATGGTGGAGAGCGGGTGTCGGAATAAGTACCAGATGATGCTACCTGCGACGCCTGGTGTTCGAGAGTTGATTCGGGCATTTTTGACATGAGATCGGTAGCTCTGTATTGCACAATTTGGATTTCAAGACAAGTGTGAAGTTGGTAGGTTGAAGTTGGCGAAGTTGCGAGCATATGATTCAGAAGGGTCTTACTTTCTGTGCTAACCGCTGCCTGAAATAGATTCCGCTGGGGAAGACCCACGGTTGACAGTAGACCTGCACAAATGTGGATAAACAGTGGGAGGTCAGTATGCCTTTTGATGCGCGGCTGAATTATGTGAAAAGACTAATGATGATCATTACTCACCAACTAGTATACACCTGAATTTGTTATTTCCATTTTAGGCGGTGACGAAAGTGTATATGAGTTTTGTGGACCTCTACTGGAGACCTCCCCCTTACATAGAATTACAAAGCGCATGACGAGAACAAGAAATTCCAAGTCGGAGATTTGTTTTCCTGCATCTCCTCGCTTTCCCTGTTCCTCGCTTTCCCTGTTTTCTATCGCGCTATCTCTCCCGACCATGGCTATCTCCACGAATCATATAGACTGGTACCAAAACCAGGTGGTCTTTCTGACCGGCGCAACAGGAAGTTTGGGAGGGTGCTTATTATACAAACTCACCGTCCAGCTTCCTACGGCAAAAATATACATGCTATGCCGAGGCTCCAAACGCCAAGCCATGGAAAAGTGGGAGATTTCCATGCCAGAGCAAGTCGAGGACATATTCGACACCGGCAAAGTCCATTGCCTAATTGGCGACATCACCCAGCCTGACCTCGGGCTAGAAAAGACCGAAATCGAAACACTACAGCGGGAAGTCACAGTGGTGATTCACACAGCCGCCAAGCTATCTTTATTCCAGGAGCTTCCAGCAAGCCTACAAATAAACTGTTTGCCAGTCATATCGTTGGCGCGCATGGTGATGTCCTTTGAAAGAATCAAGGTCTTCTTGCATGTATCGAGCATTTCCACCCAAAGCTTTCTCCCTGGGCCTTCTGTGCTTGAAAAATCTGAAAACATTTCTTGCGATGAAGCATCCCCCGAAATACAGTTGGAGAACATTTTGGCCACGGGCCAATCGCCATATGCAGATCGTTTTATGGCTCCCTACGCACAGGCCAAGTACCTGTCGGAAAAGCTTCTTCTTAATCTACAAACACCTTTCCCGGTACTGCTCGTCCGACCAGCGAGTATTGGCCCAGCGATTCAGGACCCATATCCGTTATATGGGCCAGAAGGCGCGATCCCCACTCACACATTCGCCCGACTTCTCATTGAAGGAGGAAACTACCGCAAATTTGAGGATGTGAATTCAGCCCCCAAAAATCTTATTCTGGACGAAGTTCCAGTAGATATTGTTTCCAACGCATGTCTTCTTCATCTTGCCATCGGCTCGATAGAGATTGTACATGTTGGCTCGCAACTTTATAAGCCGGTGACAATTGAGGGATTCATCGGTCAGCTTCAGCGATATGTGCCAAAAGAAATCACCGAGAAAGTGAACAGACTGCGATTGGCCAAGAATATCAATTTCATCGACCAAGCAGATGAAATGCTCAGCCGTGTTTCTCGAGTGTGGAACATTGATTGTGAACGGTCTAAACCACTCAAAGTTATGGGTGGGCCAATTGGCCTATCCCTTGACGGTCATGACTTTGAAAATTTTGCGCAAAAAAGAATTCAACATCAGGCTAGAAGACTTGAATCATGGGTGGACAGTTTGATGTCTGTATGATCCCAAGTTGAAATTCGAACCCCCTTAGAACATTGAAATACTTCAGTAATGTTCCAACTTCCCAGTATTGTTCGGCATATCTCTGTAGGAACAACTAGATTCGTTTTAAATTCTTGAAAGGATATAGAGTGATTTTGGATGAATAAACAAAGGCAGCTTCATATTCCTACTCTAACTTGATCTACTTGTGAGATAGCTAGCAAGGAATAAGCACCTGACTTAAGAGGTCGGGTATTGAGACAGGCAATCACACATGAATCCCAGAGTACGGCGGCCGATACCCGCCACCCTACTGCTATAATCCAATTTCAATCTCTAATTTCACCGCCCTGTTTCCCGCCCGTATTGTATTTATCACATGCAGGATTTGATCTTTTTACGGGTCACGCTGTATACAGAGTTCAAAAACAAATATGAATTTGGAATTACTCGTAATTTACTTTCTGCCGGTCGAAAAGTTGAAATTGGGCAAATTTAGAAGTTATACCAAGTTATACAAACAAAAAGAAAACTCCGATAGGGGGAATCGAACCCCCGGCTGTCGTGTGAGAGACGACGATGTTAGCCACTACACCATATCGGAGGGAGACAACAAATTACGCTTTTAGGTTTAGTCTTATCACTTTCGGTTTAGCGCTACCGGTCTCTGTGTGTGCCTGTGCGTGGTTGTATATAGCCGCTCAAAGGGTTGAACTCAAACACTTCTCATGTCCACTGACTCTCTTAAGGGCACATTATGGTCGCTTTACCTTCCAAGCCGTTTCATTGGCCAGGCGGTATCCCTACTGTGATTAAAGCGGACCCTAATGGCGATATCACACGCGACGAAATTAATGAGGAGGCCAAAGGGTGGCTACTTTTTGTAGAGGTGAAAAGATGCGATTGCATGATGTATTTGATTTTGTCGCTAAATGATTGTAGGAGAAATGGGTCCCCCGCGACAATGCCAATGTCCCTGACGAGGACGGAGATTACGAAGTTCGCCAACGCCGAAGCTTAGTGGAAACTTGGGCGAAGGCTAGCCAGGAATTCCGCGACGTATGTCTAACGTGCTTTCCTGGTGCAAGACCTTTTATTCTGATAAATGGAGAAAAATTTGTATTTAATAGTACTGACATTGCAGTAGTCATACCACCAAAGAGCCCCAACGAGGGATGCAATATACGGGGCGTCACGGTACCCAAAGAACGCCTTGGAAAATTCCCACCATTCCTATGACACACCAGACCTCATCTGCCTCGCACCACTGGGCCCATCGAACCCAGTCAACAGATCAAAATGGATCAAACTCAACATTCTCGCCTACCGGCTAGACGGAGAAGCAGGGCACTGTATGAACGACATGGGATTCAATCACGGCAGCCTTGATCCCAACCCGACAACCGTCCACGACCTCTCAAATGTGCAGCTAACTGATATACTACCGAGGGCTCTCCTCGAAATGGCAAACTTCGAATACATCGCCATGACCCGCCAAGGGACTGTTCTGTACGTTCGACAAATCAAAAACTGGTTTGTCGTTACGCAAGAAGATCTGGATGCGGGTCTGATTACAACTGTGGACTTTAAGTATAATGGTCAGGTTGATATAGCTGTCCGCCGCAGAGCCTATAACATGTGCCCTGTTTATCAGTACCTCTTCATTGACAGGAAATGTGTGGAGCAAGTTGATAATGATGGCGTGGGGGGCAAAAATTGGATGAATACTGAGTATTTTGACCCGACTGATGTTTGATTGTGCGATTTACTAACTTCCAGCAGCTTGGACATGACTCTCCCTGTGATTGACATCTTGGAGGGGGCAAGTAAGCGCGACGAGTTTGTATTCGGATTTGATGGCGGGAGAGATGGATGGGAGGAAGATATTGGAAGAATTTACGCCCCTGGATATCTAGAGATGGAGGCTGCAGGCATGGAGGCCGACTACGATCATGCTAACTTGATTGAACCTGACGAAGCCTTTGGAGTTCGATCGAGTCTCCCCCTGTGAAAATAGTACCTGCCAGTGCATGTTTGAATAGTCAAGCATAATGTAACGGGGAGCTCTGACCTATTCACACAATGACTCGGACCCTCGTAGGCTTTGAATATCCCAAAGCCCTTTTCACGACTTTACTTCGGCCGTGGGTTCAAAATGTGTTTCTAAATTCCTCTAATTTTGAATGGATGATAATTATATCCGCGTGCATGTGTGCCCTATTCCTTCCTGAACTTTTAGAGCCATTTCCTAGCGGGACGTTGAAGCCATCGGGGGTCAAACAAATGTATATATATATCTTTATAATCCTGCTGATTTGACTAAGTTGAATATGCTGATTCTTTTGGCATTTGAATTATTAATAAATATTAAGATTTGGGTGTGTTGCATAAATGAAAAAAACCCCTTATTTGAAGTTATGCATCTTGGGATCCACTCATGGGGGCCCATGGGAAACCCATGGTTTGCTGACTAAGACCCATGGTTTTAGCCCCCGGGTATCGGCCGCCGTAACCAGGAACGCTCTTTGTCTTCAATTCAATACCTTAGTTCTTCACTGCTTCTTGTATTTAGCCCGAAGATGATCAACCGCCAGAGTAGCCAGAGATCCAACCGTTCCCGCCTTCGATATCTCCGCCAAGCTAATTTCCAGCCCCAGATTGCGACGTATCCATCCTCGAATTTCGATTGACATGAGAGAATCAACCACAATATTAGCTATCTGCTCATCATCCATATCCTTCGCAGTAGCCATGTGCTGTGTGATCAGCTTACCCATCTCACGACGGATAAGTGCTTCAGTCTCAGGGTCATCCAGGATAGCGGGATCCCCCTCAGCCTGGGCAATAAGCGTCCTGAGATGATCACTTTGTGGCTGTGCAGTGGAATCCTTGGTAGATTTGATGTTGTGGTGAAGGGAGTATCGACCTTCAGCTTCCCAAGTAGGACGGAGGCATGAATCGGGGCTTTGGGAGGCAGTCAAGCCAATAATTACCAATGCATTCTGGTCGTTGCTCTTCACAGCTGAACGAGAGATCGCTGATTTTAATCCTTCTATGACTTCACTCTCGTCTAGGAGATGTGACCCTATTGCACGTGCAGCGTGCAAAATCTCCGGGCTCCGGCTGACAATTCCAACATCTTCAACCGGTCCTAGCGCGATTGCAGAAGATGCTAGACCCAGATTGCGACGATATTGGGTGAAACTATCAAGGAAGGTATTTGCGGCAGAATAGTTGATCTGGCCAGTATTTCCGACGACGCCTGTAAGCGAACTGAACACAACGAAGAAATCCAGGTTTTCCTTTTCAACTGCGCGGTGGAGATTCCAGGTTCCGGTCACTTTCGGGGCAAGGCAAGAAGTCCAATCATCGAAATTCATGTTTTCGAATGTACGATCCTGATTATTTGTTAGTGTATACGTCCAATTATGATCCGCAATAGGTATCCTTACACTTAGCTTCACCGATAACTGCATAACGCCTCCCAGTGGCTTGATGCAGCTGGCAACAGCATTCTGAACATCAGAAAGCTCAACCACACTACCTCTCACGACTGTGACATGACACCCCTGGGTCTCAAGCTCTCGTGTGAAGGCTTGGTCATCTTCTGTTTCTCCGGCAGACCGAGACAGAAACACTAGGTAACGTGCTCCGTTTTCAACCATCCAAGTGGATATAGCTCGACCCATGCCGCCCAGTCCGCCCACCAACAGGTACGAGACCTGTGATGAGAACGAAGTGACAGGAACAGATTGAGAAAGATCAAGATCTTGAATGTTCTCTGGGATGTCGATCACGATCTTACCCATATGGACACCTTGTTGCATAAATCTGAATGCATCCGTCGTCTGATTAGCAGGGAATGATCTCACTGGTCGAATCGGCTTGATCTTTCTCTGCTCAAATAGCTCCATGGCATGTGTGAATATCCTTGTCGCAAATTCAGGGCTTTCTTCAGCCAGGCTCAAAAGATCCACACCGTAGAAAGCTCTATTTCCGGCAAAGGGTGACATGCTCAACGTTCCGTTGGTGAGAAAGTCACGCTTTCCCAACTCTATCATCTTACCTCTACTTGCAACACATTGCCATGAAGTATGTAACAGCTCACCAGCCAGTGAGTTAAGAACAACATCAGCCCCACGTCCATTGGTCTCGCGCATGAGTTCAGGTAGGAATGTGTTGTTTCGAGAGTTAAAAATACGATTCCGAGGAATTCCAAACTCTGTCATGAGGTATTGAACCTTCTCCTCACTACCTACGGTAGCAAATATCTATCAAGTGTTAACTTCCAGTCCTCATTTTAGCATGGTTGTTTGAAGAGCTCACCTCTGCGCCAATGTTCTTGCAAATCTGAATACTGGCTAGACCAACTCCACCGCAGGCCGAATGAATCAAAACGCTCTGTGTGGTAGATACAAAAGTCAGTTTTGCTAGTATTTAAGCCAACAAGTCTGTACCTACCTGGTCTTTTTGAAGATTTGCCACTTCAATAAGGGCATAAATTGCTGTGGTGTATACTGCTGGCAGACTGGCTGCGTCGATGAGCGAGATCTCATCGGGACAGGGGCTGCAGCGCTTTGAGCTTATCACAATCCTTGTTTTCAAAATTCCCTTGTAGAATAAAATCACACGATCACCAGGAGAAGGACCCTTCACGCCCAGTCCTACACGTCGAACCACACCGCTGCCCTCGAACCCGAGCTGCTCTTTGTGCCCAACAAGACCCATAGCCACCATGAGATCCTGTCAATGGGTTAGCAAGTTTGAAAGTATACTTCTGGTACTGGGCTTACTGACTCGGAAATTAAGGCCAATATGCTTCATGTCAATCTCGACCTGGTCATCTTCCAAACTCTCTTCCGGGCAATGGGTCCAATGGATACTATCAAGAAGACCAACCGACCCGATATCAAGCTTTCGCACACTTCTCTCGGTCACCTCGGGTAAGTTCGCTTCAGCTCCACTCGATGGGCCCCAATGACATCTCCCAATATGAACACTGCCTTGGTAGTATGAAAACTCGTACTCGGGATTTGGGAAATCCGCTTCTCGCGAACTTGTTATCTTGTCATATACGGAGCACAGAGATCTTATGGCGCTTGCGTCCAAGATGTCAGTCTCAAAAATCGAAATGTCAATACCCAATTCGCGTCGAAGAGTCCGAGAAAACCCCAAAATGAGGCCGTATCGTGGATCCCGGCAGGCCATTTGTGATGAACGAGTGACCCAGATCATTCGATTCCTTGTGGCTTTCAGCATGTATTCCTGCAATTGAGTAAACGATCCTTCTTCTAGTCTGTGGAGAAAGGGTTCATCGGTATCCAATAAAAATATCAGATCCTGGTCGGTCGGTGGACACCCCCCTATAGTGTCCCACTCCACCAGGTGGCCGTTTTTACTTAGTTGTGATGCGAAATCCGCGGCCCAGTTATTTGGGTTCGTGTTCAAGACGAGAGAAACGTTTCTTTTTGCAGGGCTATCAGCCGCAGCGATTCCGGAAATCATAGTGAAAGTATGTTGGAAAGGCGGTTCCAAGTCGTTTGCAAAGGCCTCGCTTCCGGTGAAACCCGCAGCTTGGAGCTCACGATCCCATCTTTCGGGGGAAACGTATGGTTTATCAGCTCTTTGGTCATCTTTACCAATCCACCATCCAGGTAAGGTCCCCTAAAATTAGGTCAGCTACTAATTCATTCGCTTTGAGGTAGTAAACCGCAGAACAAAATACCATGATGTAAGAGGTGATTTGGATTACTGCTTATTTATTAGTAAGATGGAATTGCGAAGTTGAGATAAAGTGGCCCACCTGGAGACATCTCCTGTAGTAGCAATTTCCCGTTGGGTGCCAAGAGGCTATGCACATTTCGCAGAGTTGCGTTGAGGGATGGTGTTGCGTGGAGAACCTAGAATGGCATTAGTTGCTTATCTCCAGACACTTCGCAGACACGTTGGCAGACACGTACGTTCGAAGCAATGACAAGGTCAAATGAATGAGTTTCAAACCCCTGCTCTTTAACATCACGCGAGATATCAAGTACCTTGAACTCAATATTCTGATTTTCAGCGAATTCTTCTTGTGCAGAAATTGTGAATCCAGGAGATATATCGGTGAACACATATTTTGAGTAAAGACAAACACCTTCTTTCGATTTGAAGCTCCGAAGGACGCGCCTGGTCGCACAACCTGTTCCTGCACCGACTTCCAAGATTCTTAACAATGGGTTTGTGCTACCAAGAAGCTGAAGGTATTCGGTCAACATAGAAACTGAATCCAGGGTGTCATAGTATTTCCGTAGCCTATCATCTTCCATCAGAGTCTCTATCGATGATTTGGTCCCTGATACAAGGGCAACGCAGTTGTCAAGAACTGCCTGGGGGGCATGAGCAAGATTGGAACGACTTTCATGATTCTCATATTTCAAAAAGAAATCTTGAATAACTGTCATTCGGTCATCCTGGCTCAGTGGAATTGGAATGCACTCTGAACCCTGAGAGAGTTTGTTGTGTGTCCCAGACAGGATTCTGCCAGCTTCTTTGGTAAGCCAGTTTTTATAATTGACCATATGTAGCTCTTTCGGTGTAGATGAAGCTACCCGAGAAGCTGTCTCGAGGATGTAAGCAAGAGTGACTCGAGACACGTCATGGAAATATTCTTTTTCTTCCGGTGAAGGAGTCGGTGTAGTTAGCCATGAGGCGGCTGGTGTGAAATCAATGTCTGGTGTCCACCTTATTTCCGACATAAGGGAGGTATGGTTATTCACTGGTTGATCCTGCACAGTGAAGAACGTAGCTTGATCGAGCGATAACAAGGTAGCTCCACCTGCCATCAAAGACGACGTTCCAAACAGTACCCCAGTCTCGTTCTGGGCCATCTGGCTCTCTATCTGCATCTCCGAAGCGTGGCCAGCAATATAAACATGACCGATGGCGGCAGGGATCGCAAATCGGTCAATGCAGCGTGCGACTCCATTTGCCGTCGCAACGCTGAGCAGTTGCAATGTTTGGTCAATCACAATGGGATGCATGGTGTATCTGCTGGAGTACTCCGTCGGGTCGATTACTGTTGCATTGGCTATTCGCTCGACTGGATGGGCAAATATTTCCTTTAGGCCACGAAAACTCGGACCATAACTCACACCGTATTTGCTCAGACGTCGGTACCATTGATCAGCGTTGACAGCACGAATATTTCTCTTTATCTCTTTCATAGGCGGCGGGTAGTCATAGCCAGATCTGACTTGCCCTTGACAGTGTTTGGTCCAGCCTGTTCCATCAAATGCCGTCACTGTAAATGCATACCATTCTGATTCAGCCGAGTCATTGTACTTCACTCGCCGGAGCGTAGTAAATATCTCAACTTCTTGCTCATCTCGCATCAGAAGCGGTGACTTTAACGACAGGTTTTTGATTGAATAGTCCTCTTTGCCGGGAAAAAGCTGCTGAATTGCTTCTCCTGCCATTGAAATGTACCCAGCGGCAGGGAACATGATATTTCCCTGTAATACATGATCCCATATCCATGGGACATTCTGAAGACGAAGTATATTTCTCCACGACGGTTCCAAATCGGAGGACTCGGTGACTCGGGTGCCGAGGATTTCATGGTGAGGTGACTTCTGTTGTCGCCACTCACTTGCTAGTCGACTTTCATGCCAATGGCGAGACTTATGAAGCCAGGGGTATGTGGGTAAATTTGTCAAGGTCTGTCCTTTGCCGTTTGCTGCTGAGAAATCAATGATTCCACCGTTCGTATGGATGCAACCTAGCGTATGGAGTAGCTGGGATCGTGAATCATCGACATAGCGTGTCATTGTGGGGATGTAAACCGGGTCTTTCTTGGGCGCAACAGACTTGAAAATTTGACGAAGGGGGCCTGCAAGTGCAGAGTGTGGACCAATCTCCAAGAATATGAGACCTTGGTCTGCATTTTTGAATGTGGATTTTATGGCATCGGAAAAGAGGACAGGAGATTGAAGGTTCTGGCGCCAGTACGCTGCGTCAAGGTCCCGAGGATCGGTCATTTTCGCTGAGTTGACACTGGAAAACAAAGGGAGCATGCTTGAGTTGAACTCGATGCGATTTTTGAGTGAGGGCTCGTAAGAGATGCCGACCTCAAGCATATGGTCTGATAGGTTGTATGAATGGTTAGTGTACTCTCAGTGTTATTCCAAGGGTAAAATTGGCTTACGCGAATGGTAGGCAGTTTTAACTCGTAGAGGTCGGCACAAGGTATCTGGAAAGTCGTTCTTTACTTTGGCGGTGATGCGTCGGATCACTTCAATATCACCTGATAAAGTGATGTTTTCGGGGCTGTTTTCGCAGGCCAGAACTGCGCCATCTTCCATGTACGGTGAAATCGACTCGCGCCCAAGGCCAATTGCCACCATTGCACCCTTTCCATCTTGACCTTCAATTGCTTTTCCTCGATAGTAGGCAATAATCACTGCTGAATTTGCTGTGATTGCTCCTGCTGCATATGCTGCTGCGATTTCTCCACTGGAATGACCAACGACGGATGACGGCTGAACCCCCATCCGACGGAGAATGTTCACAATCCCAATTTGAACAGCAGTGCAGAGTGGTTGCGAGTAGGCAGCGTGGCTGACACGGCTATTGCTGACCTTGGCGAGCTCATCTATAATTTCTATAAGAATCATTCATGCGTCATGATCGCGATTGGGGTAGTAGACCTACCTTGTAAAGACCAATCTGGAGAGTCTTCCAGCTCTTGGAGTGCACTATCCATATCTTGAATATCTTTTCGAAAGCTCTCAAACGTATCCATCAGGTCCTTTCCCATTCCTGGCCATTGGGCACCTTGACCTGTGAAGACGAATACCAAGTCCGCTGGCTTTTCTTGGCTGCTTTGAAAGGCCGATGTATCAATTGGCTTGCTTGCTGTCGCAACAGCAAAAGCACGATGCGACATGTGCTGCCGTCGCTCACCTAGAGTATACGCTAAATCGAGAAGCAGGTCTGGGTGTTCATTTGCATAACGAATTACTTCTTGGATTCGCTGCTGCAACGAGTCATGGCACATTGCAGAAACAACAAGAAGATGCGACTTCTCACTGATCGGGTTTCCAGAATCTTGTGGATTGGATGCTTGACTGCAGTAAGCAGCCATAGACTCCATTATCACATGTGCATTGGCTCCACCGATTCCAAAACAGTTGACGCTGACTCTTTCTTTGCGGTCCTTTGGCCATGCTATCATGTCTGTTGGGACCTGAATATTGGCTTGTTTGAATGGAATGTTGGGATTTGGCGAGTCAAAGAAGATGTTCGGCGGGATTTGTTTGTTTTCGAGAGCCAGGGCAGCCTTGATGACACTGGTAACTCCGGAGGCCCCCTCAGAGTGACCGACATTGGGTTTGACCTAGCATTTTGTTCAGTATTTTCACGGAATAAAGATGGTCTGTTTAACTCACAGAGCCAACAATTGTGCCTTTTTCTTCAAATATCTTTGCAACAACAGAGGTTTCCGCTGTATCTCCGGCGATCGTTCCGGTTCCGTGGCATTCAAAGAAAGCTGTCTGTGTGATATCGGCTATTTTTGCCTTTGCATAAGCCTTCCTAATGAGGCGCTCTTGAGAGATGGAGCCTGGTGTTGTTATACTCGGCGTGTGTCCATCGCAGTTGGTCGACGTCGCACGGATAACCCCTCTCACTGGATCTTTGTTTTTTATGGCATCTCTGAGAGGTTTGATGTATATCGCATTGATCGCCTCACCTCTTCCATATCCATCTGCTTTCTCATCAAAGGTCCGACACATTCCGCTGGGAGATAAAACCATGTTGTCTGACATAGTCGTCGTCATGGTTGGGGAAAATATCAAGTTTGTTCCACCAACAATCGCCGAAGAACACTCTCCAGAGTAAATTGCCTGACAGGCTTCATGTAAACCAACAAGGGATGATGAGCACCCAGTCTGAAGAGTCATGCTACATGAACGAGCTTTATTAGTAACAATTTACAGCCGAATCTAGAAATAGTGCATTGCCTTACCTGGGACCTTGAAAGTCATACTCATAAGAAACACGGTTTGACAAGGCAAATTGACCCGTTCCCAGCACATGGTAACGGTCAGTGTTCTGAGGATCTTTACTAGCCAGTTCAAGCCAATCTTCGCCATAAACACCAACAAAGCATCCAATCTCCTTACCCCGCCAATTCGTCTCGCCGGCACTCTCAAGGCACTCCCAGACAACTTCCATCAGCTGTCGCTGCTGTGGGTCCATTCTCTCTGCCTCATAAGGCAAAATCGAGAAGAAATCCGCATCAAAATAGGCGGGATCATCTTGAAGGAAGTACCCCTTTCTGGTCTTCACAAAATGAGGCTTCGACTCGCTGTAAAAGGAGTCCAATTTGTATCTAGTTTCCGGGACTTCGCATAGTCCGTCTCTTTTTTCGATCAAAAATTTCCAAAATTCTTCAGGTGAGTTTACACCTCCTGGGAGCCGTAGACCCATACCCACAATTGCAATTGGCTCACAAGGACCCGATCTCGGGCTCTCGACAGCTTCCAGTAAATTAAATCCATATTCGTTGGTTCCAGAGTCCTTGCAAAGTGAATTGTGGTTGATCGTCAGAGTTGGATCTTCGCTATTAAGGGACTCGGATTTCTTGCTGCGCTCCTTTCTGTTTTCCTGATTGGCTTGCAGAATCTCCATTGCAGCGAGTGGGTCTGCAGGAAGTGACATGGTAACGTGACTCGCCCTATGTTTACTGTGTTTAGTCGTTAACTATAAGTAAATTGACTGAACTAGAATTAAACTCAAGCTGTCGAGATTGTTAGCAGCTTAAGTATTGTCAACCAGTCTTAAGATCGATCTCTTGCACAGCACCGCGTCCATGTAAGGAGTCACCTGGAAGCTGTAAGGGGAAAGAAAGTGTCTCTTTAGCACAAATTTAGTAAAAATATCGGTGAGGCATAAGTCAATGCCTCTTTGGAGATTAGATTTGAATGAAATATGGAGGATGGGAAACCTGAAATATGGAAGATGGGGAACAAAACGAATGCGACAATGTATAGCGAACACGATTCCCGAGGTCGGACATGGCATCGCTGGCAGCTGCATTGTTCCAAATCAATATTTTCCTCCAGCCTCACATTAAATTTTCAGCATGTCTATGCATAATGCGGAGTTTCTCGTATTGGCGCTTCCAAGTTCTTTGATAAATGTTGAAATCTCTTCGAATCTTGTTTTCTCTCATAATGCGAATTTTCGGCGGTTTGTCCACCGTCGGGACTCGGGAGTCTTGGAAGTTGGTATGCTACATTCCGATTGACTCCCAAGGTGGAATGTTACCCTTGCAATCTTATGTTTGGAAATAAATACACGCGACATGGTAGGTCAATTGTGAACTCCTAATTGCTCTCGCACGTCTCAGCTATCCGAGCACCCGTTTGCACTATTTTTTGTCTCTGTTGCCCGCCATTAACAACACACCATGCTCCTCAAAACCATCCTCGTTCTCGCCACTGCCACCATTGGCAATGTTCTAGCCATAACAAATAGCCAACAGACTGTTGATAATATCAACGCGTTGACTAAAAAGACTCAAATCGCAAAGCAGGCATTGGAAAACTACAATGGAGGCATCTCTGGTGGCTTATTGATTGCCAGGGCCATTTATAATGCCCACAGCTCTGCAGTGGCAGCGCGAAACAGCATGGGCAGCTCCGACCCATTTTCTGGCGAAGATAGTGATCTGACATTGGACGCATACAACCAATTCACTCCCGTGCTTCTCAGTGCTTTGGAAGTCGCGCAAGTTAAGGTACGAAGGCATAGAATCCGGCAGTCTCGCATTTTCAAAACTGACGTATACTTGTGCTGCGTGCATCAGGCGCCTCTGGTTAAGAATTCAGGGCTTGCATACCCGGCTCAAGGCATGATCAGCAATCTCTATAATGAAAAGAGCAGATTTGAAGAAGCGATGCATGGCCAATTGTCCAACGAACATTCTCTCATGATCAAACCGTCGGTGGATCAGATAGACAGAGAATTCAAGAAAACTCTGGATTCATTCAGCGACTAGCCCAATCAGCTAAGATGTAAATCGCGCACGGAGCTATGGGGGAATTGTCAGTTGCATGTTGGTGTTGGTGTTGGTGTTGAGCGTTGTTTTAGGTTAGCTGGATTTTGGATATTCCAGCTGCATGTATTATGTATGCATTTTTCTCAATGGCGTTAAACTTGGAATTTAATGTTTGATTGTAAGGAAAAAAAATTGGGGAAATGGCAAAAGAGAGAAAAGAGAAAAAAAAGAAATCAGAAGCTCCCACGCCGGGAATTGAACCCGGGCCGGCCCGGTGAAAGCGGGCAATCCTAACCACTAGACCACATGGGATGATCGATGCTAATGTCAGCAATCTTTGCAATATTATCATGTACCAAGAAGCTTCAGAACCAATCCCCTCCAGATGTCGGAATATAATGAAAAATTGCAGTATGCTTTGGAATTATTCTCACTCGCACAAATATCAATGTTGTCAAAGATTCAACCTTGGAAATTCTCAAGAGCTTCAGGTGTCTTGAATATTAATGTAGTTAAACCCCAGTTCATCGGCTGAACTGATAGGTCAAAAATAAAAGCAAGGTATATTGATACCGGCGGCCAAGTTAAATCTGCTTTAATTGATTCCTCACTATTTCGTCTTCCATCCACGGGTAGCCCTAGACCATAATAATTTTTCAACCTAGGCCGCGTGTAGTCTTATCTGGGTCGATACCGATAAGCAGCTGAGTGAATGAAGCTCATGGCTCAGCCCCATAGTGATAAGGGTGGCTTGGAGGATAAGCTAGAGGTTCAAAAACTCGAAAGTGCTCAGATGTAGTCGAGCGAGCAGCTGATCTGGCGTGGCGTACCGCTGCGCTGTTCCACTCTCTTGGGATAGGCCAGAATTGAATTTCCATATGAGCAGTGCGGTACCCTTCAATCTCATCGAGTAGGAGCTCCCAAAGGTCCCGATTCTCAACTGGCAATCCTTCAGTTGTCTGCCAGCCATTGTTGACCCAGCCCCAGACCCGGCTGGTGATACCCAGAATCACGTATTCGGAATCAGTTGCTATGACCATACTGTTGAATCCCCCCTCGGTCCAGTCCTTGTATTGTAAAGCCCCAATTACGGCACGCAGCTCTGCGCGATTGCTTGTTTGCACCTGTCTATCCCAATTAGGTCCTCTTCTTTCGAGATGAAATCTGCCATAGCCCGCTAACCATAGTGTGGCATGAAGTCCGAACACAAAGGAGCAACCTGCGCTTGGAATCCCACGGGCATCCCTATGGCACAAACCAGTCGTGAATATGAGGAATTGGTGAATGTTGGTTCGATTAATAAAGCGCCGCAGGTTTTGTGTGTGTACAGATCCGACCACAGGTAGGAAAAGGGATTGCCATGTTTGCCGTTCAACTGGGAGAGTGAAAATCGTAGGGGCAGTAGAGGGGATTTGCGTAGTGCTAGCATTGCCGGAACAGGAAGAGGTCATGTTGAATTGGTACCACAGGTCGAAAAATGATTGTCCAGTAAAGCAACGGCTGTGGGTAGACTACCTATCTGGAAGAAGAGAATTCTCCCGAAACATAACTCGAGCTTGGCTTTTTGGTATGACGCAGGAGGATGAACAATTCCGTTCTTCAGGAAGCAATTGGTGAATACAGGTCGCCTTGGGCGCTGTATCCTTGCACATAAAGCGACTAGGCAGATAGTGTATCAGTCAAAGGCATCTTGAAGAACCAAGGCAAATCACTTATCACTTGCTCACTTCTTGATGTGTATGCCTCCACGGACTTTGGGTCTAGGTGAAATACGGGGCAGCGAAGAGTTCACAATCGGGGCAGGGGAGAAGAGTACATAGAGAGGAGAGAGGGGAGAGGAGAGATGGGAGGGGAGGAGAGAGGGGAGGAGAGAGAAGAGGAAGACAAATAGTTCTGCATACTAAACACGAAGAGCAACGCTCACTAAACGAGCCTTTCTAGAACAACTAAAATATATTGCTATACCCATTTACCATAAAGTAATCTACTACTCATCTGGCCAGGTTTATGCCTCCCTTCCAAGGTTAAAAGAGTCAATAAACAAATTTTGCCAAACACAACGCATGCTTGTCGACCCATGAATTAGCAACCAATTCAAAAAAAAAAAACAAGGAAATACGATTGAGACAGAAATAATTGAAGCCCAAATCACCATCAATAGTTATATTGCTAAAGCATACTAATACTCAGAAGAGAACAGCTGCTCCTTACCATGTCTAAAGCGATGAAATTGACATTCTTGGGATCTAGTAGCCTCGAAAGGTCGAAGCAATATGCATATCAAGCTGTGCATCAATCCCATTGCCACGCCAACTCTCTTTTCCTGCGCATCACTCGCGAGGTCTTCGCCTATGAAATCTTTCTACTTTATTCCTCCACCTCGCGCACACCTTTCTAATTCTCTCATTCTCCCGCACGCGCTCTCTCCATAACAGACAAGATCTAGCTCAAGGACACTTGTACTATGGAATTGGTGAGTTCCCTCTTAAGGCTGGTGGCATCATGATGCAATTTATTTCTACCTCCATCCCCTCCCCCACTATATCCATGGATATGCATGTGCCTTTCCAGTAAAATCTCTAAACGCCATAAATGTCAATTCCTATCTGTCGAGGCCAAAGTGTACACGATTGACTATGGTCCATGGCCTCATGTGTGTATATCGATTCCCTTTCCTCTATATCTTTGTGTTCCTTCAATCATATCGCCATTCTGATAACACTTTTTTTTGGTTCCTAGCTCGCGCTAGCAAGTGATATATCTTCTATATGACTTATCTCCGTCATGACGCTTATTCGAGCTCAATGGTGCCAGGGGGCTTGGAGGTCCTAGAAGATGATGTCAGCTGAAGACTCAACACCGACTGAGTCAAAGGCTTTTACTTACAAGTCGTAGACAACACGGGCCACACCGTCGACCTGGTTGCAGATAGTGCGCGAAACATCCTGTAGTAAACAAATCAGTATAGGAACAAGTATTGTTGGGCCTGTCGGGAGAAGGAATGGAGCATATTTGAGTTCGTGGAATAGAACCAAATCCGGGTAGAGCCCGTGGTATAATCAAGACTTTACTCACCGCGAGGAAAGAGCTCTTGAAGTCGTAAACCTCGGCGCTCATGAAGTCCTTGGTTTGAACGGCACGGAGGATGATGATGTATCCCCAAACGCGCTGATCACCGAAGACACCGACACTGCGGTTAGTATCAAGACCAGCAAAGGCTTGAGAGATCTAGGAAAGGGTTAGCTTGCACCGGGCTTTGCCATGGTTAATATGATCCGACTCACCTCGTTGTAGAGGCCAGCCTCCTTGATCTTGGTGATGAAGATGTGATCGGCCTGGCGGGCGATCTCGACGCGCTCCTTGGTAACGTCACCGAGAATACGGATGGCAATACCGGGACCAGGGAAGGGGTGACGGTTAACCAGGGACTCGTGGATACCGAGCTTGCGGCCAATTGCCTACACTGCTTAGTATATTTGAAGAAAATATCAACCGTATCAGGTTCAACTTACCCGCACTTCATCCTTGAACAGGAGTCTCAGGGGCTCAATAAGCTATAATTGAAGTATCATCAGTATTGTGTGCTTTGATGACGAGGTGGAAATTGTACTTACACGCAAACCTTGCTAAACGAGCCATGTGGATTAGTAAGTTAACAAAAGGATGCCAGTCTAGTTCGACTTACGCCATTCATCATACGCTATATGCTGATTAGTTAAGATGCTCTTGTGTTAGGGTGTGATATTGCTTACCTCGGGCAGACCGCCAACGTTGTGGTGAGCTATCTCTCATGTCAGTTTTTGTCCGTTATTTTTGTCCGACGTCGCGGCGCAGTCTTCTGCCTCAAGGGCTCTGTAGGCTGGCTTACTCTTGATAGTGGCCGAAGGTCCACGGAAGCTCAAGGATTCGATACTGGAATGTTATTAGTTAAGACCCAGCAATTTCCCCTCATGTCAACTTACACATCAGGGTACAGGGTTCCCTGCAAGAACCACTCGACCTTTCCAGAGTTGGGGGTATTCTCTGCCTCCTTCTCGATCTATCAAAACTTGTTAGCCGGACTGATAAATACTTTCAGATAAGGGTAAACATACTCTGATAGCCTCTTGCTCGAAAAGATCGATGACTTTGAAATAGTCAGTATCCAGTCAATAAGCCAAATTTGAAGATACGCACAAGTAGATCCAATGATCTTTCGCTTCTTCTCGGGGTCAGCAACACCCTCAAGACGGCTCAAGAACAACTCGCCAGCCTCGACAACTGTGAGGTTAATTCCAAGGTGCTCTCCGAGAGTAGCCTTGACCTGCTCGCACTCGTTGAGACGCATGCATCCAGTGTCGATGAGAATGGCCTTGAAGCGGTCGCCAATGGCCTCACGCATAAGGGCAGCTCCCACAGTGCTGTCCACACCACCGCTGACAGCACCAAGGACAAGGGCCTTGTCACCAACAAGCTCACGGATGCGAGCAATCTCGAGCTCAGCAAAGTCACCCATTTTCCAGTTCGCTTGAGCTCCGCAGATGTCAACACTGAAGTTGCGGAGGAGATCGACTCCGCGGGGTGTCTAGATAGAGATGTCAGAGGGAGTTGTACTGCAATTTTTCGGGGGTGACGAACGTGTTCGAGCTCAGGGTGGAATTGGACACCTAAAATCAAATTGCGTTAGCATTTCCTCAATGGTTCACCAAAAGCTTGAACGGAAACATACCAAAGATGGGCTTCTCCTTGTGAGCAATACCGGCGTATTCAGAGTTCTTAGTGGAAGCAATGACCACAAAGTCCTATTGGGGTCAATAACAATCCCTCGGAAAAAGCAGCTGGTTTATCTCACAGTAGGCAAGCTGACCAGCTTATCGAAGTGGGACATGAACACGGAAATTGCGTCTCCCAAGCCAGCGAAGAGGCGGTCGACGTGGCCATTGACGTTGGTGATCTTGACATCGGCTTGGCCGTACTCTAAAAGGGAAGGGTCAGAGGTAATTTCAGATGAAGATTCAAAGGTGACAAACCTCGTGCGGCTCCGCGGGCAACGTTCTTGGAGTCGATGCGCCAGGCGATCTCCTGGCAACCATAGCTGAATGGATTGGATTAGTGTCATAGCAGCGCCGATATATCGAGACAAGTCATACCAAATACCCCTATACATTCCGCGTTAGTCAAATTTTAGGAACTGGAGGTATAGAAAGAGAAGAAAACTCACAGAATGGGGACGTTAAGGTCAAAGACCGCGGGGTCAACATCTACACAAATGAGTAAAGACAACAGGACGTTTGGGAGAGGGAAACCTTACGGGGCGAGCCCTCGTCGTAGACAGAAGAAGGACCTAGTAACTTCAGTCAGACCTTTATACAAAATATTCGTGGAAAGACCTCATACCTCCAGAGAAGACAATTCCCTTAGGCTTCCATGTCAGATCAGCGATCTTGGTGGTACATGGGAGCAGCTCAGCGAAGACGCCGATGGCACGAAGACGGCGCAGGATAAGATGGCTGGTTTGGGACTTCAAAGTAAGTCAGCATCTGTAGTTTGGAGGTTTGTCGAGATCCAGGAACTGGGTATGGTATAAAAGAAGCCTCGTTATCTGGAACAGGCCGAGGGGAAGGAGGACTCGAAGAATTCACATACGCCGAAATCGAGAACGAGGATAGTCTAGAGATTCAATTGTCAGCCAATCCGTTATTATTTTTGTATATTGGAATCAATTGCGCCTGCACTCCCCGTCTAGGAGTGATCGATCGCAACTTGTGGAGGGCGGGGAGGTGCGGAGATAAGTGAGTTTCAAGGCTCGCGATTCCAGCCCTCGGTGGGATATTGAAAGTACGTACGTCGAAGCTGTTGTGGGGGGCCTCGGCCTCGACGTTGGTAACCATTTTGAATTTGGTTCGGTTTATCGAGAAGGTTGGGGGTGTTTGCGGAGTCAGAGAATCTCGAAGTTATTACCGTGAAAAGAAATATGAAAAAAAAAGTTTGGTACAGTGGTACCCCGCCTCCTAAATAGGACACCGCCTTTGAAAGGTAAAAATACTTTATTCGTGACTCACTGGCGGAGAAACAACGCATATTTCTAAAGTTTGGATAAAGAAAGCTAGTCTGAAGCCACTTGGTAGAAATTTTGCATACTCTCCATGTGCTAAATGAACATTGAGGTGAGCTTATCTGTAGAGATATGCTTATTCGACTTCCCAATGCGGCAGCATATCAAGATCTTGATTAGCTAAAATTGATTACTCCGGCAGAAAATTGGGCAGAAAAGAAGTGGAGATAGTGGGGGTTGCAAATTGAATCGCTGAGCCCCTGCGATTATTGACCAAAACCTTCACCGCTTCTGTTTTTTCAAATCTTAATTAATACAAGGTACTACACTGACCTGGCATCATGTGTCTTTTGCTTGATACCCAGCTTGGGGAGTCAAAGACAAAAATTCATACCACGTGATTATATACTGGAGGAACTCAAGTGGCGAATAAAGACGGCAGAAATTCCCCCAAATATGTAGGAAAAAAGTAGAGAGCATTAACAGGGATATAGCCGAATGTGAATGGTACGAGTGGGCTAGGAGATCAAAGTTTCAAAGCTGACCTTTGAAATTTCTGACATACCTACTACCTAACTGGGCTCACATACTCCGTAGGGGGGAAAAGCAGTAAAGTAGATCGGCGGCTATAGATCTTAGATAGGCGGTGAACTCAGTTTGATCGGAGTTCATCATGTGACGTCACTGTCAAGTAGTAGTAAGATGACTCATCCTCCGATCAATCTGTAGCAACACTGCTCATACACTTTACATCTATCATTTACTCAAAGCCAGTCGTTCGTTATGAACTTGATATCTTGGATTGAAGCGCTAAAATGTTTTTCCTAGCAATGATGAAGTTTTTTAAAAAAGAAAGTTTCCAAGACACATAACCCCCATACGTACATAGGGTGACAAAAGTGTTTGTACACTTCCATTTTTCCCCGCAAAAAATAGCAAAACTCACCCTGTTTGGTTATAATTATCTTAACAACTTTATATGTAAAAGAAGATTTTTAAATCGCTTTAACTCTAAATAAACGATTGATAGTTGATCTGTATAATTAGGAATCCGGTTTAAATGTGTGTATTGTGGAAATGTTTGGCCTAGAAAATGGACATCACATTTTTCTGAACTTTTACTATGGGGATGCGGCCTGTTTGCTAACAAATTTCAACAAATTTTCTCATCCTCAACTTTGAAGTCATGAAACTCTACCAGGATAAATCATACCAGAGGTTCTAACTGTAGGAAGTACTTATTTACTAATTATTTATAACTAAGCTATAATCAGAAGAAAACTCTAAATATAAATTTATAGAGATATTAAATATCAAAGTTGGTGAGTTTTGCTATTTTTTGCGGGCAAATATAGAAGTGTACAAACACTTTTGTCACCTTATGTACATAATACATCTGTATGTAAAATCTGACTGTCCTTAAATCATCAAATTTACCAGTGAGTCGGTCCGAAGGTCTCTCCGTCAGGGAGGACAATCTGCTTAGCAGCACCGGTGTAGTCCAAAGTTGCCAGAGCCTCGGTATTTCCCCACCAGCTGGGGAACGACGAGTTGGACAAACTAATGGCAAAGAGCATGACAATGAGACACAAAGCAGTACCGACATCCAGACCGGCGGAGACAACGTAGTTGTACTCCATCCACCAGCCACGCCAGCGGTTACGAATGAACTTGTTGAAAACGAATCCAACACTTCCCCAGGCCAGGTAAGTCAGAGGAGTAGCTGGGGGAATCATGCCAGTACCACTGAAAATCAGAGGGGCGTTGAGGTACCGAATGGAGCTGCGAGGCCACTTCTTGACTGCCAGCCAGATGATGATAGGCAGTGCAGCGCCGGCCAACCAGAACCATTGCAGGCTAGCATACATCTGGCCGATAGAGTACATGCGCTTGGGGCCAATCACACCCCAAATGACAGAGGCGTTGAAGAAGACGCGGCCGTTGGGGCAAGTGTAGCTGTTCGCCTGAGTAGAGGAGCAGATGTCTTTAATGCTGCCAAAGGCCCAGTTCAGCACTGCCACTTGCACCACGGAAGACCAGATACAGCTGACCATCTGGGCGTTGAATGTGACACGTGGGGGAAGCTTCATGTAGTGACCCAACTTCATATCCTGGCAGAAATATAAGGCTTGGGACATGGAGATGTAACCGTAGGTCTTGAAAAGCATCATGGCCATGGGCTTTCCGGGCTGGATGTAACCAACGATGAACTCGGTGACGACATTAAGACCCAGTTGAATGTTAGTGGTAGCCTGGATCATTCCGATAGGGAGGGTCCACACTCCTGCGATGATAATGGAGACGAAGAATGCCCACCAGGAGAGGTGAGTAGGGTAGGAGAGAACCACTGCCAAGCCGATGGCGATCATCACCACCAACACAGACATGTACCACCAGATAGGCACCTTTTCATACTTGGCCATCAAGCGAGAGTGGACATCCTCATGCTTCTGTTTGGACTCGCGCATTCGGCGCCAGATATCCTTTCCGTGGAAAAGACCAACGTGGAAGATGACAGCAGCTAGACCAGCAAAGGAGAGACCGTAGCACAGAGCAAAAGTGGTGGAGAGGAAAAGCGGGGAGTAACTCGAGTATTTGGCCTCATCAAAGGTGTATTCAGGGGTCAAGATCCTGGAAACATTGAACTTCTGGCCAGTGTTGTCGTAACTGTTCGAATCAGAAATGGGCAAGTAGTTTCCGTAGAACACATTGCTAAAGTGAAGGGCAGGTGTGATGACCCAGAACCACACCACCATACCAATGAGAGTATTTGCAATGGCGAACCAGGGAGACAACATAGGCGATGTGACATATCCAGAGATGATGGACCAGTCGAAGCTGATAGGGATCAATGAAAGACCGGTGGCACCACCGAAGAGCTGGTTGATAATCACGTTGTTGGGCTTGATCCAGGTGACAAAGGCAAAAACACTCAGGAATGGAGCGATCAGACCGGGGAACCAATACCAACAGAAGGCACCGGTCATCACGTACATGAACAGTCGGTATCGGTTGATCTTCCAACCGTGGGTCTTGGATGGGTCAGCCGAGCCTAACCCACGATCATGCATTGCACTGAAGAGGACGGTATTGGCCAGATTGGAAGGCCAAATCATAGCCGCCGGCTCGACCAAGAAACGGTGGAGCATACCTCCAAGACCGAATCCCAGGGTTTGTGTGGAGATAGTGACGAAGATTTCAAAGGGCCAGCCATAACGCTGTCCATAGAAGCCACGCTGAGCCGTGAAGATATCCAGTGTGTACGCGAACCCTCCTGCAAAAGTCGCGTTGGCCATAATAGTGATGAGAGCGTGTTCCTTCTTTGTGAATGGGCCCGGGTTCAACTCCATTGTGTGACCGAAGATCGTCCAGGTCCAATTGGGAAGCCATCGAGCCCAAGCAACACCAAATGGGAATACAACAACTTCAGCAATATAGGAGGTGATACTGATAGTTGGGCTGTGCAGTGAGAAAAGGGCGTTGAGACCGGAACCAATCGTGGCGAAGATCAGACCCAGAACCCAAGATCGGACGGTGCTGCCAGTGCCGCCTTCATCGTAATTGGGAACAGCAGCGCGGACTTCGGGATAGGGTGAGTCATCAAGGATATCTTCAAGGTGTCCCTTGACCTCGACGTCGCCGCTTCGCAAGGCATCATCTAGTTCATCTTCGATCTCAGTAGGAAGATTGGGGTCAAACTCATGGGCCTCTTTGAGCTCCTCGAGGCTGGGGATGGTCTCCGAGGGGACCTCGGCCACCTCTATGCCGGTGGATTTGGCTGACATGTGTGGCAACCGATCAATGGGATATGAATATGGTGGAAGGAGTGGTGAAGGAAGGAAGAAGTAAGGGGGAAAGGGCAGAGAAGAAGATATCTATATTACGGTGACCTGGTGATACACGGCAGGTACTACCCTACTACTTTAATAATTATGCAATACCACATGTGGGAGATAACTGAGATGGCAAAAAGGACCATGCCCCGCATGTTGAGTACCATTCACTATCGGGTACACCGGGGTCAGAAGATAGCGTCGAATTCAAATGGCGATCTCGGCATTTGCATATCAAAAGCTGAAGCGGAAGTCCGTCTCTTCCTCCGGGGGCCAAGGCTTGGAAGACTGGGCGACTCCGCTAAGACCAACCATATTTATCTGTAGCGCGATTCGCTTGTAAACCACCGTTCATATGTGAATGGTTATGCTGATTATCTGAGTTTCGTATCTTTCAGCAATATGCATGCAAGGTAGTATCAACCATGTAGCTGACACTTGGCATCACTTCACTGTGAGGTTAGATTGCCACTTTCTTTTCTTTTCTTGTTTTTCTCTTTGTTTTTGTTTTTTTGCCACATGGCACTAGCCTTATCATTCGACAAAAGCTTTTGGTTGTATTCAAGCTTGCCAAGATTTACCTTGGCAAGTAGCGCCGAGCTGGCAAGTCGCTTAACATCTCTGATAGGCGGGTTGTGGTTGGTTTGATTCCGCAGGGGGAGGGGGGGGGGGGGGGGGGGCACTCGTGCAGCGCTAACTCTTTAGTATACAGTCTGCGGCCCTGTCATTTGCTTTTTTTTCTTTATCAAGTGGATTAACTTAGATTCCATCTACATAATTGTAGCATTTTAATTAAATTTAGACTGTGGGGGGCTGGGAAAGAATCTGGACAACATTTCTAAGTGATTTGTAGAAATGTTCCCATGTATGAGAAATGCGTGAAGAACGGAGGATCCAATGAAAAATCAAACCAGTTCAGCCCTTGGCGTTGGAAGTCGGACAGGAATAAACTAGATGCTTACTCCGTACTCCGGAGACCTGGCCTTCTCAGGCAGTTCCTAGCGTATAAAGAGCCGAGCGCATATCAGGAGACTTTCTTAGGGCGCGCCCGAACGCCCCAAGAAGTACTAAGGGGGACTAAGGAGTGGAAAGTCCAATGATCTTATCCGCCCCGCACGCCGCTATCCCGTAGCGGGATTGCTCATACGCAGAACAAACGGTTCATCAGCCGGGAAAAGCCCAAAAAGCCATTGCGAACTGTCAATCTCGACGTCGGCTGTTCTCTAGACAACCGCAGTGTTAATGGGACTCTTTTTTTCCTGTGTGTATTGATGCATAATTTATAAAGCTTGGGCATATCGGAATTGATAAGGCAATCGTATTTCTAATTTCTAATTCCATCCGCTAACCAGGCCCACATCGCCATTTTTTTAAAAAAAAACAACCTCGGGATTCTGGAGAAGCTTCCGTAGCGGGCCTAGTGTGGTCTCATCCAAACGGTCTCGGGAGATTCTCGGTTGATTCGGTTTGCTGTTTTTCTTAGTCATATGATCCATACCCCGCAAAATCCAAGTCAGCATCTGCTGAGCTGCTCATTTCCCCGTACCCACTCCGGAAATATAGACGATCATGCATCTCGCAGGGCAACCCTGAGGAGAAAACGCCTCTCTGCAGGGTTCAACTGGCGTCAAAGCTAGAACATAATTAGTCACGAAAAAGAACAATGTCCAGCTATTTGGGGATCTAGGGGTGGCCTAGCATCCGTGGATGTTCACAGTGTTTGAGCCCATTCGAAATGAGCCCAAAAGTGACAAGTACATGGACATAGACAGAGCCTCAACGAGCAGCGAATTCTCCTTTGCCTCCAGAAATACGCAGTAGAACCCTTCATATCGCGTGGTATCGTAAACCCGTCGGGTGCCCGGATCGCTGGTCTGATCACCGTCGTACCCGGAATTTAAAGTCACGAATCACTTGAAACCAGTGATCATTTGTGGAAATCACTTGACTCCTGGGCCTTGGTATTACGTAAAAAAGTATACATGAGATATCACTAGGAACTTGCTGTCTATATTTCATCTGAAAGGTAAAAGAAAGGATGACTTGGGGGTGTTTATCATTTATAACCTAATCAAGTTAGCCCTGGTTGGATGCTGGTTGCGATTTGTGTGTACATAAGCATCTCCTATAACTATTTGAATATTTGAGAGATGCTCTCTCTATGTTTTCTGACTTGAAAAAAGGGTTTCCTCGGTAAATCACCAATAATGCCCTGTCTTTCTTTTCTTTCCGTCATACCAGCGCGCCTCTTAGCGGGGTGAGATACAACTAACAAGAGGGGGTGGCTGGGCTGGGCTGAGTTAACGCTCACTACCAACAGTCAAAATCTCCCTATTACTCGCATTATACCATTCTTTCTCGTTTCCAACACATTATCGTTTAAATAACTACTAGTTACAATGACAGACTTCCAATCCAAAACCATCCCGGCCCCAGGAAACCATCCTGACATCAAATCCGACGCACACCGCGTATTCGAAGTCCTCCGATCAGGAGGCATTGCTCTGATCCCAACCGAAGTCGGCTACGGCCTCGTGGCCTCCTCCACCGAAGCCATCCAAAAAGCCTTCGAAGCCAAAAAGCGCCGACCAGGCCACGCCCAAGGAGTCGTCGGATCATACAAGCTACATCGAGAGCTACACATTCTGCCGGATGATAAACTAGAGATGATTCGCGTCCTTCACCAGGATCTCGACGTGGGATTTGGCGTTGTTGCGCCGTTCCGAGCAGAGCATCCGCTTCTTCAACGGCTCACGCCCGCGACGCTGGCGAACGCGACGCAAAATGGTACGCTGGGAATGTATTTTGGTGGAAGCTCTTTTTTGGTCGAGTTGGCGCGATTGAATGACAAAGCGGGTCAGTTGATGCTGGGGTCGAGTGCCAATTTGACCGGGACAGGCCAGAAGTTTAGAATCGAGGATGTTGATGCTGAGATCAAGGCGGCTGCTGATATTATTGTCGACTATGGGCTGCAACGGTATCATATTTATGAAGGACGCGCCTCTACAATAATCGACTTTGAGAATATGAAGGTTCTCAGAATGGGCTCCTCTTATGAGCTAATTCGGGACCGTTTGAAGAAATTTTGGGGAGTGGAATTACCAGAGGATCCTATGTTTGACAAATCCAAGTGGAAAGACGCGACGAATTAAGCAGAAAGAATTCGTATTGACAATCAAGCCTTCTCCAACTTGAAGTGGATTCCTTGGACCTCGTGGCCTATCGCAACGCGGGTGAACCGGTTGACAACCGGGTACACGTCAAATAACCATTTCCGGGGTAAATGCATGATCCATGGTAGAAATTTCGAAATCTCACTCAGCATAGGATCTATATGCGCCCGATAAACATGTCAACAGGAGAGAGGGAAAAAATTCAAAAAGAAAACAGAAAACAGAAAAAAAATTGTTGCGAAAAATACACGTAATGCGGAAGTGGAAATACTGCTACCCGTAAAGTTGATCAAGACCTCATCTTCAAGGCGCGCGTCTTCTTTCTCTCCTACAATATCAAACATTAAAACATGAGGGGTGACCCGCCCCCTTTACCACCCCGACGACCTCCGGGCAGTCAAGTCACAACTACTGATGCCGTACCCAATGCAATAGTGATGGACGAGGGAGTTCCCAATGACCCCTCATACAGCCTATCCTTGCCCCGCCCCGAAGCGACCACGAAGCGGAGACTGTTACTTATCTACATCCACGGTTTCATGGGCTCCGAAGCTAGTTTCAACGACTTCCCAGCCCATGTTCATCACTTATTGACCGCTGTACTCAGCGAGTCATACATCGTGTACACTCGAATTTACCCTCGTTACAAGTCCCGCGGCGAGATACAAACTGCTGTTGACCAGTTCAGTAAATGGTATGTGACGACATCCGGGTGGGCAGAAAATACCCCTATCATCCAACGCGTGCTGGATCCGTATCTCTGCTGGAACACATAAAAGACAACAAGATAAGACACGTTTAACTGACGACTGAGGACAGGTTATCCCCGCACGAGGCCGATGATCTTGACGTCATCCTATTAGGACATAGTCTCGGTGGTATTCTCGCTGCAGACGTTGCGCTTCTACAGAACGAGATCCCAGATGGGCAGCCACGACATCGAATATTCGGACTTATCAATTTCGATGTCCCTCTGCTGGGGGTGCACCCGAGGGTCATCCCCACTGGCATTGGCAGCTTGTTTCAGAAAAAGGACAAGCCAGCCGAAGGCGATTTAGCAGAATCGTTCGAATCCTTAGCAATGGACACAAACAAGCTTGTCAATACTAACCCCAACTTCGATCCTCCATTTATGAATGATGTGCGTCTGGTGAAGCGTGATGCCTTGGGCAGTATCAAGCATTTTTTCAACAAGAACACAGATCGCATCTCGCGATCGCTCGTTGATCTCGTCCTTTCGCCTGTCCAATTTGCAAACTGTGTGAATGATTATCCGGGGATCCGAATGCGGTATCGTCGGCTCATGGAGTTGGAAGCTGGGAAGCAGGGCTACCCGGGAGTACAATTTGTCCAGTATTATACCGCGAGCACCGGTCGCAAGAAGAAACCCGCGAAGGAATCTAAGAATGAAGATGCGGGTGAAGATGAGCACACGGAGGCAGGCGAAACGAAAGGTTCGGATGAATTCAAGGACGATGAGAAATCCGAGGATATCGTCCAAACAGCAAGTTCGACAACGGACTCGCGAAAGTCTCCTACGGCAGAATCCGATGTACTTGGAGAAACGCGCGCGGAGACAGATGAAGCCATAACGAAGGATGACCCCTTAATACTAGAGACGCAGCCTACTGCATCCGATTCCACGCTGGCAGTTGAATCGCCTGCTACCGACGAAGAAAGCGTATCTAGAGGCGCGGCAAGTCTCACATCGTCCATCTCAGTCGACAAGATGGAGAACACGAGTCTGTCAGACGATACATCTAGCATGGCATCGACAACCATTCCTGCACCAGAGACACCCCCCGAAAAATTGCGCAAGTTCATTTTATTGCCCTCACATCACTGGAGGAGCGCAAACAATTCTCTATGGGTCCCAGTAGTGATGGAGGATATGGACGAGGTGGTAGCCCACCAGTCTATCTTCCTTACCAAGGGCAAACACTACGATGAATTAGTTGGGGAAACTGTAACACATATTGAGCAGTGGGTACAGAACGATATGAGCCTTCGAGCATTGTCCTGAGTGGACAGAAATTATGGCTGTACAGTGACCAGGGCATTTCGACCTTCAAAGTCTCCATGCGTGACAATTTGGCCTTATTTGAATATGTAGCAATAGAAGCTCCTATACCCAATCGATATCTTTTACATAGACCAGGTCCAAAAATCTACAAGACTGCACATTTCAATAAAGTATTTCTTGAATAAATCATAAGGGGTCATTACATTCTGGAGATAACCAGACCATACCTCGAAAGCCTTCTATCGAGTGAAAAGCCAAGTTGACCAAAAAGTGAGAGATGACAAAAGAAAATCATTAACCCATGAAACCACAGGACACAAAAAGCAGAAACAACAAAATCAATCGCATAAAAATAAAAAACCGAGAGGATATGAAAATCGTAAATAAAATAGTAACAAGTCGCAGGTATCAAATACAGGGGAATCAAGCGTGTATACAACAATCTGACAACTTTTTTTGGGCGGGTTCGAATCGATGGGTTCAACTTGAGCTGATTCGCGCGGTCCACGGATGATGATTGTTTAGAATGAGCGCCAGAGGATCACAACAATGGGGACCGCAATGGCAATCAAGAACAGGGACCTGGTTGAATCAGCGTCAGTATTGTGACTCCGAGCCTCGTATTTCTCAAGAGTAAAGGTGAAAGAAAAAAAAATGAAACAAAAACCTCAAGGACCAGACATGTCATCAAAATCCAAGGGTTCACGGCGTCAAAGGGTAAGAAGAATGCAAATGACTACACTCCCCCGCACGGTATGTTGTTTTCCCCTCAAAGCAGTCCAATTCATGGGACAAGCTATCTATTGCTTGCCCCAAGACCAAGGACGGAACATGCGTCCAACGCTTTTGAAGACCGTGCGCAGGAGTGCCTTGAGCCAGTTATCATGAGCATTGTTGATAGAAAGAGCGGCGACTGACCGGCTCTGGCTCGTGGGGCGAGCATCTTCATCTCCGTTCTCGGTGGCGGTGGGAGGGGTGAGTTGTTCAGGGGCCGGAGCAGGGGCGGCAGCAGGCTTGGGGCTGGATTCGACGACCGGTTCGCTTTCAGGGACGGCCTCGATCTGCTTGGGCTGCTCAACGGGGCGTTGGGCAGGGGGCGCGTGGATGGTTGTGATGGAGGTCAATTGGTCGGTGGAGGGGTGGTTGAGCTTGTGAAGAAGGGCTTCACCATCGCCAACAAGTGCTGCGAGAACCGAATCAGCTTCGAAGGACGGGACGGACGCGTTATGCGCAGGAGCCGACAGCAAAGGCTTACAGTCTTCAGTGTGGACATCTGCAGGGGCAGGTGTCTCATTCTCAGTCTTGGCCTCGGTCTGGGGCTCGGCCTGATCGTCGGAGTGGTGGTGCACGGCAGCAGCAGTAGCAGCAATACCGGCAGCAATGGCGGCGGTAGCGGCTCCAGCTCCAAGAATCTCCTCGGTGGTCAAATCATTCTCCTTGACAGCTTCCTCGGCGGACTCGGTCTGGGGGGCCTCTTCAACTTCCTTGGACACTGACTCCTCTGTGGCAGGCTCTTCCTGTGTCGCAACCTCCTCGGTAGCAGCGGGGTTTGGTGCCCAGGAGCTCGCAGGCCGAAGACCGGCAAGCAAGGCACCGTAGACATCGGGATCGGTAGAATCTTGAGGAGCGAAATCCTTGGTGGTCTGAGACTCAGCCTCGGGCTCCGATGCATCAACCACAGACTCCTGTTCCTTGGCGACGGGAGCATCGTTAGTAGTTACGGGCTCCTCGACAGCAACCTCCTCCACAACAGGGGCTTCCTCGACGGCAGGAGCCTCTTCAACAACAGGGGCCTCAACAACATCCTCCTCGACAGCAGTCTCCTCAACGGGGGCCTCAACGACAGTCTCTTCAACAACGGGGGTTTCCTCGACAGCGGGAGTCTCCTCGACAACGGAAGTCTCCTCGGCAGGGGCCTCAACGACAGCTTCTTCAACAACGGGGGTTTCCTCGATAGCGGGAGTTTCCTCGGCAGCGGGAGTTTCCTCGACGGCGGCGGTCTCCTCAACTACAGGGGTCTCCTCAACAGGGGCCTCAACGACAGCCTCTTCAACAACGGGAGTTTCCTCGATAGCGGGAGTTTCCTCGACAGCGGGAGACTCCTCGACGGGGGCCTCGACAATAGCCTCCTCGACGACGGGGGCCTCAATGGTAGCCTCCTCGACGACGGGGGTCTCCTCAACGGGGGCCTCGACAACAGCCTCCTCGACGACGGGGGTCTCCTCAATGGGGGCCTCGACAACAGCCTCTTCGGCGACAGGGGTCTCCTCAACAGCAGGGGCCTCAATCTCAACCTCCTTCTCGGCAGTCGGCTCAGAAACAGCCTCTGTGGCGATTTCAGCGGGGATTGCGGCCTCGACGGGTGCCTCAGCAGGCTCTTCAGTGGCGATGTCCTCGGCAGGCTCGACAACCTCCTTGTGCTCAACTTCAACAGCAGCCTCTTCAACCACAGGCTCAGAAACAGCCTCAGTAGGTTCAGCAATAGGCTCCTCGGAAATCTCCTTTGTAGGTTCAGAAATTTCAGTAGCGACAGTGGCTTCAGCAACAGGCTCTTCAGCAACGGTCTCGGGCTCAGCGATGGTCTCGGCGACGGGCTCCTCAACGGTAGCTTCAGCAACAGGCTCTTCAGCGGCGGTCTCGGAAATAGGCTCCTCGACGGCGGCTTCAGCGATAGGCTCTTCCGTAACAGCCTCGGGCTCAGCGATAGTCTCGGCGACAGGCTCCTCGACCTGGGCAGGCTCTTCAGCAACAGCGTCGGGTTCGGCGGCGGTCTCGGCGGCGGGCTCCTCAACCTGAGCAGGCTCTTCAGTAGCAGTCTCGGGCTCAGCAATTATCTCGGCGACAGGCTCTTCGACAGCGGCTTCGGCGATAGGCTCTTCAGCAACAGTCTCAGGCTCAGCAGCAGTCTCAATGATGGGCTCCTCGACCTGAGCAGGCTCTTCGGCGACAGTCTCGGGTTCGGCGACAGTCTCAGCGACGGGCTCGGCGACAGTCTCAGCGACGGGCTCGGCGACAGTCTCAGCGACGGGCTCGGCGACGGCCTCAGCGACGGGCTCCTCGACAGCGGCTTCGGGCTCAGCAGCAGTCTCAGCAACGGGCTCCTCAACGGCGGCTTCGGCGACAGGCTCTTCAGCAGCAGCCTCGGGCTCAGCAGCGGTCTCAGCGACGGGCTCGGCGACGGCCTCAGCGACGGGCTCCTCGATAGCGGCTTCGGGCTCAGCAGCAGTCTCAGCAACGGGCTCCTCGACAGCGGCTTCGGGCTCAGCAGCAGTCTCAGCAACGGGCTCCTCAACAGCGGCTTCGGGCTCGGTAGCAGTCTCAGCAACGGGCTCCTCAACGGCGGCTTCGGGCTCGGTAGCAGTCTCAGCAACGGGCTCCTCAACGGCGGCTTCGGCGACAGGCTCTTCAGCAGCAGCCTCGGGCTCAGCAGCGGTCTCAGCGACGGGCTCCTCGACGGCGGCTTCGGCGATGGGCTCTTCAGCAACAGCCTCAGGCTCGGCGATGGTCTCAATGACGGGCTCCTCAACAGTAGCTTCGACGACAGGCTCCTCGATGGCAGCTTCAGTAGCAGATTCCTCCACAACAGGTTCGACGGTAGGCTCGGGGGTGCTCTCAACAATGGGCTCCTCCGCGACTTCCTCCTTCACCTCAGGAGCAGCCTCAACGGCCTCCGATTCCTCAACAACAGGCTCAACAACAGATTCCTCGGTTGCGATCTCGGCGGCGGGCTCCTCCTTGGTGACCTCTGTGGCAGCATCTTCCGAAACTGGGGCTTCCTCGGTGGCTTCGACTGCGGCTTCGGTGGAAGGCTCGGCAACCTCCACGACGGGCTCCTGGGCCGCCTCCTCGGTCACTGGCTCAGCGGGCTGCGATTCCTCAACAGCGGGCTCAGCAACAGCCTCCTCAGTCACTGCCTCGGCGGCCTCGGTGGTAGGCTCATCCTGAGCAACCTCTGCGACTGTCTCTTCGGCCTTGGGAGCTTCGATTTCCTCGGCCTCGGGAGTCTCCTCAGAGGCCTCGACAACCGGGGCTTCGGGAGCAGCTTCGATAGTCTCAGCGGCGGGCTCTTCAGCAGCCTCCTCGGTTACTGACTGCTCAACGATAGGCTCGGCGGCGGATTCTTCTGTGGGGATCTCGGCAGCGGGCTCATCCTTGGCCACCTCCTCGGCAGTCTCTTCAGCAACGGGGGTTTCCTCAGTAGCTTCAACGACGGGAGCTTCAGTGGTGGCTTCGACAGTCTCTTCGGTGGGCTCCTGAACAGCTTCCTCAGTCACTGGCTCTGGCGCAGACTCGACGGGCTTCGATTCCTCAACGGGCTCAGCAATTGTTTCCTCTACGCTGATCTCTGCTGTGGGCTCGTCCTTGTTCACCTCCTCGGCAGTCTCTTCGACAACTGGGGCTTCCGCGGTAGCTTCGACGGGAGCTTCGGTGGTGGCTTCGACAGTCTCTTCGGCAGACTCCTTAGGGGCCTCCTCAGTTACTGGCTCTGGCGCAGACTCAGATTCAACAGGCTTCGATTCCTCGACGGGCTCGACGGCAGATTCTTCTGTGGCGATCTCTGCAGCGGGCTCGTCCTTGGTGATCTCGGCGGGTGTCTCTTCGGCATTAGGAGCTTCGGGCTCGGTGGATTCGGTTGTAGTGGTCTCAGCGGGTGTCTCGACAGACTCTCCGTTTGTCGCGGGGGTGCTCTCAGCAACGGGCTCGGTCTCTTCTGTGGACGGTTCGGGGACAGACTCTGTCGGCTCTGATTCCTCTGCAGCGGGAGCCTCGGTGGCAGCCTCCGCAGGGGTCTCTGTTCCGTTCTCAGTAGCCTCCTCCACAGTTTCAGTCTCAGGAGAATCGTTGATTTCCTCTCCGGCTGGTTCCGAGATGGACTTGTTCTTCTTCTTATTCTTCTTCTTGTTCTTCTTCTTCTTGGCCTTTTCTCCCGAGCCGGTATCCGCTTCGGTGGATTCGATCACATCGGCTGATGATTTCTCATTCACCGAGACAATGGGGTCTTTGAGGGTCTCATCCGAGACTAAAAATTGTGTTAGTGTCATCTCCACCACGGGTATCCAAGTTTTTTTTTTCTCTCTTCTATTCTCTTCCCTCTCTTTCTCCCAATCAATTAAACAAAACAAACTCTCGGGCAAAGCCAAGTTGTTCGTAATTCATTCTCACTTACCATTATGGATAGCGGCGGTCGCCATGTTTGTAGGTTCGTTAAAATCGTAACGGTCGTGAAAGTTGGTGTATTATCGACAAAGGGTAGGATTCGCAATTTGACCAGCAAAAGCAGAGTAACGCAGGATCCAAGCAATTAGCTGTACAAAGCTCGCAGAGCACGATGGGGGGTATAGAGGGATAAGGGGGGGTAATGGTAGATGGCAGAGCAGAAATTCCTTTTTGATTAGAGGGGGAGATGGAAAGATGGAAAAAAAGCAATCCTATGAGGGGAAGAAAGAGAGGAAAAAAAGCTTAGGCCAATAAAGCAAAAATTCTCTAAGCAAAAAAAAAAGAAAAAAAAACCCTTTCCCGATGCCCAACAACTGTACAACAAGCTCAAAGTACCAAAAAATCCGGCAGTGGATCTTGTACACAGTTGGCACAGTGACCAACTCATACTAAAGTCGAATCAGGGTAAGCGGCACACCACAAGTCCCATTAGTCTATCAAAGACCCAATTCTTGCCCAATGACATCGCCCTCGTTTTCTTGGGCCGCTGGTCGATCTCCACTGGAGACCCAATATGCGGTGAAGCTGTTTGCCGCCGAGGTCTGTTTTTTCTTCCCTTGGACTATTTGACTTAGCGGGTGGTACTGGCTCAGGAGCTAGTGAGTTGGTGACATGTCTTTTGGAAGTACGACATTCGGGACTTTTCTCTTAGCTTTTTCCCCTCTTTGCTTTTCCCCCCCTCTTTCCTGTACATCTGGGATTTTTGTTTCATTCTCTTTGAATCTCGCAATCCATCAAAAAGCCTGAGCTCAAGAAAAAAAAAAAAAAAAGTTAGGTGGAGGCGCTAGTGGTGCAGGACCCATTCTCTGATAAACATGGGCCAATGGGGTTCGATGGGCCCGGGGCTCTCTTCCTCTCCACCTGTCAATTGCTTTGACTCATACAAATGACGAAGGTGATCGACCAGCGCATTGCTTTTGAGAAGTTAGAAACTTTTCTTTGTGGCAATGAAGGAGGGGGGAGGTATAGTTCAATAGCGAAGTTTTGACCAGAGAGAAAGATTGTAGTCAGCTACCAAGGTTTTCAGGCCGCGATCCATGGGACGGCGATTGGGTCAGGGCATGGCATGACACAACACATTATATTATTTTATATTGGATTATTTATTATGTACTCCAGTACTCCAGAATAGCGTATATTATTGCCGCCCCATCCATTATACATACCCCCTTCCTATCCGTACTCCCTAACTCCTTACCCGTGGACTCCGTATTCTGTGGCCCCGTTTTTGTCCATTTTTGCCCCGAGGTCCCCATCTATATTGACCGGGGAAAGAAGTTATCTATCCGACTCATGGCTTGATTTCAAAATCATAACAACTTACCCAAAAAAATGCCTTTGTTTATAAATGGCGTGCAGCTAATTTTTCACACGGGCCATCTCGGACTCCGTGCTTTTGTCTTGTCTCCATTCATCTCCCGATTCATCCGGTCAAACTCCGTGGGCACCCGTCATGAACCTGCCGCTGATCAATTGATGGTCTTGTGACTGGAAAAAAAAATTTGTTCAATGGTGGTTCAATTACAGGGAAGTGTATGGAGATCTGCCGAGTTCCAAGTGCTGCTCCTTGCTGATCGGTGCCTGAACGTGCAGGTGTATAACTTGGCACAGGACTCCACCTGCAAACCTTTTGCTTTGCTTTGACTTTGCATGTGAGGAAGCCTTGTTTTCTTATTGTGTACTTGCTGCCAAAATAAATGAATTAAAATTAAATACACACAGCTTTCTTTACATAACAAAAAACCTAGGAAGGATCTCCGTAGTACATAAGAAGAACCATCTAAAGTAAGATAGAGTAAAAGTACAGGTCACATGACCAAACAAGCAGCTTCTAGCAGGGTGACGGCTTTGATTCTTATACATTCTTAGTCTGGTATGGCTTGACTGTATCCAAACATTGTGGGGGACTTCCAGAGAAAGAGAGTTCGAAATTTTAGATCTATGAGCTAATTCACCTCATTTAGTATTTATATGACAAGAAATTAGATTAGAATGCATGTATGTGTTTATGTAGTAAGATTTGGTCTCTACTTTGTATAACCAGCTACTCCCGTAGATGCTCGTGAATGGAGTCATGATCTAAGAGGATTTCAAATGTCAATTTGTTATTTGAACTAATAAAATAACGTGTTCGCTCCATCAAGTTCTCACGTCGCAAGTCAAACAGGTATATTATGTGACTCATGTAGGTGGTTCAAAGCGGTGCAGACAAAGTGGTGAAAAAACTACATACTAGTAGTTGTGAAAGGGCGGTGAAAGGTAAGGCGGTGAAAGGCGAGATAAGGGAAAAAACGCGCGTATCCTATACACCTCTTAGTCCATGCATCATCGCATCCTTCCTAGGACAGCATATTAGAAGTGTAACCTCTGCTGGCGATAGCTCTCTTAAAGGAGTCTTCGTCCTCTTGGCCCCCCTTGTTGTCGTCGCTATTGTCGCAGACGATTCAAAGCCCGAGGTGGCAAACAGCACATCAGGAACGCTATGCTGTTGATATAGGGTCTTATGGGGCCATTAGAGCCGCACCAGGGTTGCTGTCGACATGGGCTTTGGTCAGGTTCCAAGCACTCGATATTATATTTGTTTATGTAGATGCTGAAAGTATGAGAGAGTGTACCATGCTTAAAGAAGTTAAGTGATATACAGCCTTACTCGCCACCTTTGATGGCTAGCTTTCGGAATTGCATTATCAAAGGCTGAGAAGGCGTAAGATTCCTTAAGTGCTCTAGATAGTGTAGTATCCTTGTAGGCAAGCCAATCAAATAAGCAGGCTTGGTTAATCACTAGGGCGTCAACAAAGGTTATCCTAGCTATCTTGTGGAGCAAAGATGGAAAGGGGTCTCTTTCTTAAAGAATATCCTCTAAAGGGAGAATTTGAATGGTCAATTATGCGCGGGATGAGGGTGCTTTTTCTTTCTGCTCATATTCTTTTGATTCATAAATACATGTTCCGTCGTTCCGTCGTTCCATCGTTCTATCGTTCTTGTCCCAGTTACAAGTGGCTCTTTTTCCGATAGGAAGGGCAGGGGACTTCATCATCAGGGCCACATTCGATGGCACATGTGCATATAGGAATATCGGTTCAGCGATCCCCTCGCGTTGCCCCAGCTGTTTCTTCGTCAAATGGTTTTCCCGTACGAGACTCATGATTTGAAATGACAGTGCATTGGACTACATTTGTGGACGGTAAGATGGTTACGTCGCCCGGCAATGGGGGGTAAGAGCCTGAAAGGCGGTGCTTCGCGTTCAGCTTCAGTCACAATAATGACTGCAAGCCAGAGTGCTTTGCAAAACCAGATATCACCAAAGTATGATTTGTCAGTACCGGGGGCATCTTTTTGGTTTCTTTTTGGTTCTTCTTTTCTTTTTTCTTTTCTTGTCCATAAACTCCTCACCTTCCTCCTCACATTCGTTTCCACCCATCCCACGGACGCTGTTCGACAGCCGGGTCCATTGCATACCCGCCAAACGACGAGCCGTCAATAAACGAGCCAGGGAGGACCTCAGTTTCCACACCCTCCGGCAAAGGACGCGACCAAAACATGTATAGCCCTCTGCTCGACACAAAAGCTGGTACATCCTCATGTACTCCTTCTCGAGGGATACAGAGCCTCACTTTCTCCGTACCAGACACTCTAGTCTGGTCGGCCACTCAAGATGGCCTTCTTGTGTTTCAGCATCACTGGGCCAAATTGATAGGTCCGTTCCCATTGCACACTTAAAGGCTGTGCATTTTTGATGTCTGTGGTTGCGGCCTCATACGACAGGAAGTACTCGTGTAGCAGTTTTCCAAGATCAATGGTCTCATAGTTGCACCGAACAGCGTCATGGAAATAATCCTGACACGAGGGAACGTTCCCTTATGCCAATGAATGCTGCGACGCAAGTTCTATACACGCATGTCGGGCCTGCGACGGAAGATATTCACTCACAGGACTTTCATGCAGAAAGACATTTGCTGGCGTAGGAAGTTTGCCATGCGATCACAAGAAGGGATGGAACCGTCTGTCCCGGGTATGAAGCTTTCTACCCTGCCGAACATGAAATCATGCATAAGTTTGAGTAGTTTCTAGTTCTCGTTCAGGACAAGCTTCAGTCCCTTGCGCGAAAAAACTCCGAGGTCGGATTGGGTATTCAGGCCCACCTGGGCCTCGTTGATGATGTCGGTCAAGCTTCTATCGATAGGACTCGTCGATCAACGCCCAGCGGGATTCTGGGAGCTTGGATCCTGGGAGCTTGGGTATTGGGGATCAGGGATCAGAATGACACGAAGCCGGAGTGGCTAATGGACTGTTGGTGAGCGGCTGGGTGAATGAGCCAGCTCCAAGGAACAGCAAAAGAAAAGGGGTTCGACATTTCTCGGGACGCAGAGCCAGCTGTGCTGGTCTATGATAGAGAGAGAAAATAAAGAACAGGCGCAGCCAGCTGCGAGAAAAGGTGATGAGAAGAAGGAGGTGTAAGCTTGAGAAGTCGAGGAAAGGAAAGAAAGAATTCTCGGGTGAAAGCTTACTGTTCAAATACCCAAAAATCCATCTAGGAGACTATCATGGGTGAGGTGAATAGAAGAATATACTACGCTTCTTTGGCATATTGTAAATATTATATTCACTTATTCATTCAATGACATGAACTCTAGTGAAGGACTTGACTCTCACTAACTCAGGCCGTTTCTGGTCACATCTTTCCCTAGGCAGGCTCATCAAATTGCCAGTTTGAATCAATGGGCAAAATAATATGACTTGAACCTTCTTGTAGATTTCCAGTTGAGTATGTAGATCCTCTTTTGATCAACCTATTTTTAGGATCGTAGAAACTGCAAATATAGCGCTTCAAAAGATTGTGCCCTCGTTGCCTGTTTTTGCCTATAGGTTTTTTATTTTCAATACTCCCCATCATTAGCTTCATTCCTGCTAAGACTCACTGATCGACCTATTGTGATCAGGCCATTTATGAGAATGAGACTACTAGTAAATCCGGAGGTGCTCAGGTGGTGGTGCCCCGTCTAATTTGGCCGAAATTTAGGGCTTTTGAACCAACCCATTGTCTCCAACTCGATGTTAGGGCATCGCTTCTAGGGCTCAACAAGAATATGCGGAAAATCATTCATATTCTCTTGGACACATGATTAAAACAAACTCAATAGCCCAAATCTTGCCGAGCATTCAATGTTGTTCTGGGTGACTTGTTCCAGTCAGAACCAGTCTTCTACTCTGCATCAGGTATCTGCCAAAATCTCCAACCCGACTCATTCATTCACAACGAGACACCAACCAATCTTCCAAGTTCGTTATATGCAGGCTCTATAGCTACAGCTCCAACTCCCAAAGCTCCCCTTCCAACTTAATCCCAAACGACGAATGCTCCTCAGTCTTGACATGCACAAACCCCTCACTCCCATAAATATGCCGTGCCCGGACCAAAGTACTCTGCGTCCACAACCCAACATGAGAATACCCAACCTCCCTAGCAAACTCCGTACACTGCCGCACCAGCGCCCTTCCCAGCCCGAGTCCACGTGCATTAGGCTCGACAAGAAGCAGGCGAATCTTTGCCGCATGTTTGGCCGGGGAATCATCTTTCACAAGCATAACGCATCCGAGGAACTCGCCCTCTCGCTCGGCGATCCAGCAGCGTTCTGCTTGGGGATCGAAATTCTTGATAAAGTCTGCGGCGATGCCAGCTACAAGGCCTTCGAAGCGCTCGCCCCAGCCGTATTCTTGGTTGTATAGGACCCCGTGGCGGTGGATGATCCATCCTATGTCTCCTGGGCGGTGGTTTCGGAGAATGTAGCCTGGATTTGTGGATGTGCTTCCCATTTTGAGGACAGATTGGGATGTAATTGATTTTGATAAAGCAAAAGGTAGGGATGATTAGTGTGGCGTTTTGGCTGGCGGGTTTCTTCTTCTTTATTGCGTTCCGCATGGAATCTTATCATCTTGTCATCCGCAGGGCGCGATCTAGATTTGGTGGCTTGCGGGCCGCCTTAGCCGAAGCGAAATCGATTCGCTTGGCTGTGGGATTTTGTTGGAAGATTCTAAAAGCCGATGTTACTAACCTAAATTTGTTACTGCTCCCAGTTCTACAGTTTCCACTGTACTCGATGGTTGAACAATGTTTCGATTGAGTTTTGTGGGGTTGGACCTGGTACAGTAGTTATTACCGCGTGAGCGTAATGGTGGTGCAGGCATCCATTGCTAAGAGGGATCGGGACTCTTCCCGCTAATATACATGGTAATCAGGTGATCCTGGGTGGTGACCGCCAGCAGGGTAACAGTAGTATTCGAAATCAGATTTACCTCTACACTCTTCGACTCTAATTCCCCAGCCCTAGTTTGAAACACGCCAGCCCAGATATGGTATATCCGTCGATTCCCTTGTTCCTGGAATAGAAACTGTATTTTACATGACGCGGGTGGGACCTTGTCTTTTATAAATTACGGGAAACTGCTATACCCCTCCACCCCTCTTCTCTTCCCTAAGCAACAGGCTTCTTCTGTAAATGACTCTTGACCGACACCCTATACTAGGCTTGCAATATGGCCCCGAGACTTGTCCCCAGCATGCAATGGAGCGTGATGCCGATTTGCGAGAACTTTATCTCCATAGTTTGTCGGATTTTCAGTCGTACCGTCTAGTTTATATGGATGAATCGGGATATGACAAGCGGGCCAATGTATTCAGGCGCACAGGCTGGTCATCGTATTACGTGGCCCCTTTGCAGTAATCACAGTTCCATCGCGACCAGCGATATCAGATACTACCTACCAGTCATATACCCACGATAGAAACGTTCTCTCACTGTCTTCCACGATTCCACAGACGCCAATTTTCAAAGACTTTATAGCTCAGCTTCTTCAGCACTACGGAAGATAGCCTGAACCTAAATCTACCTATGCTGTCTTTATTCGTGATGAGCCCTTTCCATATACGCACTGTAAAGTTGAGATGGAGCTTTTTAATGAGTGTGAGTGAATATAATCATCCGGTGGAGGGTTGGCTTTTTGGTAAACATTCAATGTTGATCTCATTCGGGAATTCTGTTAGAAAATAGAATATTATATTACCCATATATACATCTTATCTGTTGATGAGTTACTGCACATGCATAGATGGGCCTGACTCAGTTACTGTATCTGGTACACACTAGGAATAGATCCCCTCAAACCCTCTGCGCCGCCACATCTGCCTGGATTCCGGTGTCAGAGGCAGTAGCGTCGGGCGACGTTTCGGCATTGTCCGACTGTCGAATAAATTGCACCTTGAACACAATGCTAAAACGCCAACAGGGCAACTTCCAATTACGATATTCACGCCAAGGCCGGTAGCTAAAGGACAGGAAGCATCGCACGAGGAACAGAGCCAAGTGAATCAGTCTAGATGTCCAGTGGGTGTTAGTATATATTAAGAAGAAGAGCAGAGAGTATATTTTCGAAATGACTGACCCGAAAACCACAGCCAACCAGGATACGACCTGGGCGATACGGATGAACCATAGCGGTATGTCTGCGTCCCATCCGGAGCCGTCGAGGCCTAACACCGATAGACCATTACCGATTGAGAATACGGCGATGGCGAGGTCCAGGATCAGGTTCAACCAGAGCCAGATAGGTCGGTTCCAGAGATACAGACGAGCCAGATTAAGGAACGTAATCAGTCCGGCCGCCAGGAGCTGTTGTCGCTTGGTCAGCGGCCTATTTTCCTGGTGAGGAGTTGACATCAACATACCGTCCACAAGAGGGCAACTAGAGCACCCTCTGGCGCCCAGGGCATGATATGCCCGAATCGGGCAAGAAATATGAATATGATGGTCAGGTCCGGAACAAGGATGAAGGTCGCGAGCAGTGCCGAGCTCCACGTCAAAGCGAAGATGGTTTTGGTGCACCGTTCTTGATGTCTTTCCACAATGGGAGCGTATCGTTCATCAGTCGGGGATCCTAATTCATCGGCTGTGGGGTCCGACAGCAGCGGGGTATATTCAGTGGTTCGCGACATTATGTCATTAATGGGATGAAAGGGGCAACGTGGCAATATTAATGGGAAGTCGAGAAGTTGTCAGGTTACAGTATCGTGACTAACCTACCTAGGTCAAGGTCGCGGAATGACTCCCAGGCACCAACCAAGGTGCCAACAGGGTAAGCACTAGTCCTCCCGCAAGCTCTGTCACCACAGAGGAAACTCAACCCACCGATAAAGGGGAAGGGTGAACGAATGTACATAGCCGGTTTGTTTCTGCATAATAAACCCTGAAATGAGTTCTGGCTTTTGAACTCGATCCATTGCAAATCAAACTCAGTCCATTTTTCCAATCTAACAATTCAGTTGAACTTGTATTTCCCCTCTCGCTCCTACACCCTGTTAGATCGTGTCGACAGACCTTATACACGCATAACAGACTTACCCAGTATTTGTTGAACCCAACACCTTCACAAACCTCATCATAGGACAAAATCATCGGCGGCGCCCCAACAGTCATACTCTTCTTCAAATTATCCAAAGCATCCCGAATACCCTTAAGATGCGCAGCGACCAAAGTCCAAGGATAAGCCACAGCACTAAACCCAAGCTCTCCCAGCTCCTTAGCAGACAGATTCTCCGTCTTGCCCCCCTCAATAATATTCGCCAAAACAGGAATATCCAACTCCTCAACAGCGCGCTTCATCGCCTCCCGATCCGGCAGCGCCTCGACAAAAATCGCATCTGCACCAATCCGCTTGAACTCCTGCGCGCGCGCCATCGCCTCCTCCCACCCATGCATCAGCGCATCAGTCCTTGCAAGGATAAAGATATCCCGGCCTTCGTTCCGCGCATCGCAAGCAGCCTGCATACGGGCATACGCCTCTTCGCGAGAGACCACGCTCTTCCCCTTCGTGTGTCCGCATCCTAAACCATCGACCATTAGCCAAATCTATACCAGCCCCACAGGAAACAAATCCCAGCTTCCAGCCCTACGTTTTGGCCACTGCTGGTCCTCGATCATCACGCCCGCTGCCCCGGCCGCAGCGAAGCACTCGACCGTCCGCTTGACGTTCATCGGGCTCCCGTATCCTGTATCACCATCTGCCATTATCGGCACGGAGACTTGTCGGAAGCTCTCTTGGATTTTGTCGCACATCTCTGCCATGGCTGTGTAGCCTGTGTCTGGGAGGCCGTGCGTGCTGGCGACGGCGTACCCGGATAGGAAGATCATGGGGAAGCCGGCTTCTTCGACGAGGCGGGAGGAGAGCCCGTCGTATGTGCATGCGTGGGCGATGATCTTTGTTGGGTCGGCGTGGGCTTCTTGGAACATTGTTCGGAGGCGGGATGCTTGTTGTGAGGGGATGCGTCCGCGGGCGTTTGAGATGCTTATTTGGATGTTTGTGGTTGTGCCATCTTGGGGCCCTGTGGGGTTGGCTGGGGTATCGAATTGGAAAGGGTAGGGGACTTTGCTGAGGGACATGTTGGGGATTGGATTGCTGATGGGATTTGTTGGTGTGAGATGATAAAGAGGAAAGGTGTGAGTGTTTGTATGCTATCGAGACGATATCGGTGTCACTGTTTCATCGTGGGTGATGCAAGTCAGATATACTTGGCATCATCCGATCGCGGGGGATGCCCCTCTTCCCCGCGTTCAAATCGGTCGAGTTCCAATGTTGTCTCAACTTTTCGACGTCAATTGGCTGAATTGGCTGGCAAGGGTTTCTTTCTGAGCTTATTTCGGTGTTTTGGGTGCCAGCTCCTTATATTCTGAACAATTTTGTCCGTTCTGCTTTTCCCCCCTCTTCACATTAGGCTCCATCGAGTCTCACAATGACCATCTGAGATATGAGAAGAGATGTCTTGGGTTCCCCAACCACTCACATTTCTCCATTGAACCCTATCACAGGGTCTGCCTACATATTGACCTGCTGTTTCGCTGGTACGGTGTTATGTACCGCAGATATGCTAACCGTGTCGATGTGAAACTGAACTTCTTTAAACCGTCTCGTGAAGCATCACAGGGTCATGCTCTCTAATGAGGGAAGACATTAGTCAATACTCAGAAGATGCTTCTCCTTCGAAGAGGTTGTCAGATCTCTGAATCATTCAAGATGAATGTTACAGCCACCAAGGTCTTCAGCTCCGCCGAGAATTGGAAGAAACCTCCGCGGTGACTGTATTCTGATACAGCCTCGATTGCCATGGTTCGCTCTTCGATCTATCAAAATAATCCTTCATTCTTGCCACCTCCGACCATCAGGTGGCGGTTGTGAAGTTGAATCGAAGTCAAAAAGGTTCATGAGGATTGGATTGCTGCCATGGACACGCACGGAATATTGAGCGGTTGACTTGACACTGAAAGAATTGTCTTGCGACTCGGTTGACAGAGAATAACTTGGGGGGTCTTTTTATTGATTCGACAACTGACATAGAGCTCTTCTTCTGTGTGGCGACCAATCGCCACTGGCTAAGATCTATTATACTGAGCGGGGGTCCTTTGGATGAGAATAAGCAAGGTGCTGATAAAATCAGTAAACGAGCCACACGGTGATGAAAATTCTCAAAATTCACGTCATTGTGCGAACACCAAAAATGAGAGGCTCGGGCTGTGAATGTGAGGATATCTTTGTTCCGATGCCATCGTGGGAAGGTGGCAATGAGCCTCAAGCTGCTCATCCACGGGGTCAATTGAGCGGGTACCGTCTAACCATTGCTCAATGATAAGTGGACATTTGACCGTCATCAGGACAATTTTTAAATGAAATGGGCAAGCTCACACTCAAAATAGCCTTTTAAACACGCTATGCCCATTGAGTCTAAAAGAGTGGATCAGATCGAAAGGAAGAGATCTGGGGAAAGCTGAACTCCAGAGTTGTGGCTACTTGCAACGGAGCTAGTTCATTGCTTATATGGAGAGGACAAATTCCCCGTTGTGGCTTTGAGAGTAGGGCACGGGAGCTGCCCGAGACGATGGATCCCCAACGCCCTTGGACAAAATAACGAACAGCAGGTTTTTTGCCCCCAGGCATGGTATTATTGATATGCATATTGAGTATACTAACAATCTCTATTCATTACCATATCTAAAACAGCATACATGAAGCCTTTGATGAAACGTTCCTGCATGTCTCTGTTCCAGCATGTCTGAAGATCTGTTATGATCTGAATATTAACCCTAATTTGATTCGGCTTAATCGGGCAACCCGCCAGCCAGCTCCATTCCTCGAAGACAATTGACCTTGGTTACCAAAGAAACCGATGTCCCAACACGATTGCATGGGTGAATGGGGTTGAAATTACCTGACAAGGTGCCGTTCTGCCGCTGTCGTATCTTGTGAAATTCAAGGCGACTGGTACCTGACAACAGCGCCGATACCATCCCCCTGTATTGTGAGGACGGGGCGAGGACAGGGGATCCACAGCTCCCATCAAGTGGATTCCGTCGTCAGCAACAACTTTCGTTGGATAGGGGATGGAATGGATAAGCTCCGGAGTCGGAGGGTACCGGTTGCACTGGATGAAGACATCGTATTCTGTTCCAGCATTATAACCTACACTATTACTGGAACTAAGGATAACCTTCTTCCTCTTCAATACAAATTAAACAGATTGCATCAATGAATATTCCACTATATGAAAGTTTTAGGCTTGTGATTATGTGCAGCGGTCTATCAGTGAATGCCAGCTGTCCTTGCCAAGGAATTCCATTCCCATGACCTCACGGCGGGTCATCCATGATGCCTCTATCGACTCGTCGAATGGAGGTATCGTAATCCGGTATTACGCGTTCCCGCGTACCCTAAAATACCCGAAGTCAGCCCCCTGGATCAGCCTCCCGCGCTGTCAACTTGCATCAGGTATACCTGATTCAAGCTTGAAAAAAGCGGAAGAAAAGCGCAGTTCCATCAGCATGAATATCCGTGTAGAGAGGCAATGTTCTGCATGTTCGTCTCTGTATGTTGCAAGCTGCAAGGGTTGGTGAACTAATACACCCGGAATGACCCTGAATCAAGCTTGTGTGGGTCCGCCAAGCTCAGCGCCTGCGATCAGCCGAGCTGCAGCCGGATCAATTTTTCCTACGGACTTTCGCAGAGCCTCCGGCCATTAGTACCCCCCTGTAATAAAAGTGATAGAGGCTAGGGGGGAGGGTATAACAGTCGCCCGGTGGGCATGGAAGGGGTTATATAGAAAGATTGGGTACCGCAGTTTAACATTGGGGGGTCTGTATCCTGGCGGTTCTCATGCTGGAGCGAACCGGGAGAGTGCCCGTTTTTGTGTGATAATCGGGTCCTGGCGGGTCGGGAATCCCAGGTGTGGAGGCCGAGAGAAGCGAGGACAACAAACAACTTGTAATTTTCGATTTTTCTTTTTTTTCTTTTCTTTTTTTTTTTTTCGTTCGTGAATCAGGAATTCTTGGAATTTTTTAATTTCCCCTTATCGTTGGGATACACATATAAAAGCCACCTCGATCCCATCTGCAGGTTTCATGCTAGATGATGCTCCGACGAACCGCATCCAGCGAAATATACGAAAACAAAAAGAAATTAATTACCAAAAAAAACACCCATCGGGAGCCGGATCCAGTTTCTTCAAAATTACAGTGTTTCCAAATAGACCACTCGGTGTGCGTGTTTCCGAGGAAAGGGAGAGCAATTCCACTTTTTCCACCTCCTTTCAGCCGACCAAGTGGTCCTTTCGGGTGGGACGGTTGCCCAGTGAATCTGTAGTTGGTGGACCTGGAATCCGAGTCGGCCCGGTTTGGGCGACGCCGGGAATCAATCCAGAAACATAACCTTGGGTTCGTGGAGCCCGAGTATATTATGATTGGTTTATAGCTTAGCCAGAGAGTGGATCGGTGGATCTTGACCCACTTGGTCTGTTAAGGGATGATCCACTGCAGGGAAGGGAGAAAAAAAAAAAGAAAAAAAAAAAGAAAAAAAAGTTGGCTTGCCAACCCCCTTTCTCCTGTACCCCTAACACCTGTTATATGTGTGGTAAAATGATATAGATCTACTCTGTATGTCTCAATTGATAGATATGAAACCAATTATGGAATAGATCTATGCAGGGGGAAAGAAGAAAAAAACGAGAAAAGTAATGAAAAATAAAAAACCAGGGTGGTAATTTTCAACAGCGCCATGAAGCTTTCCCATTCCTAAAGTTTTGCATGATTACCGGTGGATCCTGTACAGAATTGAATGAAATTCCGAATGAACCCGACTATCAATTGGGGATAATACCAGGTATCAATGGTACGAAATTGAAAAACCATGATAAAACACAGCTCCAACATTCCTCATACAGGTGATTTGCGTATGAAATACTCCGGCGTCCGCACAGAGTAGGGCTTTTTTTCCCACGGAGACGCACTAGCCTCGAATAGGAGGCGGACGGGCGAAAATTTGGCCGTAGAGTATTTATGTCCTGGGTCGACCTTCTTCCGTAGTTTCCCAGCTTTTTCTCCCTGAAAAGAAGTCCATCCCCCCATATACCAATCCCAACTCCTCTCTTTTTTCTTCTCCCCGTCGAAAAAAAAACGCCCCAAAATCATCACAATGGCCTCCCGTGTCTTCACCCAGCGCCTGGCTACCGCCATGGCCCAGTCCTCCAAGGTCGCTCGCCCTGCTGCCCGCGTCAACCTCAGCGCTGCCACCAAGCGTACCTTCACCCAGAAGGCTCCCGCCACCACCTTCTCGGCCCCCAAGCGCGTCGCCTCGCCCACTCTCCTCCAGGCCAACGCCCGCCTTGCTTTCCAGAACGCCGGCCGCCGCCAGTACTCCTCTGAGGTCGCCTCCGCCATGGTCGAGGTCTCCAAGAACATTGGTATGGGTTCCGCTGCCATCGGTCTCGGTGGTGCCGGTATCGGTATCGGTCTCGTCTTCGCCGCTCTCCTCATGAGTGTCTCCCGCAACCCTGCTCTCCGTGGCCAGCTCTTCTCCTACGCCATTCTGGGTTTCGCTTTCGTCGAGGCTATGGGTCTCTTCGATCTCATGGTTGCCATGATGTGCAAGTACGTTTAAGCGTTTGATCGAAGGGCTTGAGGAACGAAGAGAAGAGAAAATTTATAAGAGAAACATGATCTGGGACTATATCTTGAAAGACTTTCCTTGCTTTTGTTGATTTCCCCTTTATTTTTTCCCTCTTCAGTCCGCCGGGGAGGGTATCTGGTCGTGATGTATTACCATGTACTACTTTTCAGCGTCATCTTACAACACCTATTTCTTTCTGTACATATAGAGTCTATATGGCCCACCCATCCCAACTTCCAACGAGCCAAACCAAAACTCTGTGTGTTGAGTCCTCCGGCCATATCAAATTCTTTGTCTCCATTAATCTCGGGATTCTGGCAATCCTTCTCTCCTTCAAACCTTACCCCGAACCCCAGTAGAACTCTTTTTTTTTCCACTATTCAAGAAATTAAGCATTTGTATCCATTTTCCAGCTATCCATTTTTCATCTCTGTCTTCAAGCTCTCCCAAAGCTATAATCCCAGAGCTCTGGCTAGACCCCCTTTCTCCGATCTTGATGCTTCCGGGGTCGTCGGATGTCTTGTCTACGTGTCAAAATTTCCCACCGCCATTCTACAACCACCACCATCAATTGAGTGCCAATGCTTTCCCAGTGTATTCAGTTCATTGCAATCAATCCATTGACCTATTTCAATATGTTTTCTATTTGTGTTGCGGGCTCCTACCTTGAAGCTTGAGGTCTCCCCAGTCCCCCAACGTAAAACTCACACTAGCGCCGGGACCTCGGGAAACATGTTCCCGCATGGCCCGGTTGACTGCTGACTCAGCTTTCACAGTGACATCAACGACCGGCATTTCATTTTCATTGCACTGGAAAACACTGAATTTAAAGTTAATGGCTGTAGAAAGTAAATTCACTAGCAAAGGTAAGAAGTATCAGCGGCTAAGTGGTGGCGATTGCGTCTAGGATAGCCATGTGGCTTTTTCCCAGTCGCGATCGATCCCAGGGAGATTTTAATGTTCTCGGACTTCCGCCCGGGCGGTTTGATATCGAGTCGGGCTCAGAAAGGTCGATAATGTCAATTCTAAGATATCGCTTTCGAGCTCAGATAGCTCTATCTTTCTTTGGTTGAACAATCATTACATAGAATTTATGGAGGTCCAGGTGTTATTTCCGACTTGTCGAATCGTACCCAGGTGTGTGTTCCAACTTTCTCAATTGGTTCACCCAAAGTCAGAACCGATATGGATATATTTCCACTCAAAACCCGCATATAGAGTTCCACATGTTTATTTTTCCACATAGAAAATTCGATTGATTGTACCAGAATGATCAGGATATTTGCTGCATTGGAAAAGCAGTATCATGGATGTGAGCTCGATTGATATCTCTTTTGCCCTCCCGATTAGCAGTTCATGCCCTGTCAACTAGATACTACGCGTATTAGTATGTAGTATGTACATCCATATCCAACTCAGTCATGTGACTGATTCTGACGCGCTGCGACTTCGGGAACAATGAATCCATCTTAATACATGTTCGAAGTGACGAGGTACGTGCTAATTGATATGATTGATGCGGTACGTGTACCTACATAGTATGTCAGCGCTTGGTCTTTCGCTGGATAATAATGGATGATGCTTGACGCGCCGGTGCTCCGTTGCGTCGCGCATATTACCTAGCGATACCCGTAGACGCGTTTTGACCGACATTAAACGATATAGTATGCAGTTTACGCGTCAATATTCGGTGTCTCAAACGAGTTGCGATGCATTGCGGAACTACTACTCGCAACTAAACTCGGGAAATTTTATGTTGAGGATGCTCCGATATAAAACTCCGACCTCGCTTTCAGAGTTGTCTATTCACAGCTGCAAGGTTTCTTTCCCAAAAAGTTGTATCAAATAGGTGTATCAATAAGAAGATCATTAGGTGAAGAAATGAACCAGTCACATGGGCAAACAAATCGACTCCAAACATGCCAGACTCGCTTGCTGAAACGCAGGGGCAAAGGTATCAGGTATCAAAACCGAAGAGATGCCACAAAAGCTCTCCGTACCGCAAAAGAGAAAAGAAATATGAACAGCTCCAACAAAAGAGAAAAGAGAGAGAAAAAAATGAAAATGAAAAAGGGGGAAACAGCCAACAAAAAAAGAAAAAGAAAAGAAAAAAAAGAACAACAACCAATGCCATATACCAAAACTAGAAGATTTCCAGATCCTCAAATTCCACAACCAACCCATCCGCCGTTCCAGACGACAAAGAGCTATCAACCGGCATCCCATGCATAGCATCCCACATAGTCCCTCCACGCCCAATACCCGTCGGCCGACTAGCATAGACGCCCACATGCACAAACTTATCCTCAACTCCATAAAAAAACCACGTCACCTCCCTCAGCTTTTTCCACGTACTACCCACCGCCCCAGGCGACAAAGCATACGGCGAAACCGAAGGCACCTGGTACCAGATCCACAGCGCATGACCGACGCGCTCCAACTTGATGCGCAACGAGCTCGGCGCAGGCCCGCGCGGCGAATACATCAGTGGCGAAAGACACCAGTCGGCCCCGTCGGCCGTCGCGCTCACGGAGGACGCATTGATTGTTCCGCCGGAGAACTCCATGCCGGCTTTGACCCATTTGCAGGGCTGTTGATGTTGGGGGGCGCGGCGGTAGTTCGTACTTGTGGTTGTACTTGTGCTTGTGCTTGTGGTGGTGGGAGTTGCGGCTAGGATCGGTGCATCGGAGGAAAAGGACTGGGGCGCGGCGCCAGCGAAAATCACTAGGCCGCCTTGGTCCCATTCCATTTCCCAGTCTGCGCTCACGGTCACTTCGGCTACGACGAAGGGGTGCCGGAGTGAGGTGAAGACTATTGGGGCGGTGGATGTGTCGCCGTTGGGCGGTTTGCGCCATAGATCGGTGTTGGGGCCGGCTGTTAGGGTGAAGTATTCCATGCAATCGGGTAGAGTGAAGGCTGGTGGGAGGTTTAGGGCCGTGAATGAGGTGCCGTCTGGAGGCATTTTGGCGCGGATAGTTTTTCGGGTTCTGTTGTAGCAGGTGGGTGTATGTGTATGTGTATGTGTATAGTGTTTGTATGTCTGTATGGCTCGAATAAAATGACGGTTTCTTGTCTATGGGTTCTCTCTTTTGGCGATAGATTGATGGCAGGTTACCCGGGGGCGAATTGTCTCGTAGGTTTTTATCCTGAGTCAACGGGGTTGCTCGGAGGACAAAGTTCCAATTGAGCTTTGATGTTTGTGCAGACTGTGCTGAGCGAATAGGCGGAGGGTCGTGGCAGGGGGGGGAATTTTGGGTCACAGCATTTGTTTTCTCGATACAATACTAGGTTGATCACGGATCAGATTATCGATTAGGCGATCGATGTGTTCGATCGAGATGAAAGTGTAATAAATGTGGGGAAAATGGGTTTGGTTATGACGATGCTGAGAAGAGCGGATTCTGCGGATGTTGCCGAATGCGGGTTTGGAGGAGTACGACCAGAAGTAAATGAAGAATGAGAAAGAAGAATTGAAAAATGCAAAAGAAAAAAAGAAATATAAAGGCCAAAAAATGAACGTGAAACAATGGAAAATTCTGTTTCTACCAAGACATTTGCTTAAGAGGAAGAAAAGAATACCAGAAAGTATTTATATGAAGTACCTTTGATTTTTGCCCCCTGGAACGCGACTCAGGGGACCTCGGAGCCCAAATGGTCTAACAGAATAAAATCTATGGGGAAATAAGCGTGTCCCAAGGTATTGGATCAGTTCCCCTCTCTGCATCCTTTGGATCGCCTTCGCAATGTGTTGTTCAATTCATTCGCTTCAACAAAAGGAAGCGTGGGCCAGTTTGCAAGTGGCGGGTCACCGTGCATGGCTCGGAATCAATCACGTTGTGACCGAGATAAAAAAGAAAGCAATTGGAAGAGAAATAAAAATTGAAAAAAAGGAATTAAAAAAATTTGAGCAAAAATGAGCGACAGTGCAACACGTCAGGAAGAGAAAGGACTGGAATGTGTAAGATTGAGCTGAAGCACACAGCTTGAAACGAGTAGGACGATTTGGACGTGTGGGATTATGCTTTCGGATGTGTTTCGTCGGATTTTTTAGCACGAACACATAAGCTCGAGCTGAGAAGTAGCTCTGGGATCTTCCTTGGATCTACATGGAATCATGTTCATGTCAATTTAATCATCTCAGCTGCAAGTTTGCGGTGGCGGTGCGACTCAGCCACAGCTTGACTCTCCACAAATGCACGAGGCTGAAGAGGGGAATTGCCTTGACGGAGATGCCGTGTGGACTCAGACATAAAAGGGCTTGGATCCCCCGTTGCTGAGAAAAAACCCTTTCCCGAGGCTTTTACTAATTATAGTCTAAAATACTTCTAGTTATGAAGTACCCATGACACCTCGGGATGTGCTGGCAAATCCTTCCGCCAAGCGACTTGGCCTTTTTGTTGATTTTTCCTTTTCCTTCTACACTTATTCTGATCTGCTCTGTCGTAGAAATGCCAACTAAAAATAACATTCAAATGTTGAACTGCCCAAACCCAAATTCCGGGCAATGCAGGAGCAGCAGGACACACACGGCACACTGGGCACATATGGGGGCCAAAAATAAAGAAAAAAATGGGAAAAAAAGGGGTCAATCCTCATTTTGTTCTTCTTAGTACATGCATATTCTTTCGCACTAAGACCATCTCCAACCAATCAAGATGAGCTGACATACGCCCGAGCCTCGCGTGGCCCCGTACAAGGCTGGCTAGGGTTCCAAGAGCCTCAGTAAAAGAGACCCTGGAAAATTAATACATAACTAATAAGACTCTGGACTTTTCCTGAATTTTCCCCAGCATTTAGTCCTTGTCTACGGACATCATTTTCAAAATGTCTCCCAGTAGCACCTACTCCTACTACTCTACTGAAAATCCCTGGGACGAAACAGTCAATCTCGGGTATTACTATCAATCATCTGGCGGAAGCATCTTTTACGCCAGCTTTGCTTTTGACGCCCTAACTTTCCTGGCCTTGGTGGGCTTTCTCGCCTGGGCATGTACCATCCGAGTTTCGAGCCGGGCTCTCAAAAGCATTATAGCCGCACTTGCCTTGTGGATGATGTATGTTGGAATCCTATCACTGCTACATAATCACTTACCTCGCTTCACTCAAAAAGCTGACCATCTGTAGCTCTCAACTCCTCTACGTTATCTGGGAGATCTTAATCTTATCGGACGCAACTGTGAAAAACTACTATGTGATCATCTTCATGCTGCAGGATCTCTTCGGCGTGATCTCCACCTGCCTGCTATTCCTGGCCTTCTACCAAATCATCCACAAGCTTTTGAACCGTCTCACAGACACCGGAAGCCCATATACAGCTGTACGGATCGTTCACTGGGTTGCATTGGGACTCGTCTCCGCTCTCTCCATTGCCGAGTGGGCAGTCTACGTCGCGGTCAATGTCTACTCTGTCGAGATCGTTAGCCTGTCCTATCGGTTCTATGATAGATTCGCCAGAAACTACGACAGGCTTTACAGCGCCCGTGTCATTGTCTACTTCATAATGGCCTGTGAGATCTTCATGTGGACGATCTTTGTGACCGTGAAAGCTGGGACGCAACGTTTTGTTTCACGGGTAAGTTGCAACTACGCATTCTATAGCGCACGCTTTTACTTTTATTTTACTTTTCGAAACGAACATGTCCATGCTAACACGATTGGTCTTCCTTTTCTTTATAGACGCCTCTATTCTCTCTCATTGCTGCAAGTCTATGCTGGTTCGGATATAACTTGATGTATGGCGTCTACGCCATTGTCTACGACTTGATGTTCTCCTCTGGGGCTCTTGCCGCCGAGATCATCGAATCAGTCTTCCAGTTTGTGTTCGTCGTTGGAATATTCTTGGGTCTTTTGTTCTGCATTTCGGGATGGTACAGGCTCGATGAAAACCATGCAAAGGCCCCGACCTCGGTGCAGCCTCACGATGCTCAGCTTCAGGTTCCGTACCCGCAGCAGCCGTACCAGCAGCAAGGACCAGTATTCCACCCCCAACCCTAGATCATTCCAGAGAATGCAGAGAGGGAATTGGATATATTTTACCGAATGATGTTACTAATGTTGGAGGATAAGACTATTGCCTAATTATGTACCATGTGTCTATTTGAGGTTTTTGCTTGCTGCACAGACTTGGAGAGATATCTGTTGAATACCCCCCCCCCCCCCAGCGATATGAAGCTATGGATACCGTTGTTATTAATACCCCTTGACAAAATTTCTAGCAAATAATCAATCATAACATTTAACTATTTATTCCCATCGATATCGATTGACGTGAATCTACCCGGCTTATAATGGACATGACTAGATTGGTCACTCGACCATCACCTCAATCCAAGCTAGTAATTTCATTTTCTATACTGCAAAAAACACTTGACAAGGGACTGACATAGCTTGAAATACCCCATTGATCCAGTCTCTATTAATATGACCTTTCATCAATTTGACATTTAAGACACTGCATTTCCCACCAACGTCCACCACCATAAAGTCTTGGCAACCGACGTCAGACAAAACATGAGATCCATCACCGACCTCACTCCGCATCACTCACACCCCATCAAATAAATAAGAAATGGTCTGCGGCAAGTGTCAGAAAAAGCTCAAGACGACCGAGCTCGCCACTCCCGGTGTCAAGAGCAAAAATGACATGTACCTCGGTTCACCGTCTACCACGTTAGGGGGATCTGGGAAAGCGACGCTTGGAGCTACCGGCATCGGAAAGGTTTGCCATCGTCTATTCCATTTCGCTCTGATAATCCTTCTTCTCCTTATTTCATTTATTTCCTTTGGATATTGGATCCTGGAATTAATTGCCTCAAGTGTGTTGTTGACTTGATCTGTGATGCTGACTTTCTGCAGAGCAAACTCCTCGGTGCTAAAGCGAAGAATCCATATGCGGCCTATGCTTCGTCTTGTGAGACTTGTAAAACCAAGACGGAGAAGGGATATAAGTTTTGTCATAAGTGTGCTCATAAGAAGAATGGTATGTGATACATGTGCTCATTTTCAATTAAATTGTTTCTTGCCGTTCATCTGGTGGCGTGATTTGCTGATCCTGTGTTTAGCATGCACTATGTGTGGAAAGAATATCTTGGGTAAATCGGCAAAGGACCAGCCCATTGTTTCGGGACACAAGACGACCTCAAAGTGATTGATGTATGGGATACCCTTGAAGCTTGGTTGTTTTTTGGGAGGTAGATTTTATGTATCTGGAACCTTGGAAGCGAGTTACAACTATGTGGCGTTGGGAGTCGACCGGTACTATATGGAGGTAATGGGTCTTTTCAAATAATTTCGATTGACAGGAAGGAAATAAATCTAATTATACATGGCATGCGCGGGAAAGTATATGCAGTGCGTCAATAACGCTTTATGCCAGAAACAAATTGCTGGTTTCTGAGCCAACATCCTTTGGTCTCTTTCGCTTTTTCCGTACTCGAACAAATAGTACATGCCTTCGCTGAATTGAGTCTTCCAGCTAAGCGCTTTAACGATCAGCCAGCATGTTCTTGATGGAGCTGTAGTATTTCTGTGTCACGAATTGCGAGATCTCGTCCTTCGACACCCACTTGTAGTCCTGGAGCTTCTGAAGGCTGTTGGTCAGATCGGCCTGACCGGCCATGATGCGGGACTTGAGGAAGAAGGTCTTCTCTCCGTGGGTTGAGACACCGGTAGCCTCCTCGATTCGGGGCTTGCGGTTGTTGTAGACGTGGTGGCCGGCGGGGTGGAAACCGACCATCCAGGTGTTCATGTTGACACCGGCAGATTGGGCCAAAGTACGCTCAGCGGCCTAGAGAGAAAAGGAGGAAAATTAGTACGAATGAAACTGTGGACCGTGGGAAGGAATGGCGGAACGAAAGAGAAAAAAAAATCCAAAAGAAGAGAAAAGAAGAAACCCACCTGGCGAAGAGTCTCGTCCACTTCCACGGGAGAGCTAGGGAACTTCCAATATCCCTCCTTTGACTGAACGAGCAGATACAAAGTCCTGGACAACAAACGGTTCAGACTCTTGTAATCACCCTTCTTGTCGGCCTCCGTCACTCGGCTGTGTGGGCGCGGAATCTCCTCCTTCTTGCTGGTATCCTGAGACGTCGCATTGGCGGTAGACTCGGCATCCTGGACCAGCAGCTCGACCTGGTACTCAGGCTCTGCCTCCTTGGCACCAAGAAGCAGTTCGTCATTCCATGCATCACTGGAGTACGCGTTGTACTTTCCGATGTCGCGCGCAGGAGTAAGACGCTCCTGGATCTTCTTCTTCCAGTCCTCGTCTAACGGAGTACCGCGCTTGAAGTAAAAGTATTTGGTGAAGGGGAGGGCCAGACGCTCATTCAAACGCTTCTGGTAGAAGTAGTATGCTTTCTCGAAGGGCTCAAGGTCGCGGGTGACCTGGGGCGGGCGGGAGAGAACCACGCCGGCATTGATGGTGTAGACGGGGTTCACGGAGGTTGTGGAAGGAGGAGGAGTGGTTGATGCAGATGTGGATTCGGTGGCAGCAGAGGCGTAGTTGCGACGGCCCAAGGTTTCTGAACAGCTTCGGCATACGCCAGAGTCGAGTCTTGATGGGCCTGGAATGAAAGTCAGTACTGAGATTGTTGCGGGATTGGGAGTCAATGGCACATACGCAGCAGCGACGTTATGCGCCGAGCACCATTAGTTCCTGTAGTCATCACCGAGGGAATGGGATTTTTTGATTACTGATAAAGGGTCCCCTTTCGTTGATCGGCTTTGATCATGATCATGTTCATGTTGAGAAAAGTTCCCCCGGTCACGTTTACGCTAGACCCGAGTGGGACTAGTGGGAGAAGGCGGCCCTTAAATTTCGCAAAAATCTCGGTCTCTTCTTTCTTTTCCTCAAGCATCCATTACCTTATCGTCACTGCGTCTAGATTTCCACGGCCAGTTGTCCATTTAGAGGTGCTAAGAACGATCTCGCGGCTGATTCGCTAGCGGTACCTTCTTGAAACCCAAGGTGTACTGTTAGATAGATGCGGCGAACACTTCTGCACTGCCAGTCTAATTCTATTTATGAGAGAATTCGAAAAATATCAAAAAAAATTTAATTTCAAAATCACTTGTTCATTTACGCTTTCTCTTTCCCCTTGATAGAGTGACACTTATTCCGATAGTAACTAACTTTACACGAGAACTAGACGTCGAAATGAAAGTCTAGTCCAGGTGTACAACCCGCTCGACCGTGCCAAACACGCGTAATTTGTTCCCATAAACACGCCAGAACTCAGTACCCAGTTCAGGCACCAAATCCCTAGTGCGCGTCTTTGCCACAACTTTGGCAGATCTTTTCTGGGCTGGCTTAGGCTGTTTGGGCTTCGGATTCTCATCGTCACTGAATTCAATCAAATCCAGGTCTTCCATTTCTTGCGATGTGGCATCTTCGTCTTGCTTCAGGATTTGACGCATCCATCGCTCAACTTGCTGTACCTGAGATACCTCCGAGGCCACTGCGAGCTCCATGCCACTCAGACATCCCTGAGCGCCGAGCTTGGTTTGGCCTTTCTCAAGCTGGACCGATAGCTTCATGAAAGGAATCGCAGATAGCATGCTATCATAGCCTGCCTCGTGGTGAAACGTTCGGAAAGCGTACTTTTGGTGCATCGGGTCGATTGCTGTCAACAGTTAGCGAGTTCATTCGTCCAAAACTTAAAAAGGCATCTGTTCACGGTACATACCTATGGCCGGGACCGATACACGAAGCAATCTGCGGCTGATCTCTTCTAGGGAGGAAGTTGGGTTGATAGAACCAGCATTGGAGGTTGCCAGGTATTTGGTGTCAACCACGTTAGGAAACAGACCGTGAATCAGCATCTGGAATTCCTCCACAGTGTCCGGCAACGGTCCGATGAAACCACTGTACAAAAAGAGTAGATCCAAGAAGCAGTTGTGCCCAACCAGGATCGGCCTATGCTTTTGGAGGCGCTCCCGCGTCTTTTGGGCCAATTCGACCTCTCCAAACGGTACCCCATCTCCCACTATGGGACTGAAAGTCTTGTCTGGGAGCTCTGACAGGTCTCCTCCGATGAGCGCTTCAATAATCCACCGACATCCCACGTGGCCACGGATCGTTTCGATCAATGCCTGTGCCTTTTCTTCATTGATATCCTTGTCATGGACTGGGTCAGCGAACATAATTTGAATGAACGAGGCTTTGCCTTTTGATTTGAGCTGAGGGAATTCGGCATTGACCAGATTATGCACGAGCCGCTTCTCCATACTGTTCAGGATCGAAGGGACGCCTGGACCCATGGCAGAGGGAGACTTCGCGTACGTGTGCGATGGGATATTGAGGTAACCCATGCGATCTCTCTGTGATAGACATTAGACAAGTGAGGTGATATTCGAGGAAGGAAAGCTTACAGCAGGCTGGGCCAGCCACCAGTCAATAATTCGACGCACAGCCCCCAGGAAATCAATTGATTCCTTGTCTGTTTCCGTCAATTCAAGAGTGGCGATTGAATTCTTGCGGGTGAATCGATGTCTGGCTTTGGCCACAGATTCAGCCTCTTCGTCTCGAGAGAGATATCGCACGCCGTACTTGCATAGTGAGTCCATACTGAAGTTGTGGCCCATCAGAAATTCCATGGCTAAACAAGTTCAATTAGCAACAACTCTGTGACGCACAGAAACTTGACTTACACCAGCTCATGAAAGTCCAGTCACGTTTGATGTCCAACGTTCGGTCGATAAATGGGCTCAGGGTGATGTTGTACGGCGCCATCGTGTAGGTCGCTGCTTTCGTTAGCTACGTGGAGAGCTTCGTGTCAATGTATCATTCTTCAATGAACATACCATTCTTGACATCCTCCTCGCAAATTGTGAGACCGATTTGAAGCACCTGATATTTTTCTGCGGCGGCCTTCATCTTGAGGTATTGCTCCTGAAGAGGCAGGTTTCCCTTGGCTTCGCTGGTTGGGACAATTGAAATACCTGAGAACTCCAGATCAATGGCCACAAAGCTGCTTCGGGAGATCTGATGAAGGATCCATGGCAAAAGACGTGGGAGACTTGCCGCTGTCACGTCCATCTTGCTGTTTGGACTTGACCACAAACGATTGAGGCTCTACAACAAAGCACATGTGAAAGGGAAGAAAGGGAAAAAGAAAGGGAAAAGGGAAGGAAAAGAAAACTTTCGGAAGAGATAGTTTCACTCGCTTTGCTCTCAATTGAAACGGATATGGCGGTAATGATGGTGGTATTGATGTTGTTTCGTGTCGACGTTCTAGGCCACGAGGAACCTAGTATGTATCACGATTCACGACTTGGGAGATTATCTCAAGTCTAGTTTTACGGTACTCAATAAAGATTCAAGCATCTTACGTGATTGATGAGTGAATGAAGATGGTAATTCACTACAATAGTACACTAAAATAATATAATAATGCTTTAACCGATGGGTATTCGTCGCATCTTGACTATACTAGTTAACTAACTATATGCGATGCCATATGTCTAATGGATCCCGTGACTTCCCCCAACCCCAGACTTGAAACGAGCCGAGGGAAAACGGAAGCCGATCAACCTGGTTCCCCGTCCCCGTCCCCGACTTGTCATCTCCATGGTCCCTCAGTTTCTCTCCTTTCTCCTTCCCCCGTTTCAATTGATTTCTATCCATGATATTGTACAATGACTGAAAATATGTCATCTCACACCCAACTCTCCTCCACCGCTACTTCCCCCACGAAGCTCTGCTCCCGCACCTACAAGAAAGCTTCCCAGCTGTTCCTAACACGGCGGCTACCAGAGTCTCTTGAGAACCTCCTGCCTATTTTAACAGTTCCATCATCCCCCGAAGATTCGCAAACAAATGGCGACCATCCCGCAGTGGTCGCGCCGATCGCCACCGCCTCCAGCACGTGGAGAATCAAGGTGTGGAACTTCTACATCACCCTCCTCAGCGCGATCGTAGAACTTGGCCCAGAAGAAGGCAAGAATCAATTTGGACAGAAGGAATGGAAGACTATGGCAACACAGGTCCGCGAAGGCGGGATCTGGGAGAATGTGGTACAAATTGGATACCGAGGTCGGGAGGGCTCCGTAGACGCCGAGGTAGTTTACGTTTTGTGAGTGTCTTGTTGATCGCGGGGGAGATCGTTCATCACCGCTGACGTGTTTCATCATTTCCCAGGGCTACATTAATCCTCAATCACTCTTCCTCGCAAGCGCTCAATCAACAACGACTTGAAACATACCTGTCATCATACGGACAACCCAATCTAGACCTAGCAGATCGACTAGATGCGTCGGGCGACTTTCAACAACAACGGATCTCTGCGGCCAGCGGAACAGATACACCGAAAGATCTGGCTGCGAGAGTACGGATTATTGAATTATTCACATTGCACGTTCTTCCCCGCAATGAGGAATGGGAATACGCTCATGAGTTCATCAACCTGAGTGAAGTTCTAGATGAAGAACGCAAAGAATTATTCCTGCAAACATTGGAAGGGTTGAAGGAAGAGAAAGAGCGAGGAGAATTGCGCGCCGCAGAACTGCAACGTGCCAAAGATGCCGAGCTCGAGCGACAACAGGATGACGAGCGCCGAAGGGCCGAGGAAGAAGCCGCTGCTGTTGCCCGCCAACAGCAGCCGAATGGCCACAAGCGGAATACCAGCGAGGTGGACTACGGTATTGAGAAAGGTAGCCCGCGCAGTGGTTCTAAGGGCAAGGCATCCAGACCGGCAGACAAGTCGCCAAATGGAAAAGCAACACCGCGCACAGCTCTATCATCATCAAATTCCAAGAATTCTAAGAAACCTGTCAAGCCCCAATCCCGGGCCAACCAGGCGCGAGCAGTGGCTACGGCCATCCGCAATTTGTTCAAGAAAATCATCCAGAATGTTTCTGGGAACCCCATGTCATTAGCCCGAACATTGCTTTTCCTACTAGGTATCCTGATGGCGTTCAGCCGGCAGGATATACGTGAACGGGTCCGCAGGGTTACGGACTCCGCGTGGCAGAAAGTCAAGGGCACCGTTGGAATGGGTGTGAAGGTCAGCTATATTTGAGATATTGGCTCGCCGCGTTTGACTTTGCATGAATTCATTCCTGTATATTTTCTTTTGTCTTCTTTTCTCGATATTCTGGTGATTGGATCTGATGCTACATAAACATTTCTCAAGTATGCTTAGTCTATTCATGTATTATCTAGGTGTCATTCATATACTGAGCTCAACTTTTACCTCACGGGTTGTACCAAACTTCGGCCTGACAAATGATCCATTCATCCTTTTCTTTTATTCACTTGTTAAACGAGAATTGAAGGAGAGTCTCCATTATCCAGGTATCCTTGACGTCTCAGCGGATATCATTATGTGGTATCTGTATGGATAATTGAAGTCATAAATATGGAGATATTACTATTTAGAAAGACACTTCTACACCTCTCTGACCGGTCCGCAAGGGCAATTATTTCACAATCCCACCGTAATTACAATTGACCCGTACCCATGGAGGTCCCACCCCGAATAAAATTATCCTCAAAGGCTAATGGCATCCGAGAGGCGCAAAACAGTACTCCCCTTACGAGCAGCAACCTTAACAAAGGTATTGTTAAGCGTGCTCACAAGAGCCTGCGACTCAAACCCAGTGCGCTTAACAGTAGTAAGCAACGTCGTCGCATTAGAGTTCTTCGACGGAACAGAATAAACAGCCCAATTATCATACTCAGTAGCACCATTCCAGCTCATGTAGATGGTGGCCTCAGAATCCGAGAGCCGAGCAGAAGGCCCAACGACAGCGACAGGGTTCCAGAAAGGAGTAGCGGTCCAGGGAAACTTGAAGATACGGTAGGACTCGCCATACTCCTCGCTAACATCCATGGCACCAAACTGGCCGGTCATCACCACGTTGCCGGCCCCATCGTACTCCCTGAACTTGGGTGTGGAACCGTAGCCCAGGACAACGTGGGAGGATGTGGCGGCTTCGCCTAGGAACTGGAAGCTGCCCTGGGTCCGGGACTCGATTGAGTCGGTGGGGTCGGACAAATTGTGCATTAGGGAGCCGGTCATGCTGGTTAGGTCGAACTCAAAGGCCATGCCGGTTGATTCGGTCTGAGTGACACTTAGGCCGTTGCCGTTGTTGAAAATGCTCAGGACGAGGGCGTCGGCTGTTTCGTTGTGAATGCGGGCGTGGTGTTGCCAGGAAAAGCGGACATCTTCGCCGGTGAAATCACCGCCATCGACGCCCTGGAAAGATGCAATGTTAGTGATCACTTTTGGATGTGCGGAGAGGGATCTTGTGATACTCACGGCAAGCTGCCAGCGGACGGAACCGTTCTGGTTCAAATAGAACGCGGTCCAGTAGAAACGCATGGAAATCAAGAAACCCTCGTTGGTGGTCTCGACAGAGTTCATATGGTAGCAGTCCCAGGGCAACTCACGCGAGACATTAGGCGGAACGGACTTCCTAGACCCGGAGAGGGGAATTGCATCCAGGTGCTCGAGAGCATCCCATCGGTAAAGAATCTCATTGGTAGGAATATCGATCTCGTAGAACTGGCTGACGGACATCCAGCCATCAACTGGACCCCCAACAGAGCTGAGGTCGTGCTGGGTGACATTGATGGCCGAGACGATGATAGTGTTGCGGGGAGTAATAGTGTTTTCATGCACATCAATATAAGAGTCCCAGGTGTTGCCGCTGGCAGTCTGGAAGTCTCCCGTGAGTTTGACAGTGTAGATCTCTCTATAGGTCTCGTCCAGGATATGGACCGTGCCATAACCATAGCCACCAGACATCTTGGGCACACCAGACCAGAAGGTAATCACGTTCTTGCCGAACAACTTCTGCATCTTGAAATCCATGGTGATCTCCTCGGGGCCCTGGTACACGAGAGCACCATCATTGTCGTAGATGGTCACCGCACTGCCGGCGGTATTGTTGTTTCGGATGGGAATGAAGATCAGGCCCGGGTCAATGTCCCCAGTCTTGCTCACCTCTAGCTGGGGAGGCTGCCAGGGACCGGTCATGTATGTGTAGTCGTTCCATGTTGCGTCGGCTAAGGCGTTCGCGCTAGCGGACAAGAAAAGAGCGGCACATGCGGAGAGCAGAGAGCTCCGCATTTTATATAGAAAATTCAAACAAGTAATGACTGTATGGGGTTAGAGAAAATGATGAAATTTTGAAATTAAAGATCGTGATCGAAAGCAAAGAACGACAAAGAGGGAATGAATAGAACCGGCTGCCAAGGATCTAATGGATGCTATAAGGGGTTCAAGAGCTGAGGCTGTTGGGTCCTCATTGGGATTAGAGCCCTATTCCACGCGGATTTAGGAAATTTTAGCCTTTCGTGTTTTGTTTTCTTGTCGTTTTTCTCTCGATCTGTACTGTCAAACTGGGTCCACCAGACATGGAGATCAACATAATGGAGTACGAGTCGGCTACTCCGTACCGACAAACGAGGAAGAGCATCCACATATTTCTAATGGCTTGCTGTTTCTGTCCTAGGGCCCTTATGGAGTTGGTTTTTTGCCTTGGTTTGGCTCCTGTCAATCGTTGCCTCTTTAGGGGCCGAAGGGTCCATCGGCACAAATGTACAATCTTTGAGATGGTGGATTTGATAGACCACGTCAGCCCAGAAGGACCAAGTGTTTGATTGGTGCATACTTGCAGCTTGAAAAGTGACAGTATTTTGATTGGCCTTATTTCAATCAATTCTCCGAAAAGAACCATTGACTGACCAATCAGAGCCCAATGTTTTCAATAACTTGTTCCGCCGTCAAGCCTCTTTCAAAGTCCCCACTATAAACATTCCCGCTAGAACACTTGGCGAACACAAAGAAGATCTTGAAATATCTTGACGTCTGGACTCTTTAACCGATGGTATATAAAGAGTAAGTCCTGCGATAATAATTGATTAGCTGGTGCTTCACTCTCCCCAGCCGTATTGAGCGTTTTCTATATTTCTCCCAGGTATGAGGTCTGCACTCATACCTGCTAGGAGGTACCATGTTTTAACAAGCCGGAATCGCCTAGGCATTCCAATTTTCAATACTTGAACAAGAAAAACATACATGATTTCATTTTCCTGTCAATGTAGACAATTATGTATAGTAGTGTATGCATTTTACCTAGGCCTTTGAGTCGTTCTCCACTCTCAGTGGTAGATGACGGCCATCTACAGGAGTTTCCACCATATCAGTCTCGGGTGAGTCGCCACGAGCGATCTGCTCTCCATCTCGCTTTTCTATGTATGAGTGCCATTTGCGAAATATTTGGACGAAGAAATGAGCCACGCAGATCTGCTCGGTGGTGTAGAGCAGTACAGGCACAGAGGTTTGCGCCTTGAGGTATAAATCCAGCGGTGACCACATGGCGTACAGCAGTGGAATTCCAAGCGCCGTGCTCTTTGCTGGACCACAGAAACAAGCTGCAATGGTCTCTTTGGGTGGAAGGGGTTGGAACACAGCTTTGTACCATCTGTTTGAAGCAAAGATTTGAGGTGGTCGAGAGACGATGAAACAGATCCCTGTGAGGAAGATGTAAAGGGCGATGTTGAACAATACAACGAAGATAATGCTTTGGGTGTCCATTTCCTGGAGAGCCCCCGTGGCAAAACAAGAAGAAAAGGTGGTCCTATAAAAGGGTTAGAGATTATATTTGTAGATGAGGGCCAGCCCAAAGAGCACATACCAGATCAGCAACAACATGCAGACAGAAGCCAACTTGGGCAGCTTTGTCTTCTGCAACACCCGCGCCACAAGATCAGGCCATGTCCATCGCACCAATTGGCCCACGAACAAGGGCAACAACACACTCAGTCCCAATTGCTGGAAGACATTTCTGTACATGCTACTCATGTCCCCACCACCATACCTCCACGCATCAAACTCAGGAGTCTTGGGAATCAAAGCAACCGTCCACGCAGCAGTGACAAACGGGGCAAAAACATTGGCGATCAACACCTCCACCAGTGCCGCCGCATCATCACCGCCAGCAGACCGAGTCATTACCACATTGGAGGCGATGGTCGTCGGAATACAAGCCACAAAGATATACCCCGCCAGCACAGACCGGTTGATCTTGCCGGTCGGATCGCCAGCCAGAATAGCATAAACAACCACCAAAACCACAGCGGGGATGAACAAAAAGGAAATCACTTGCACGGTGAGGTGCAGTCTCCAATTCATGAACTGTAAGAAAAGCTTCCGGCGATCGATGCTCAGTCCCGAGATCAAGAAAATGATCGCGATCACACCGTACATGACACTATACTGGGATCGAATGATTCCGCCATGTTTCGCGACGTTGGGGAAGCAATAGGCTAGTGCGCAGGCAACTCCCATTCCAATGAGAAGCCATTGGTGTAATATGAATTTGAATATTTTCTTGGTGATGATCTGCCACCGTGGTGGTACCCGTGTCACCCCTTCTTCGACCGCCGGTGGCCCTGCCATTTTCATGGACCTTGGGTTATCAGATCACGAGGACATATGATTTCAATCTGCATGTGGCTATTTCTCTACAGATGCCAATTGAATTCGAGCGGATGAAGTAGTTGAGAAAGACAAAATTTCACGTCGATCGCGCGTTCGGCTTTACTCCGATCCTTCACCGGAATGTTATATCGGCGAATCCTTAAGCCGTGCAGCGATTCGACCGACATATGATGAGTCCATCGCCTTGGAAAATGTTTAAACTAATCATTATCCAGATCTAATCTGATAAACATTCAAGCCATGGCTTTGATCAACACACACGTGCAGTATATACCCGATATGCCAAGCTTTCTGTGGTCCGGTCCAGAACAAGGTGTTTTAAAGCGCCGATAATCGGTTACCCGACGACCAAGTCCGACGAGCATGACAGAGCTGATTTATCACGGGATTACATGTGAAGCTGGCCATGCATATGCAGATCATGATGGTATGTCATTGCGTGTGCATTACTTTGAAGTTCTGCGCTTGTTTAAGCGATTTTACCTTATGTTAAGTTATTTCTGTTCCAGCAATAACCGACGCTCCATTACTGGGTAAAACGTTCTACCGCCCACTTACCGATGACGTACACTGAACCATATTCTTCATGGATTGGCCAACGTGACATGAGAATGGATTTGACTGCAGTGACACGTATCTCGATTTAAATCCAAGACTTTCAAAAGGTCTTGGAGGTCTTTGAGGTCTCATGACTCGAATTGGTCGCGACAAATGACCTAGGCTGTGCTGCTTGAAATTGAACCTCGGCTGCGGGGAGGTCTTGGCTGATCCGAATTCTCCCGGCAGAACGAATGGCTCTTGGGGCGGCATTAGAGCAAATGCTCCCATGACGGCGGTTATCCATAGTAAAGGAATGGCTGGTTCATTTCCCGGAGTAAGTCACCTCCCTCCCCGGAGACCCCTATGTCTACAGAGTAGAAATTGAAGGGTTTGTTGGGTTAAATTCAGAGAGGAAAAGGGAAGAAACAAAACAACAATACTAACAATATAGAACATTCACAAGGAAATCTAGAGTTTATTTAAGATTCTTAACCTATGACGACAATCCCACTTAAAGCCTTGACGGCATGTGAGAGTAAGATCATTTCTGAGGATCCGGGGGATGACCATAACCGCAACTGCTTAGAACCGTGGGGGAGAGAGTCATCCTTGTTCCCGAAGGCCTCGGGATTGAACACAGTCGGTAATGACGCCTCGCGGTCTATAAGATTAATCCAATAACCAAAGTCATTTTGTTTCTTTTTATTCTGCTCTCTCTGCCTCTCATTCTCCGTACATCCCTTTCTCTATTTTTATCTGGACTCCTTATTATAAAGCTTCTCAGCGGAAAAGATCTATATACCCAACATCCGCTCGTCCAGTTCCCGCTCGCCCCGTCATAGCTGCTTCCTCCCCACAAAGTTCAGTGCCGCCACCTCAACCGAAAACATTATCCTCGGGACTTCTCGTTTAAAAAAAGAAGGGGCTCCTATAACTTAAAACTCCAATTGAGTCCACTTCGAAAAATATTTTCTTTTGCGTCATCTTCGGTCCAATATCGGCTGTCGAACCCCGGGATTGTATACTTCCGACTCCCTCCGCATTTCGCTTTCCCCCCGACATTCGGGAACCCTGCACTTCCGATCAATTAGCTTCTTTTGAATCACGACATATCGCGTGAGAAAAAAGAATTTGGTTTCTGTTTGACACTTTGCAAATACACCATCACAAAAAAAAAACATAATCATGTCTGCCAAAAACGTACAAGGAGGTCCCAATGGCAAGCGGACCTCTCCCGCCGTGAACCTGATTGGTACATTAAACATCTGTCGTCGGATTTGGGGACTCAATTGCTGACTTGGTGAATAGCTGGAGGTGGTGCCGGTATGATGGAGGCTCTCGTGTGTCACCCTCTTGGTATGTTATGCATTGCTCCGCGAAGACAATCGCAGAGCTCAATGGCTAATGTTTTCTTTTCAGACACAATTAAGGTCCGCATGCAGCTTTCACGGAGAGCTCGCGCTCCTGGTGTACGTTCAATCTTGAATTTCTTGGAGAATTCCCAAAATCCCAGTCGCTAATTGAGTATCACAGGCCAAGCCTCGCGGTTTCGCCGCCACCGGTGCCGAGATTGTGCGCAAGGAGACCGCCATGGGTCTATACAAGGGTCTGGGTGCCGTGCTGGGTGGTATCGTCCCCAAGATGGCCATTCGATTCACCTCATATGAGACATACAAGGGCTGGCTCGCCGACCCAGAGACCGGCGTCGTCACCAGCAAGGCTACTTTCCTTGGTAAGTGCCGCTGAATTCCTCAACCGCAGTTTCCCTTTGCGATTGCGACTTTTCACAAATTCCCTTGCTAACCCTGGTCATTTCATTAGCTGGTCTCTCTGCTGGTGTCACCGAAGCTGTCGCCGTCGTTACCCCCATGGAGGTGATCAAGATTCGCCTGCAAGCGCAACACCACTCTCTTGCCGATCCCCTCGACGCCCCCAAGTACCGCAGCGCTCCTCACGCCCTCTTCACCGTCGTCAAGGAGGAAGGTTTCATGACCCTGTACCGCGGTGTCTCCCTCACAGCCCTGCGCCAGGGTACCAACCAGGCTGCCAACTTCACTGCATACACCGAGCTCAAGTCCCAGCTGCAGAAGCTGCAGCCCGAATACGCCAACACCCAGCTCCCCTCCTACCAGACCACCCTCATCGGTCTCATCTCCGGTGCCGTTGGTCCCTTCTCCAACGCTCCCATCGACACCATCAAGACCCGTCTCCAAAAGACCCGCGCCGAACCGGGCCAGTCCGCTGTTACCCGTATCATGGTTATTGCCAAGGATATGTTCAAGCAGGAGGGTGCTCGTGCTTTCTACAAGGGTATCACCCCTCGTGTGATGCGTGTTGCTCCCGGTCAGGCTGTGACTTTCACCGTGTACGAGTTCCTTAAGGGCAAGCTGGAGAAGTCCACCTTGCCTTTCGTGGGAGGTCAGTTTGAGGAATAAAGTACCAAAAGTATAAAAGGTGTCAAGAAATAGCCCGGTGGGTTTCTCTTTTTTTGTTCTGGAAAAGGCATGTGATACCATACTGCGCATGGTGGCGTTGCGTTTCTCCTTGGTCGATTCCAAGTGCCAGTCACTGGAAAGATTCTTTGTAAATATGAATTATTTTTTTTATTGTTTTTTGTTTTTAATTGTGCATACCATATGGTTCTGGATATTCAAACTGATCAAAGTACATACTAAAGAATGTAAGGAGCAGTAGATTTATTATTGTAAATTGGGTTTCTGCCGTACCTTTAGCCAAGAGCCCATCAATCCCATTGTCAACGGCATAATGTAAAAAGCGCCCGCCATTCACCGCTTCACCGCTTCCCCGCTATCCATAACCATAAACAACCCCCCGAAACCCAACAGACATTCAGAGACAGTCAATCTGACATCATGCAGTCAGGCATATCCGGTAAGTAAAGTACTGCACAATGATACTCCAACTTCCGCTCAACTCATTGAGTCATTAAAGTACCCTTTATCCCCAAGTCTAACCATCAACCCCCATAGTCTCGAAGGAGCTCCGAGATGCCTTCTCCAGCTTCAACTCCGATCCCAGACTCTTCTGCCTCCCAGTAACCATCACAGGCGAAAGCCTCACTCCACAAACCGCAATCCCCTTCTCTGGATCCAATGACAGCCCAGCGGACTTCTACGCCTGCATCCCTAAGCTATCCAGCATCCTGCAGCCCAAGACCCCCATCTACCTCCTACTCCGGCGCCCGACAGCAGATTCATCGAGCCTCGTCGCCCTGACGTACATCCCCTACAATGCACCAGTCCGTCCGAAGATGCTCTTCGCCTCCACTCGCTCGACGCTGGTTCGCGAGCTAGGAACGGAGAAGTTCACCTCGAACGTGTTTGCTACTGAGGAAGAGGAGGTTGTTGGCGAAACTTCGTGGCGTGAGCGGGATGGGGAGTTGCCAGGTGGTGTTAAACGGGAGGAAATGATGAGCGAGAAGGAGCGGCAGCTTGAGGCTGTGAGGATAGCTGAGGCTGAGGCTCGTAGTGGAACGCCGCAGCGTGATATTGGGATTGGAGGTACCTTTGGTCCCGGCTCTGGGTCTGGCATGGAAATCAATATGTCTGTGGATGAAGAGGCCATTAAAGCTTTGGTTGATATTGAGGAGGCTGGGCTTGTGCAATGGGTATGTAATTTCGTCCGCTTTACATCTTCTTTTGTGTGCAGTCTATACGTCCCTACGTGGATCTGTACAGACTCGAATGCAAGGGCGGGGGAGACTGGTGAAAATTTTGGATTCAATGCTAATCACTGGTTTCTGTACAGACGGTTGATGTGCGCACAGAAAGTATTATCCTCGTCGATGCTAAGACCTGCGTTGATGCGGGCTCAGTGGCTACCCACATCGACTCGGCCTCGCCCCGCTATTCCTTCTATCAACACCCCGGGTCGGAATCTGTTGTGTTCGTGTATACCTGCCCCAGTGGCTCGTCGATCAAAGAGCGCATGTTGAACGCCAGCTCGCGGAGAACTGTAATCACGGTTGCCGATCAACAGTGTCTCAAGGGTACCAAGACTTTGAAGAAGGTATGAATGAACCAGACCGGAAAGTCGCCGTGCAGTCGCAGTCATACTAACGGAGTTGAACAATAGATCGAGGCTTCTTCACCGGACGAGATCACCGCAGAGCGATTGCAGGAAGAGGTTGACCCGCCGAAAGACCAGGGCATTTCACGAGGATTTGCCCGACCCCGTCGCCCGGGCCGGTAGATGATAATGCCGACGGTAGCTCCTTAGTCTAGTATGTAGATAAATAACAGCCCTTAGACCAGGCAGGACCTTGATCAACCAAATCAAGCGAGATTGCACATCGTCTGGCAAGACATGTCAAGTAAAAAAGAACGTCCCCTCCACCTGACCAAGACAGACTGTAAGACCATGCTGGATACGCGTCCACTCCAAAAACCCAGCCATGGAGAGGGGCCACAAGCCCCAATCAATGATTCCGAAAACTTTTCTTCTGGTAGAACAAATCCGTCCTGGAACTTCCCAAGTTGATAATCTTCGGGCACCCATCTCTGTCCTTCTCCAGACGCGTACACTCGAAGCAGTAAAAGGCGTCACTGATTCCCTCACCGCCACAGACGACGCACTTGTTCTGGTAGTTTCCGAAGGCACACTCGTCGCAGATGCGGACGAGGGTTGTGGGGCGAACGTAGGAGTCGCAGACGGGGCATTTGCCGTCGCACTTGTCGCAAAGACGGCCGATGGAGATACCGGGTTGCTTGCGGCACATAACCAGATCGGGGTGGTGACGAGACATGGTGGATGATTGGAATTGAAGTAATAGGATTCAAATTGTGCGGATGTGTAGAATGGTAGGTAGGTTGACTTGAATGAGTTGAATTATCAAGCAATGCGTGTGGTGTGCTCGGAGAGAAAAAGGAACTCAGCTTCAGAAGCTGGAGAGAAGCTGGAAGAGGTTAGCGTTTTGCGCACGGACCACGGGTAGTGATGGCCTTAGAAATCAACATCTGGACCTGGTGGAACATACATAGTGTACTTGGAACATTCCAGGTGTTCAATGTTGGGTTATGGGATCATCGAGATTCGGTCGTTTTTTATGCGAAACTCATGCTTTGTCATTCGTGCAGTCTTCCGCTTGGGATGCCTCTACCACCGATATGGATATTAGTAATTATCATCAGCATTTTGTATGATGAAACTTGATTCGAAGAAAGATTGAGCTCTAATAGTTGAATCTTCATGTCATTATACCTAGAATCATGGGTACCCCTGCTCCATTTTCCCGCTTACTTTCAAGCGAATCCCTTGTGGAATAGTGAGACTTGGAATTCCAGGGATCAACGCCCCATGGGCCGAGGCTCAATGAAGATCAAGAGGGGCACGAGACACATACATGGTCAATTCCCCTCCTGTAAGTGAGGTCATCGTAGCTTCAAGTTTCTTCTATTCTTCCCATTCCAAATCTCTTTCAATCTAATATCTTCGCAGATAGTCAAAGGAGGCACTTAAGTTAGTTGCATCCCTTCCATCTCGTGACCTACGATGTGGCAAATATGTACTAGTATGTACTGGGGTCTGAAACTAACTTGCGTTAGGTGGACACATGTTTCCCCGAGTGTGGTCTGCATTCAAATCGAGATCACAGACTTCTTTCTGATCACAGCATACAACACGCAGAAATATAAGCAAAAATAATTCAAGCTACCGAATATCTCTGAAAAGCAACCATCAAAATGCCAGTGGATAAGATCCGAGTTGAGGGCGACGAGCGCGTCAAGTATGAGTCTGCTACCTTGAACGGCCGGAAATACGGTCAGTGCCAGCTTGAATACCCACCTTCAGCCTTTTGCAAGATACACTCGTGAAAAGTACATACCTACGCCAGATCAGGGCCCCAGGCTAATAATATACATATCCGGCATACAGGCTATCTTCTCAGTCAACCAAAATCTGGTAAATACCGAGGCACCATATTTCTGGTAAGCTAGTTTGGCCTGGGAAACCAAGTACCAAGGTTTTCATTCGAAAATTCTAGTATCTTACTAACATCAACCTAGATCCATGGATTCCCAGATCTATCCATCAGTTGGCGATACCAGATCCCCATGCTGGTGAACATGGGACTGAGAGTCGTGGCCCCAGACTGTCTAGGCTACGGCCGCACGGTAAGGCGATACATACACCCAAGCCCAGTGCCTGAGATCTTCAAATTATAAGTCCATAAAAAACGGAATACTGATTTATATTCAAATTAATAGGAAGCCCCGGAGGACTACATCCACTATGGACACAAAGCCTGCGCAGACGACATGAAGGCTTTAGCCACGCACTTGGGCGAATCTAAAATCATCCTTGGTGGACATGACTGGTGGGTCTTAAAAGCCCAAACACTAGATAATATGTACAATGGCTGGATACTGTGCTAAGTCTATACACATACAGGGGTGCTTTTCTCGCCTACCGCATTGCCCTCTGGCATCCGGATCTAATCACACACCTCTTCTCCGTGTGTGTGCCATACTCGAGTCCCAAGAAAGATTATTTGCCACTCGAAGAGATGGCGAAGACCATCATGCCGAACTTCGGGTATCAGATCCAGTTTGCAAGTGGGGAGTTGGAGAAGGTCGTTCAGTCTAAGGAGGAGATCAAGCAGTTCTTGACTGCTTTGCATGGGGGTCGAACACCCGAGAATGAGTTTGGGTTCGAGGTGGAGGAGGGAGTCTTGCTTGATCGGTTTATGAGGTTGAGACATTCGCGATTGTTGAGTGAGGAGGTAAGTTCTCTTGCATCGTCTATAACGCTCATTGGGGTGGAGAGGAATGCGATGTTGATTTCTGATGCTAATGTTCTTTTAGGAATTGGAGTATTATGCGACAGAGTACTCGAGGAATGGAATTCATGGACCGTGTATGCCACATCCTTGCATTGCTTTTTTTGCAGAAAATAGAGGAAATTGTCATATTGCGTATTTGCTAACTGGATTGTATAGTGAACTGGTACCGAACGCGAGAACTCAATTTCGAGGATGAGCTGAGTATCGTTGGTCGGAGAATTACTATTCCCACACTTTTCATCCAAGGTCTTCGGGATTTGGCTCTGCCACCACATCTTGGGAAAGCTATGGGGAAGCAGATCCCAGACCTGGTTTTGAAGCAGGTTGATACCGCGCATTGGGCACTATGGGAGAAGCCCGAAGAAGTGAATGCCATTCTTGCTGAGTGGTTGAAGGACGTTGCCTTTGCAGGAAAGCCGTTGGAGAGGCTTTGAAACTGAAACATATTACGATTGGCTATTAGTTGTAGGTTCCAAGTATGAAGTCTGAAGTATACATACTATACACATGTGCACTTCAAAGGTTCAAGGTTAAGGGCTATCAATATGACCTAGAGATACTATACATACCGGTCTGCCAGCCAAACTGAGGTAATAAACATTTGAATTGAACATTTCAAGAGGGACCGTGCACTTAATAATCCACCGTAAACATATCGTTAAAGTGCTTGGATCGTTCATTGCGTATGCTATCTGGAGCTATGAATCCAAAAAAAAAGATGTAAAAAATTCCGGAGCTCGTGAAACGTAGGCAGTGTCGTAAGAGCGAAAAAGCGATGTAATGTACCGCGTATAGGAGAGAAACAACCGGAACAGTGGAAATCGGAGTGGAATGTGTGAATCTTTAAAAATCCCAGACCTTGGTCTCAATGTGAACACCAGCCTTGTCCAGACGATCCACGTACTCCTGACCCAGCGTGGCAGAGGTAACGATACCACCACGGGAGACCTTGCGGATCTTGTCTTCTTGCTGAAGAATGACCATAGCAGCCTCTGAAACCAGCAAAGCAGTCATGACATACATGGTTCCCTCATAGGTCAGCTTACCGAAAACGCGCTTTGGCTTGGGCACATCCTGGTCTGCGGTCGCAACGGCGTGGTACTCCACCCGGTCATTACGAGAATCTTCCAGTGTAGGACCGGCACCGGGAGCGAAGATACGCTTTCGTAGTAGCCAGCGCACAGGTGGAATCATCAGGAGCAGCAAGAGGATGTTGAAACCAACGTGCATGGCGACGGCGACGAGGGCATTGCGCACGTAGAGCATCTGGTGGAAAACAAACCGGTTGCCGTAAAACTCGGGCATCAGGGTGCTGCTGCGGTAGACGATGGCCATGTCGGCCATGCCGTTGGGGGAAGTGGTCAGGGTACCCAGGTCGGGAACAGAGCGCAGACCAAAGAGCTTGGTGATGATCGAGTCGCGGGGCACATGCTTGAGTGCACCGGAGCCTGTTAGTGAGAAGGGCCCGACGGAGTTGAGGAGCTCGGAGATTGGGAGCCAGTCATAGACGCTCAGAATGGTGTTTAGGGTGCCGCCACTGGCGCCAGATGACCTGATACAAGTTAGTTTTTGTGTTAACCGATATGTTGTATATGTTAAGAGCTTACTTGATGTCCTTGATACAGCTGTCGATGCCACGGGTCTGCGAACCAAGGTCCTCGCGGACTCTCTTGACAAGAGACCAGGCCAAAATGTCCGACGGGACACTTTCCATACCAGCGGAGGGGATGATCTAGGGATTTATTAAATGGGGTACAGCAAAACTAAGGAAGGAGGCTCACAATAGCGCCATTGGCCTTAGCTGTCTCATGGTACTTTTCAATGATCAACTTGATCCAGGGAGTCTCTCCAGTCCTGCAGGGGGGTTGGGGTCAGCCTAAGCGGCAAATAAAGGGTCGTCTGTCTACTCACACATCCAAGTAATGAGTTCCATTGTTGGCACAGGCCTCAACCACGGGGGTGGAGTAGAGGTGGTAAGGACCAATACAATTGATGATCAATTTGGTTTTCTGAGCAAGCTCCTTCAATTCGGTAGGATTCAACTGGACCGGGAGGACATCTGGGAAGGTGTGATTTAGCATATATCCAAGTGAAAGTAGAGTGATGCCAGATAATTTTATTGCATACCTGGTGCTCGGCGGTCTGGATTGAGCGCGTTGAGCTCCTGGACGATGGGCTCGATTTTGTTCACTGAACGACCTGCAACCGCCCATTTCAGATCTGTAGGGTGGTTCTTGACGATATGCTCGGCGCAGAATCGACCAGTATAGCCGGTAGGGCCCAGCAGAACCAGATCGTATTCCTTGTTGGAAGCCATTGTGATTGACTCGTGGGGTTGTTGTGTTTTGCGGATGGAGCTCCACTTGCGCAGGGCCAAGCTCTTGAGAGGACCACAAGCTCCTCGGCGCTAGTATCGGAGGTATGGCTTATTTAGAGGTAGGTTTCCGTGATGGAGCTGATGATTTTTTTATTAGAAAGGAGAAGCTAGCATTGCCCTTGAGGTTGTCTTGTTCACTTAAGTAGTACAAATTCATGATGAAATACGGATAGTTGGTTCGACCGAGGCCCGTGTACGGGGTTACCTCTGATCATTCCTCATGGCAGCACCACGTGACCTTACGATAAGTGAGGTCGCATTAGATGGGGTGTTAATATGTGTATTCAATGTTTGTATGTCAATTCAACTTGAGAAAACATAGCGAGTGGTCTATAAACGACGCACAAGTCATCGAACAATATTTTTTTTTCGCACCGAATATTCCCCTGCCAGGGTGCATGGATCCCCGGTGGACACAGAAATATAAGCGCTAAAAAATCAATACAACTGAAAACAGAAAAGAACCAATCATCGAATGCGAAAGAACCACAATTGACTGAAAATCATCAACGAATCGAATTTGACCGAATCACATGACGTCAAATGACATAATACTCCAAATCCAGTGATCACGTCTCCCCCTGTCAGGTGACCACACTACCGCCAAGCCCCATTAGCCCTAAGCGAGCCCACCCACAACCACTCTTCAGAAGCCTCTGCTCGATCTGCTTTGAACCCATCTTCAACCTACAGCCGCACTGCAGACAAGATGACCAAGCGCACCAAGAGTATGTCTCTCTAAACCTCTCCTCCCCTCTGAAATGAGGTCGTCGTTATTTTCAAAATGCTAATTCCCTTCTAGAGGTCGGTATCACCGGTAAATATGGTGTCAGGTATGATGATCACCCACTCCACGATTTCGCCCTCGCTCTCGAACGAACATGATTCCTCGCCCCGAGAACCGCGACCGGCAACACGAAAGCGATCGAATATTGACTCATTACAAACAGATACGGTGCCTCCCTGCGTAAGCAGGTGAAGAAGATGGAAGTCACCCAGCACGCCCGTTACATCTGTACCTTCTGCGGAAAGAACACCGTGAAGCGCAAGGCTGTCGGTATCTGGGAGTGCAAGGGCTGCAACAAGACCGTCGCCGGTGGTGCTTACACCGTCTCGTAAGTCGCCCGCAATTTTTCGGCACGATCTGGATCTGGACCTGGACCTAGACCTCGACGGGAAATGGAACAGGAACACCGGGACTCGTGACCCTTTGGGATCAATAATCAGAAGCTAACTGCTGGATGTGCTACAGGACCCCCGCTGCCGCTGCCACCCGCTCCACCATCCGCCGTCTCCGTGAGATCGCTGAGGTTTAAAAGGGGAGATGACATGGTTTTTTTCTACTCTACGATCACGTCTGAATACCAAAAATGAAAAACTTTGGAATCTAAGGATTTTGCATCGCACTTGAATTTCCGCGTAACGTCATGATTTTTTTCTGGAACCCTCGGGGCCTCTTTGGCCATGGCCGACCGGAATAGACAACCATTTCACCAATCATCCGACCGTACCTTCAAGCCATTCAACTTGTGATTTGAGTCCTGCGACCGTTTCTGGCAAGCGGCCAGATTGGATTCAATGGATTCAATATGAAAGCTTCAAGTGCGGCTGGTTTGAGGACTTGGCAATAATTGTAGAGGCCTGGGCTTCCCCGCGCCCGCCCCTTGACAGGCAACTGCCCCATTTGCACTCTTCACTGCGACTCTATCGGCCTTTTACGCCTCGTACATTCTCGGATCCTTTCTAATTTCGCGAAATAGTCGTGGAACCTCTAGCAACGTTCCTCACATGGGCCCACTTCCGTGCAGGGGCACCTAGGCGACAGGAATCTCTCACAAGTTAGACCATGACAGGTTTCCTCTACCATATTATTCTAATCGCGCTAAAAGGAAAAAAGAAAAAGAGAATGACCTTGCTGGCTAAATTGTGGAACTCGCCTAACTAGTAGCGACGTAGCCCTGGAGAGTTTCTTTTGTGATATAATGGGGCTAGTTGTATAGACCAGGGCAGTGTCACCTTGGGGACGCTACAGCAAGGGACGATCGCAGCCACCATTCACGATCTAAAAAATCCAGGTAGAAGGAGTCAAAGCGAAGACCATAGCTAGACATAATACGACCATACCCTATGACATAAAATTTGTTTTGTACCAATGCGAATTTATGTTTTTTCTGGCCGACGCTGGCTGATTCACGGAGGGCGCAAGTGCAGATGATTCGCCCTGTCACGTTGACGCCCTGTTTTGAGTTAGACTGGAAATTCCGGCCCACCTTCAAAAGGCCGGGCTCTCTTCTCCCCACACTTCCCTTCTTCTTTCATACATTTCCTGAAACGCTCTTCATGCCGACTCTCAGCCTTCTCTTCCCTGGCTTGATTCCTGTCCATGTCCGACACTTGCATTGTCTGTTTAGGAGACCTTGGCGAAAGCGCCAGTGATCCCGCCGAACCCGTGCCAAGACCTAGTAATCTCCACGATGCTACAAAGGTCAAGGAGGGTGTCGATGAGGATCCGGGTCAAATCGCCCAGTTATTGCCGTGTGGTCATATTCTGCACAATAACTGCCTAAAGCCATGGGTCGAGCGAGCGAACAGTTGCCCAATATGTCGTCGCAGCTTCAACATGGTCGAGCTGAGCGACCGACCTGGAGGTATGTGGTCCTATCTTTCAACAGTCCCTTTTGTCTATTAGTATACTGTAACTAACTTGTCTTCTCCCTATCTCTAGGTGTAGTAACATCATCATACGCCGTCCAAGATCGGGTGCAAGTCGCTGAAGTGGATCCGGGCATGATGATGGAGTACATTGATGATGATTTCGCCGACTCTCAACCATGTACAATATGCGGGGAAGCGGACAACGAGGACGTCTTACTTCTTTGTGATGGATGCGATGCCCCCTCCCATACATACTGTTTGGGATTGGATGAAATCCCCTCTGGGTCATGGTACTGCTCCACATGCGAGTCCCAAAGGGCGCTTGGACCGGCTCCTGAAGGGCCTAGTCGCCCCGCTCGTACAAACGAGACAGAGACACGACGAACCCGAGGTCAACGGCGAAGACTCCAGAGCCATAACCAGGTCAACTCCTTGCACTGGGCCCGGGTATGGCAGTCTGTTTGGGACCATCTAAATCTTGATCTAGACTTCCCATTTGACGATGGTCGCTCTGCCCAGCGAGTGATGCAACAGCGTCGTCGGGAAGAGGCCAATCAGCGTGAGTTCCGATCATGGCAACGCCGGTTCGAGATTGCTGAGCGACAGGGAGGAGGCAGTCGGTTCCGGGATTCAGCTTCGCTCTTTGATATCGAACCTGAAAGACAATCTCGACCTAGAGTTCCCAGAGCACCAACACCGGAGCCCGAGACATTGGAGGAAATGCGGGCTTGGAACGCATTTGAAAGGGCTCGCGAAATTGAGAACAACCCCAACGCTGCACGTAAGCGCAAAGAGCCGACCTTGTCCCCATCCCCTGAGCCCTCAGAGCCACGCCGGAAATTAAAACGCCCGCGCACAAGACGACCGCAAGATCTCGCTGCCATGGCTCATCAAAACGGAGAATCTTCGAGAGCTGCGGGGTCGAGCGCAAGAACGAACGGTGAAACTTTTGGTGGGCCGAGCTTCTTGTCCTCTCTTTTGAAGGAAGTGGAGGATGCATCTCCTCCAAGCCACTCTACCTCTCTTGGTCCCTCTGCTACTGCGTCTATTGCCCCCGTCGATCATGTTACTTCTGGTCCATCATCTCCATCCATCTCCCCCGCTTCTTCGAGCCATCCGTCTCCTCGGCTGGCATCCAGCACGCCCCCTCCTTTCTCCCGCAACCGACCTGTCTCCCCACTTCAGCTCTCCTCCCCAGCTGAACCCTTCTCTCCTCCATTCTCGCCCGAAATTTCTTTCTCCGGGACGCCTGATGCCTCCCCTACTTCCGATGATGCCGAGCCGCGGCGTGAAGCGGCGCGTCCACGATCCCGCATTCCTCGGCGAGCCCTCGAGCTAGCTCAATCTCGATCCTCACCAGAAACCTCACCCAGCCGGAGTGGTCCTTCACTCACCGTCAAGTCTGCCATTCAGAAAATGGTCGGGACCTCTTTGAAGCCTCACTACCGCGCCAAGATGGTGACTAAAGAACAATATACGGAGATCAACCGCACGATTTGCAGAAAGCTATACGAGCGGGTTGGATCTGTTGAAACACTGAATCTTCAGCTCCGTCTCGAATTGGAGCAACTCGCGAAACGCGAAGTGCAGAGAAGTGTAGACTCTCTGCCCAGCAACAAGAGGAAAGATAAACAGCCCATGGTGACATCTGAAAGCGACGGCGATATTCAATGACTGTGATGATATTGTATCAGCATTTTCAACGGCGTTTTTTTTTTCCTTCTCAGCGAGCGATTTTTGGTTTGTTTCTGAAGGATAATGTACTACACATTTGGCGTTTTGGTCATCCGATATGGAGTCTTTTCTAAGGTTTCTTTCCTTTTCTTCAGCGAGATATTAACTGAAACTTGTTTCAATTCCAACATTTTCTTGTTACTTATTCGTGCATGTCTTGCGAGTTGTTTACAGCGTCTTTGGCAGCGGCATCATCAATTTTATATTATATAATGTTAAATATTGACATCTTGATACCTCCAGTTTCATATACACCCGTCTAGTACGCTCTGGGCATGGCCTCCTTGGAACATTCAAAATGTTGAACATGGATTCCCAGCACTTGAGTGTTTCCAATCTACACTGCTCAAGTAGTATTGCCCACGTGAGCCCTGGAGGCGCCTATTATACTTAATACCAATCAACATGAAGAATACCGTGGATTATTACATATCTAGTACTCCACACTAATATAAGAAACAATAAGCAGAGATATTGGGTCATTCAATTTTTCTCCCTGTGGATCAGTACTTATCAGACAACTGGAGAGCCTTTTTCCCTGTTACCGAGCTGTACAGTAACTTTGACGATGAGCACCAAAAACAAGCTAGTTTTAAGCTAATACGGAAAGCGCTAGTATAACAAGTGTGATTTGGCATAAGCGCTAGTAAAGAAACTAAACATCAAGAACTTGAAATTAGGAGCTACATAACCAGTCACAATCAACAGTCCGGAGAAGTCCCGATATTATTAGCACCGCTTCGCCCCCTGCATTTGGATTTCGAAATTTTCTTACAGAGCCCAGATTCCTTCCAGTTTGAATCTCCACAAGTCGAGTATGAGAGGATGAACCATTGGTGTAGCCCTCCAGGTCTCGTAAATCTCAATCAGTGTGAAATGACTCGTACAATATAGAACAACATTCAAATATAAATAGGGTATTGCATGTGTGAAGAAAAGTAAACAAACCCCTGTGGAGGCTGGTGCGGCGGCTGCCCAAGCGGGTCACCCACATGGGCTGACAAGGATGCATCCCTCATGCTAAATTAAACTAACTGGATAAGTACTCCGTAGATAGCGTACATAATCCACATGGGTCCCTTATTTTTTCTGAGCCCATGCCCCAGTGACCCCAGACGTTTTGTTCGAACCTCAAGGTTCCTCGTGCAACCACCATGTCAACGAACGGATATACAAACTGCGTGTCAGGCACATTCTACGGCATCACAGACACAGCCGATAATGAATTCTATCCGGGCGAGACCTTCAATATGCAATGGGGGACCATTGAAGATGGCACCCTCCCATTAAACATATCTCTAGGTCGAACAGGAGGAGGTCTAGTAGACCAGATCGTCGGTTCGTACAACCCTTCCCTTCCTCAAGTCCTCACCTCCGTACCCCGCGATGAAATCTAACAAACAACCCCATTCTAGTGGATGCGACCTTCTCCACAGACAGCGTCCTGTACCAAATAGTCACAAATACCACCGCAAACTGCACACTCGAACAATATAGCTGGGCTATTCCTTCCGACTTCAACACCAGCAACCCACAATACCAGATCGGCCTGTTCGACGGCTCGGCCCTTCGCGGCGATAACAACAATGGATGGAGGGCCTGGAGCCCGCTCTTTTACGTCCGAGATAAAGCTAGTGTCGTCACAGCGTCGTCAACGGTCACCGGGTTATTGACAGCCACCGCGGAGACAAGCCCCACTGCTACCGCAACATCCACAACATCGACACAATCCTCCACTTCCACATCCACTTCCACATCATCCAGCCATAGCTCTTCTAATTCTACTGCCATTGGGGTCGGCGTCGGGGTGGGCGTTGGCGTTGCGGCGCTCGCTGCATTGGGGCTTTTCTGGTTCTGCTGGCGGAGGCGGAAATATAATGCTGTCAACCAGGATCACCATGAGACTGCGGAAGCGGCTGAACTTCCGGCCAGATCAAGGTCTGAGCTGCCGGGGACTGTGCCGATTCCGGTTGGGAAATCGACGGAATTGCCTGCGGGGAATCATGTAGGAGAATTTGAAGGCGGGGAGGAAGTTGTGAAAGTGAAGTCGATACATGAGATGGAGTAAGACTATACATATTACTATATACCAGTTGACTATATTGTACTAGATAATTAATGGACATAGCTCTTTGAACCTCAAGTGCTTACACAGAGAGGTCACATTTCTGTCGTGTAACTAGAAGGATGCAGTCTTGATAAGTGCAAAATTGGTGTATTAAGTCCATAGTTCCACACGCTCCTAGTATAAGCCAGTTCTTATTTCCACATCCCTAGAATCGCGCGTAGCTTAATAAAGTCAATAGTGCCATATACTCCTAGTATAAGCTAGGTCTTATTTCCACATACCCAGAATCGCGCATAGCTTAATAAAGTCAATAGTGCCATATACTCCTAGTATAAGCTAGGTCTTATTTCCACATACCCAGAATCGCGCATAGCTTAATAAAGTCAATAGTGCCATATGCTCCTGGTATAAGCCAGTTCTTATTTCCACATCCCTAGAATCGCGCGTAGCTTAATAAAGTCTATAGTTCTACACATTCTGAGTATAGGCCAGTTCTTATTTCCACATCCCTAGAATCGCACGTAGCTTAATAAAGTCCATAGTGCCATATGCTCCTGGTATAGGCCAGGTCTTATTTCCACATCCCTAGAATCGCGCGTAGCTTAATAAAGTCCATAGTTCCACATGCTCATAGTTTAAGCTTAGCCAGGTCTTATCTCCACATACCCAGAATCGCTGTGATTCCTTAGGTGCTTTGAGTCCTAGATTGGAATAATCTATTTTTAGAACTCAAAGATTTTTCGCGCGTTGCTTAGTTAACATGAACTTCTAGTAGTCTTATATACGTCCACGCATGAGAAATTCTTGCCTAACTTTTCTGGATTCCTGTATTAGGTTAGACTTCAATTTCAGATGTTTCTCCAAAAAAAAAGAATACCAACATGCCTCCGGAAATTATTAAAGGAAAGAAATGTGGAAATGTGGAGAAATGCTTTTAACAAGCAGATGGTTGAATGTTGGTGATGTGATGGAGTACCAATTTTGGAATCCAGACTATCTACTACCTGCATGTGGGTATTGCTTAGATTATATAGCCAAAAATGGGAAACCAGTCATCAACCATTCCAAGTGGCCGAGCGGAAACTCAGCTATCTCATCTTCCTTGGTCTAGTGGTCATGATTTCCGCTTGTCATTAACACCGATAAGCGCGGGAGACCGGGGTTCGATTCCCCGAGGGAGAGATTTCTTTTTTGCCTTTTCTTTTTATAATCCGGCTATCTCCACCTCCACAACATCTGTTCAAATCTATTTGTTATTTATGCAAGGCCCTTGGGGGTTACGAATAAGATTTCATTCATGGATTTTTTTTTGTCACCGTACAGGCATAGTTTCATGCCCAGGTGTCACGCCAAGATTGAATGTCAATTGGGTAAAATTTCATTTCATGATCTACATATATGTAAGCAAGCTCTAGCCCATTGGAGACACGCTTCTTGCATACATTCAAGGGTTTAGTTTTCTTTAGAGGACTCTTTCTTGGCCCCATCCTTTTCATCCTTGTTCTGATCGCTCTCGGGTTGCTTCTTGGCTTCTTCTTTTGGAGAGTCCTTCTGCTTCGAAGAGGTTTCTTTTTCACCGTCAGAGGACTTGGTAGCGTCGGACTGTACATTGCTTTGTTAGTTACCATCGAATCGCATTTAATCGCAAGAGTTGACTGACCTTGTCCTTCTTTGAATCCTCACCGGATGATTCCTTCTTGGGTTCCCTGGAGCTCTCTTCCTTGGGATCCTTGGAGTCCTTGGAATCCGTCTTAGAATCCGTCTTAGAATCGTTCTTGGGCTCCTCCTTAGATTCCTTCTTGGAATCCTTTTGGCCATCGCTCTCTGCACTCTTCTCAGAAGACTCCTTTGGTGCCGATTTGTCGTCTCCCTTCTTCTCACTAGATTGCTTTGACTTGCTCTCCTCCTTGGCCGGTTTCTCAGTCTCATCTGCAGACTTCTCGTCACCACCTTCTTTCTCCGCAGGCTCCGCCTTATCTTCCGCTTCAGCTGCAGCTCCGTTTTCCTCAGAGTCCTCCTTGGGCTCATCAGCATGGCCGTGGGATTCGTCATGAGGCTTCTTCTCCGGGCCCGCTTGCAGTAAATAGTAGAATACCGGAGCGCTCACTCCGACGGAGCCAAGGAACCTACATCGCCAAAAACATGTTAGCAATTGGATTTGCGTACAGAGTACACCCGGGCGAACTCTCAAACACGTAGAGATTGAAAGGCCAATTCCCTTGGAAGGAGATGCTTACCATGGCAGATCACTAGTAGTATGATCCTCATAGCCCTTGTCATTTTTCCCGCTGGAATACAGCCTCTGCCCTAACAGCTGGACGGGACGGCTTGCCCTTGGAACAGCACGGAGACCCTGGGCAGTGGTGAAAGCACGCAATGCCGAACGACGTGTAAAAATGCCAGCCATGATTGTGGGACGGTATGAAAAAGAATATGGATAAAGCAATTAGGTATGTATGGAGAAGAAGAGAGAATCGGTCAGGTACGAGAGGGTGGGAAGAAAAGAAAGGAAAGCTGCCACCGCCAAGTACCCACAGACGTAACCTGCAGCTACGTGCGCCTCCCCTCTCTCTCCTCCCAGGATTCAGCAAGCTACTAAGGCCCAGTTTCCGGGGTCGTAAGACCTATGACCAAGTTCCCAGCCGCTTCCGTTGGTCTGTGCGCAGTGTGACGAGTGATGTAATGGCATATTGAGTTGCCTTTATCCCTGTTGGTTCTTGTAGGTACCGTTGCCAATTTGTTTTCTGAAAGTCTGGTATATTTATTAATGATATGAATCTCAAATTTTTCGAGCCAGTTAGCTTTGACTATAAATTTAGTTGGGTATTTTCATTTTGCTGGTTGGAGGTTGGAGCTTCCATGGATAGAGGGTCCCGCCTATCTGATTAGATCTTGGTGGTATCTATGTTTAGCACATCCACCTACAGTCATGAGTCAATATACTTTAGGAATGCCACTACATATAAAATGTCCCCAATTATTCTGGGAAGAAGTGTATGTCTCCCTGGTATTACGTCCATCGGCAACATTCAAGCCTCGGGGCCCAAACTTGATGGCGTAAGACTCAGGTCCAGGATGCGCACACAAGTAACTAATGCTGACGCCAAAGGTCCATTTCGGCCCTTTTTTTTTCTCTTGCTTTCGATATTTTTTTTTTTTTTTTTTGCAAAACACAGTGCAATGAATGCTATAAGAGTTGACGCAAGGTTTCCAAGAATATTTTATGATTGAAGATGAACATTGAAGAGACCCAGCAACTAGATTGATTGCCTGAGGCCAAATTTTAAGCCTCAGGCATCATACATTGTAACTCCACCAAGATTGAAGCTCATGCCTCAGGCAACAACCCCACGTTGATATCACCATCACGAAGCCGACCTTCCTTCTTTGAAAGATACACCCTCGAGCTTCCGCTTTAGTTTACAACAGAAATCACCCGCCTCCGGAGATCTGAGATAGTCATGGCAGACCGGCAACTGACTCAGCAGAATATTTCCTCTCTGCTGGGAAAGCTCGATGACCCCGACGCTGATTTGCGGTATATGTCCTTGAATGACCTCTTCGGGATCCTGAACAACCCCCAATCAACCTTTATCGCAAATGACTCCCGCTCTGCACAAGGTCTTGCGGAAGGCTTGTTGAAGGCACTGGATGACCAACACGGTGATGTCCAAAATCAAGCACTGAAATGGTTTGCCTCCCCACGCGTGCTCTTCCAGGTTGACTGTAATAGATAGCTAACCTCGAGCTTTGATACAGTCTTGGCCCACTGGCCCTCCGCTTACCATTTGAATCACTCACATTACTTCTCGAGAAGTTGACCACCATGACCGCTTCTCAGACCATCGATACCTCCGTCCCCAGCACCGCCCTACGCACAATTGTTGATACCCTCCCTCGGCCCCAAGCTGGCCAACCCGCCCCACAGAACGTCCTCATCGCATACTCCGCAGTCTCGAAGATCCTGATTCCTCGACTGACAGGACCGACCCAGTCAGCGTCAGGTAGACGTGGCTCGGTAGTGCGGGGCATGTTGGAGAAAGATTCGTCCAAGGGCTTCAGCAGCGAGGCAATTGATGTGCTCATCAAGGTTGTGACATGCTTTGGCCCGCTCCTCCAGGAGTCCGAGCTGGCTGCCCTGCAAGAACCTGTCATGGCAATCATCCACAATGACACGGCAGGAACCGTCGTTACCAAGCGTGCCCTGACGGCCATCTCAGCGCTGGTCCTCTACTTTTCGGACAGCCAGTTACACAGCTTTGTGGTTAGCCTGATAGAATCCCTTTCATCACCTAAGATCTCTATCGTGCATCGCCGCCATTTGATTGCTGCTATCGGCACTATCGCTCGTAGTGCCCCAGCCAAGTTCGGCCCGCACTTGACTAGCTTGGCACCTTTCGTCTTTTCCGCGGTAGGCGAAAGCGCCGTTGAGCAGTGAGACTGAATGAATATTGCTAATTTAACCGCTCCGTCTGCGGGGAACTGTTTCCTTGTAGAACGCTAGCCGGTGCAAACTTCCCACGCCCGAGGAATGGAAACATTTATTCTTATCATGAAAGCGACTGGGAAGGGGTTTTGTACGAAGAAGCAGAAACGCATCTCATGCCGGAGTGTACCCGCTTTCCACGGCTATAGTACAGTGGATGTCCCGGCATGCCTAAAAATTTAACGATACCCATGTTGATGTTTCATTTCAACTAAAATGAATATCACTTAAATCATATTGCATTGATAATAAGGTATCTTGCAATTCAACTTGTCCATTTTCCTTTTCGTATTTTCATAGCTCACCGAAAAGAAGTACCCCTTTGGCTCCTTCCATTTCCGCCATCTTAAATGGACCACGCCTTCCCAGTCTACAAATGCTCATCATGTTTTCCCCTTCAGTTTCTTGCCATGTGAACTTTTCTCCTTCAACCTCTCCTCTTCCCTGCATAGCCAGCTTATCATACATTATACTTCGTCATTCTACTAATATATTCCAAAATGCGTTTTGAAAACATGTTAGTTCCTTTTGCCATTCTTGCAGGCATCACCTGGGGCTTTATCGGCGAGCGGCCTGCACCAATCAACCCAACTGTTGAACAGGCACCAATCATCAGACATCGTCAATACTCGCCCTGGCAAATTCAAACCATGCCAACGGTGACGCAAGATCTGGTTGAGCCTGCTACGCCAGCCAATGTACCAAAGTCTCCTCAGCGTCGTTTGGAAAATGTTGCCCCCGGCGCTACCCTCGATTACCGCTGTGGTAAAACACACGGAAGATGTCCTAGTGGAACATGCTGTTCCAGCTCGGGTAAGCCAGAAAGAACACCCTCGAAGTGGTTTGACAAGCACGGATCCTAATGTGAATTGATTGAAGGTTTCTGCGGCACCACCAAGGCGCACTGCCGCTCTCCAGATTGCAAGATCGACTATGGCCTGTGCGATGCCCACAAGACACCGAAAGGCCCTCCCACCAGTGACATTCTCCGGCCTCACATCGGTGTCGTTCAATACGGCCCTCAACAGATCAGATCTTGTGCAGTCCCAGGAACGGTCGCTTTGACATTTGATGATGGACCCTCCAGATACACCGGTGATCTTCTTGATTTGCTTGACAAATATGAGGCACCTGCAACTTTCTTCGTTACTGGTATCAACAACGGCAAAGGTGCGATTGATGACCCAGAGCTACCCTGGGCTTCTTTGATCTCACGTATGCTGCTCGGTGGCCACCAAGTTGCCAGTCATACCTGGTCCCATGAGGACCTCAGCAAAGTGACAGTCGCCCAGCGTGTAGATCAGATGGTGAAGAACGAAGCTGCTCTTCGGAACATCATGGGCAGTTTCCCCACCTACATGCGCCCGCCATATTCTAGCTGTGAAGAGGGCTCTGGGTGTCGTGAAGACCTGGGTCGGATGGGCTATCACATCGTGTTGTATGATGTCGACACGGACGATTACAAGAACGACAACCCGGGCTTGATTCAAAAATCAAAGGATATTTTTGACGCTGCTTTATCATCTGGAAACCCTGCCTCTCATTCCTGGCTGATCATTGCCCACGATGCCCATGAGCAAACGGTTCACAATCTTACGGAACACATGTTACAGACAATGGCACGCCTCGGGTATCGTCCTGCCACGGTCGGAGAATGCCTCCGGGATTCACGGGAGATGTGGTACCGCAAGGATAGCCGCTGGCCTGGACACAAGAAGACATCCACAAAGACCAAGCCTCCTCAGATATCGATCGACGGCACCTGCGGCAAGAACTACACCTGCCTGGGTTCTAGTTACGGAATTTGTTGCGGCCACTGGAATCTTTGTGGGAACAGCTCTAGCCATTGTGGACAAGGTTGTCAAAAGGATGCTGGCTACTGCTCCGTGGAAGTACCCCACAACGGTGATGCATGGGACCCAAGTGTCCCAGGGAAGAGTAGCAAGTCGGAAGCAGACTCTGATTTCCGAGCTGTTGGTACTGCTGCTGTGGTTTCTTTGTTCTTGGCATTGATTGTGGCGATTTGGATGTGATGGATCGAGTTTGCTTTTGAGCCAAAGTATCCCTTTGGTTTTCGGTTCTTGTTTTGGGTTGAAGTTTGAAGTTTGAATTCTCGAAATTATATTTATAGCTATGCATTCGATGCTTGGACTTCACCCATGGTTTGCCGATCATTGGCCTCCAGACCGTGAGTTGTCATTGTTTCCATGGCGAGTTTGTATTTCTGGGATGAAGCCTGTGAGATAGCCGGGAATCGAGATGTAAAAGGAGAGGCTCTACTGTTTATTACTCCCCAATCAAAATTACTTCTTCTAATAAGATAAAATCTCTCAATGCCTTATGAGTCCAATGCTGCTGATTCTACTCAGCTGAAAAGTCACATGAGCCGCATATTAAGGTTCACTATTATTTCCCAATGAGGCATTTCCTAATCAAGAAATAAGCCAGGACTTCGATGTGTACGAACTTCAAGTTCCAAAAAATGTGGTTAGCAAAGCTGGCTTCCAGATAAAGAACTCGCAAAATAATATACAACATGTGTCAGTAACATTCTGATATTGTAATAAATGGATCTAGCACACGTCAATCATCCCCAGGTCAACTTTCAAATTCATTTCGTTAAAAACCTGGAGTCTATAGATAAATAACCATCACCCCGCGACCCATGCACATGTAAGATGGGGGCCCCGGGGCCACGCCTGAGCCAAAAAAAAAGAGTCCATGAAGAAAAGATACCAGATCCGGAAATCATCCGAAACAATCCGACTGTAGAACATGACTCCTGACCAAAAAAGCAGACACTGTAGCAGCACTCGATACATAAACGGTAGATTTCCCCTCCAACCCCCATCGATCCCTCTCGCCTTCAAGTGCTAAATAATTACTACTACCATACATTACTACACAAGTTCGAAAATCCAGGCCTCAACACCTTTTCTTCGACCACCGAATTGAATACATACCACAACCATTCCACAATGAAGCTCTTCGACGTGTTCCTCCCTCCTGCAATTCTAGTCCTGGCCATGGCCGATTCGGTCACAAGCTCGCTAGCCAGACTGGAAGAGATGGCCAAGGTACTGACGATGTCGGTTTCGGTCTCTGCAGCCATCGTGCGCGAGTCGCCTGCTTCGAAGTGGAGGGTGAAAGCGTGAGGGAAATTTTTGAGCGCGAGTGGAATGACTTTATGAATTACGAATTATGGTTGGTTGAAAGGTACTCATTGCGATGTTCGTATGCATGAGGATGCATTTCGTTTGAAATGCCCACACGCTGACGGTGATGCGTGTTGTAGACTCTGTTGACATGTTAATCCTGACCTACGGTCGAAGACAAAGTTTCTGAGCGTCGAGTCGAGGCGAGGTCTAGGGTGCCCCAAGAAACCTCGGGAAATGATATGATGAAAGGGATGGTTTGTTGAAGCAATGGAAAGATATATTAGTACATATATACTACTTTGAGATAATGATGATGGTGACTTGGCATTGCAAACACAAATCTTTGGAGCATGGAATGTGTTACCAGAGACAGAAATAAATTTAAGAATCAAAAAATCAAAGATCCAACGTACAGCAGGGGTATAATGATGATGTGCAAAATGACTGACAACCGGAGCCAGGGATAACAGAAAAGTGATTTAAACTCGACAAAAAGGGAAGAACAGATCGGAATTCAAGAAGGGAAATCTGTGAATCGATTGGAAAACATCACCAAGATCTTATTTGCGCACAATTTTGAGCAATGGCGCAATCCGAGCCCGTTTGCTTAGACCAACACGGTATGGAACTTTGCTGGTCGATGAAATAGGGCTATGCTTTGCTGGTCCTTTGCGAGCGGTTGTGCTGCCGCCGGCCATCGGGGTGCTTGGGGTTTGATCTGGTTTATGGGGAGTTTGCGGCGGTGCTTTGATTTGGTCATCTTCTTGAGGCACATGGGTATCTTCTTGGAGTAGGGGATCTGCGTTCTCTGCTTCATCGGCCTTCCCTCCAGCTCTTGGATCGGAGGGAACCTCGGCTGGGTTGGCATTCGGTTTCAAAACCTCGCTGACTGGTGGAGGATTCTTCTCCACAGGCTGTACCTGGGCAGCCTCTGTGCTTTCCTCAACTACTACTTTCCGCTTGCGCCCGCGTTTTTTTGGGGCAGGCTTGCCTGTGGTGGAGCTCTCCTCTGTGGAGACAGTGGCATCAGGTTGCGGTGTTCCAAGGTGGCTGGAGTTTGGACCAGAGATACCCTCCACTGGGTTGGCATTGAATACCAAGACTTTGCTGAGTGGTGGGGGATTCTGTTCTATAGCTTGTTCTGAGGAAGTTTCTGTGGCCTCTTCTGCTACTATCTTCCGCTTGCGCCCGCGTTTTTTGGGAGCAGGCTTGCCGGTGGTGGAGCTCTCCTTTGAAGAAGCGATTGGATCTGGTTGTGGTGTTCCAGTGTTACTGGAGCTTCTAATGCTCGACTCGGTACCTGAAATATTTTGTCCTTGCGTCTCCCGGACCCCGAGAGGCCGCGAGTCCACCCAAATAACATCGTCATCATCTGACACTCGGGAGTTTGATATGGCAGGGGCATTCTTGATTTTCTTCTCCTTTTTCTTCTTGTATTCTTTGGTAGAAGATTTACCAGATGTGGACAACCGGTCGATTTTGTCGGTAGAGCTAAGCTCATCCAAATTATTTGTGCCACTGGCCTCAAGCGCGTCATTTTCAAAGGCAATGGCATTTTCTGAGACATATTCGCTGCCTTTATCTGCGGAGGCAGGTTGAATGGGTGGTTCTGGCATTGCTTCCCGAGCCTGCTTACTTGGACTGGGTTCAGGACCACCATCCATAGCGAGTTCGTCGTCATCATCATCTTCTGGCAGAAACTCGTTCGATGGACGAGTACGCTTTACAGCCGAGGGAACCTGCACGTATACAGCGGGAGTTGCAAGCTCGTCGTAGGTACTTTCCGGGGAACGTTGCGGAGACATGAGTTCCGACATCGTATTGTCTTTGGCCTTGTTCAACCCTGGCGATACCACAGATGACATGGGTTCAGTATCATGCGGAGAACCCATCATTGATTGCATTGGATTTTCTCGCTGCAATGCTTTATTCGTTGGGATACCGGGTACATTTGGAAGTGTTTGAATTGATGTGGTAGCCGTGAGTCCGTCTGATGGTGAATCAACGTGCATCAAGGTAGCTGGCGTACTGTAGTCATAGGCGGGCGCAACACACGGTGCAAGAAGCTGAGTTGCTTCGTATGAAGCATTTTGAGACACTTGGTTATATGTGAATTGGCCATGCGTCGCTGGGTTCATCTGATGAAATTGATCTGGCTGAATAGCTGGGAACGACCCTGGCTGGGAGATTTCGCTGGGGTAATGGGTCGCGGTAGAAGGTAGATGCTGACCGGCACTTGAAGGATCGTCGAATAACCGTTGTTGCGCAAATCCGATTTCTGTCATCATTGCGTCTATGCAGTAATTAGTATATGGTTTTCGAGAAATGGTAGGGGAATTACAGTCGGAAGACCGCGACGCACTAATTGATCCACCCCCACCTTCCGTGGTCGAGGGAATCCATCTTTCTTCGCGCTGTTGTTGGGACGAAGTAGAAGCTGCATGTGTTCCTTGCGACTGCAAGAACTGATCGAAGTTCACGTTCAATTGGGGACCGGGGAAACCTTCGGCGAGCGTATGTTCAGTCGTGTGTGCATCCTGATGCGCGGGATGGTCGTGATGTTGGACACTGGGGAATTCTGGGTCTTGAAGAGGATCAAGAGAAGCCGGCAGATCATCCTCAATGAGAGGCTCCTCCTCATCGGAGTCTTGTATAACTCGATCCCAACCCATTTCAAGCAATGCGATTCGAGAAGTGGGAGAAAGCGGGCTTATCGAGCGCGTTTGGATAAAACACGTCCACACGTGATGATAAGCGAAGTATACAAAGCATCGTAACTACAGTAAGCCGAACGTCCACCAATGATTGGCTATTATTTATCTTATTACTTTAAAGAAAGGACTCGACATGAACTCTTTGTTATTCTTTCATCTGTTACAAGTCTCATTCTTTGGCTAAAAATACGTTTTTCCTTCCATTATTGCTCTTTAGGCTAACAAAGGACAATCACATTGTGTTGTCCATGAAAATCAAGTGTTCAATAATATAATTAGATGCTTTGTTCCCCGAGGATGCATTGATTGTCAAACTTGAAGGTCTTTGTGTATCTTGGCTTTGCATTGTGTAGTGGGACTTTCATCTCTTTTGGCTCTTTGTATCCATTTTTCTTCGAAGCCAGCAATATCTTTGGTCTCTATTTTAGCAAAAGCCATGAATTGGCTATATAAGCTACCATATCCCCCCTAATCAAGGTATCATCTATCTACTATTCAAGGCACTTCAATCATCGAATTGTGCAAACCTCGATCAGCTTCACAAAAATCCCGCTAAAAACACGGTGAGTGTCTACTATTTGTTACCTGACGTCAACAGTCAACGACAGCAAAATGTCATCTACTGGCTCTCTGAATCGCGTTGATTTCCAACGATCTGGCGCAAAGCGACAGGAATGGCTCAGCGACCCTAGAGCTCAACGTTGCCCTCTAACTATCTCAACTCTTAAACTTGATGACCTCCAACAATCCTGGCGAATCGACCGTGAACAAATTTCCCTCCCAAGAGAATACCATCCCCGAGTCTCTCGAGTTAGAATTCCCCTAGAAGCCAATTTTTATAGAACCGAAGCCGTACCACGCAATGTCTATGCCGAGTGGACTGGAATCATTGGACCAGGTATGATCATTATTGAGTCGATTGGACGGTCAAATAACACAGTGACTCCCCTTCCATATGCATCCGAACTAACCAAAGCTGCCTACGAAGAGTACTTTGATCCCCAGGGTCTGAAGTACGTTTTCGTGGATAACATTGTTAACGAGGAGACGAATAGTTTCATGTGGACATTCATCTACCCCGAGTGGACAAAAGGTCTGCGTGACGCCCCGCCTAAGTCTTTTGCATATAATACAGCTGACTACCAGGCGCTTCTTGGTACTAGAATTGGTAAGGTTGTTGTGTATTTTCTGTTGAATACCTTTGCTAGAGGCACTCGGCGCATTACGAAGATTGTTAGCTGGGTCGAGAACTACACCCTTCAGTTGCGGTTTGATATTGAACAATTTATATAGGCAGTGCGTCAGTTTGTACCAGTTGACCTAATAGTGGTATATTGAAAAGTACTCGATCAATCAAGGTTTTTTCTTCATTCTATTTTCACCCCATTCCAACATTGAATTAGGTATGTAAAACATTGAAAACTGCAGTAAAACATTTGAACCGAGCCTTATAGCGTTCAAATGTTGCACCTGGGCATGCACATGTGCATGTGGAGTGAAAATGCCCATAATGAACTTATACATCTGTAAACATTACATATCCGGACATAGGTAGAGGTATATTGACATTCAAGACTTCCAAGGTTGACGCCCGGGGTTATGACTACTTAGGTAGGTACGTAGTAAGTATCTAAAAAACAAATAAAAATGCTAATGCACGATCCATGATCTTAAATGCAGAAGAAGCTCTGGCCCACCACAAGACAACAAGACAAATAAGCGCCAAACTCTTTCACCAACAAATGCATATAGGAATCCATATATCCCGAGGAAACCATAGAAAGCCCCAGAGAGCCAACAGTCCAGGGTAAGACTGGAAGAATGAAAGAGAACAACAAAATTTCAATGCCAAATAAGAATTAGAGGGTCGCAGGGTATCTCAAGCTCGAGTAGCAGACGCAAAAGCTTGCATCAAAACTGGTTTCCAAGGTTACAGGACACCTCCTGGTAAATTGATCTGTCCCTGTCTCCCACCTTCAAAGCCAGCACTGTTAGGAGCCGAGCCGGGAGTCGCTCCGTAAGGATTGTCCGGGTGAATTTTTCGCAACATAAACATCGGCTTGCGTCCCTCTCTTTCCAGTTGCTTGAAGAGTAAGAGTGGTTTCTCGTCCAGTCCTAGGCACCTTTCCTGGTCACCGTATACAATGTATAGTGCGTAATCTTTCGGATCATGGTGGATATTGTACTTCCTGAGGGCGGCAGGGAGAACTTTATAGCAGGGATCTTCCCAAGACACACGGAATGATTTGAATATTTCGACACTTGAGGGGCCAGCACCAGCACCAGCACCAGATCGAGGATCGACTCGGGATGCGGAAGACGGGGTTTCCGTGCGAGCAGTCGGCAGCTGACTGGGCGTGAGTCGATCTGACCGGGATGAAGCTCTTGGAGTCTCCTCGGGATGATCATGCATCATGCGACTGGCAGTGGAACTAGGCTGAGAGTATGATCGAGAGTTGAGGGTTTGATGTTGGGTGGTATGCGCATTCGGAGAGGTTGGTGAAGGGACGCCTGGTGAATGCTGTAAACCACTATTCATCGAAGCGGTCAAATGGGAAGAAGCAGCCAAAGCCGCGGAGGACGGATCCAAGTTTCCATCATGGTAGTGCCTACCTTCATAAACAGAAGGCGGGATGTATGTTGGCGAGTTGTTCTTGGGGGTAGCACCGCCATATGTGCGTTTGGAGAAGGCCCGGGACAGTTTCGATGAGGGGGGATTGTCTGTAAGGGTAATCTGAGAGGGTGATACGAGAGTTGCGCTGTCATGATGATTGTCTCTGGGAGGGTCCATTGTGAAAGGTGGTAATGGTTGCGATCGATCTTTGGCCATCTTGATCATGGGTAGAATTTCTTCTCGTAGCCGGCGGTACTCGTCCGCGAGACGACGCAACTCTCCTTCGACTGAATATATCTTTTGATCTCGAATCTGAATAGATTGGATTAAACGGGCAATATCATCCTGCGTTGCGTTTTCATTCATGCTCTGATCCGCAGCTATATCCGCTTGGTTAGTAAAGTCTATAAACATCGTAGCGGAGGGGTCGTACAGAGTGGGATGTAGTGGTCGACATCGAGCGGAACATTCTGTCTAATTTTGATTTCGTAGACACTCTTCAGAATAGTTAATCGATGTCCGACACTGTTGATACCCATTTCCTTCAATTCATCGTGTCTTAATGCGACGAGTGCCTCTCCCACGATTCCATTTTCTGCCACAGACCCCGACATCAGCATCTATTCTGTTATTATTTGTCGGATAGGTGCTACCTACCTCGAAAGTTTCCACAGTACTGCAGTAAACCTAACGACGTCAGGAATTCCGCACATTCATCGGCTGTCCAGTCAGAGATGATTGCTCGGGGAGTGCGCGGGATATCGCTAGGGTGGCCGTATTTGGTTGGTGTATGTTCGGATGAAGTAATATCGGAATCAATAGGAGAAATCTCGGAGTCTGTTTGAAGGTGCGGGGATGTAATCACACTGCGCTCATACTCGTCATCCGCATCGGAATCGGCATCATGGTAGGAGGTATGGAGAGACATGATGGCACGCGTCTTCGAAACCAGGTACACGGAATTCAAGTCAGGTCAATATAAAATGGCACCTTTGCTGCCACTGAACCAAATTACTTCCGAACCTGTGATGTGGAGGAGAGGGCGGGTATGCGACAAAGGATCAAGTTCATGGGAGGGCGGGCGACTAGATCGTCAAGTGCGAAAGTAGGCGCTGCTCGTGTCAGGCGCACGTCAACGTCTTATCAGACTGGTTGATGAGTCGGGTGGGATGTTGGTGCCTGATAAGGCACGTTCGATCTGGAGCGATGGACTTTTTGCGAAGGATAGGCGCTTGTGGGCGAGTCCAAATTGGTAGGCGCGGGAGCCAGAGCGGGGAAAGCTGTCCGGCGCGAAGGTGTATTATTGGCCCCAAAGGAAGTGGAGTGATCAGCAAGGTCTGCCTGTTTGTCTGATCAAGGTTTCAAAAGGGAAGTCCGGCGGGCGACTGTGTAGGGGAGGAATATTCGAGATGTATTCAGCACTAAAGATGAAGCGTCGCGGACAATCAATTGGTGGTGCACGTGACTGGGTCTGGACTCGATGTTGACCCCTTTAGTACATGCCCGAGACGTTGCTACTTCCCCCCTAATTTCTTTCTTGTCTACTATGAAGTAATGTTTTCTTTTTCTTTTTTGAAAAAAAAAAGAAGGAAAGAAAACACACATCATTAACCCAACATTAATATGCCGAAAGGAAGATTCTGCACGTTGTTGAGATCGCATAGAAGCCAACAAACACGTATGACCCAGCGCACAACTATTTAAGTTATCAAGGCTCTCTCTCTCGAAAGAATAGTACTTCAATGTTTCGAAGGCTTTCAAGATTGACTAGTATCTTAAGATAACTAACTAGATTGAAGTTTTTAGTCATACTGGTCCAACACTTATTACCATAAATATGACCATTTTCTTGTCAGTATAATATAGTCAGCTAGGTTCCAGACTTCCGTCTATAACCCCGGTGATGATTTGCGGGGTCCCGTTAACTATAAGTAGTACTAGTTCATGGCAAAAGCGGCAACCTTGGAAGCCCTTTCTCAGATTGTGTTACATTCATGGGTTCCACCTACAAGGAAAGATCTTGTTTCAAAACCAGTGCTTAGGTTGACACGGGAAAGATTCAAAGAGAAAAAGCCCTCTAGTAAAAACTCTTTAAACTGATGGTCGCCTATACGGAGTACGCGGAGTACCAAGTATATACCGCGGGACCTCGGGAGGCTCTGTAAGACATTCTGATCATACTTTTTTTATATGACTCTTAAGATATTACAAGCCTAGTAAGAAACAGAGATTCAGTCTTAAAAAAGAATATCTAGGTATTTTTACGACGAAAGAAAAACAGAAAAGACAATAAGATAAAAATCGCAAAATAAGAAAGGAATGAACAACGTAATGTAGAGCATAGATCTCCGAAGTCACCGCATTCACCGCATTCACCGCCCGTGCTCTATGCCGATTGGCCTGTGCTGGAGATTCCGATCGGGGAAGGATTAATTCTTCCTGGTTCAATGCACATCACCAATTGAGATTCATTGCCCTAGGCTGTATGTGAATGACAGATCTATTTGTCTGTGTGCAATGGGCTCATCTCTGTAACCCGGTATCCTCCTGGCCGACCCTGTTCCCTCCTTCTCCTCTCGGATCGCATCAACTCCACCTCCGCATCAGCAGCCGTCTTGCGCCTGGAACCTACAGCTCCCACCAAAGATCTCCAATCACACCCCACTGAGGTCAGTCACTTGCCTGTTGCTACTAGCCAATGGTATAATCATAATTTGAGCCCCATCGCTTGGGCTTATTTGCCACAGCGCTAACTCACATCACCGCATTGACAGGCCGGACCGCGGAAACCTTCGTCATTCTCCATATCTACTGTTGCGCGCACCGGACTCAATTCTCAATACATACTGTTACGCGCGTGCGTGGCGGTAAACTCTGTTTCAGCCGCCCTACCAGTAATTATAATCAGCGTCTTTGACCAAAAGTATATTCTACCAGGGGCAGGATCCCCTTCGTTCCTATCCTTGTCGCAACCTCCCACACTCGAGTCGGAATACGTGTCCGGCGCGCATACCACATACAAACAGTCGTTACCCCGAGGCTCCTTAGGAGAAACTTGTGTGAAGCGACAAAGATTCTCCGGCGCCTTTTTCTCCCCCTAGTCACACGAGTTTTGAAATCATCGCAAACCCCACGACAGAACAAATTGAGCGCTTCAAGGTGGGACTGAACCCCACCAACAGCTCTCGACACCATGCCATCCTCTACCCCCGATGCGCTCGAGTCCGATCTCCTTTCCAAGCTCTCCACCACTTCTGCCCTTGAAAATCTGCAAGAATCCCTACTCAGTTCCCTACATCGCGTGGGCTGGACCGAGCAAGTCACCAACCTCGCCACCGAACTCCTCCGCGCCGGCCGCTGCGAGACCTTCGAAGATGTGATTGAAGCAATAATGGCCTCGGCGGAAGGAAGAGCTCACCCTGCCCTTGGCGCCAAAAAGTACCCGCCGCTAGGTGACGCGTCGGCGAACGGATCCGCGAAAGAGGGGAAAGCCAACGGCACGAAGAAAGGGAACTCTGACAAGAACTCCGAAATCCTGCCGTTTGATCCAATTAAGTTTATTGAAGAGGTGGATGTGCGTGTTCCGGAAGCCGTTGTGGCCGAGGGAGTTCTTGGACTCAGACACATATTGCGGGAGATGGTGGATTTGGAGGACGAGACGAACGGAGACAAGAAATGATCCCTTGGCGGCTTGGGGAAATCTTGTGATACGAATCTGCATGGCAGTAACTCACGTTACTTATGTTCTTTCTTTTTCTTTTTTTCTTTTTTTCTTACTGCGGAGTATTGACCTGATTTCGGGATTCGCTACGGCATCGGATTCGGCATGTGCTCATCTATGAACTTTGGGCATATGAATATGAGGGATGCTCTCGCATCAAACGGAATAGACAACTGCATTGCGCTGGGGAGATTATTACCCCCGAGAAGATGATACAAATTGAGATTTTTTTTAATGCCCATGCTTGCAAGGTTGCTGTGCCTTTGGGGTATCTGTTCACAAGGAAAGGAGGATGTTAAAGACAAGTAGAGAAAGCTCTCAAACCTTGCAAGGCTGCAACTACTTAGCACTCTTCATTGATCTGATATTTGTAGATGCAAGCGTCTGACGCCATTTATTCCAAGGTTGCATCAATGCGTTGCTGACGAATCTGAAGACCAAGGATAAGTTTCTTGATTTGAAAGGATAGGCAATGAACTTTCTAGCTTCAATGTGCTGTAAATATCAAACAGTGAATTTGAAATCTGGGTGATCCGTTCCCAATTCATCAAAAGACTTTGTACGATTCTTCTCCCACTGCTCTGAACCGACATCAGAAGCTTTAGCCCGATTTCGAGCGATAAATGAGAGATCCAAGGCAGCGATTGTAACGATGAGAATACACAGACAGCCGATTGTCCCCAAGGTTCCCTCAAGATACCGAGGTTTGTGTATATAAGTATAGTTCACAACAAGGCCTCCCAGCAGACCAAAGGCATTTTGGATCGGAATAACCAGAGCGCGCCTAGAAAGCCCAACAGTATTCACACAGAGGAAAGTGAGAGTAAGCGGGATCAAAGGGTAAACACTGAGACTGATCAGATAGAGGGCAAAGGTACGTGGGCCTTTGGCGCTGGATAGTGCAGCCAACATGGTGAATCCTATTACCGAGACTAGGGCGAGGCCCATTATAAGCGGGCCACGTAGTTGAAGTCGATCACTGAACCAGCAAAAGAAATTCACGGAGAGAAAACTGACGACGCAAACTGGGACGGTAAGAAGTTGGCTTTCAACTGCGCTGAAACCTAGGCCGTCGATGATTATGGGCAGGAAATTGCCGTACCCTGCTGCGGCCCAGATAACACAAAAGTGTGCAATGAACATGCCATATGTCTCTGGGCAGCGGAAAACAGGCACTGCTTCCCTTATACTGCTCGCTCTGTCGACTGTGTTGCCGGCTCGTTGTGTGCGGGCGATACATATCTCCTTCTCAGCTTCTGAGAAGTATTTTTTCACTTTCGATGGAGAGGATGGGTAGAAGTATAGAATCAGTGGTCCAAATAGAATGGGGAATGCTCCCTCCATGAGAAAGAGAACCTGCCATGATTTGAGGGTGGTTGAGTGGATGTTGTGTTGAATGCCCCAAGCCATCAACCCATTGATAGCACCAGCCAGGGCACTGAAGGACATCCAGAACCCTGTCCTCGTCGCCATCTCCTCCTTTGTATACCACATTGTCAAGAAGATAGTATTGACCTGAGTCAAGCCCTCCGCAATTCCGATAAGAATCCGTAATATGCTAGGTAGAATCATGCTCGTGGAAAAAGTGAGCATGACTGTGCATATTCCCCAGAAGATATTTCCAAAGCCCAGTAAGAGATAGGCTTCGATATATCGGAGGATGAGAAGACCACCGACAGGTTGGCAGAGTATGGCGCCGAATTGGAACATGGACACGACGACCGAGAATTGGATGGGAGAGAGGTGGTTGTCTTTGCTGAACCCAGCAAGTTTGGCATTTCCGATGTCGGAACGATCCATAGCCGAGAAGAAATGATTTAGGGCACAGATGGGGAGAATCAGAAGATCGATCTTTCGGAGGATTTTTCGGTCAAGAGCACGTTGGTCCTGGGGCAGTATAGGAATCACGAGTTGTTCCGGAAGAAGTTTCTCTTGAATGACATCGGGAGTTGATTTATCATCTTCGGACATTTCTTTTATGCCACTTGTTGCCATATTGGCTTTTGTGACTGCTAGTAAGTTTTATTGACCAAAACTCTGTCCAATGATGGATCACGATCGTTTATGGCGAGGAAGTGGCTTGTTATATTACCCGCCAGGGCTGTTATTTTTTAGCTCAGCACATACACCCGAGGAGGATACTGGATGCTTTCAATGCTTAAGCATTGAACGGATATGACGTAGCTTTCGAGCAACGTTAGGATATTCTGAGGAGGATTCCCAGATGAATGCAGCATTGGAAACTATGATAGGTGAAATATGCAGCCTAAATCTCCAACATTGAGCTTCGAATCACACGGTTTCACTGGCTCTTCCAGTCCCAGTGACCACGTCCTGTATTCCCCCATGTGCAGCTCCAGAGACTCCGAGCGTGAACATAGCCGGTACCATCTCGAAAAGGGCCCTATCATTGACCTTGGTGGACCTTGTACGCCCCGGACATCATGTGCGGGATTTAATTCAAATATTCCAAGTTTGTCTATAACTGCCTCTCCCATGAACGTGTCTGGGAAGTTTTGAGAACCTGACATTCCAGCCTTGGCCATTGGTCTTCAATCTTTGTGCAATAACGATTCAATGTTTGTGTCCATGGTTCACAATGAAAGACGAAAACTTTGGAACTGTCGACGACCTCGACCCTCGCGTCGCCTCAGAATTAGGCTATATCGGAAATACCCCCGCGTGGATTTGTGCAGCAAATAACCGATTCTCCTACTATCTATACGTGTCACAGGACTACTACAAGCTCAAAAGTCTCAATCTCATGGTTCTTATACATTCCAGTTCACGCAACGCACCCGAGTTACGAAAACAGTTTGTCAGCATAGCAGACGAAATCCCATGCATCATCCTTGCTCCACTGTTTCCGCTTGAGCTAGACGATCCCTACAACAGTGGTGGCTACAAACTCCTCAAATACGATGGTGTTAGATGTGATCAAATATTACTTTCCATGGTGGAGGAGGTCAGCGCTAGATACAGACGGCTTGAGGTTGAGCGATTCTTTTTGTTTGGATTCAGCGGAGGTGGTCAATTTGTGCATCGGTTTGCATATTTGTATCCTCAGCGGTTGAGGGCTGTCGCTTGTGGGGCTCCAGGATCTCAGACTCTTCCTGACGTTACTTTGCCTTATCCCGAAGGAGTGAAAGATCTGGAGCAGATATTTGGGTTGGAAATGCAGTGGCTGGAACTGTGCTCCGTTCCGGTATTCTTTATTGTTGGAGATGCTGATACTGATACCTTCTATGCTATGGCGCGGGGTCGCATTGTTGATCCCACTCAACACGGCCGATACGGAATTACTGTTCGTCTGGAAAATGCATGGCGTGTAGCTGGTGCCAATTGCTATCTTCATGTTGTACCTGGGGCTGCTCACCAGGAAGCATTGATGCTAGGCCCTGTGATATCATTTTTCATCCAATGGCAAAAATTTGAAAGAAATGAATATAATTCCAAGGTTGTTGGAATTTAAAATGTACATAGTACACGTTGAATAATGGGAGGTTTTGAAATATAGGGTTTGCTATATTCTCCGATGTGTAACTAAACGTCTCATAGAAAAGGCCGTATACAGACTAGGAACATTCAATGTTGAAAGTCCTAGTTAGATCTGGAATATCCCAGCTTTATCCTTTTAATCAGTCTTGATTTCCCAAGGCCCCACCGCAGGATTGCTCAAGGCCCAAGAAATCCCGCCACTCATGACTTCGTCCCACTTCTTGCTCGCCCTTTCCAATCCAATTCCATGTCGCCGGTAGCCATGGGGAACCCCACGGAAAACAGTGATATCAGTAGGAACTCTTGATATTGTTTGAATATCAGCACTCAAGTATAGCAGCAACGAGAAGATCGGCACACTTACCCATTATCATTGAGCAGCTTAGAATAAAAGAGCCCCTCATCTCGCAGGGGATCTCGGCCAGCAATTCCAAAGGTCGTAGGGGGAAGATCCTTGACCTCCTCCGCAGTGGCATTTCCAGGATTCATCCGGAGATCACGACTTGCATCGTCTGAAAGGGGCAAACCCAACATCTGCATGAACAATACAAGGCGACTCATTGGCAACATAGGTGCATCAACGCATTGCACAAGACTCGAGACCTCGGGACTGCTAAGCAATTCCTTTCGGGCCCCATAATAAGTCGTATTCACAAGACACGGGATCATCAGCACTTGGCCTCTGATCTTGGGGCAGGCCGCCAAACGTTTGTCGTCACCTCGAAGCTGCGCAAGAGCTAGAGACGCAGTCAATTGTCCGCCAGCTGAGATTCCACCCACAACAACCTGGTCAGCGAGAGCGCCTAGCTCAGCAATATGTTCATGAGCCCAGACAAAAGCGTCTTCAATGTCGTCCCAAGCCGTGGGGTACTTGTATTCCGGGGTATGGCGGTAGTTGATATTGAGAACGGCAACAGGTGTACCTTTCTCTTCTTGCGAAGTCACAATTCGCGAGCAGATGGCGTCTTCCGAGGCCAGGGTTCCGAACATGTAACCGCCTCCGTGGATATGGATATAGAGTGGAAGTCGTTGTGAAAGCGGAATACCGGTGGGACGGTAGGTTCGTGCTTCTAGACTTGCGCCGTCGCGAGTGGGTACCGTGTGATCGTGGATCTGGACTTTGGAGCTGAAGCCTGGAGCCAGGAGGTGTTAGTTAGGCTTATCTGTGACAGACTGGGAGATGCTTGGAACTGCCAGGCGCAGGCTGTAGGACCACAAAAAACTGCTGACAGTGCAAATGATGTATTCTCAGAAGAAATTTGAATTTCACTGACCTTGATCAATCATAGCCTGAGCTGCAATATCTTCGCGACCCTTGTTAATAAATGCTATCAACTCCTCCAGCGGGAGATCAGGCATTTGAGGTAAAGACGGCTCCAGTGCTAGCCATTCGGCACTGGGCACACCATATTCAGTGAAATCAGCCATCTTATGAGAATTGGTGTGGGGAATTCTGTATAGCGCTTGAGCAAGTCGTGATTCTAAAGCAGCCCAGATAATCAGCAAAGGTGTATAACGGATGAAGGACCTGCGGGGTGATTTTGATTTTAAGGCCTCCTAGCGTCACGGATTCGCCAATCAATAGATGACAAAAACCCGTCGGCTAGTTGTTCACCCGAAGTCCTATGGCATAGTAGGTTATACTCTCTCTAAGTTTGAACATTTAATATCAGCCTTCTCTTCTGACAACGACTGCATCATCAAGAGATACAGGCACGGCGTAAGACCTCGGTTCGGGTAGCGAGGGGAAAACCCCGCATTCGCAGCCAAATTGGAGTAACCGGTGTTCTGCCCGGTCAGAATCAATGATATGGATAGACCGAAGATTTTTATTTTAGAATAAAATTAAAGCCACTTTACATGAATTTCGAGCCTTGGTAGAGTCAAATTTCTGATCAACCATGGACGCCAACATACCGACCGACCCTCCTTCCCGCTCCCTGAAAGGTAAAGTAGCCATCGTGACAGGCGCAGGATGTCTAGGCGATGGAATTGGAAATGGTCGCGCGATATCAATTCTTCTAGCCAACGATGGCTGTGATGTGGTCTGTGTTGATCTGAATGTGGAGTGGGCGAACAAAACCGTCGAGATGATAACATCGCAACCTGGCCGTGGGAGAGCAATTTCTTTCCGCGCAGACGTGACATGTGAAAAGGATTGTGAGTCTGCAGTGCGACTTGCTGTTGAAAAATTCGGTCGCCTCGATATCCTGGTCAATAATGTTGGGATCAGCGGAGCGTCAGGCACGGCCGTTGATGTTGATATGGAAGAGTGGGCTAGGAGCATGGATGTCAACGTCGGGAGCATGGTGAAGATGAGCAAATATGCCGTACCAGAGATGATTAAGAATGGAGGAGAAATCAGAGGGAGCATTGTGAATATGGGTAGTGTTGCTGGATTAAAAGGTGGCACGCCTCATCTGCTATATCCAACTGCGAAAGGAGCAGTGGTGAATTTGACACGTGCTATGGCGGCGCATCATGCCTCAGAGGGTATCAGAGTTAATTGTGTCTGCCCGGGTGTAAGTTGAATTTTCCTCGGATACTGGGGCTTTTCACTGACTTTTTCCCTTCCAAAAGATGCTATATACACCCATGATGTATGGTAATGGGATGAGCGACGAGGTCCGTGAAGCTCGACGAAAGCGTAGTTTGCTGGCCACAGAGGGAAATGGATGGGACTGTGCTGGAGCTGTTGTATTTCTTGCGGGTCCACATGCTCGATGGATGACTGGAGTGATTCTTCCGGTTGATGCTGGAATCACGGCCGCTGTGGGAATTGAATTACCAAAGAATGCCAGTGTAAACGCATCATCTTGAGAAGTCAAAGATAGAAATGAGTGGATGAAATCACAATTGATGCTTGGACATCTACTGCAAGTTTCCTTCAAGATAACAATGGGATAAGATGGTATTTCACGCAAAAAATGATTCTGCCAACCGGATTTTACCAGATTTCTATTTATACTGATAGAACCTTGGAAGCTTCAGAATGACCATCCATGGGTGTAAACTTCGAAGCCCGACTGTGTGATGAATGAATAATGTTCAATAGAAAATCGCCCATACCAACTACTCTTTTATAGACGCACCCGAGAAAACCCAGCCAATAATCTGGAAGAAAGAGAACCACGCGCCTGCTGCAGCCACAACATCCTATTACCGATTAGTGAAAATCCAAGAATTCAGATGATAAACATACTTTCCAATCTAGGACGGGCTCGGTCCTAAATGTTTGCCTTGCAAAAGTGGGAAATTGGATCAAAAGCGAGACATAACAAGCGTAGTAGCCTTCGGTGCCAATATCACAGACCAAGTCTGATGCCTGTACAGATGAGATAGCAAGCTCATAATCATAAAATAGACTCTGACCTTCCTTTTGGCTCCTTGTTATACCAAGATTAATCGCAACCTCACCATTGGCAGCGATGAGATGCATTTGCGTATTACCACTCTCAAGAGCTTGACGAATATCCAGGACAGGATCGTGGAAGGCAAGCCAGAGCCCAGGGGATGAGGCTCGAGAAGAATCAGCAACCGCTTTGGTTTTGTTATCTAGAAAGTAGTCAGTAAACATATGGCTGCGAAATGAGACATGAAGCGCTTGCAGTAAAAGAAGGCTTGTGCAATCATCAGAAAAGTGGGGTTTGTGCTCATCAAGTATTCGGATGACTGAAATGACAACATATTGTATCCGACTCCCTGCCATTCGAAACCCTCCAGGATCGATTGATTCCAACTTGTGGCGCAAGAACATGCACTACCAGAGGAAACAGACGAGCAGACAGGCGGGTCTTCAGTCTGCCATCCAAGAAAACATTTCGGCTGGGGGGAGATCGTAAGATTGGCCTGAGAACTCCAATCTACCCGCTGGAAGAGTGCAAGCGAGGGAAACTGAATGTTTTCCTAAGATAGAAACAGGTATCAGTATGTCAATAATCCCAACACAATCTACAAGGTAGTGAAACATGGAGACTGCAAGAGCCAACAGGGTCAAATTATCCTGTGACTTACCACAACATCCTCTTCCAATATTATGGTATTTTCATTCAGCTGTGAGTACCAGGTTGTGCGATAGAGTATAGGCAAGACGCAGAGAGTAAGAAGAGTAGTCACTACTGTGCTCATCAAGTTGGAATTCCAGCTGATGTGCTCTGAAGGGAGCTTCCACTTTCTGTCGAGATCGAAAACAAACGAGCCAATGATAGACAAGGCAAAGAAAAAGAGTATTCCCATGAAAATACCGGTTGTTGGAGATGTTGGGAAGTTGATAATCACCACACCGATGCCCAGTGACAACACAAGCAGCGCGGTGCTTAAGAATGCAGTTGTTAAGGACGGGAACTCATGATGAGAAAACAACCTGGAAACCAGTTGATAGCTCATAATGATGACTGGTTAAAATCCGGGTAGAATTTGAATTGGACTCAACAAGCCCCAGCAAGAATATCAAAGATATACTCCCTGCAATGAATGGTCCGGCAGCTTGTTGAATTTTCAATTTCTGTTCCACTTTTTTTTTTCAAAAAAAAGGCAACCTTCGAAATCTCCGAAGAAGGCAGCAGAGCCTCAAATGGGTGCGTCGAATTTCAGCCAGCCACCAACATGACAAGCAAGGCAGTGTGAAAGCGATGAACAATTGTCTGTTCATGGTGGCCAAAGATAGCCATGATATTGTAATTGCTCTTCAATTGATTCGTTCGATGTGTGAGAAATCTCGTCTAGATAGACAAATGTGCAGGCGGCTTGCTTAACAGGGTCTGATATAGGTGAAATACGAAGCTTGGCGCATGGTATTTCACCCATGAGGTTGAGCCTAGACTTGGTGGCTATTGTTCGTATTTTGGCAAACAAGGATAGGCTGGATGTACCGAGCGATGTTAACCAATGAAGGCTGTCGAAGACCGGACATGCATGCTGATGGCGGGCGAATTAGAACATTGAACGCCGACGTCGGCATTTTTTACCACTCGCGTGATAACATGGCTGTGGTATCTTAGCAATTCTCCGCGGAGGTCTCTGGAAATTCTGCATGCGAGATTCACCTGTTGGAAAAGAAACCAAGTACACATGAAGTTTACAATATCTCAAGTCATTTCCACTTACGTATTCAGGAATATGAAAGAAAAAAGGACAAATCGAAAGGTGAAAAAGAAAACGAGAAACATGAACAAAAACAACATACAACAGCATGTTTAAGTAAGTGGTCTGAATCTCACATCTGTGATTCGTTCAATAAAAAACCTATCGTCTAGCTAGTCCTGTGGATCTATCACTGGCGATTCTAGCAGAACTGCAGTGTAGGTCTGGGAAAAAGGAATGGTAATGAGATAGAGAAGATCAACTATGTTGCATTCTTCTCTCGATGATTTGGAGACATACAACGATGTCATGAACTTCTCTGAAAAGATCATCATAGGTGAAGTCATCATATATTTTATCCCGTGACTCCAACCCCGTAAGCACCAAAACTGTGATGTGTCCGATGTCAATACGAACTAGCATGTTGATTAGGACAGCAAATGGCGCCATGAAGTTCTTGAACATAGTGCTGAGCCTGCTGTATGACGCCAGCACCTTCATTGCATAAATGCTTGGTTCGGGGAAGTCCTCAGGCTCCATACCATTGAACTCTTTAAGAAGTTTCATAAATGCGAACGACCCAGTACCAATGACGCTCTCTAGAGCGTCCCATATCTCTGTCGCTAAGAGCATGCGTTTACCGGTTTTCTTGCACTTCTTGAGGATCTTTTGCGACACATTGGCACGAATCCACGAGGCCACCATCTTGGACAATGCCAACCAGTTTTGCGCACCCGATGCGCCCTTCTTGGGTTCGTGTGTCGTCTTATCAATGAGCTTCGACAGTCCTGCACCACAAAGAATATGTTTGACTCGAGCTTTGAATCCCTCGAACTGCTCGGGGGATTCAAGCACATCCTTAAATCGTAGCAATGTGACGTCTTTGAAGTCCGGCAGTCCCGCAGATTGATCTTTATCTTGATCCTCCGGAATGTCTAGCCAGTTCTGCTTGCCCCAACCCTTCTGTTGAATTGAGGACATCTTGTTGTTTGGCACCAGCTCTGGTGTCAGTTTGTTGACGTTATCCGGTTGCTCTCTCTCGGTTTCTGGAGATGTGAATTCTTGTTGGTTTGCAACGTCGGCTCCGGTGTTGTTATCAAGTTGTTGATGTTGTTATGCAGCTTCCGCCTTTGATGCCGCACAGATTTTCCTTGGTGAAGAGTCAAGACTGTCTTCCAATAATCCGAGATTGTCGACTTGAAGGGATAAAAAGAAAAAAAGAAAGAATGCTCATTCGGAGCAAACCGGGGCTCAGTAGAAGTACAGTGTAGGTCTGGGGAAAACGAATGGTAATGAGGTGGAGAAAGATCAACTATGTTGCATTCTTCTCAACTGACTGAGTGGGACGGGGAGAAAAGGAAAGAAGGAGGAAAAGAGAGAGTAGTCAACTCTCACTTTCCTCAAACTAAGCTACACAACACGCGACGTACTCAGATGCTAGTCCAGGAGGCAATAATATGAGCCCATATCAGGAGTCACATGTCCTAGATCTCCTGAGTCCTGACAGATTGCTCCACAGGAATTCTGTTGGTAGACCGAGTATTGGTAACTCCTCCATCGCCCTACGTCAAATTTCATGTCTTTCTGACCTTATTTTGAAAATGAAACTCAAAAGCTCATATTTTCCCACAAATCTTTTTTTAACATGAATGAATTTAAACCTGCCTGGCGCTTGAGATTTTCAAATTATCTTATATTCCGTATTTCCATGTCCCGATTGATCAGAACCCGACTTATCAAAGCCCGATCTATCAAAACCCGACTTATAATTTCCGGGACTAGAATGCCGATTCTTTAGATCCCGAGATAACAAAAGCCGAGGTTTCGAACACCGATTCCGGGATTTGAAAAATCCCGGATCTACGCAACGTTAAATTAGCTATAATCCGCAGCGTAATCCGATTTACTCTCAAGTGTAAGATTTTAGGTGCATCATGGTACTGAGAGCATACAGAAAAGTTAAGAAATTTATATGAGCTAGCTGACAGTGTTGGCAGGCAGACATTGAAATACACTTGCCATTCCTAGAACTCTGACAGATAGCTGAAGTTCATGCCATGAACAAGTTCAGCCTCTTTCCAACCATATATAACACCCACAAGACTTTAGCAATCTTACTCCCTGTATACGGGTAGCCAACAAGGTTATTCCCCACAATAGCCAACACCCAATCCGAGTACAAAGCCCCAAATACCAGAACAAATGGTATAAACGACAGGTATCCAATCAAGCCAATAAGTATTCCCGATGCGCAAGGGTCTTTCCCATGCCAAAGCATAAGAGCGACGATGACTGACAAGACAGCACAAGTGATGGCAAGGGAGCCGAATACGGCAGTGATTGTGACCATCGAATGGGTAAAGTTCGATCCGACCAAAGACATGTTTCCAGCCGTTCCAGCGATCACACCGGGGAGATATACCAGTGCCCAAAACGGAGATGGTACGAAGCCGATGAGGGTGGATGTGAGTGAAAGTGCGAACTTCATTGCTGCTATGGACTCGAATTGCCTAGAAATGCAACCTCAAAGTAAGTATATGTAACATGTCAGAGGTGAAGGGATGAAGAGGAAAAATCAAACTTACCAAGAGTGGCTGCATTTTACCATGTTGTAAATACAAGGGATGGTCGTGAAGATGAATTTGATAATTCCAAGGAAGATGTTCCATGGGGGCGATGATAGCTCAGTACCTGGGGCTAAGGGCCTCTTTCCGAAACACAGCATTGTCATCGCATAGTAACTCAAGATATAGGAGAGAAACCCGAACCCGCCATATGGCAGTTCATAGCACTTTATTTTTGTTTGGTATAGACTCTCGTCACTTGTCGAATTTTTGCCGCTATCTCCAGCCACGAGATTCGCGTAGAAAATCAGAATAAGGAAGCAGGAGAGGTGCGACAAAGAGGAAATCATAGCCAATATGTACTTCAAGTGACAAGCACTATCATCAGTGACTTTACTAGGAGGATTTATGCTAACTAGAACTTGTGGAGTATATTTCAAATTATCTATACTTATATAGCTCTATACCTGATATTTGTAGCAAGCTTGCATCAGCTTAGCGCTTGCAATATTTGAGTATGCATTAGGTTACCTTTGCAGTGCTATTCAATGTTCATTTTGGGGCTCATTTCTGACCAATTAGCATGCATAGCTCGTTTTAGCCCGGGCCCCAGGGGTCCGTGGGCGCCATTTATTTGCATCACTGTTTTGTTTTTCTTGCAGTAGATCACCCGGGCGAGCGCCTAGGTTTTGACCTAGGAATGCTTTGATCCAGAGATGTCCAGTCAATTCCACTCAAGTGCTAAAAGAAAGTCGTTTATTGATGGGCTTGACAGCTAGCAGAAAAAAAACACCTTGTCAGCCTGAGACATCTAGAGACTGCCACGTACAAAAACAGCCTTGTCGAGGCTTATCGTGATGAAAAGAAGGCAATGCGCAGTAATACGCATCCTTTCTACCAATATAGGCACTTCTGACCCTATGAAATTCCTCGTGTAATCTCATATTGGCTCAGTTTGTTGGAGAGGAACCCCATGTTGCCTCCAGGAACCAGGAGCCAGGACTAATGTCGCACATGTGGGGCGCGTTCCGCCTCCCGAGGTCAGGGATAAATTGGCTATGTTTACGGTGGACTACTATGCTGGATATGTCCGAGCTTCCAATGAATGGGTGCATTTTTGGAGCCTGCACTTTTTAAGTTATTAAACCTTACTGCCACGGCTCCTATTCATTCCCTTCCCCAATAACACAGTTGGAAAGATCTAGTTATTTTTCTGTAGAATGGTTATTCTAACCTGGCCGATCTTGCAGAGCCCTCTTGCGGAGACCGGGCTAATGGGGAAGTCATAGAATCCTACAAGGGAAGAACAAGAAAGAATGGATATGATTGATCGTTCGAGGGAAAAGAGAAGGAAGAAGCGAGACGCAGCCTGCAAACTGGAACTACGTATGAAGGAAGCACTGACAAACATGGTCATGTGATTCATGGTCATGTGCTTCCAACAGGAAGTGTTCCAATTTCGGGCAGCACAGGTGGGCGATCAAGGTCCAGACCCCAAGGATAAGTTTTTAAATTGAGTCATTTGATCAGGTGTCAGGACTGGCGAGGAGTCGAGGACTCACGAGGACCCAGAAGAAACGCGCATCACGGAAAATTGACAGTATAAGCAATGCACATGTTTCTGGCTTGACGCTGGTTCTACCTACTAGTCAACCAATCAACAAAAATCCCAAGATGAACAATTTTCCCAAATATTGAGAAAACATATTACATTTGGGCACCTCGACTTCAAGCCGGAAATACAATCGTCCGATAATCAAAGGTGGTGGCGTGCAACACGTGACTGCGGCCCAGGGGCAAAAACCCAAAAAACCCAAAAACCCCATGTGGCTATTGGAGTGGGCCAAAATCCCAAAATCCCAACTACACATGGAACTGTGGAGTAGAGCATATAACATTTGAATTTTTATTTCTCCAAACCTCCAATGGCTTATACAGACCTTCTGAGCAGGTGTCTAGAAACTGGTAGACTATGTATTCCTTGTTTTTCAACGTCAAGACTCAAGATTTCCTTGATTTGAATTCTTCGGGAACTCCGTCGCACTAACTGGATCTAGTCCCTCGGCTATTCATAATCATGCGGCATGCCCATCTATTGATAGCTCATGGACAGTTCGCGATGAGCTTTTTAGCGCACTTGGACACTAGAAAATAACCGACTAAACCTTAGTACATGTTCTGTAGCACTTATATCTCGTTGCCCCCCTTTCCTTCTCTTCTCTCTTGCCATTCCATCATTTATACGCTTTTTTCTCACTATGCTGCATTGCATGACTAACCTCTTGCTGGCGGCCTTGTTGCCATTGGGGTCTCAGGCTCTGGTCGCCGTGCGCCCTGCCGCTGCCATCGACACCTCGATCGCTACCATCACCTCGACCTATGCGAGCACCATCACCACTACCAGCGTCACAACATTCCCCGTCACCACCGTTGCCACGACCTGTACTGTAAGCGGCAGCAAGCCGCCTACATCCTCATGCGCTAATTCAGCGTGGACCGTGGGTTCCTACTACTGGCAGGAATCCTGCAGCAGCGCCTCGGCCGTAGGTGGCAACGTTAACGCTGCGTTGAACCCATATACTCGCATGGCCAATATCTGGGACTGCTATGTCTACTGCTCCATCTTCAATGCCTTGTGCAACGGCGTCAACTATTTCCCTTCGCAGAGTTCCTGTCAGTACCTCACCGGCACGGGCGGGTACTCAATTGCCTCGGCATTGACCACGGTGCAAGCTCTGGTGCGCTACACAACAGATCCCTGCTCCACCACTATTACTTCGGATTCTACATCGGATATTGTGGGGACTACGACTGTAGATTATACCACTACCTACACTATTACAATCTCTACCACTTCGTCACTGGCATCGTCGACTCCTTCATCGACCCCTACATCAGTCGCTACAGTTTCTTCTTCGCCAGTTTCTTCTTCGCCAGTTTCTTCTTCGCCAGTTTCTTCTTCGCCGGTTTCTTCTTCGCCGGTTTCTTCTTCGCCGGTTTCTTCACCGCTGTCGTCGCCGAAGTCTTCAGCTTCATCATCGCGGGCCTCGAGCCCCGTATCTTCTTCTTCGCCAAATGTTTCGCCTTCTAGCCCTAGCTCAACTGCCAACCAGAGCACTCCCCCAACGCGCTCATCATCCACTCCGGCCTATGTACACTCTTCTTCCTCTCCTCTACCCTCAACTCCGGCTCAGTCTCAGTCCTCGGTGCGAGTGTCTCTGTCTAAAACCCTCTCTACTTCTTCGACACCACTTGTTCGGTCATCTTCCGTTGGGGTTGTCTCCCCCAGCCTCCCAGCGCAACCCTCCATCTCTAGCAGCCCGTCTGCAAGCAAAGCATCCAGCAGCGGTGCAGAGGGTGGCCACCCCACGAGCCTCGTATCTGTGACTACGCCACTTCCATCAAGCTCTGCGTTTTCTTCTCCAATGAAAGGAACAACATCCAGCCCCAGCGAAGGCGGATCCACCACATCTACCACCTCCACCTCCAGCGCAGATCAATTCACCACTTCCACCGTCTTCAGCACACGTACTGCGACCATCACAGCATGCCCTTCCACCGTTCCCGACTGCCCTGCTTCTGCGAAATCCACCTTCGTTACGACTGAGACCATAATCGATTATACTACCGTCTGCCCTGTAACCGCCGAGGCCACGCACACAGAGACCCCCACTAGTACGGCTGAACAGTCAATCACTTTGCAAACAGCTCCTGCTGGAACCTCTGCTGAATTCACCACATCCACTGTGCTGACTACACGCGTCTCTACCGTCACTGCTTGTGCATCCGGTATCGTCGACTGTCCCGCCAGTGCGCAGAGCACTTTTGTCACTACTGAGACCATAATCGATTACACGACCGTCTGCCCTGTCACCGCCGAGGCCACACAGACAGCGAGTGCTTCTAGCACTGATGAACAGTCGACCGCTCTGCAAACGGCCCCTAAAGAGACATCTGCTGAACTAACCACATCCACTGTGTTGACCACCCGCATCTCAACTGTCACTGCCTGTCCATCTGGTGTAGTCGATTGTCCAGAGAGTGCGCAGAGTACCTTTGTCACTACGGAGACTATAATTGATTACACTACCGTTTGCCCTGTCACCGCCGAGGCTACCCGCACAGAGAGCCCGTCTAGCGCCGCTGAGCAGTCGACCACTGTGCAACCAGTGCCGGCCGGTTCTTCCGTTGAGCTTACCACGTCCACTGTGTTGACTACTCGCGTCGCTACTGTTACTTCCTGTCCGTCCGGGGTCGTGGACTGCCCTGCTTCTGCAAAGAGCACTTTCGTCACCACCGAGACTGTAGTGGATTACACTACCGTCTGCCCTGTGACCGCCGAGGCCACACAGACCTCTATTGCGGGGGCATCAGAGACTGCATCGGAACAACCAGGAAACGTGGAATCAGGATCTAGTGTTGGTTCATCAGCCCAGTCTACCGGAGAGTCTGGATCAGCGATTAGTGTGAGCGCTTCTGGACAATCCGGGGCCCTTACCTCGGAAACAATTGGTGTGGGTGCCGTGGGGACGATCCCTACTGTGACCTTCTCTTCACTTAGAAGTGCTTCTACTCCTTCTGGCAGCAAGAGCGCTTCCAGCCCCGTTGGACATTCTACTTCTCTCCAGGGCGCGTCTACAGGTGTCCCTGCCATTTCTACCGGCTCCAACACTCCCAGCACAAGCAGCAGTGCAGCTGAGGCGGTCTATACCGGCGCAGCATCCACTTCGCGATGGACGCTGACTCATGGTGTCGCGTCTCTTCTTGCTGTTTTGGTTGTGATGTAATATATTGTACAAACTCACTTACATATCATGTTAATAATAGATACCGATGGTTAGTTAATTACATCGATCATTTTCATTTCAAGACTTCAGGAATTATCTTCCAGCCACGGCTTTTCAGCCTCCACATCAATAACTCTGCTATCATATTTCACCCATCTTCGCAACTTCGGCTGCTAAATCCCCAGCCTAACTCAGTACATTTGATTTTACTTTTATCTCAAGTGCTTTTAAACTATTTCTTTTTGTCAAGATATTTTATTAAGACCCTTTATATGTAGTTCTATCGCGATGGGTGGGTCCAGCACGGGCCGCACCGGGGTGGGGCCCAGTGGCGTAAAGAATCTCTACAGTAAGCGCGTAATGAGTGGTGGACAGGGGTGCCTGTGTGATTACTAAGGGATGGTTGCCTAACGTTAACACATGTAGTAGTGAAATCCTATGCATCCCGTGCCCTCGTCAACATTCGTTCTTGTTAGCTCTCTTCAGTCAAACACCTCTATATCTCTACCACGGACTTCCAGCTTCCCTCGACAGAGATCTTTCTCAAGTGCTCTCAAGCTCCCGAGCCAACATGGCCGAGGAAACGATAACACAAGCTCAAATAGAAAAGGATCTAACGCTCCGGCTAATCAACCACACCGAGAACCCAAGCAATTGCTCCTGCGGCTGGTATATATACTACTCCAGTGTCTGTGGCCATGAATTTCAACAGGTGACATTCCATTGCGGCGAAAGGAACACAAAGTCGGGAAAAGCCGGCTTCTGCAAGTCCCCTGCTCCTAGAGCCATCGTTTCAACGCCGCAGGTGGACCAGAAGTGTCCGCATTGCTGATTCCGGGTGGCCAAGTAAGTGTTTCACCAGACTGCACCACTTTCCCGGACTAAGGATACTAACGTGCGATTTTGGTCAATCAAGCTGCAACGGAAACCCCCGATAACATTTCACTGTTGATATTGGGAAATAGAAAGGAACCTCGGTAGTCCGAGGAATGTATCTACAGTGGCAGCAGTGTGTGAAGTTTAACCTTTCAAAGCGCGGTAGCATTTAATGTACGGGATTTCGAATTGCATAAGAATACCCAAGTACATAGCCAGATAACATAATGGGAAAGAAACTTGATTGAATATCAAACATTGCAAGAAAACTTGGAATTAAAAAGGATTACATCTCTATCCTTAATCACCCCTTTCACCAGTCACGAAACCTGTAATCGACTCCACATGAGACTTGATGCCATCAATAATGTCTTTTAACAGATTGTACTTGACTTCAATAGTTTCCGCAGAATCCCAGTTCAAATCGAGGGAAGCTTCCACATATGCATCTTGTATCTGGTGCCTGAGCACTTGTTCCTCATTTTCTTGGGAATCCCGCCCGACAACGCATTGAATGACTCGACGGTTATGGATAAACAATCGAAATCGCTTCATCATCGCTTCGAACTCTTGTTTCCTTTTCAGAGCATTGTGACCACGCAGACTGGGAGCAGAAAATTCCTCTGTTGACCAGCCGACTTTAGCTGTCGAGAAGTCACTGAAGTAAAATCGGGGACTAAAGAGTATGTATCCGAAGAGTGTATCCATTCGGAGACCTCTGTGCTTCCGACCATGGAGATCAATGTTGCCCTTCAGATTCTTTTATTAGATTTTGTCTTAGTCCCTGAACAAAGCAGACAGTACTCACATTAAGTCTGAATTGCTCAAAGAAATCCCCCGCCATGGCGTGTGTCACGTCGACAAAGGCAAACTCTGTGATCGGAGGCTGTTGGACCAGCATGTTGCGCCAGCTTGCGTCTTTCCGTGCGTATGCTGCGAGTTTCTCGGGGGTTTGAACCATATCAAGTGATTTGAAGCTGATTATGGAACTTGTGCCCCCGGGCTTTGGGAAGAGTGAAGGAAAGGCATTGAGTAACAATGGATTAAAAATAGGTTCACTGCGCCTGCGTCGCGGTTTTTCGGGTTTGAAAAACAGAGCTTCCTGGATCTGGGTGGATTCTCGGATCAATTGCCTCCAGCCTCGATTTACTAATTGTGCTGTAGTGAGAATTGTGCACAGATCCAGATGAAGAAGAATCGCTTCGAGGATCTCCGTAATAGAAAGGGCTCTTTCTGTCGAGGACCGCTTTTCGTGAAAGTGCTTCTGCTCCATTGCTATGATGGAGGAAGTATTTGAAGGAAGGCGAAGAGAGTGAATTTAATGAGTTTTCAGGTGACGGTGTGTGAGAAATAGAGGTGGTAACACAAAATGACTGGCTTGTACACCCTGTGCGGTTTTGGCTTATATAGACTTCAGCCCCAGGGGTACTAACTGTAGGCAGCTTGATTAAAAGGCACTTGCCGAATTACGGGTGGGTTGCATTGCGTCAGGTCGGAATCAGGGAAAGATAAACTTGAAGCACATTAGTAATTCTGGAGCCTGATTAGTACTGTTTAAATGGCGAATCGTGAAAACTGTTCAGTGTCGAGTTTCGGTGTTTCACATGATTTCCCTTTCCCCTACTGCCCCTGCAATATCAGTCTCCTCATTACGGTAGGTAAGAAGACACCGCTTTTGCATCTCGAGTCGTGAAAAAATTAGGATCGAATCGAATCGGTACAAGGGCCACAAGGTGTTCCCAATATGGAGAAATCCCCGACATGGGCGCTGACAACCGATCGGCAGCGAGGCTGAGAATTGAGTTGACGCTAACCCCCAACGATGAAACAATCGCGTGAAATGATGGAAAGACCACAGTTATCGTACCATTCGTGATGTTTAGGGTTCGTTGCTTCCAGTCAGAACCCAGGGTCCAGGGAGCTCATACATTTTCATGAGTGTTGGATGATGGATCGGCCCCTTTGTAGCCGGTGCCCGGTGGAATGAGAACCGTCGCACTAAAGTCAGTTATTACCCTGGTACGTGAAATCAAGCCGTCGCCGGTGGTTTCACAAGATTGTGGAGAGCGACCTCTTCGATAACAGTCAACTACTATTTCTAGTCCGACCTCATTGTAAACAAGAGAGAAGCATTAGCCAATCAAAATAGGTATGTTGCTCGTGCGGGGGTATCATTCATCATGTGACAAGTCTATCTCCTATCTTGAAACACCGACAAAGTGCTCAATCAAGCATGTAAACACAGCTATCAATCACACAACATCCCCAAGAACAACTCAGAAGGAATCATTCAAGCTCGAATTTATCATAGGAGCCAATAATGATGAACCACAACCACTCCCGTTATCAAGTCCGTCTTGATTTCATTCATAGGTTACTGAGTGAACATTTTGGTCTGCCGGTGAGTGATTGAAAAATAACAACAGCCAAAGGCGGTAATTTGAGACACATAGGAGGATACCGAAGTTACGCCAATCGCATACGACCCCGAGTGTCCATTCAAATACAATAACTTTGTCTATCGAATTTCCCTTTCGGCGCCTCTCAACAAGCAGATCGAGACATGTCAGGTTCAGCCTGGCTGTGTTCCTATCCCCCGTGGTAGCAGTAAGCTGATTCTTCGTCTCACAAATCCCGATGCCCAAGGCATGGGTTCAGCAAATCGTGTTGAAAATGAAGTCGCCATCATCACTCTAGCCGCGGCTGCGCTAGGCTCAATCTTCAAGCCCCACATTGTACCCCATCTATATGGCTGGTCTGGGAGCAGGTCCGCCCAGGGAGACCATCAGCAAGGTTGGATCCTCCAGGAACTTATTTCTGGAAGCCCTCTTGATGAATGCCTAGATAGCATGGATCTTGAAGATAAGAAAAGGGTATTTGCGCAGATCGCAAAGGTCCTCAAATGTCTTCAAGAATTTCCTCTACCAAGTTCTATCACCCATTTTGGAGGACTCACCTTTGACGCCAATGGAGAAATTATCAGTGCTCCGATGACCAGCACTGGCATCGGACCTTGGTCTTCCTACGAAGCTTCATTCAAAGCACGCCTTGAGCAAGCTCTCAGGGAAGCCGACGAGAATCAATACATCCAGGGTTGGCATGCAAACGGAGTTCGCGCTCGGCTGGAGACATTTGTGGAGCATGGACTCCCATCGGGATTTGAGCCGCTTGACTCACGCGAGCAGAGGGCCATCATTCACGCAGACTTCAGTGAGTATCTCTCCCTTAATATCTTGTTTGTCACTGGTCCTCATACATATCCCCTCACAGCGCCAAGTAATATCTTGTTCGATGCCTCCTCGGGGCATATAACCGGAATAATCGACTATGACTTTTCTTGTACTCTTCATCCATCCTACGAGTTTCTACGATCCTTTTCAGGCCTTGGTGGCCAGTTTCGTGGCTGGTCTGGTGTTGAGGGTCATGAACAAAAGGCGCTTAAAGACGCTAAACTCAACTGTTTCCCGGATACTTTTCCAGATGAGAAAGACAAAGAGAGTCTGGTACAATGGAAGGTTGCTAAAGTCTGGGAGGACAAGTTGGAAAGGGCGGGTTGCAAGCGCCCAAGCACGATGCCGGGAATTGATAGAGTGGCCGACGTCGACGCCCTTCTTAGCTCCATTCTCCCCTGGCGTGTGACCAATTCTGATATTTTGCGTAGACAATCAGATGAGGTCATTCGAAAATGCCGCGATGACAATGAAGGGGTTTTGATCAAAATTTTGGAGCACAATGGGTTTTAGAGATGTAGCACTTGAGCAGTGCTGAATGTGCTGAGATTTCTCATTACTGGCTAGTAGATTGAGTTTGTAGACCCTTTTTGACCTGATGACCTGATTTGCTAAACGCTCCTTTGTAAATCTCCCGTCTCAATCTACAGTTTGCAACGAAAGTACACAAAGCACTGCCGGGGGGTTTACCCTCAGAGATTTGGATTTGCATCTTGAGCATAGTAAGTCTTCAAAAAGAACATGGCCATTCAAGTCATCTTATACTCATATTACATTTTACCTAGACCATGAAGATCACTCTTCTCTCAAGTCTGTCCTGCGCTGCAGTTCTGATATGTACAGACTAGCAGCCCCAATCCTCTTCAGGACTCTTTATCTTGAATGCGAAGGATTCCCCGATGAACCTCAATGGTATGAAAGCCAAAAAGGACGCGTGCATCCCATTTATATCTGCATCCACGTGAGAACCATTATTATCGTGCGTCCTCGTCTCCATTTCTGGTGTGACGGGGAGTATGACGAGCCGATTAAGCCTAACGCAACGCCACATTATCCAGCCCAGCTGAGAACCATTTTACGTTGTTGCCAGAACCTCGAAACTCTTTCTCTGATTAATAAGGGGCGCTATAGAGTACGTCGACAAGACATGTGGGATGGTCTCAGACGAAAAGAAGAGGAAGCCGGTATCAATAAAACGTCCCTGGTTACGTTGGAAGAAGGTGATGATCTTCCCCGAGTCCAAAACCTACGCCTTCGCGGTATGAGATTTGGGCCCCTGCAGAGCGAATCGTGGGCCACGCAGCTACTATGGCGGAACATCAAACATTTGTCTTTGTTAGAAGTCAATTGGACTAGCTTGCTGCCAAAGCTGACCGAAAAGGGTTGTTTCCATGCCATCGAGGCCCTGGAGGCTAGTGTTCCAATCCCGATACCCTCATTCACAAAACTTCATACCAATACAAAATGCATAAGCCAGTTCCACGCCTTTCTGGAAAATCTCCCGCCTTTGAAAACGTTCATTGGGTATGGTTTTCCACAAGAGACTCTGGCGGTATTGGCGGCGCACCACTCCCAACATCTGAAGGACCTTCGGTTTCGAAACCAACTCAATACTGGCACAGGATACTCTACGGGAGACCCTGCCTTTCGAGCCAGCATCCATAGCCTCGAAAATTTGTCCACTCAGTTCCCGAGTCTCGACTCCCTCGGTCTTCAAGTTGACTGGACAACCGACGAAGAACTGGTAAGTAATTCAGACCATTGCTCTCCATATCATGATATCCCAATCGCTAAAATCGATATAGCCATATGACCTAATCGCCAACGTTGTCCTGCAAACTCGTATTCGCCATTTAGAACTCAACTTACCAGACCTCAGTCGCAGCCGTTCCAAGTCTTGGCCCTACCCAGGCGCCAACGAAGACACTTGCCAGGCCCTTATTCAGTCTCTTGACGAAATCTCGACAAGCCTCCTCTCATTACACATTGATATTGGCGACTGGTACCCTTATAGAGTCGATCGAAGTTTCCGATGGCCTTTAGGCGCGTTCGTGATTGGGGAACGAGACTACGCAGGGCGCATGCGTTTCCGCAAAATCCGGCAATTTGTACCGAGTGGAACATTATTGCGTGAGGGTGATCTGGTCGTAGAGGTCCCGCCGTGGGTCACAAAAGGGAGTTGGCCGAGTGGTTTACGGCAGGACATGGAAGGCAGGATAAGTGATATGTTCTGTGGCAAAATGGTCAGAGAGAAGTATGCGAATCATTAAAGGCTCTTTCCTAAAATACGCAGACAGTGGAACTGAAAGACCATAACAACGGCAACAGAGAACTTTAAACGTGGGAGAGCACGAATCTTGTCCTAGCTTCAATAACGACTCAATGAAATAATAAACAAATTGTGGCTGCGTAATAGTTCTTCCAACCCTACTATCTATACAAGGCCCCTCTTCCACTTACAGTGAATCAGCCTCCATTGACAGGCTGGCGATACACCGTCCCGTTCACAGTCGTCGCCAACGTGCCATTTGCATAGAACTTATTGTTATACACGTCAATTTCAAAATGGAATCCATCCGAGCTCGTCATCTTGGTACTCTTCCCATTGATGCCTGTTGAACGCAGGTTAGAATACCAGTCGACATGGATCAAAGTCAGATTAGGGTAGGTCGCGGTGACCTGCTCAGTGCCGAAAATGAAATTATTTCCGTCGTCGGAGTAGTTGTGGTAAGTGACTGCGACGGTTCGGAGAGTGGTGCTACTAGCATTCACTCCAATAAAAGCCACATCGGCGTGCCCTTGAACCTGGCCAGTAAGAGTGTAGTTGCCAATCAATGGACTCGATGTGGACGGCAGGGCGCGGCCGGGAACATACGGCTGACCCCAGGGGATTGTATCGGAGACAGGAGATGGGGTGATCCACTTCAAGGGTTTCCGGCTTGTAAGAGTGGCGAGCATGAGACGGAAGGTACGGCCGCCTTGCGCAGTCGATTTGGGACAGGGCAGTGGGTTAGAACCGCCACAGTTGGGCGCAGTGACTAACATCTGGAAGTAGGCGATTTTCGTGCCGTCCAAGGACCATCTTGGATCTGCTCCTCCATTCCAATTGGGGTCGTTGATGCTGCCATCGCTCCCGTCACCCGCGGCATTGAGCTGCTGCCCTTGATAGTAGCGAGTTTTATCATCGTAGTAGCGCGCACCATAGCGGTCGATAAGCCACGGCTGGAAAAACCGGCGCACCCCATTATTACGGATAGACGAGACGGCCCCCGTGATCAGCTGGTCAACTAGAGGGGGAATGCCTCGCATGCCTGCCAGAAACATCATCCGGTTCTCCGTGGTAGTGTCCATGATGACAGTCCACTTGCCGTCGGACGAGGGATCGATGGGGTCGACGTACTCAGGGTCACTGGTCACTCGGGTCACCTCGCCAGTTTCCAGGTCGACGCCGTTGATATCAATATTGCAAGACTCTCGGTTCAATCCGATGTAGTCTAGACGATTGCCCAGTCCATTAAAGCCCCTGGCCTCCCCCACCACGATAGCCTGTGCATTGATAGTAAGGTTGCTGCCATCGGCGGAGAGCATCGAGGAGCCTGTTGGATCTAAAAGTCGGGTGACGTTGACCAGGTCGTATCGAGGGGTGCCTGGGGTTCCGGTTGTGGGCGAAGTGTTGAAGCGCAGCCGGGCAAAGTAAGCATGCTCATCTATGATGCCTCCAGATACCGAAATTGCGTTGAAGCTGATGTGCACGTCGTCGGGATGTTTACGTAGCTCGCGCATAGTTCCGCCAGCGCCGGATCCGTCCGAGGTGACTGTCCATCGCAGTGGATATATATACACGTGCTCGGGAGTGCATGCGGGACTTTCCAGCTGGTGAGTGCCACAGGAAATAATATATGAGCCGGCCAGAATGCGAGTTCCATCTGTGAAGGCCTGCGGGTATTGGTAATCGGTAGCATCAGTTAAATTAAACCGATTCTTGGCTGGTATGCCGCAGGTGATGCATTTGAAGGCATCGCCGTTGGGGAAGAGCGTCCCATCGGCTTTGACAATAATCAACTGTAGGCCGCTATAGATACTGCGTGAATCCGGGGAAGCCGGTGCCCCTGTAAAAACCACTGAGGCTGTGACATGCTTCCCATCAGGGAGAAAGTTCCCGCTCTGGAAGTTGGAAGTGGTCCACGAAGCGCTGATACACCCGGTTCCATGCGGATTGACGGCGTAAGAACACCCCCCGGTACTCTCGTTCGCAGTGACGGGCGGAAGGGGGAGTTCGATCACATCAATAGTCTCGGGCTCTGGGGGAGAGGGCACGGCATTGGTGGTGGTGATGCGTTTCTGGGAAATATTCGGGTGCCCGTATACCAGCGACAGCAAAAGCAGAATGACAACTTGGGTTGAAACAATGAAACGCATGTTGATTAGCATTCTCGCTTCTCTTTTCTCCCAGCTGGGGGGTAATTGGGAATGAAAAGACTCGGTCGTCAATCAGGCTTTTATCCATAATGGAACGGGAAGAGGTAGCAGGCAACCGCGAGATTCAACCATCGCTGATGGCTCGATCGCATCTCCACTCTGTCAGCTGTGTCTCAAAGATAATCTGCAATGCCCTCGCGATGGGTTACCGGCATTTTTCACCCGTGCGGTTGACTCTGCTTTAGATTCCTAGCTTCCGCCATGACATCAACCCCGGATTTCCAGTCTATTTTAGACCGGCTGAGTGGGACCAAGTATTATTTACTTTGCCTATGGACTAATTAAGGAGACCACTTTGCCCAGCGGGGAAAATATTGGGCGCAAACTATCTTGGAACAGGCGTGTCTGAACTTGGAAACCGGCCGCTTAGACCTAAACGAATACGCGTATACTTGCAACATCCCCACACGGTCCACACCCGGGATCGACCCACTTCGCGTATGGCTCTATCATAGGCTCAATGAATTTTATCCAATCAACTGTCTATCTTTCTGTACTCCTTTTTTTAGGCCACTTCATAGCTTCGGGTAAGACGGGAAATTCTTGCTTTCAAATGTTAGAGAAGCGTCACGTGAAGTACGAGCAGGCGTAGGAATTACTAACGTAAGCAATCTTGCTACGGGAAGTTTTTTGTAACAAAAAGTAGATTGTGCTTTTCAAAACATTGAACATTGAATAGGTACTAGTGCATATTTCGGCAGACTATAGACTATAGACTAAGGAAGAAAGATGCCGAATAGTTGTTTTTGAATATATCTCCATAACCAGTTGACATTGAATGTTCCATTAGAACTCCCTATCATACTGTAGGTTTTAAATATTTAGGCGACCGGCAAGGTCAAGCTCTAGTACTTAGTATGTATGCAGGAAATATATACATAGAATCCATGAAGAAAAAGAGAAACAACAACATTTGAACGTGGCAAGAAGCACTCAACATCGATAGTTGATTAAATCACCATTCGATGTACGAAAGTTTCAGTTTTCCCTCCCTGGATCTCGCGAATGAAGTCCGTGGCTTTCTCACAATTTTCGGGCATAATCTCCTGCCCGCACGCCCAGTCCTTGCTCAAGACCAGTTTTCCAATTGTGCCCGCTGGGGAATCAATCGTCACACTGACCAAATAGTCTTTCACGCTCCAAGCTACGCGCAAAGGACCATGCGGGGTGGGCACCGTCGCGTTGACCTCGTCCAATCCAAAGCCTACATAGGCCGGCTCGACCACCCACGTTTTATATCCGAAGCTCGCGGGCCGAATACCAGCCACATAGTTGGTAAGGGTGTAAGTAGCTGCACCACCCCAAGGATGGCTGAGTGAAGTAAATTGCCCAAGGCCAGGCTTCAACTGCTGATTCACATACTCCCAGCTAGCTCCCGAATGGCTTGATGTGTTGGCAATCATTGCACCCCACAGATTTTGAAACAAAAAGGTTGCAAGGTCCGCCTTCTTCTGCTCCAAGATAGCCTGGAGAAGAAAGCCGTTCGTATTCGGCGACAGATTGGCAGAGGAGTCGGATGAAAGAATTTTACTTGAATCCCGATATCCTGGACCCAGCTTGAGGGATGGTACATGCGACAAAGCGAGCTGAGCTTGCGTGTGATTTGCCGAGCCAGAGGTAATAGCAAATCCGAGGCCAGCAACGGAGTAGTTGCCCGGATCCGAAGTAGCAATGGAGTAAATGCCATACTCGTCGCTCCAGAATGCAGTATTCACGACCTTCTTGAGCGAGATGGCGACTGCTTTCCATTTATTGTATGAGGAAACATCTCCAACAGCTTCGGCTACTAAAGCCATACCTTCAATAGCCCCAACAGCAGCGGTGTTGATGGCAGAACCACTGGTGGGACCGAGAAAGGCGGTTCCAAAAAGGCTGAAGTCGATTAATCCAGTTGAGTTGCTGCGATATGATACAAGCCAATTGACCGCGAGCTTCCAAGCCTCCCAGTGTTTCTGTGCATACTGAACATCATCAGAATACTCCATGTAGGAAACGAACGACATAAGAGCAAGAATGTGATAGTCCGGAAGAAGGTACGCGGCGTTTGCCACGGCAAAGATCGAGCCATTTGTTGTTGGTGAATATCCAAGAGAGGGGGCCGTAGGTAGCTGGCCGGTGGAAAGCTGGTAGGCCAGAAGCTGTGATAAGGTACCAGTGACATGGTCACCCCGGTAGGTAGTAACACCGATGATGCGACTGGTGTGCAAGAAGTCTCCTTGCCACACCAAGCGATCTCTTTTGGCACCATCCACACATTCCGAAAAATAATTGCTATGGACACCGTACTCCGGTAAGACCGCTGTGGCATTCGTCATCGAATTCTGATAGATGAGCTGACGATTTGTATCCAGTGCCGTGACGTTGCGAATATGGGCAGATTGGTCTTGCCATGCCCCAAAGCCAAACGCACCAGCACTATCGATGGAGCCACCACCAAAATAGTAGCTATCCAGAGAAATATTGAAAACTTGAGTCCGGTTCAGGCTGACAGCCAGATATCCTGAGCGGACAGTGGTCGTGATATGGTACCAGGTATCTTCCAGGACATCAAAGGGTACAGAGAAGGAGTCCAGTGGGTAGGAAGTCAAGGTAGTTTGGTTAACGAAATTCACACCATAGGCCAGCGTGATAGTCGACGGTGGGAAGAGGGTTTTATTGACGTTGACGAAAGTAGAATCTGCTGGGTAATTACTGGCCAGGTTGATGAGAACACCTCCCTTGGACCGAATGCCGAAATTGTAACCAGTAGACCAGAGCACTCCCCCTCGAGCAATCTTTGCGTCAAAATGCAAGTCATATTCTTCAAAATCGTAACTTTTCAACGAGTAACTGGGGACGCTGCTTGACACCAAGACCCCTTCGCCGGAGACCGACCAGATGGACTTCTGTGAGCCTGCGTCAAAACAAGCCAGCGAGACGGCACGTGCACCCAATCCCCATATCTCGTTGTAGAAGGGGCTCGACGAATGAAACGATCCGGGAAGGCTTTCAGTGTCCACCGTACCAACGGTGGATTTGAAGGAGACTGCCCGGAAGGTGACTGAGCTGTTTGTGAGCAACCGAATGCTTTGCCAGCGCTGGCCCCCTTGAATCAACCCAGAATCAAATTCTCCAGATTGAGTGACGTTAAAGGTTTCGACTCGAAATGAATTTGAGAGACTCGACACAAAGAGACTAGGCCCATCGCTGAGTGGCTGGAGGAGTCCCGTGAACTGCTCGCTGTACTTCACTTCAATTTGTGCAGGTTTAGAAAGGCGATCGACTTCGAATGTGGGAAATCCGGCCACATCCGCGCCATAGTCTAGCGTGGCATACGGGGAATCCGGCGTCAAAGTGAATTCGCGAAACTGAGTACTGTGGATGCTGGGAGCTTTTCCCACGCTGATTTTCTGGGCTCGGAAGTAGGCACTAGCCGAAATGTCAGTGGCTCAAACATGTCAATTGGAATGAAGATAGCGACTCAACCTTTCTCTGGCCAGAGCGAAACATGCGCTTGTTAAAAGTACGATCAACGAGAGCAATGAGTTCATGACAATTGTGGACCGTGGGTGCTTTTTGCTCACACTTGTTGATATCAGCTTTGAGCTTTCAAGACTCTCTTTAAGTAGTACTGAACCTTCTACTGCATCATAGTGGGTCGCAGTGAACGTAAATACTAAATAGGGATAGTTCGTATCCGTATTCTGTGGGGAATCTGTATACGCGTATAGACGGTACAGACGCCATTCCACTTGGCAGTTATAATAGATACCAGTACCTTTCTCGCCAAGGTCAAAGTCACTATTCTGCAGTTCATTCTCTTTAAACCACAAATTAGCAAATCTGAACTTCCTTTCGAATTTTACTCTTTTGGGGGGTCGGCCCCATTTAATGATTCTGACCAACTTTACATCATACCCCAAAGGCTCTAGACTGGTGAGGCAACTCGCATCGGGTCCTTCTTGTGCCTGGCTCGAACTTTAGTACACGTAAAAGACTGTGTTCGGTGCGTGTGAACAACAATTCCCGTGTTTCTATTTGTAGTCTTTGGTTTCCTTAGATCCGTGCTGGTTATCCGGCTGTTAGGGACCCACTCGGTAAGAGACGGGAACAAACCTTGGAACCTTCTCAGGAACATGTAAAATCCAGGCAGACACATGAGAAGCCACCTGGGCTTACTGACCTAGCACTAGGCGATCGGGCGACAGAAGATTCTAAGATAGTAGACATCGGGATGCTGGGTGTAAGCCAAGGGTCATAAACCAAACACAAATCCAAGTACAACCTTCAAAGTTAGAAATCCAAGTATAATTAGGTATAAACCTGACTTATGTATAGTATACGGCATGGTCAAGGTCTGAAGCAATGGATGAGACTAATTCAGTGTTTGGTATAGGTGTATCAACTCCATCTAAATGGCATAACTAGTTTCATTTCAAGTATTCAGTTCTCTCAGCTTCGACTCCATCATGTCGAATATTCTCAAATAATCCCGTCCAAGCCAGGAATTTACGCTGCGAAAAACCTCCTCGACAGCAGGAATCATAAACTCCAAAGCATCGGTTTGCGATCGAAGCTGGTCCATCAAGCATTTTACCCGCTCCATCTCTCCTAACCGCAAGCAAATCTTCACGGCAGTTTGCAGGGGTTGGTCCTCGACATTAAAAGTTCCGATCTCTAAGTTAATCACAAAAATCTGACGGTCGATCCATATTGAAAAGCAATAATGCGGCGCTATCTCGCCTTGACCACAAATACCCTGCATCATGCATGTAAGCAGGCTTGAGCAAACGAGAGGTCCGAGCCGACGATGGTCGCCAATGATGTGCACAGGATCTCAACGATAGTGTGTAGATTAATATCTTCAGGAAAAAGGGCCGATTTTGCCCGAGATCTAAGGCAATCAGATCTAAAAAGGGAACCTAGTCCTTGCACTAGCTGGTCAAGAATATCCGTAAACGTTTGGCTTTTGCACGGTCTCTTCGCGTAGATGGACGGTCAGTGGGCAGACTTTCGCTGTATGACAATGAAGCTTGATTTTGCTTGAAGCTCCAGACCAGTGCGTTTCCCATTGATACGCAAGGAAGGCCAGGTCTATAATAAAGACTGTTTGGAACGTGCTGTTTATGAATTCAGGCTACCGACCGAAAACGGGAACCCGGATTTAAATTCGGCCCCCCTTTCTATCTCCGTTCTCACTGTCTAAATGGCGTCGGAGATAAAGAACAAAGAGATAACTAACACCCCAAATTCCTAAGGCGTTTATATAAATAATAGGAAGCATGACGATATGTTCTCATATTGATCCTCAAGTGATAGTATAGTATACATATACAGAGCGCCATCCCCGACCACAATTAAGGGGTTCTTAATACCAGGATCAGTACATGCCGAGGTAAGCTGTCATCCGTTAAACACGAGTATCTGCGATCAGCACTTACATTCTGCTATCTTGAATAGAGAAAATCGATCGGAAAAAGAAAACATAGAAACCTATTGATATAAGTTGGCAATATGGCCACGCAAATGCTTCGATATGTGGCCAGAGAAAAAGGCCGGCCCTTGGAAGCTGTTATGACTACAAAGCCAATGGTACAAGACGCAGATGAAATTCTGATTCGCCTCAAAGCCATCGCAATCAACCCTGCAGACTACAAAATGGTCGACCAGGGCCATAAAGTCAAGACCTGGCCATTTGTACCAGGCTTGGACGGAGCAGGCATTGTGGAGGAAATCGGGAGCAGCGTGAAAAGAGTAGGCTTGGGTGACAAAGTGTTGGCTCTGTTCACACCCGGCGATCGTGCCGCATCGTACCAGGAGTATGCGGTCCTAAAGGAAGCGGACGTGGCTAGGATTCCTGAATCGTGGACACTTGAACAAGCCTCAACTCTTGGGTATCCTCCCTCCCTCTCTCCTTCTCTCAGAAAAACTCACTTCACTCACGGCTGATTTGAAGTATTAAGAACTTTAAGCTGACTCGAGAATAATTTAGGGTAACCTTTCTCACGGGCATCGTGGCACTTGGCATCGGGTTAAAGACGCCACTGCCTTTTCTCGAAGGCGGAGAGACAACAGGATTCAATCCCAAATCTGTCCTCATACTCGGTGGAAGCTCAGCAGTCGGCGCTGCCACCGTTCAGCTTCTTCGTCTTGCAGTCCCTGGCTGTAGAATCCTGACCACAAGCTCTCCTCGGCACCATGCTTACCTTGAAAATACACTTGGTGTCGATGGCGTATTCGATAGAGGGTCTGAGACATTAGTCGAGCAGGTCAAATCACAAACTCCGGAATCTCGAGGCGTGGACGCGATTATCGATGTTGTCGGTGCCGGTGCCTTGCAGAGCCATATCTTTGAGACATTGGATGCCCAAGGGCCAAAGAAATATGCACAAGTGTGGACCGGTGACAGCGAGATCAAGGTCCCGAGTGGCATCGAATCAGTCTTATTCAGGGGAGGGGATCTGCCTAAATTGCCTGGAAATGAGAACATGATGAAATCTTTGCAGAGATTGTTGGAGGAAGAGAAATACAAACTGCCGCTTCCAGTGCATGAGGTGGGTCGTGGGTTTGATAAGCTGGAAAGGGGTCTAGAATTGATGCGCAAAGGTGTTAGCGGAGAGAAATTGGTGGTATCTGTGTAAAAGAATCAACCGCCGAAGTGATATGTAGATGAATTACATTAACGTTGAATAGTTTCAAATGACGGGATACACCGCCGTCCACTGTATGCAGGCTACCGAGTTTCAAATGTTGTAGACGATCAGGTTATTAGGTCAAAAAGTAAACTAATGACCTGATGGCCTTTAATCATCCAGGGGAATATTTTGCAAAGTATATCAGCGACAATTTAGACAAAGACGTAGGACCCTTTGTTCCGTTGAATTGTCACTTAATGCGTAGTGACAGATCTCCAAGCACTAACGAATTCAGAATGTCGCTATTCAAATGTTCGGCCTCCAACCCTCACCAGATTTCGCCAACAAACTTTGACACAGTCTCAGTCTTCACAATGAATCTTCACAATGAAGCTTTATTCCTGCATGTGTAATTCTTTTATAACTCGATCATAAAAACCCAACTTTCCAACACTAGTATACGCCCCATACGAATAAGCTATAGCCTGGATCTTCTTGCTGCTCAGGCAAGTCGAGAGCAGGCTATCCGCATGCTCTATTGACTTTACCATTTCGATATAGTCTCCTCGCTCGCGCCAGACTTCTTGTATTTCACCATCCAACGGCTGCCCATGCCGATCATATTTCTGAGGCAGATCGAAGGACACCGGCATGGCTGTAAGGAAATCTGGGAATGCGATGAGCTCCCAGGGAACGGTACATGCCCCTTCCCAATCTATAATTCCCGTCACATCGAAGTTATCCTCGTCCACCATGATGTTACTATGGAGGAAATCATCATGGTCCAGAGGGAATGGTCCTTCGTTGCACAAGGATAGTCGGCTAGCCAATGCTTTGATCTGCGATGGGAAGTTCTCGATGATCTCAACCATCTTTTCTGCTGGGAACGGACTTCGCTGCATCATGTCTATGATTGTTTCTTTATCCCACTTGAAGTTGACGTTGTCTGCCCATGCCTCGAAAAAAGCAGTTGCGGAGTCGAACGGTCCGCCAATGCCTGGTAAGGGGCCACACTCGTATCCACCATCGCGGTTCCGGACAATCGTCCCAATTTTTGGGAGACGTAATGATGTTAACTGAACCTAAAATATGAGGTGAGCAACTAAGGAGTACCTAGATGAATCTGCATAGCGGGTTAGGGGACGAACATGACACTTCGCGACAGAGCGGTAAAAGTTTTGCCGGTATTCTCTAGGAATCACACCGCGATGGACCTCGTAGCCACCCAGGGCATCCATAGCCACACTACCAGGTAGTAGTTCCATAAGTATAAAAGCAGTGCCCACCGGATTGTTATCGTTGACTTCATAAGCAAAAACTCGAGGCGGTGGTAGATCGGAATGCTCTTTAATAAATTGCATTGTTGCAACTTCTGCCTCAAGCTTGGTGCAGCTGACAAGCGGGGAGCAGCTTCTTCTAATATGAACCCGAGCGACCCAACAACTTTTGTTGGAAAATTCCAGCAAACGAACAATATTGTTAAGCCCACTTGCAACCCGGTCTAAGGCAACGCACTCTGAATGACCAGCAAGGCCCGAAGCAACTCGACAGAGCTCATCCCATTGAGTTTGGTGAAAATAGCGAGAGGTTTGGCTATCACTATTTTCCAGGAATGCCTGGACAGTAGACCAGGAGCTTGAGTCGGTAAAAATAACCACTGTCTGCCAAACAGAAATATAGACTAGGGGATCTAAAAAACCTCTCACTTACGGAGAGAAAGGATAGGATATGGTTCTCCTCGCAGACTCTAACAGGATTCAAAATGAAAGTGAGAACTGGAAAAAATGATGAGCGGTGTGGATCATCAGCGCCCGAGGCACCTTAAACTTTGTATTTGTACTGTATAGTAAGGGATGGGGAGTTGGTGGATGCGGGGAGTAGGGATGTGAGTGTTAGGGGGTCGAGGGAGGTGGTGGAGCTGGTGGGGGAGAGGGGGTGGATGCACATGTGCGGACCGCGGTAGTGTTGTAGTTGGTGGGGGCATAGAAGGGGTATGATGGGTGATTGTGGGCGGTGGTGGATAAGTAGTAGAGGGCTATTTGGAGTTTATGGTTATAAAATACATCTTATTAACTTACAAGCTAGTCCAACGACATTTATATAAAAAAAACAGTTGATTTTTATAGTTGAACCCCCTAAATGTTCTAGTGCTCTTGCTCAATCAAGCTATCATTCATCGACCTTCTATTGGACATTGCAACATATTTGCTTTGAGAAACTTGAGAGACTTGTTCAATTGATTCCAGAAATCCTGGTTTTTGCGGGAAATTTTGCTGGATAACCTTGGTTAAATAAGCAAAAAGAGCCCATGATCTGCCCACATGTGCAGGTGAATGCATATCCAATGTAGTCAACCTAGCACTGCCATTCGAGAAAAAACGCCTATTTGATTTTTTCAAGACACAGTTCTCACGTGAAGATCATGGATATGTTCGTTCAATGGCATCAGTCAAGAAACAAAACTTTCGTACAGGGTGTAAAAGTGTATGATAAGAACAAGAAGAAAACCGAGTCAGAAACAGATTGTGCATGAATCGAATATAAACGTCCACACCACGCACAAGAAGCAAACACAACAAACCTCATCCCAATGCACCACGTAAGTTCGAAACGGCCAATTAAAGGTGGATCGCTTGAATCATGAACACCATGTCTGAGGCATCCGAATCCTCACACATGTATAGTAATTATAGAGAAAGGACTTTCTGGTTGCCCCATGAAACCAAAGACAACGTAAATAGACGCGATGAGCGGGCAGAGAGGTCCTCCCAAAGATATTTGAGACATTTGACGTCATTTTGGACATTCTCATCCTCACGCTTTTCTGCTGCGAGTTCGGGGACCACGCTGTTCGGGGGCAGGTTCGCCATTGAGGAAGAGCTGCGGAGCCTGGTTCTCCTGCTTGGCGGATTCAGCACCAGTAGCGAGGGTAGCCTTGGTCTCAACCTCGACCTCGATTTCTTCCTCAGTCTCATCATCGCTACGCTCATCTTTTGTGACGCTGTTGAAAATGTAGTTCGCCAAGATGCGCAAGATCAAGAACAACCAGAACAGATTCACGGCTTGAAGACTAGCGAGCAGGCCGAATGTGATGTACTGACTGATCCAGCACTTGTACTGTTGAGTCTCCCAGTTGAGCTCGAAAGGACCAACGGTACGGAACTCGGTCAAAACAGCCCAAAGAATCTTCAAGTTCAACACGTGGCGAAGGTAGACCCACATGCCAACAAAAACGGCAAAGTAAGGAATCGTGATATAAGCATCAAGGTAGTTCAATGTTTTTGAGGTCTAGGTCACTTGGGTCAGCAAGAAATTCTATTGAATCAATGTCTTGGTTTTGCTTTGCACATACCGCCAGGAAAAAGTCCGAGACATCGTGGGTGATGTACACCGCCAAACCAATGTAGGTGAAATGGAACCGATAGCTCAATGCAATAAGCGCCAAGGTGATAATGTGGTGTCCGACCAGCTCTTTGAAATCCTTGCGAGGCTTCTCAAGCTGCAGCATGAGCACAATGGCCTGTTGCGCCCAGTAGCTTGCTTCCAGAAGGTAGTATGCCTTGAACAGTCCCTCGTGCTCGCGGTGGGGGAAGTTCTCAAACATAGCGGTGGTGTTGAAGTACCAAATATCCGAGCGCTTCATGACGTACAGGCCAAACGGACCAAAGATGCCAAAGTAGATCGCTGTGTAGACCTGCTCCATAAACCGGGCAGTCTTGCCCCTTCCACGGATGCCACAGAAAATAGCGAGTGGGCGAATCATCTGCTGCATGATAAACTCGCGTGTGAACGAGAGAACAACCGTGTAGAATGCCACAAAGGCAATATCCTTCTTGCCCTTTCCATACATGATCGGGCCGCCGGGGGTCTTGGGTGATTGTGGGTAGGAAAGGAAGATTGCGCTGTGCATGGGATTTGACGGAGTAGGATTGATCGCGTAGAGGGAGAGCAAGAAGCCCAGAACGATCAGCGGGAGTAGCCAGGTGTACTTGAGGCAAGTGTCGGCGAAACGATGCAGCAGCGAGCGGTTGCGACGACGCTTTGTATGGGGTTTGGCGGGGGACTTTTCAGAGACCTGGCTCTCGAACTGCTGAATGCACCCAAGGGAAGGCATGTTAGCGCGCGAAGCTTGAGTTTTGGGGTTCAAGAATTATTCGGAGAGTACATTCAGACACGTACCTTGGCCATGTCGGGAGATGCGGGCTCGATTGGACTCATTTCGTTCATGGTGGACATGGCGGGCGCACTGGTGTCACCGCGGATGTCCACGCCCAGATGGGATCTACCACGAGGGCGAACCATTGTGGTAAGGAATTTTGTTCCAAGGTGTGAGTTGTCGGAAGGAAGAAAGTTGGATGCGACCGATTCGATGATCAACGCTCTCACGTGCTTTTTTAGGGTGCGACGGAAAACGGAAAGAGAAACGAGAACGAGATCTCACCAACCGAGCTTATATGTATCCACTTCATCAAATGGATCGTGTATAAAAAGAAAAAAAAATAAACAAAACATTTGAATTGGACCACCGGTTCTTCCGAGGCCCGATTTGTCTTGGCCCCTATTTTTTCCTCTCTCTTTCTTGTGTGTACACCGTACACAAGGTTGTTTTGTCAAAGATTTTTTGACTCCACTTTTCCTTCCTTATCCGGGATATTCATCCACGATCATGTCACTCCGGACATCTCGTCTGTTCTTACGGAGTAACTAATAATTATGCATCCACCCGTGATTGAGATTCAAGTACAAACGGAGTATACGGGTATACGGATACGTGTATAACAATTCGGACCGAGAAAAGGCAAATCTCTGCGGGGCGCACTAGTGAATAAATGCACTAGCTCTACAAAACAGGACCAATAAGCACTTCTGCACAATTCCGATGACGATGAAAGAAGCCCTGTGTGCTTTGTACAGAGTATAAGTCAGCTGACTTGTTCTAACGCAAGAGACAATCATCGCTGTTCTTTTGACCCACCTTCTCTCGACCTGAAGTCTGAAACCCGAGTCCGTTTCCTCTAGACTCCCACCTGCGGACTTCTGCTTCTCTTTTTCATATCTGTGCCGGGCATATGTGCAGCGCTCTTTACTTGTAACTCTATAACTTGGAAAATGCTCAGAGTTCATAAGAAAAAATCTCTGTTCTAATTATTCTATCTAAATAATAGATAACAAGACATGTTGGAGGACATGGGATATCATACAAAGTTATCAAACAATCCGTTCAAATTTCGTCGGTATATCGTATTCACATGCAACAAATTAATAAGCTCAAGTCAAAGTTGCCAGGCCAGTGCTGTCGACATTGCCGTAGATCCACTGGCTGAAGTTGCTGGGAGCGGCCTGGTTACAGGGGATTCCAGAGTTCTTCTGTCCAACGATGTTCGTGCACTGGTATAGTTCACGGTGGATATCAGTGTCGTAGTAAGGCAGGCCCAGACTGGCATTCACGCTAGTAATATTCACGTTATCAAACGTGATATTGGGGCAAGGAACCTCGTCGGAGCAGTAAATGGAAGAAGCGATGTTGAAACGGGAAGTACCGCTGATATTCTGCCACTTGACATCCTCGATCTGCAAGGTCGATGTGTTGCAGCCCTTGTTGCTGTCTGCCGAGTAAACACACTGCGACATCTGAATGGGGAGTCCGACATTGATCATCTCGAAGTTGCGGAAAGTGATGTTCTTCACGAGACCGGTGCCACCACCACCCCAGTCGCCGTTGCTGGGAGTGTAGACGCGGGTTCCTTGCCAGGTCTTGATGTAGGCGCCGTCCATGGAGTTCTTGACGATGACATTCTCAAAGGTGGTGTTGATGTTGTAGTCAGGCATGTTGGGGTATTGGCCGATAGATCCGATGGTAATTCCGGTGCCGCCCTCGCAGTAGATGTTCTTGGCGTGGAGGTTGGTGGTGTTACCCTTGGCTGCGATGCAATCGTCACCGTTGATGATTGTGGCGTTCTCAACAAGCAGAGAGTCACTCTTCCAGGAATCGTAACCGTCGGTGTTCATGGTGCCCCATTTGCTGTTGCTAGTGGCGTTCACGAACAAGTTGGTGACGGAGACATTCTTGCTGTCCCAGACAAAGGTGGCCCAGAACTGGGGCTGGATGATCCGCAAACCGTCGACAAGTAGGTTGGTCGAGTTGTAGAAAGTAATGCTCATGGGGCGTCCTGGCTGGTTGGACTCATTACGGTTGGCGTTGTACCAAGCTTGACCCTGGCCGTTGTAGAAACCACCTTCTTCGCCGTAGAAGTTCACGTTGGTACCTCCAAACAGCCAAGCAGTGACTTGATCCTGGAGAACAACACTGATCGAGTGAGTTCTCCAGTAAGGGAGGTTGGTGGAGAAGCGCAATTCACCACGGAGATGAACATCGCAATTCAGCAGATTGGTAGTGTTCAGAACAGTGTTGACGTGGAAGACATTCTTGGAGAAAATAACAGTTCCGTTTGTGCCGCACATGTCAAAGGCTTCCTGGATAGATGGGGAGTCATCCACCTCTTGTCCATGGTGAACAAGCGATTCGGGGTACAGAACACATGTTGTTCCTTCATTGACAACCCAGGCCTTGACCAGGGTGACCCAGAGGGCAATAAACCACAACTTCAACATGGTGAATGACTTTGAGTATGCTTGCTTCGAGAAAAGAAAAGAAAAATGAAGAAAAATATTCCTCCTTATATACTTCGCTGATCAGCCTTGACATGAGCCATTTTCCGAATTTTCCTATGATGAACCCCCACAAGCCCTGGAGCGTGGGGAGCAACTATAGTACATCTGACATCATCTCGCCCATTGAAATATCCACACGGGTTAATGCAAAAGCCGGGAGTATGGAGACGATCGATTATACTCCAGATATCCTTACAAGCGCCCATACTGTCAGCGAAGCGGCAATTGAGTTCAGTACTTCGAAAGCCGAATCAGGTGGGGTGATTCCAAGGTTGGGGTCGGGGTTTCTCCGAACAACGTCTCGCACGGGGATGTTAGTCATGCCCCGCTGCACTGGCCAGGGTTTTTCGATGTCAAAAAGGTCTAGTTTTGGAATATCACTTACTTCAATGACGGATGTAGCAATTCTTCTGGTGATCTTCATTAGTATCGTTCTATCCATTAAATATTATCGGAAATTTTAGGGTCATTCGGCCACGGAACGGCGCAGTGCTACTTCGAGTGGCTTCCTGTATGACACTTTCGACAAGGCAAGACCGAAACTGGTAACACGGGATCTCACACGGAGTAAATTTATAGTGTTAGCTCCAACAGGGTCCCGAAGATGGATGTCTATACCGACGTCAGGGTTCGGCTGGTGTCGGGGGCCCGCGATGTTTAAGCCTCGATACGAAACCCTTAGCCGAATGCGGTGTGTACATACCCCGAGATCGGCTCACGCCGCTCCAGTCCTAATAAGGCGGCTTCCCGATACCGAAGCGATCTACATTAGATGCATGGTGCAATTAGTGTCTCCGGCATTCAATTTTCAATATTTTCGGCCCGATCAAAGAAGGCCAAGAAATTGTTTAGGAACATCTACATTGGTGCATATTTCCAAAGATCTTGGATCATAATTGCGTTTGATTCCTACCTAATATTCTTCATGATTTTCAATTTGCAACAAACGATCCTAGTTTGTCTCGGCAACATTGTAGACCAGCTTCTCACCGCTGACCTTGTCCGCCTTGAGCAGCTCCAGTCCCTCAAGAACTCCACGCAAACCACCGGGGTTCACCTTGGGGGTGTGCACCTTGACCTTTCCTGAGGCCAGGATTGGCTCAGCAATCTTCCACCATCCAATGGCGAACTCCTTGTTCTCGGGGACAGCGTCCCAGAAGCGTCCAAACTTATCAAAGGCCTCACCAACAGCGGTGTATCCCAGAGTCATGTGGCTCTTCACGTTATCACGCTTAACACCGACAGCAAGCAGAGCAGTGTAATCACCACCAGCGGTCGACAAAGCCTTCTCACAGAACTCCGCACTGGCATCAATGGAGATGGTATCGAGGACAAGCTTGAGCTTGTCGTCAGTAGCCGCGCGAATAGCGGCCGCAGCACCAGCATCCTTGTAATCGAAGACCTCGTCGGCACCGAGGCTCTTGACGAGATCGAAGTTGCGGGGCGAGCAGGTTGTGAGGACGCGGTAACCGGACAGCTTGGCGAACTGGATAGCGAGGGCACCGGTGGCGGTGGATCCGCCGTAGATGAGGAGGGGCTCGGGGGTCTTGAGGGGTTCGGTGGGGAGGGCAAGCTTCAAGGTCTGGTACAGCGATTGGCCGACAGTTGTGACACCAACACCGAGGGTGGCGGCTTGCTGGAAGGTGAGGTTATCCGGGATGTGCATCTGGAGATCGCCCTTTGCGACAATGTATTCGGCGAAGCCACCATCTTCGAGCTGGGACTTGTTTCCTCCGTGGACGAAACCGCAGATACGGTCGCCCTTCTTAAATGACTTCTTGACGTCCTTGCCGACCTCTTCGACCACGCCAGCGTAGTCACAGCCGATCAGGGAACCGGGTGGGGAGACGTAAAGGATGTGCTTCCAATCGGTGGGGTTCAATGCGACGGCCACGGTTTTGATAAGGATGTAGTCGTCACGGAGGGTGGGCAGGGCTCGATCGGTAACTACCTCGGCGACCTGGGGAGAGGTGATGACGACGGCTTTTTGGGTGGTCATTTTGGCGGTTTATTTTATGTTAGGAATATCAATGGTGATTGATATGGGGGTGGTTGGATTAGTGTTTCAATTGAACCTTTTTTGGGGATTGGGGATTTATATAGGAGTCCACGGATGAAATCAAAGTCGAAAAGCCCGATTCAATGCGATGGAAGATCAGCGAACCTTGTTCGAACATCGATTAATAATTTTTTATGTCTTCATCATTGCATCCATTATCCATATACTATTGGCGCTAACCCGAATGCGGAGTTTAACGCTAGCTGCATGAAGCTCAATCGCCGCAGGGTGACCAATAAGATCACGTTTTCAAGCTAAAACCTATGGAGCGTACCAAACTTCCTGAAGAAACTGGCTTAATAATGAAATCACGACCGAGGTTAAAATCTGAAACATCTTAATTGATTATCAATCATTCACAGTTACGAGCCGTGCACAAAAATATGAGAAATATGTGAAATATCGGTGAAGATTTTGAAGATTCTGAAGAACTTGTCTGGTCACGTGAATCTGCACTCCATCATTGATCAACAGTCATTTCAACCCTTTCTTAAAAATAAATAGCAAAAGGGATATCAACTCCTGCTATATAGGGATATCCGCGGGTATCTACCATATATACTACTAGTACTAGTATGGTAAAAGCCTCACGGAGGAGATGGATATACCGCTAGAGGTTCACTGAATTCCTTTACAATCACTAGTAGTGCGCAAGCAAATCTCACTTTTCCAGTCCTGCCTGAGGCTGCACTTATCATGAATCATGTACATTAGCCTAGTAAGCCAGGCCCGCTTCCCCAAAGTGTAGTTGGAAATTGTACGGAGTACAGTCCAAGCATTTGCTTATGTATAACCTTGAGTTTCCAACCTTGGTAGTACATATGGGTATCTACTACGAAGTAATGACCGGGCTTATTTTAATAGCACGAAGGCCAAATAGACATCTGGATCAATTTTATGTAGGAATGCAACCTTCAATGTTGGAAGCTTTGGAAAAACCAATTCAATGTTTGTTTATTCAAATGTTCAATTGTATCTCATGAATCTTGTTTTACATGTTTATCATCCAATCCAGTATAAGGACCATAGCAAATCCAAACCAAAAAGAAGATATATCTCCTCAACTGTAAATTAAATATAACTTAAGATGACTCAGTGCTGTCCTCAGCATGAGCAGCAACAGGCTTCTTCTCAGCCATCGCCAATCTCTCACCCAGGACCTCAACATCACCACGCTCAGCAGCAGCAGTACGCTTGTGATCGTGGCGAGTCTTCCAGGCAGGGGTACCAATGTACGGAATACCATTGGGATCCTCAAAGATCTGCTCGGTCTCCTCAAGAGTCTTGCCAGCAGTCTCAGGGAACATGAAGAAAACGTGGAGCCACATAACGGTCAAGAAAACACCAAAGATGATGTAAGTCTGCCAGCGGATGTTGGCGAAAGCAGAGGGCACAAAGAGACCCAGAGCGGTGTTGAAAGCCCAGTTAGCGGAGGTAGCGAGTGCGACGGCCTTTCCGCGGACACGGAGGGGGTACAACTCGGGAGGGTAGACCCAGGACACGGGGCCCCAGGTGGGAGCGTAGGAGGCAACGAAGAGGTAAGTGCAGGCGATGAGGGCCTTGGCGGGGGCACCGCTCAGACGCATGGACTCCTCGGGAGTTCCGTCAATACCACCGGGGACGACGACACCGTACGAGGCCATGAGACCGGCGTTGGCGTACATCCAGGTCATCATGAGGGCAGCACCGACCAGCAGAGTAGGGCGACGACCCCACTTGTCGACCCAGATCAAAGCGGGGACGGTAGTCACGACGTTGATGATGTACTGGATGGAGGAGGCGAGGAGGGTAGCGTTGCCGGAGTAGCCGGCCATGGTGAAGACGTAAGTGATGTAGTACATCATGACGTTCATGCCGGTGAGCTGGGACCAGATCTGCATGAAGATACCGATGAAGGTACGGTTGATCATCTTGGGCTTGAACAGCTCCAGGTATGTGACGTCGGCGTTTTGGCGCTCGAACTCGCACATCTCACCGATCTCTTGCATCTCGGCGACGACGAAGGGGCTGTTGGGGTCACCCTTTCCGTGGACGAGGGCGAGGACGGATTGACATTCTTCCCAGCGGTCTTTGCGGGCGAGCCAGCGGGGGGATTCGGGGAGGCTGATCATGCCGAGGAAGAGGAGGACGGCAGGGAGCATCTGGAGACCCCAGGGAATACGGAAGACGGCGGTGCTGTAGTTGGTGGTGTCCTGGCCACCGATGTAGGAACAACCGAAGCAGATGCTGTAAAAGAAAAATGCAGTGTTAGTTCTCCTGTTCTTGCCATCTGCGCATAGTTCGAGGATTTTGGGGGTGAGTTTGAACATACTAGTACATGATCAGAATACCCCAAGTGATAGCCCACTGCTGGGATCCAACCAGACGACCACGCTTGGAGGGAGGAGCAAGCTCCGAGATGTAGACAGGAACCTGGGCACTCTCGATACCGACAGCAATTCCGTTGATGACACGACCCACACAAAGCATGGCAATGTTCTGCGAAGCGCAAATAATAACAGAGCCAACAATCCTGGATCAACACGTTAGTTTTGATTCCTGGTTCGTATAGACATAGCTGCGCGTGAGAATTGACATACCAGATAACACATCCAACCATAATAGAGTAGCGACGACCAAGACGGTCCGAGATGAAACCAGAAATCAAAGCACCAAGCCACGAACCAGCGGGCATGGAGGCAGTAACACCACCCTGGGACAAGGAGCTCAATCCACTGCATGTGTTGCTGTCATTGAAAGGCGGGCCCTCGGGTCCCTGGTTGAAGTAACACTTGTAGGCAGTTGTCCCCAGAATAGCGGACATAGACGAGATGTCAAAGCCAAAGAGACCGCCTCCAATGACGGAGACGGCCGCGATATAGTAGATGTTCCCCGCGAGAGGCATTGTGGGCAGTCTAATGAGACTTAGATCCCAGATCTATAGGGTATCGAGGTGGGGAAAGGGGAAACACAAAGAAACGACCAGTCGATCAACCCAAGTCCGGCTGGGGGAGGAAAGGGGCATTTAAATAGATCTGGGGATACTGCATATGACAGGGAATTCTTCGAAATTTTTACTTTCTGATTATTTTTTCTGATTTATTATTATTTTTTAGTATTGTTTTTTACTTTTGGACTGGGTGGATTCAACATGGGGCCGAAACCATTTCGCGACAGCTCCACTGGCAATTTGGCCTAGAGACGTACGTTCATTCCGGGTAATCTCAGTCTGGAGAAACTCGAGGGCCTTCAAAACAAAATTGAGTGCAACGTTTCCGGGCAAGATGTGCCAAGACCCTGTTCGCGTGTTCCTTGCGGGGATAGTCGAGTTCTGATTGGCTGAAATGGGGGACAGCGACCCACATACACTGACCCTATTGGCTGGGCCAAGCCGATCGCATGAATGGATCCGGGGAATCGGCCACGAGGGGTGCCTATTCTAGACCGAAAGACGCATGGTCAATCCCTAAGAATTCCGTTGAAGCCGTGTTCGGTCGGCCCCTTTGTCGGCTTACTGACGCCATCGGAATCCCTTTCTGCACGGGAATCGACAAACGCAAGGTCTCTCCGTAAGTGAGATTTCCATCCTGGAATTAAGTATAATAAAGTAGAGGGTCTCCTGTCTCTACCCGAGGACCCTGAAGGAGAAAACTTTTTCCTGGCTCTGCTCCATAGTAAGAGTACTCATCATACCACCCATAATTGCCAAATGACTAGGCCCAATAGGAAGCTCCAAGCCAAATGCAACCAAAAAGCAAGGTAAACAAGGCATGAGGATAAAGCCCAAAACTTGGCCCTGCGCAATCAGCGACACCACGGTCGACTCACGGCGACAAATTAATTGGCGCATATTACCTACAAATTAACCGAATCTCCACTTGGTCTACTCTGAGTAAAAATCTGCATTGCATTCTGGAGAGCTGGAGAGCCAATCCGGGGCCCCAACGACGGGCATTTACCCAGAAGGGGACGGCCTTGGACGGCATCTCACGGCATTGAGTGGTCGGCCCTCGCCGAAGAAGTGGGACTTCGGAGGGTCTCTCGGTGCCCTATCCCGTGGATTACGGTGTCTTTCCGGCTCATTTACTAAATCCCAACCCGAATTGACCACAGTAGGGAAAAAATCGACTAAGAAAAAAGAAAAACAGAGAAAAAAATATAAAAAATATGCTCCAAGGACTTTTAGTCCCTCCTCTTTTCAGCTGTTTTTCTGCCCACATTTGGCAGGTCGTCTATGTAGTAAGTTTAGGTGTGCGTGGGTCCCAAAATAAAATAAAAAACCGATGATCCAAAGCAGGGAAATGAAGTTGTCGGCCTCCAACCCGCTCGACTCCGCGTTTGATGTTGATTTCATGCGGAGATCGACTTGGTCGGGGTTGACTACTCCCAATTTCGTTCACCGGGACCTCATTCCCCAGACATTCCCCTCCGCATTTACAATTCAAGTACGGAGTAGCGGGGGAAAATAAATCCAAGCAGAGTTTAAGAAAGAAAATTGAATTCAAGTTTCGCATCACCAACATGGCCATTCCCACTTTTTTTCGGTTCTAATTAATTGAGTAACTGAAAAAAGTCTCAACAGACCCTGTGACCCTGTGTTAGCACGGCCCGCCCGCATCCCGATATCTTTGTCAAGTCTCCGTTAATTGCCCGAGCCTGCTACTGGAGGGAAAATTATGTCTTTCCACCGGATAAATCTCCATGGCGCACTTAAGCACTAGCTGCGGATGGGGCTTTTTTTTTCCTCTGCCGTGAACTTTGTACCATCTTTACCTTCTCGATGCGACGCGGTGGCTGTCGATGGGCGCGCTAGTCTTCATTTCCCGCGCCTCCTCGTCATACGGCGCACGGGTCCGCAGTGGGAAAGAAAGTTTTACGCCTAAGAGTATCTGGAACCATGGGTTCATTTGTTAGGAAATGCACGGTCTTGTCGGCAATTCAACAAGTCTAGAACGGATGATGTAGTGGCATTTGATGTAGCTCCTGGTACTCCCCCAAGAAAAGAGAGAGGAGAACTGAAAAATTCAGGGTATAGGGAGACCCATGGATAAGGGATTTGGTGGAAGGTAGAGAAAGAGGGAGGGGGAAAAGGGACTCTCCTCCGCAAAGAGGATGCTGAAAACATGATCGCATGTGGCATTTCATTAACCCACATGTGCAGGCCTCCAAAAATCAATCTAAACAGCACCACCTCTGAGAAACACATCCCCTTCCAAAGCAGCGCATCCACGCTCAAACTGCCGCGGCTCAAAAAACTCTGCACACGTTGAATTTCCATAGGCCAGCCCAACCAATGTTTTCTCTATTCGAAGTTAACAAGCGTCCCAAACCCAGATCAGTCACTCAAAACTCACCATGGGGATTATACCGCGGCCACCCAAATTCCTCGAGCCCATTTTGCGGGTCGCTGGCAAATGCGACCCAGGCCGAAGCCATATAGCTTGAAACCTCCTTTTCAGATTCACTATCTGAGATATCGCTTACTATCTCTGCAGTTCCGAATACCATTGGTAGATCTGATCCATGATATGTTCCGCTTCCAGGGTAAAGACGAAGGTTGTCCCAGTCGCCGAAGTATCGAGCCTGCCATGTCGGGACACCATGAGTCCATCGGTCTCTTACAGATTGACCGCTAGGGCATGTGAATGCTGCAAGATCGAATTCGGTCCACAATTTATTGCTGACAGCGATCTGGCTTGCGTATGCGGCGAGACGGTAGAAACCGGCTTCGTTGTTGTTGCATGTTACTAAGTATGGCTGTCAAGATATGTTAGTTCATACTATTCCAGATTGGTCAAACTCAACCGTTCAGATCCAGGATTCATCACAATCCAAGAATGCATCAGTTGATTTTATAACGTACCAATCGCGCAAATTTTCCTTCAGCCGATCTTTTATTATAATCACTAAAAACCGTTATCTCGTCCGCAACGGGATGAAACACTGGCTCGGGGATCGTGGCCGATGAGATCATCGCAACGTTATTAGAAACGTTCCATATATCTTCGAAAGATTTCTGGCGCATACACCCTAGAACCAGGTCTTGATCTTCGGCTTCACCTCCGCATCCCAAGGACGTAGACACATTGTGAAAAGCGTGTGCAGATTGTGCAAGTGTATTGGGGTTGTAGCTCAATGCTGTTCCGGAGTGGGAGATGAGACCGCTTATGAGGGGATCATGCGCCCATGCGTAGGAATAGAAATCAACAGAGGTACCGCCAGCCGAAGACCCGAATATTGTGATGCGGTCGGGATCTCCGCCAAATGCTGCGATGTTTCGGTGGACCCATTCGATTGCCATGCGTTGATCGAGGAGGCCCACATTTTGGGGGAGCTTTGGAGCGCCTGAGAAGCCGAAGATATTTAATCGGTAGCTGGGTGGGGAGGTGGATTCCGGTCGTCAGTGATTCAAATTCTTGGGTGGGTATATCTATGTGTACCTGTCCGCAGTTGTACGTTCAATTACCCACTTGGGCGACCACCACCACCAAAAAAAAGAACTCACCTGATCGTAACGAGCAGAACATCGTGCCGTGAGGTCAGAAATTTTCCATCATAGTATTCCGACTCAGCGCCGGTAATGATAAATCCTTGCTCGCATGTCAGACGGAGATGTGTATATTATAGTCACAGCTTTCACTCACGTCCACCATGAATCCATAATAGAACCGGTTTCAACCTGACTGGATCACGTCTCGTCCAAATATTGAGGTACAGGCAGTCTTCACTTTGCAAGCCAGGTTGTTGCAAAAATGCACTAAGAATCTTGGGTGCTTGAGGAGTCATTCCAGGATATGGAGGAAGTGAGGCGTTACTGGCCGGGCAATTGCTATTGATTCGTTAGCTAGCTCTAGGAGGCGTCCGAATGTATTGTACGTACGGGCCCTACCAATGATGTTAGCAAGGATTTAGTGAAAGTAAGACTGTGAAATAAAGACAGACATAATCATTGGCTTGAACAGTACCCTTGGACTCAAATGACACGGGTGCTGCGAATCGCAGTTCGCCCGTTGGTGGTGACGCAAATGGAATGCCTAGATACTCCAATACATCGGGGAATTTGGAGTCAACGTGGCCAATTATCAGTCCAGTGCTGGTTTGAACCGAAGTACCAAAGGGAGAAGGGTGGGCTAAGGCAGAATATTGTTGACACGGGTATATCACAAGAAAGATTGCGCATGCGGCGATTATCGACTGGGTGAGCTTGCTTTGGCCTGCCATTGTTAAGTATGATCACCTACTAGTACTTAGCCAAATACGAGACTACTAATGCAATGAACGGTGGGCAACTGACATATTAATACTACTAAGTAGCATGAATGACTTTCAAGCAAGCTTTAGATATGTGACTCAAATAGGCAGTGCTGACTGGACTCACCCCGTTCACTATCCATGGATTATGATGGGTTTAGAACGGGACTGCGATATTATTGATCATAGGATGTCAAGCATGCGTGCTTAGGCATTATCATAACAGCCCCGGAACCTTGAAGCCCGGCTCATCATTACTGGTCACTTGAGGCTCTGGTCTGGTCCTCAGAGTCGTACGTACATTTAATTCAAAGCTAGAAATATCCCGATCCTCGAGTCTTCTCGATATTGAGTTTTCCTGATCATGACCTACTACCCTTGCGTAGTCATTATACCTCGTCAACGCACACATGTGCAGCCCAGGTCTATTTATGATGGTCGGGGTCCAAAAAGAATGTAGAAATCCAAAGCAACATAACTTGGAAACTCTCATCACCGAGCGAGGATGGAACTTCTTTCTGCGAGCGCAAGAAATATAACATGCCCTGATGAACACCCGATCGCCAGATTTGTTCCCGATATGGCGAAACGAGAGAAATCACTCGGTCTGTACTCAGCGGGCAGCCACAGGATCTTAACTCCATTGTGAGTTACCCAGGAAGAGTCATGATTCAAACCATATCCGTACATGTGTTGTTCGGGCGATAAACTCAAGTCATGATGCATCAATGGTTGGTCGGAATCAACTGAACCGATATCAAACGAACTGATATCAAACGAACCCATACTAGTCTGCAGATAGTTCGGATTGGATTCATTGAATTGAACGGAGCCTGGATCATTGAGAGAGTTGCGGAAAGTTGATACGTTCCGACCGGTGGCTGGGTCCCAGATTTTGACTATATTTCTATAGGACGATGATGCAAGTCGGCTTCCATCTGGCGACCAGGCAGTTGATACTAAGTGATCATCACTAAGATCGAAATCATCCATCTCATCTGATAAGAATTCATCACTAAGATCGGAATCATCCATCTCATCCATAAACCACTGAAAAGTATCTATACTTTGGCCTGTAGTGAAATCCCAGATCCTGATAGTATCATCAGACGCGACTGCCAGTCGGCTTCCATCTTTCGACCAGGAAAGTGATGTGACATAAGATTTATGCCCACAAAGGGTAGAGAGGCTCTGGCCAGTGGCTGTATCCCAGATCATGACTGTGGTGTCACTTAATGCTGATGCGAGTTGGCTTCCATCTGGCGACCAGGAGATCAACTCCCGGAACTGGCATGTAAGGGTAGTACCCACCTTTAGAGTATATATACTCTGGCCGGTAGCCAGATCCCAAATAATAACTATATTACCACTAGATGCCGATGCAATTCGCCCACCATCTGACGACCAGGCGATTGACATAACCGTGTTTGTATGCCCTTGAAGAGTACGTTTACTCTGGCCAGTGGCCGGATCCCAGATCATCACTGTATGATCATCTGCACCGGATGCTGATGCGAGTTGGCTTGCATCTAGCGACCAGGCAACTAAGCTAACTAAGCCATTATGGCCCTCTAGAGTAGGTATACTCTGTAGGTAGCTAGTAGCTGGATCCCAGATCCTGACTGTCTTATCATGAGACCCCGATGCGAGTCGGCTTCCGTCTGGTGACCAAGCGATCGATGAGACCATGCCAGCATGGCCCCTAAGAGTAGACACCCTCTGGCCAGTGATCGTGTCCCATATCCTGACTGTCTCATCATCAGACGCCGATGCGAGTTGACTTCCATCTGGTGACCAAGAGATTGAAGTAAACAACTTATGAGGTATATGCCCCTCAAGAGTATGAATACTCTGGCCTGTAGTCGGATCCCAGATCCTGGCTGTATTATCATCAGACTCCGATGCGAGTCGGCTTCCATCTGGTGACCAAGTGATCAAATAGACCGAATTTTCATGCCCTTCAAGAGTAAACAGTCGTTGGCCAGAGGCTATATCCCAGATCATGACTGTCTCATCATCAGACGCCGATGCGAGTTGGCTTCCATCTGGTGACCAAGAGATGGAAACAACTGAATTGGCATGTCCCTTTAGAGTAGAAATACTCCGGCTAGTAGCCGGATCCCAGATTATGACTATCTTGTCATGCGATGCCGATGCGAGTTTGCTTCCATCTGGCGACCAAGAGATCGATCTGACTCGGTAGGTATGTTCATTAAGAGTATGTATACTCTGGGGGTTAGCCGGATTCCAAATCCGGACTATCTTATCACTCATCCCTATTGCAAGTTGACTTCCATCCGATGACCATATAATAGAACTAGCCCCATCCTTGTGGCCCTCAAAAATGCAGATACTTCCTTCGCTTCTCTGATCGTTAGCCATATCCCAGATCCTAATCGTCTTATCCGATGACGATGAAGCAAGCTGGCTTCCATCTGGCGACCAGGAGATCAAACGGACTGAGTCACTATGGCCTTTAAGAGTGCATACACTCTGACCAGTAGACAGATCCCAAATCCTGATTGTTGTATCCTGTGACGCTGAAGCAAGTATTGACCGGCTTTGATCTGGCAACCAGGCGATCGAATTGATGCCACCAGTATGCCCTTCTAGAGTGTCTAAACAGAGACCCCATTCTTCTTCTACCACTGGACTATTTAAAACCCAATCTGGTTTCTCAGTCTGAAAGCAACGCCTGGTAATACTCCTTGTTGGGCTGAATATAAGAGGCGAATAATACACTTGTAGAGGGCTGCTTTCAATCGCAGTTCGGAAATATCGAATGAATAGTGACGCGTCCTGTGTCCGAAGAATCATAGCCTGCGAGTTTGCTTTTTTCTATGAATGTTGCTCCTTCATTAGAATAGAAACAGACATCTTGAATCAAATAAAGAAAGCCATACCTGAGTTAGCATCGCAAGTCGTTGCATTACTTGAATGCCGTGTGAAACACTTCTCAAAATGCTGAGAGCCTCAAGCCAGTAAAGGTAAGTTTTTTGTAAAAACACATCGACGCAACCTCCCTCATTGAGGCTAAGTTCATAGTATTCATTCCGCTCGCTACCTTGAAGATGGTCTACCCAATAGACACATGCATATTCTGCTGCTGCTAGTGGATTCGGGCTAGGTTGTCTTACATCATTGACTGAGAATCCAGGGAGCTTAATGTTGAAGATATCACGTCGAAGTGTTTTGAGCATCACTTCAAGGCATCGTGAGAAAATCATATAGTGCGTAGCTCCTGTACCTCTCGGGGCTATCTCTTCCAGGGCTTCCTGAAGTAGAAAATCCTTTGCAGACTGATGGACGAATGTAATAGTATCTTCTTGTAGCGTCAGGAATGACCCACAAACTGTGATGATCTCTGAGAGGGCTTCATAACCATCATCTTCGCTATAGTCATTGTTATCATCACTCTCGGGCAGTTTAATGAGTGAAGCCAGCTCGCTAAGAGTAATAGGTCGGTAAACTGTTGACATGATGCCTAGGATCTGCTTGCAAAGTTCGGCATCTTCAGACCAGCGAACCTGATCTATCATTCGGCTATACAAATCATCCAATCCAGGAGGGAATGCCTCTAGCTTCTTGATAGCATGCCTCGGTAGTGTTCTATCAAGATTTTGACAGACTAAGGCTACCCACAGAAATGTACCTTGCGAGTTTAGCAATAAGTGGTCGTAAATTCTAACACGGGTGCTTTCTTTGTATTTTTTGACTGTCGCCAAACTCTCAACCTTGTGTTGAATGAATTTTCTCACAGCTTCGGACACGGAGACCTCATTTAGCTCCAATGAGATAGGAGCTATCTGAGTTGCAATATCAAGACGCTCAATGATATCAGGCCAGTTCCGGCTTGAGACGATCCACTTGATCTTTAGATGGGTTGATGACTGTTGCACGATCAAATCCAGAAGGGAACGACGTCCATTTGTGCACTCGTCCAAGGCGTCAATAATGATATAAGTATTGTTCAAAGTAGGGTCATTCAGGATATCCGTAAAGATAGCCGAGAGTGCACTCCAAGCATTAGCATCCTCAAATAGGGCCTTGCCTGCTTCCTTATAATGACCCCGCACGTGAGAAAGAAGAGCTGGGCTCTTCCTCACAAGTAGGTAAATCAAGCCCCGGACAAGGGCTACAGCATTATTGATGCGATCGTCGGTGGCTTGGCAAAAAAAGAAGGAGATATGTGAGTGCGCGTCGTTCCCATGAAATCGTGTCAATTCGTCGATGATACCGCACATCAGCATCGTTTTGCCCTTGCCGGGGTCGCCTCTAACCCAGAGGAGACGGTTGTTCTCGCTTTCTTGCCATTGTTTGAACTCTTTGTTCTCTAGGATCCAGCGGTATGAATCCTTAAGCAGCCCTCCGTTGGTGTTCTGAATGCGGCTCTTATCATCGTAAGGATTAGTCGTACGCAAATCCCGAAGACATGCTTGATCCGAAGATGATTCTAGTGAAAATAGACGTATTTACGTGTTAGCTGTATCAGCCACGTCTCGTTAGAGTCTTGATTCCTCACTCACCGACCCGGTTTACAGTGATAGGAGCATAGTTCTGCGCAACTTGAATTCCATGGTTTTCGCCGCCGTAGGAAGTGGTAGCAGCCATGATTATGGGTAGGACGGCTGAGTAGTAGAGCGCTAAGTCCACAATCAAGATTCAGCAAGATACCCCGCCATCAGGTGATTCATCTACTAACCGTAAAAGAAGCAACCATTTTGATTTCGTAATCCACATTATCCTAGAGGGTCTCTCCTAGAGGAACCGGGGAATGGGGTACTAGGTACTATCCAGCTTTCTAACCTTGGAAGATCCCTTTGCGACGTTGAATATTCAAATCAGGTGGATAGCAGTAATCGACAGATAGACGCAGTCCACAAATCAGGTCATAGTATCATTATTAATTCCAATATATGCATGTTCGTTCTCATATGAACAGAAATCTAACCGCGAACATTTGAAGGGCATACTTTCAGATATCCAATGCAATAAACCAACAATCATAGATATTGGTAAGAAGTTTGCGAATCGAATTAACCACCCAGCATGATCATCATTTCACCAAGTCCCACTGAGCAATAAATGCGAATGCCATCCCCACACGACCGCGCTTGGATTCAAACTCCTCCTCCGTGATTCCAAGACAATCCGTGCGCTCCCCAAACTTAGTCAACACAGCAAGTGTGATTTTCTGACCCGGAGCACCGAGCATTCTTGAATCAGGCACATCCACATACCAGAACTCGCCGCCACCACCAGGCCCGGAGCCACGCACATGTTTGAAGAGGAGCGTTTCATCTTTGCGTCCGTCGACCCCCTTGATCATAAGGAGGAACAGCGCGGGCTTGAGACGTGAGTGATGGGCCAATGTCCAGTGTTCACACACTAAGCCGAATTGGAAACGAAGGGGGCTCTGTGCACTGTATACCGAGATATCACCACTCTCGGGCTGTAGGGTCCGGCGGCCGATATTGTGGTTATCCATATCGTTGTAGGTCTTGATAGCTTTCAACCCAGTTGGCATGTCTGGGTTAATGACTGCGTATTCTTCGTAAGAGACGATGCGACCATCTTCGCGATAGAGGAAGTCTGTGTTTCCAGGGTAATGCTTCAGACCAAACTCCTCGTTTGACATGGTGAAATAAGAGGGGGTAAACTTTGGCTGATAAGGCATCCCGGGACCGTTTATGTGGCCAGAGCCCCAGCAGGAGTCGACCAGCTTCCACTGTCCACCGTCAATCTTGACAGCATTCCAGGCATGTGTAGACTTGAATGGCGGAGGGCGCGCACCTGGTGCCAAAGGCTCGTAACCGAAGCCTTTGTCGGCACCTGAGATCACGATGGCCTCCAATCCTGCCTTTGCGGCCAGCACGGCATATAGCCCCGCATAGCCCTCGCAGACGGCCAATCCAGTAGCCAGGGTGCCTTGAGGCGTAGAAGGTTTCACAGCATTATTGAAAAATGCAACAGTATCGTAATGAATATTATGATGCATCCACGTGAATATCGATCTAGCCTTGTCTGTAAGGGATGGGAATGGAGCAGTCAACTCATTCGCTAACCAGCCCAAATCTTGCGTGGGAAGGGAAGAACGCGGATACTGGGCTGCCCTGGAGTCCGGACCAGAAAAGTCTCGGCATACCAAGCACTCTGTCGCAGAGCTAGGAGTCTGCGCGGCGGCGCCCGGGATGGAGGCATGGAATTGTGGTTTGGTAGCTTGGAGTTTGGAAAGGTCTGGACGAGATCCGTGCGGAATCGGGGGAGGCACTCCGTTTGGCGGAGGTCTGTTGGTTGGTGTGCTACTGGGCCTCACGGGGAGATTGGGAGGCTTCAGCCCACCGAACCCAGACTGTCGAATATTATCTAGAGTAGACGAATCTGAAGGAGGGGGTAGCCGCCTAGTAGGGAGGCTCGGGGGCTCATCTCGTGTGGTTTCATTCGTCTGTTCGGATCCATAAGTAGGTACATCCAATCCAGAGGGCCGCCGCGCAGGAAGTGGTGGTGGCGCCGGTGATTTTTCTGATCTGATTGAGGAGCGCGATGGCAAACTAGGGCGCGATGGTCTTGTGGCTGGCGAGGATGAATCTTCCTTGCCGCGCAAGGAGGATAGCTTGGAAGTCAACCCGTTGAACTTGGATCCGTACTTGGATTCGGAGCGCGGGAGCGGTGGCACATCAACTGGGTCTTCTCTGATGCGCTTTGGTGGAAGCACGGGTAGGTCTGATTCTCCCCAAGCAGGGGCCTTTATGCGGTTGCTACCAGTGGTACCAGTAGTGCCAGTGGAATTGACAGACGTCGTCGACGCGCCACGCCCTAGACTGTTCACAGTTGTCGCAGTAGTCGAGTGAGAGGCGTCTGAGGCGAATGATTCGATTGATGGCCTGCGTGCTTGTTCTTGTGTGGGTCTGCGTGGCGGTAAAGCGGGGCGTCTTTCAGTGAGCTCAGGGCGCGCTAGAGGAGGGGGAGGAGGTGGTGGACGGTCCCTTCGCGTTGGGAGTGGAGGAGGAACTTTCGGCTTCGGCTTCAACTCCGGGCGTGACGATGGCGCTGGAGGGGGGCGCACCGCTGGTCGTTGGGCACGGGCATCTGTGGGGTCGTTTCTAAACGAGTCGCCTCCAAAACTGGACTCGGTCTCATCGTATGATGGTGGTGGTCTGCTAGAGGGTTGGCCGCGATCGGCAGGCGGGCGGAATAGAGGTGGTTCAAGGCCCGATGGGGAAGTGGCTTGGGAGAGCTTTAGAGCAGCGATTCGCTCTTGAATCGAGCCCAGCTGCGGTTCTTCTGTCATAACTTGAATGTTCACACCTTGGTAAGGGGAAACTGAGAAAAGAACTCAGCAAACAGAATATTGTAACGTCAAGTTCCAAGCGCCGATGGTCTTGGCGTGGGTCTAGCAATTCAGCCTTGTCCCTGTGGTATGGCGGCCGATAGAGGCCACCCCTAGGTCATATCCCAATTTCAGTTCCTAACTTCACCGCCCTGTTTCCCGCCTGTATTGTATTTATCATATATAGGAATATCTTAAGGGATTTGATCTAAATACGGGTAACTTTTAGAATAGACTTGAGAATAGACTTGAGAGTAGACTTGAGAATAGACATGAGAATAGACTTGAGAATAGACTTGAGAGTAGTCTTGAGAGTAGTCCAGAGAAGGGACTTGGGAATGGATTATATGACTAGGATCTCAGCCTCTCTTTCTTGCCAGTTGTTGTGATAATCTACCTAGAGAAAGAGACATCAGTAGTTAACTGCCTGAACATAATGGAGTTCAAAAACTAATATGAATTTGAATGTTGGAATTACTCGTAATTTACTTTCTGCCGGTTGGAAACTTGAAATTGGGTGGCCTCTATCGGCCGCCGCACCCTGTGGAGAACATTAAGCCGCAACCTTGGAAATCAATAGCACACGTTTGAGAAAAGTAAAAAATAAACTTGCATTTCTCCAATTGAGGGGCAGATTTGGGACTCCGCTTGTTCCATGGGTCCGAATCTATATTTGGATGGCATCCATGGTTGTACTTCAGGGCTAGTATAAGCAATGGAAGTACTTGGCATTGGCCCTGCCAACACCTGAGGTACTGGCAAGTTAACATTAAATTTCAAAATTTTGTATTTCCAACACGTTGCCTGTTATTTGGACTCCCAAACGCCTGGAGTGGCTGAAAAAAAAAAAGCACCCCTCTAGGGAAAAGACACGAAAACAGACAATAGAAGACCTAAGTACGTCCATATGGATAATGGATAAGGGATATATCCCTAATGAACACATAGAAAAAGTAAAGAACAAAGAGAAAAAAAGAATTGAGAATGAGTTCGGCCATCTAACTTTCTGACTGCAGACCCGGTGGCAATTCACCTATCGTTCATCATAAAAGGGAGATCATTGCCATACACAAAAAATAACAAGAAATACATGATAAGTGAGAATGGGTAAAAAGGAACAGACCTCAAAGGCCAGGAGTCAGCATCGTTCATCAAGAGCATCACTTCATCCTAAGGCACATAATCATGAGACAGACTAGGGGTTCACGCCCTAGACATTTTTGTACAGCAGCAATGGCTCACCAACATTCTCGATCTCGGGGATAGTGCACTTGAGATCGAATGCCTTGGCCAAAACAATCTTGAAGATCTGTTTGGGGTTAGTCAAGAGATTGTAGAACCAGAGAGAAATGAGAACGGACCTTTTGAACGTTGATGCTGTGACTGGTGCTGCTGAAAATCAAGCTTGCCTTCATTGCCTTAGCAAATCTTTTCGCTTGTAAGGATATTTCTTCTTGGTCTTCCCGAGGGAAGTTAACAAAATGATCATATTTGGTGCCAACCAAGAAAGGAATGGCTGTCTTGTTGAAGCCTCGGCCCTGGCGATACCATTCCTTGATGGAGTTCAGAGTGCTCTTGCGGGTGAGATCAAACATGAAAAGAATGGCCACGGCATCGTTGCAAACCAGCGGCAGCATGTTGACAAACTCACGTTGGCCACCCAGGTCCCAGATCGAGAAGGTGATTTCGGTGTTGCGAATTGAAATGGTCTTTTCCATGAAATTAACGCCTGCATTGGAGGAGTTGTCAGCAAAAATGATCAAGTCAAATCTTTTCATCATGGCACTTACCCAAGGTCTGAATGTAGTCTTCATCCCAGCTGCCCTCGACATACTTGACCATGAGACTGGTCTTTCCGATCTGAGCATCTCCGACCATTCCAACCTTGATGACAACACTATTTCTGGCCGCTTGCGACGGCTGGCCTCGTTGGGCGACCTCCGATGGCTGTGGCTGAGGCATGCCGTGTCGCTCTGGGCCACTTGAAACTCCGGAGCCGGGACGTGATGCGGAATTGAGCTGAGGCTGATGGGTCATGGATGGCGATGAATTAAGACGGAAATTGGGATCGGCATCTTGAGGATGATATTCAGGAGCGGAATGGTGGAAATCAGTGGATCGAGAGTGATAATGGGCTTTAGAGTCGCTAGCGTAACCTTGCTCGACTCGGATGCGACCAGCAGAATGTTCAACTGGGGCAGCAACTGAGTCTACAGGGGGTTCCTCAACATTGACGCTGACTTGAACAGGCTGCTCGAGTGGCTGTTCCTGTGGCTGTTCCTGTTCGGACGGGACTGACAGCGGCTGTGGGATCGCCTGGGCCTCGATTGGGTGCTGCTGCGGCTCCGCAACAGCATGAACCTCTGAGACAGGCTGCTGTAGCGGATCCATTCTGGCGCGTCGGTTGGGGTATTTCAGAAGGAGAGATTGTGTGTCTTCCTTGCGTTGGGTACCTGTTTACAGCACTTTTGTTAGCACCTGCGGGGAAAGGAGAGCATCCCATGTGATATATCACCAATCACGACCAATCGTTGGTCTGACGTGTATCACAGCTCAACGGGATGGAATTCTCGATATTCTAGGAATCTTTTTGGAACGCTTACCTTTGCCTCCGACCTAGGGAAGATCTGACGAATCGCCAGGGTCTGAGATTCGGGGGAGTTGGCGCGAACCGATCGAGGGCGGTGTAAACAGAGACTCAGCGGAGGCCAGTTACTGGGACGATGAGCAAAGAAAAAGGGGGATGGGGAAGGGAAAGAAGCAGATGATGTGAAGTGTTTACTGCAGGAACACGAGGAGGTTTACGCGCCCGGAGATTAATTATCTCTAGACAGACTGGCGATTCAGCTCTCTCAGCAACTTCACATAATGCGGGAAACATGGATCTGCGCTAGTCTACGATAGGACTAGCGTGGGACCGGCTGTCGCCCAAAATTTATTGAAAAACTTCTTATCGCCGAACTTCCCCTCCATTCCAAACCACTTAACTTTATATCCCTTACCTCCTTTGACACGTTCACAATGTCTAAGAGAGCGGCAGATAATTCTGAGGAGCAGTCCTCCGCCCTCAAGGCTGGTGACCGCCCAATGCACGATGCTATTCCCGACGAAGTGGGGGAGTTTGAGGACGAATTTGAAGATGAGTTCGAGAGTGAAGATGAGATCTTGGAGGCTGGTGTCGACGGTCGCCCAGATGCAGAGCGTGAGGAGGAAGAGCGAGGTGAGTATTCCGGTTCTCAATGTCTGCTTGCTTTCTGTTGAAAAGCCCCAAAAAGAGAAAGAATACTAATCAATACCATTTTTAACAGAGGGCATGGACGTCGACAAGCAAACCTTCATTCCTGGACGAACAAAATTGGCTCCTGGAGAGACTCTCTCGCCCGATCCTTCAACCTACGATATGCTTCACACTCTCACCACAACATGGCCTTGTCTGTCATTCGATATTGTGCGCGATTCTCTCGGCGACAACCGCAAGACTTTCCCTGGAACCGTTTATGCCGTTGCTGGTACACAGGCAGAGGGATCCAAGGCCAAGGACAATGAATTGATGGTGTTGAAGATGAGCGGACTGAGCAAAATGGAGCGCGACGGCGAGGACTCTGAGAGCGACGAGGATTCAGACGATGATATGGGTGAACCCATCCTTGAGCACAAGTCCATTCCATTGGGCTCCACCACAAACCGCATTCGTGCCCACCAAACCCCGTCTCAGTCGGCGGACTACTCCAAGCCCCCACAGACCCTGACGGCTACTATGCTGGAGAACTCTCAGGTCCTCATCCACGACGTCACCGCTCACCTTACCAGCTTTGACGTGCCCGGCACCATCCTTCCTCCCTCCGCTTCCAAGCCTCTTTCCACACTCCGTATGCACAAGGCTGAGGGTTATGCTCTCGACTGGTCCCCGCTCCAGCCCCTCGGCAAGCTCTTGACTGGTGACAATGACGGTTTGATCTATGCGACCACCCGCACTGAGGGTGGTGGCTGGGTGACCGATACCCGCCCATTCCTTGGTCACACCTCATCAGTTGAAGAGCTCCAGTGGTCGCCTAACGAGCGCAATGTTTTCGCCTCCGCTAGCAGTGACGGTAGTGTGAAGGTTTGGGATGTGCGATCCAAGTCCCGCAAGCCCGCCGTGGATGTTCACATCTCCAAGAGCGACGTTAACGTTATGAGCTGGTCTAACCAGACCTTCCACCTTCTTGCGACTGGTGCGGATGATGGTCAATGGGCTGTGTGGGATCTGCGTCACTGGAAGCCTGATACCGCCAATCCTTCTTCCCAGATTCGCGCATCGCCCGTTGCCTCGTTCGACTTCCACAAGGAGCCTATCACCAGTATTGAGTGGCACCCGTCTGATGACAGTGTGGTCGCTGTGGGCTCAGCTGATAACACCGTTACTCTCTGGGATTTGGCCGTTGAGTTGGATGACGAAGAGAGCCGCAATGCGGCCATGGCCGATATTCCCCCTCAGCTTCTTTTCGTGCATTATATGGATTCCGTCAAGGAGGTGCACTGGCAGGCCCAGATGCCGGGTACTCTGATGGCCACTGGTGGCAGTGGATTCAGGTATGTTCTTCCAAACACCATTCTGATATGTGCAATAATACTAATCTTCCTACGTTTACAGTGTATTCAAGACCATCAGTGTCTAGATGAGCGACCAAGTCTACTTGTAATTACCCCAAAAGTCATGTGTGATGTCCTGCTCATATACCATTCGAGCACCATGGAGCCTTGCTCAATAACGATTCAGAGTTGTAGCCTGTCATTTATTAGTGATAGACCAATGAACAAAAATTATTACCTTTTCGAGCACGTCTATATTTCCACTTGTCGTTGTCGTCTATGTTTCCTTCCAACCGCGGTCTCAACCAACTAGTACTTGAAGGTTTCGGTGACTACATACTACTAAGTTCATGCCCTGTACCTATCCATGGATCCATGGATCCATGGATGTACTCGCATGTGAGCTTCTAAAGCACCAACATTTGAACCTTGAAAGGTTGTGATTCCAGTCTTCCAACCAAGAATCGTCCGTTCCTACCACCGACGCCGAACTCCAAACTCCAAAAGCAGCACTCAAGTCCAACATACTGTTCAGTAGTACTGCAAAACCCTCCAGTATAACCCACCAATCCCACGACCGCGGAATTACAGCACTGGACTAATTCCGCACCGACCAGACGATCAGCCTAGGGACCAACCAAAAGCAAAATAGCCTTGGGATAAGATAAAAATAACGGGTACATACAGTGGAGGGGGAGGGGCAACCCGCTGCAATGCAAAACATGTTCCTAGTGCGTGCGAGTTACAGCTACACCCACCCGCCGAGCTCTGAGTAGTCCGGCACGAGGTACTCCGGAACAGCGCTGCGTAAATATGCACTTCGCGCCATCATTACACCAGGTACCGTACGCAGCGTACACGTATGAAGCGCTCTGATATCATTCGCTCGTGGTAATATGTAAAGAAGCATTAGAATGCGTGGTCTGTGCGTAGTAGTATGTACCTATACCTATACGCAAGGGTAGGTACATGGATGTATTCCGGGAATAGCTGGGCTGAATTGATGGCGATCGCTAATTGGAAACCTTGGAAGTTCAATCTATGCAGCGACTGTAAGTGCTGGTAGATAATAGTTTGGGTATTTGGATATTTAAATGGATGGGCGATACTCATGTGTGCAATGGTCTTCTTCCTGTGCATAGTAGGTAATTGAGAGAATTCACTCCACCAGTATTTGAGCCTACTGGACACAGCCTACGATGCTAGATCGCCAGTTGTTAGTGCCGTTGCGGTGCGTGATTATTTCCGGCGCCTGGCTGGGACCGAGTCGGGTGCGACATGCAGGCTAGGCCAGTCGGTTCTATGATCTTGCTGCACTTGGCAGGTTTAGTGGCGGATGAGGGGCGGGTTTGGACCAGTTGCGCTGCTGTTAGCGTGCATATACTTTTAGGAGGCTGCAGACTGGTACTGTAGGATGATCGAGGATGCGATCCACCTGTCTGTTTTTCTTTCATTTTATTTTCTTTTTCTATTATTTTCTTCCAAGGTTCTTTTTTGTTTGTTTTATGTGGACATTGATGAAAAGAGAGCTCCATAAGTGGAGCAGTAGATAGATAACAATTACTGATATAGTAATAAACATTGGATTCGTACATACAAGGCTGATTTGGTGTTTTGTATCTGGACTCAGGTCGCGCTTGAATGCTTGAATGCGTATTACCTTTGATTGAAACGACAATGAAAATGACGATAATCGCCACGAGACCCTGCGGAAACCGTAGGTTCGAAATGATGTAAACGGTGGCTATAGTAGTACTGTAAAAAATTGCTCAAGAGTTGATTGGAGCGTATGTTAGTATGGCCGAGGTATGACATGCATGGATTCAGGTCACTTTGTTTGCGAAGTCGGATGGTTGTCGGTTCCGGTACCGAGTATTGAGAAACATACTGTAAAGTTACTACGTTTTGTGGCGCCGAAGGTCAGACAGATTTTAGCGCGGCGGTACGGAGTATTTGTGTCGCAATAAGACATGCTAGAGCAGTTTGGAGATGGTTTCCTGGGTTACTTCAGTCACGTTTGACTTTCAAAGTGGGCACTTGATCGGGTTCAGGTACAATCTGGATTTTCTGGAGTCACTAATGTTCCTTGCTAGTAGGGTAGTATAGTAAGAGCTTGTTGGAAGTAACTCATTGGACCTTTTGATTTCAAACCATACACGGAGTAGGGCATGTACATGTAAATAATTTCCTACAAGCAACATACCAAGGTTGTCTTCTACATACAGTGCTCTGTATAAATTCTTACGCAGAATTATAGGCGGAAACCGGCAAAACATTTGAACATTGAGAATATCTGAAATAATACAGAATACAACTAATGCACGACGAGGACGACCGGTCAATCACATCAGATCTAGCCGCTCTCACCATTCGACGCCTGCACGTTCCGTGGGGTGATCATGCACTACGACCAAGTAGAGTTCGACGTGCTGCAGAGAGCCAGGCTAAGGCATATCCTGCATCGGCATTTCTCCGTTGAAAATCACCGGAAGTGATATCAGGCGCAATGAGAGAATAAACGACCGCTTAAAAGAATAGCAGTACACGTATTTTTTGCAGTAATTATTGTAAGAGGGAAAAAAACATCTAAAATAATATTTGAAAAGGATTTGACAATAATATCTTGCCATAGTCGTGCTCTTATCGGGCAATGTCGCGATCTTTCCCTATCAGTCTCCGGTCAATCGAAAATCCCCAGCCTTGAGCTTCACGCTCCACTTAGCTGGACTTAGTCGTATTTAGTGCCTTTGGCAAATTTAACAGTCATTTTGTTATCGCTAATGGATCCGAGAATCCGAGATATGCATTCTTCAAGAGAT